TTCTTATATATTGATGATAATCAATTATCACAATATCATATGTTTTCTTAATAGTTAGCGAAGTTAATGGCAACTTTATTTAGTTTAAACATATTTTCGAATGGAATTGTTGAAGTAAATAAAGTTTACCTCTCTTACATTCGGATACTAAAAATTTTCTTCCACACTCATTTCTAACGTAAAGATTACTGCATTTGGATATACATTATTTACAGTTTTACTCTCCATTCGACTGTATCAACACTGCTTGGTTGAAAATTGAATACTAATCAATGTTCTGTGGGTTTCACACCATCCTTTAAAAACACATTTATGAAATTTATTTGGATGTTCAAAAAAACTTCCCCAGTCATAATTTTATCTTCAGTTTTCAAACATTTCCTTTCTAACATTCACAATCCGTTCAATAATAAAGAACACTTCTCTCGTGCTATTTCATGAAACGAATGTAGTTGTAGGAGCGTTATGCGACTTCGGAAAGGAAGAAAGAGTTGTTTGCAGAAGTCGCAGATGCACTTAATGCTTCCGGTTTAGTAACAGCCGGTCTATACACAGGTCCTCCATGCTTTGTTTTTTCGTTTATTTTCAAGTGTCACCATGCCTTAATGATTTCTTTGATTTTTGAAACATGCGTATCTTTGTGAATGTCATGAATGATTGTACTGATGTTAGTGAAACAATTTCAGCGTCATATGCTGAAATGTTTAAATTATTGCAGTCGTTTCCTAACTGTTGATTGCAGAATTCGGTTCGTGTTAAGTATTTTTTTCATTTTCAGTAGTTTCTTTTCTAAACTATCTTTTTAGAAGAAGATGTTCGTACACAATGGAAGAATCTGAAAGATACGTTTAAAAGGAAACTTAAAAGACGCCAGGCGGAAGTCAATGCAGGTTATGAGGACGCGGAACCAACTTGGCGATTCTGGAGCAAAATGCAATTCGTTAAGAATAATTTTGGTCCAGATCGAAATCGGTCTTCTGCATTGAGCAGGTAATCAGTTGGCAATTCTCAAACTGTTCTTTTCAGGGAATAGGAATTATCGAGAATTTTGAAAGCAAATGGATTTTAAAGATATAGAAAAAGAAAGTTTGCCAGCAATTTATTAGATTAAAAAAATTTTGAAGAAATCAAATTCGTACTGCAGCACAGTTTTGGTAGAAAACACACCTAATACGCTGGAGAAATTGATCAGTTCTCTTGTCGAGAAACAGATGTCTGATGACAGCAATAACAGCATAGAGTATGATTTTATTGTTACATTTCAGTTAATGTGCCATCGAAGAGTAAAATTGGCCTGCTGATTTTGTTTTCAAATTTCTTGAATATAATTCAGTTTGGCAATAAATATGTTAATTTTCTTCCAGCAGTTGCTTTGAAGTATACCTACAGGAATTTTGCTTTGTTAGTTTGTTGTTTTTAGGATTTAATTACACAGAATTTCTCTGGAGTTTGTCGCACAGTTTTTGCATATTCATCATTTGTCAACTGACATGTACTTTTACAGTGGACAGATAATGAATGCAACAGAGCTACCATCAGTCGCATCAACTTCCCTTCCCATTCCTTCTGCAAACAACAGTAGCAATAACAGTTGTAACAAGAGCACTCTCAGTAATACAAACACTGTTATACCTGATATTCAAGTCACATCAACTGCAACACCTACAATAGAAATGCATATAGCTCAGTTTGTTCCACCTAACATCAATTATTTGGAGGTATGTCGTAAGATAGTTTTTCTGTTTTCAAATTAAAAATTTTACTGTTTTTTGAGCGAATTTGATCCTTCCATCCACTTCTAACAGTTATGTACATTGTCAGTGTACAATGATATGAAGTGTAATGGTTCTTAATTCTCAAATAAATAACGATATCTCTTTTTATTCCAAAATTAAAGAGCTTTTTAAATAAACTGAGTTGTCTGCTAATAAATCATTCTGTCGTCAATATTTTATATATCGGCATTAATTTTACTATATAAAACCACTGGTACTAAATTATTCAGCAATGCCATTCATTGCAGGGCATAGCATCTCACTCACCATTGTCACAACATCTTGGATTTGACTCAAATAAATTGAGATCACCTTCACCGGTTAATCCGGAAATACATCCTTGTGCAAGTGCTTTAGCTGATCTTCAGAAAAAGGCAATGAAGAGGAAAGTATCGGAAGCAAGCAACGAGGATTTGCAAAATATGCAGGAGCCAGACGATGAATGCGCCTGGTTTGGTAAGTTTTACCAAATTACTGTATATTATTATAACATATTCATGTGATATATTAGTCTTTTCTATGGTAGAGAATTTATGTTTATATATAATTTTAGTGTATGCAATAAAATCCTAAAATATTCGGAATTCTAGGTCGAAGTGTATCAAGTGCGTTACGCCGACTTTGCTTGACATCACCACTTTCTGCACTTACTCTCAAAAAGCAGATCTCAGATTTGATATATGAGGCGGAAATCAAGCAATTAATACGTCATCGAAAAACAGGGCATTCGTAAAAAAATCTTGTCGTTATCAGCGCTTGAGTTGAAAAAGAAACCAAGAGGACTCAGTCCTCGGAATTATACTAAATATAGTAAGAATGAAAGTACTGGAGATTGTAAGTCTCAAATGATACAGTTTAGCAGTTCTTCTAGAGAAGGATCTGTGCACTGAACAGTCGATGTTTATCGTTCAGCGATGTTTTTCAATTTTTTCAAATCACACTGTTATTAATATAATGTATGACATAAATGGTGCATATTTGTTACAGAAATCGCGAAAGAACTTAATTATTGCTTACTAAGATGATAAATTTTTGAATCTCATTCCTAAGCTTCAGGTTATGGTTATCATGACAATTTTCTAAGACTTCAGTCAAGAAGTTTAAAAAAATTGTGGGAAAAGCTAAATCATCGAAACTATCACCGTTTTATGGAGAAGTTTTTATAATATAATTTGCGGGTAATATTGTAAGTTATTTCTATTGCTGTATGAAAGTACTGTACAGCTTTAATAATAAAGTTTATAATTAATAAAGTTAGAAAAATTTAACATTTCGCCTTATTGCTTTTTATTGAATATGATCATAATTCTTATGTTTTGATAATCAAAAGATGCAGATAAAAGCTATAAAATGTTAGAAAAGTGACATGACTTATACATTTTCAACATGTTTTTAAAGGTAAAATGAGTTCTTCTTGGTTTAATTTCAAAATACTTCGTGTGTGCTGCTTTTATATGACATTAAATGTACATGAACATTCCTCGCTAAATTAATTTAAATTAAATTGATATAAACTTCTCTTAGTTACGATGTAGTAACGGGGTCAAAAAATCCCAATCATCTATTGCAAACTACAAATCACTTTCCAACCAATTACGGACCGTTTGCAAAAGTCCTTCATTTCATGTATTAAAAAAAAAGCAAATTTTCTGTGCTAATAATGTTTCAGGGTGTTAGTAAATAGTTCAAACAAAGCAAGGTAGAGAAATATGTGAAAGGAAAAATAAAAAAAACTGAAAAAAAAGCTGTGCAGGAGTACACAAAACAATTTTCGTTTTTTTTTTTTTTTTCGAATGAAGTTTTGACTAAACATTTCTGAATGATATATACATTGCACTGAGAATAACTCAGCAATTATTGCTTTTGTTTTCTCTTCTTTGTAAGGTGATGATGGATGATAGATCATTTACCGTATTATGTGTTCGACAGAATAAAGTTGATTAGAACAGAGTAAAAAAATAAATTTGCTAAAATGATGTGCTAAATAAGCCATATTCACACAGATTGTTTCAGTTGATTTTAAATTGCGATTAAAGATAAGCTAAGAAAACATCTTTTTAAAATTGGTAAAAAATGTCAGTTACATCAATGAGGACAGTGATGGACAAAACTTTGTATATTATCACCATGCGATGATAAAGAAAAAATTGATGAATATGAAAACAGAGTACAGGCAGTAAGATTACTATGAAAAAAGACTCATCGTCTGTTATAATGAGCACAGACAAAAAGAATGGTTCGTGCTATTCTCTTCAAAATGCAAAAGGCTTGGATATACATTTATTTTACAATATTTATAAAGCTAAAAAATTAGCTTTTTTTATATTGCTGTATGAATTATCATCCTTTTGTGAAAAAGCTTTTTCAACATAATTTACAGGTAATATTGTAAGTTATTTGTATCGTTGTATGAAAGTGTTGTACACCTTTAGCAGCCGTTTACCGAAATAAAATTTTCGTTTGGATTCTACATAAATATATATCATAGTCATATGATTTGATGTTAAGGATGCTTTAATATTTTTAAGTGAAAATAGTTTTGAGTCATTGCTTTAAGTTATTTTAGAAATAGTAATAGGTAATTCCTGTTAAACTAACGCGAATCAAATTTTTACATCCTATAATAGTATTTTTCATCATATGTACACAGTTTGACTATTCTGATGCTAATTTCATTATTGGCATTTAATTAAATTAGAACATGTTAGAAGTTTCTTCAACTCGACTTCCTTGATACGCAAAGAGCAATTGATGGAATGAGGAAAGATATTCATTTGTTTGTTTCTTTATAAAACTTATGAAAGTATGTGAATTAAATTTCTCATGCTATATCTGATGCGAATCCTTTTATTTCAAGTCATATTGAATTCTTCTCCCAACTGCATCAGATGGAGACACTGATTCATAACCATTTTGAAACAGGGCTCGAGATATTTGTGTTGAGGATGGTTGCTATGGCGTTTTCGTTATCAATTTTTCGATTAGCAGTTTTCGATTAGCAGTTTACCTTTCTGACGGTATTATTGCTTATTTAATCATTTGTTTACCTGTCCTTTAATTTACTCGGCAATTACTCGTTTGCTTACTAGTGATCGTTTTCTTAATTGTTTAAAAATTTAGATTACCAAATTTTCTCAAATTTTATGTGTACCAACAACTGATGATTCATCACATAGTTTGCATAAAATCTTTTCAAAGTTTTTTGTAGTTTTTATATTTTGATAAATGGAACGAAAAGAAGATGGAGAGGAAAAGAAAAATGAAGAAGTAAGTGATCGAAGTCCTGCTCAAAAATATGATCTGTATGTCCTCTCCGATGAACTAAGTGATAAACTTAAATTGTTAAACTATGAAGAAGATTATGCAAAATTAGCTCCAAGCTACAGGACTGTTTCTAGGTAAAATTCTTCTTGTAATAATGAAGTGATTAGATGCAATTAATTATGTAATAGTTAGATGTTTTGATCGTTCAAGAAAAAATAATTTTGAATAAATGGAACCATTTCCATACGTTTTATTTCTGGAATAGTAAGGGTCAACTTTTGAAAACAAAGTGAAAATTACTTTATCTATAGAGTAGAAATTGACCTGTGATATCACATTGTTGTTGACGCAATCTGAAAAGATGTTCTATCCAAATTGTTATTTATTCTTTGTCATTAATTAAGTAAAAGTTACCAATCAATATTTTTTTGTTGGCCTATTTGGAATTTAAAATTTTCAAGTTAACTAAGTAATTCTAGTTAGTAGGTTCTTTTATAGAGAGTATTTTGTGGCAAGTACAAATATTGGTGAGCAATTTTTTATTTTCACTACACTATCCGCGTGGCTCATCCAGAAATCTATCGATCCGACATTCATAATCCCGCAAGAGGTATCTTCAAATTGCCATTACTCATCTTCTTAACCTAGTTACATTAACACAAAGCGTCCGATGACATTGCAGTTTGATGACCCCAATGGGACAATCTCAAGTATTCTCAGTGCATTGCGAAGTAAGAATGTTTCTGTTGCTTTTGCACCAAATAAACTAAAAACTGGCGCTGGTGAGCAATGCTTGTACGTGTTGGACAAACTCGCTGATTTTGCACTTATTGCCGGGCAATTCTGTTGGACCAAGTAATCTTTGATCTGATCTATTTATTAATCCGTTCATTCAAGAATTCCTATAACCGGAACTAATAAATAAATCCAACTTTGTTGGAAAAGAAAAAGTCCTGACTGGTTATTTGTCTAGTCAAACGTTGTAGTTACAGGGCGAACCCAGTGCCACAAGATGATGAAGGAATGGATGAAGCAGTTGATCGGATTGAAATTACAGCTGAAGAGGTAAGAAATCGATCTTTAAATGTCAGCACTGCGCCATATTATCACATGTAAAACTTAAATTTGTTGCTATTTAAAATATCATTTTGCTTTATCTTAAGGTTTATCTGTAATTTAAGAGCTTTGAGTAAAGTTCAAAATTTGCTCACACAAACTCAATTACTGAATAGTTGAAAGAAATTTTAGTTCGATGAGGCCGAACAGATGGATGTTGCTGATGATGATGATAACGAAATTGTGATGGATCTGAAAGCCATACCATCTTCAAGAATTACTGGTGGAGAAAGTGTAAAACTTTATTGAACATTTCTCGAAGATTGCAACATAGTATGTGATTTTTTTTCTAATTTTAATTATGCCGATTTTCAGCAACAGCCTTTAGATGGTATCCTCCATAGCGATACAAATGTGAATTTTTGGAAACTTGAAGTTGAACGAATAGCACCACGTCTTAAAGTTACCTTCGAGCAAGATTCAAAAGTATGGTGTAATTCGAACTTAAAAATTTACTTCTAACCTTCGAATACTTTTCCAAAAAAAAAAAAAAAAAAACAAGAAACAAAATTTCCCATTTGAAAAAAAATGATGGTGACAAAATATTCCAATAAAAAATAGGACAAAAAACTTCAAAAAATTGAAATTTCAACAAGAAAATTCTACGCAACTTCATCAACAAACATATCAAGTGATATTCAAAATGAAGTAGCGAAAAATACATTATTTAACTTGCATATGTAGAATTATTTAGGACTGGAGAATGCATTTGGGACGAATACGGTTCTTACAGAAAACAGTAACGGAATTGTTGAATACGACAGAGCCTCACTTGAAGAGTATTTCTAATGAGCTCGATAAAACAATGGAACGAATTATTAGTAGGTAGGAATCGGTTCATGCATCTTATTGCTTTTTTGAAGTTCTATTTGCATCAAAACTTCATTTACAGGGAGAAACATTTCAACAGTCAACTGGAACCTGTGTTGACCAAATTTTATCATGCTAAAGAGAGAATGACTGAAGTAGAAGAAAAATACAAGTAATCTTTATATCTCGTGGCATTCTATAAGTTCTTATCAAAAAAATTGGCCTTAATATTATGTGAAGGTTTATTTATTTGAACAGGGAAATCAGTAGTGGTATTTTGGAGCGTACTCAAAAATTGCAACGTGTCAATGATGAACTGGAACAAATCAAGCAACAAATTGACGAGAAAAGTCTCCGAAATAGTGATGCAGGTAGTTTTATTGTTTCTTCAGCCAGTTAGCATCTAGCTTTGACTGATAGAAATTGTACTTTTCATTTCCATTCCTACTGATTACTTTTACCAGTTTTCACTGCACATTGATTACTCATCGATATTATAATAAACTGATAGTCTCTTAACGCTGTGGAACGTATTTTTCTCGAAGTTCCAAGTTAAAACATTACAATTTGTTTGGCGCTGACTGATTTTTAAATTGACAAGAAACAAAAAAAAAATTTTATGAAAGAAAATTTCGGGATCTGTTTTTTATATTCCTTTTTAAAAAAGGCATTTCTTCCCATTCGATAGACTATTTGCAGCCCCGATGCTGAAGTTAAAGCATGCTCTGCAAAAGATGGAATCAGAAATCCTCACAATGAATGTTCAGATCAGTGTCATGGAACAGTCTCTCTTACAAAGCCAACTTAAAAATCGAGCCGCATATAACGCTCATTTACAGGATTTGTATATTTAATTGCAAAATATTTCTTTTAAACTCGAATCTATTTGATATTATTTGAAATGGAATTGATATAAAGCGAAGATTTAATTGAAATGCCAGCAAAATCAAGTTCAAAAAGTTATCTTTATTTTTTGCGTTTTGGTAACGTGAAGAATGGTGAATCGACCAGAAAAACGCTCAGTATGGGCTCGATTTTTTTTTTTTTTGTTTGCGATATTAATAAGTGGTTAAAAATAGAATTTGTATGAAATACATAATACAATACTTCCAGAAAAGCAGGAGATGTTTACTGTTTGCATTAAATGTGATTTTATACAGATGACAAAGTGCAATGATTGCTATACAGATAACGAAATACATGTATGGTAATAGAGATAACTGAAGTACAGATGTTTGTTATATAAATAACAAGGTATATGGATTGTTAAACAAATAACATATGAGTTTACATTAAATGCTTTGTTTAAATATCGGCTAATCTTTTATAAATAATTTCATAAGTATTATAAGAGAATCCTTCAAAGAAGGGAAATCAAGACATAGATTTTAAAAAAATTTTCAGTAATTTTCTTACAAAAAAAAAATTCTTCCAGTAATTAAAATGACTGAATTCATTTGTTCTTATTGCGCGCGGCAGTTATGTGTCGAAAACTCGACAGAAATTAGCAACTTTGGAGAGCCGGAAAAGCTATTACCTCACTATTTCTATCAATTCCTTTTATTTCCTGAAACAACAAAAATGTTGCAGTGTATTTCATCGGATAAATCGAGCATTTCGGTTACCAATTGGTAGAAGTTTCAAAATATGCATTAATAAACAATCAAAAAATTTATTAACTATGCAAAAAAGATAAAAACTATGGATATCGTTTGGAGATTTTTCTCAAAGAACTCTTTGACATTACACTGAAGGAGTGAGATTTGGAACTAATTTCAAATAGAAGTGGACAAAGGTGACTTAGACCTTAAATGATTTTAAACTTTAACCACCTTAATTTCATTTTTCTCTAAAAACTAACTTTATTTGGTAATAATACAAATTAAAAATGACTTAAGTTTCATAGGTAGCACCTCTTTAATAGTTATGGAAAAGATTTCGAAAAAGTTAATATCGAAATACTGATCACATGGCAAAAATAAATTTACTGACATAATTTGATAATTTTCAATTAAATATTGTGGATGTAAATAAATCAGACTTCAGTTCTGCATATAACGTGAGTTTTGTAGTTGTAATTGGAACCTTAAAAAAATTATATTGAATGATAAAAAAGCTTCAAAGTTGAAATTCATTTAGATTATTGGGTCACCCCAAACTTTGTTTGATAATTATATTAATTAAAAATGATTTAAGTCTTGTCCACAATTTCTTTCAGATTGAGACATGATGAGAGGGTTATTTCTGCTTGGTTCTTTTCTTCTCGGTATTTCAAACTTGGGTAATCAAACTCTTATTTAAATAAATGGTTTATACAACAACGCACTAAGCAACTAGAATTTCAAAAAAATAATTTTAGTGGCGATACCAGTAGCAGAGATAGACTATCCCACAAACTGACCCCGTCCAAACAAATTTACACGGATAATTTCAGTGTTAAAAACTATGCTTTAGCAGGCAAAGGTCATAAGAATTGCATCGCCTCGGTACGTACATTGGCTAGCGCAGATAAAGCATGTCTGATAGTATGTAATCACTTTCAACCGTTTTCTCCAGTGGTGAGTAATTTAATGGATTTAACTGACGTCACTTTTGTAATTAAGAAATAAACCTTAAAGAAATTTAAGTTGAAATGACAATAAGAATTTAAAATAAAATTCTTTGGAAATATGGGATCACTTTGATTTCATTTTTCCCCCAAAATCAACTTTGTTTAATAATAATATCAACTTAGTTTATTCTCATACAAATTACAGTTTACACTTCCGGTATAAATTAATATATAAGTCTGTACCACGAAGGAAGTGATCCCAACATTATAATGGGCACGCCAAGGGAAGATAATACAAGGATTCGGATCTTTCCGAAAATTAACAAAACCATCAACTGGAAAAAAGAATATATTTCATATCCTTTAGCCTGTTATACTTCCCACCGACTCAGCTTAAAGTGATTATAAATTTCATCTTTAGAAGAACATGGAGAATGTTATTCATATCACTAAAATAGTTAAACAGCTTACTTTAATCTCACAACCATGTTCTTAAATATCACAGATGTATCTAATCGTTATTGTTTATTTCGTGATAATGATGTTAACCAGCTCATTAATTTTAAAAATGCTAACTACAATAAACAAAAGCCCTATTATTTATTTAATTCAAACTATAAAAACTATACAAATCATAAAAAACAAAAGAAGTTATTTCTAAATAAAATCTCGCTTAAATTTACACAAATTCGTATAATTTTTTTGCAAAATCTCACAGACATACTTAAGAATTTGAAAAAAAATGTACCCCATTATGATTATGAAATCACCTACCACATCGAGAATAATACGGCTTCGTTAACTTCATTTTACTGTTGACTTTGAAGAAAAAACCGTTTTTTCTAGTATTTTTTTCTTCAGCAAATACTTTAATAGCATATAATGACTTTCAAGCCAGTAAAATAACCATAAACTGCTATAAGAAAGGGCAATCACACTTGATACATTTTACAACTAATGATTGGTATTTGTTCTTAGACAAAACGTAGATGGCCAAATCGCGAGAATATTTGATGCTGAAGAAGCAAATAGCGGAGGTGAGGTACGGCCAAATGTACTAATCGTTTGTCCAAAAACCGGATATCTGCAAACATTAAATAAAATTTTAAGAAAAATCATAATGGAAAATATTGCAGGAGGAAAAACGCAAACTGTACAAATAGATATAGCTACTGGCAGTCTATCTCTACAAAATGCTAACCGGTTGAAAACCATAATAAAGTATCGAGTTCTGTAAAATTTTTGGAAATAGAACTAAAAAAATAGAAACAGAAACCTTGCTTTAGAATTAACAGAAATGCTTTCCGTAAGAGGTGCAGACAATTCGTTTGCAGCACTTCCGAAAGGCTCTGAATCGAACTGTAGAGGCGTCAAAAGATGGGAAGATGTATTGCTAGTCACAATAGTACCGTCTTGTTGCTGCGCATTAATTGTCCGGTTTCCGTATTTAACCATTGTCCGAATGAAGCGAAGCAAACATAAGTGCAAGACGTACTGGAAACCAAGTGCACCAACACCCTGAAAATCATCCTTAATGAAATTTATAATTCACAACTAAAGTTTACGAGAAAAAGATAAAAATGGGCAACGATAATATTTCACAATTAAAAAATAATGTTAACAGCACATTCGTACACCAAGCACGTCATAACAATTTGAGAATGCTGATGTATAGGATGTTTTCTCAATTTAACATAAATTTGAAGTCAGCTAATTTACCATGAAATTCAAAAAAATTTCAAATTGAACATACCGCATAAAGAGACCAGAAACTCTCGCGATTTATGATTGTCCTGATACAATCAAAAAATCCAACATATTTTGCTGTTATTGAGATAGCCGTGACACCATTATCCAGATTGTCTATTAATGTTCGTGTCCCTAAAATTTCAGCTTCAGTGGATTCTGGAAGTCATTTCTTCGGGCTTTTTTTTTTTTTTTCGGAATCTTACCCTGAATATAAAGACGATGAAGTACTGTCTCGAATGGATATAAAGAGAAATCAGCTAGCATTTGTGACGTCAAAGTTGCAAATATCTGCGGAAAATATTGATCAAAAGCAGTTTTTTCATGCAATGGTTTTCGATTCTAAAATTATTTCCTCCGTAAATAATACCCAACGTATTTTCATATTCTGATCTTTTTCTAAATTTATAAACGAATAAGAGCTCAATTTATTTCTTTCGCCAAATGAAATGTCAGAAAAATTCAAGTATAGAATACACTTACAACATATCGTTTAGCCAAAACATATATCCAATCAAATAAACCGATTGTTATCAAATAGTGCGACGTGAATAAACAAGTTGTCGGTATTAAGAGATATAATAATGAAAAACGTTTACTGTTATCTCTTGGCCCGATAAAATCAAATCGCAAACGACTTATTCCATTTATCACTACATCCATTACGCGGAACTCATCACAGCGACCACTTTCGCTCTATAAAGTTAGTTTAACACCACAACCTTACCAGTTCCAATCAGACAGTCCAAAAAGTGATTTCTATCACTATCATATATACCAGGAACGAATAAAGATAGATTTCTATTTGGTCATTCAATCTCGCCACCAAAATTTCAGAAGACGAACAAAATCTGAACCGTATAGCAGATTAAAACAATGCTAGTGTGGAGTTTTTTTCTTCAAATATTTGGAAATAATGTCGTACCTTTTATCTATATTAATAATCAAAAAAAAAAAATTTCTTCTTAAGCTTTCCCTTTGAAATTAATTTATTTACCCTGACAGTTTCGATGAAAGATGACACAATAAATGGAGTCATGCAAACTGCAGTTGAGCTGAAAAAAATAAACACCGCTTTAAGTATTCTTCAAGAAGTAAAATAGTAACAAATTGTAATGCAGAGTACTTACGCTTTTAAAATAAGGTGGTGACAATATTTCTTAAAGCTTCCGTGCTTTACATAATGCCTGAAATTACCCTAATTTTTAGCATAGAACCAATACCAGAGTCAAATATTAAAAAAAAAAAAATCTTACTGATAAAAAACAAACCGTGGAAGACCAAATATATCAGCGAGTAATATTTCTCCAACAATAGATAATCCCCAAAGAACACCTGAACCAATAGCACCTTTCCATAAAGTCAGAAGTCCCTGAATTTATGGAGTTTTGCCGTTTGTTGTGTTTGTAGAGTCAAAATTGATTTCAAACAATTTAATAACTTTAAACAAAAGTGCATAAATGCTTTTACCCGCAGGAAAGCAGCAATAACGCTACAACATTACCATTACAATGAATTATTAAGAGGTAAGTTGAATAATATGTTTCACTAACTTCGCAACTAACTACTTTATAAACAACAGGAATTAAAGTAAAGGGTGTAAGATGAAGCGATCTGGCGAATTGATGAACTTGACACTGCCGTCTCAAAACTGTACATGGATGACTTATAAGTATTTTCGTGACCAAACTGAAAAGTATCGTCATAAAATGAATTCGTAATATCTACACAAAATGAAAAAAAGCATTGATAATAAAAGATCTTAACAGTAAAGGTTCTTAAAATTTATTTTGATAAAGACTTAGTGATGCCAATAGACACGTTAGCCATCGGATTATGCGGTTTTCGTGGCGATGATGCGTTTTCATTAGTTGGTTTAGAGAGTACTGCTGGTGTCGTAAAACCAGATCGAAAAGATGCATTTGCCGCGACTGGATCTATCAATTGATCATCTTCAAACGAGCCAGGATATGGTGCTAAAGCACTACAAACAGTAAATTTCTTTGTAAAAATACAAAAAGCTGTTTTAAAGAAAAGTTGGGAAATCAGAAATTCGGGAATTCAAAATATATTTATTTTGATTAAACAGAATGTGTTACAGACTAACTGCAAATATTGAGAACCAAAGAATAAGAGTAGAAAGCAACAAAATTCAGAGACTCTGTTTCAGTTATAATTCATTTTTTTTATGTTAAAACTTATTGCTTATATTGGTTACGGTTGTACTCGCAAAATCAAAAACGGATTTTGCATTCGTTTCTGTGCCAAGTTCATAGCTAATCTTTCTTGATGAAGTATAAAAGAGAAAATAAACCATTCGGTCGAAATTTGTGATGCATTACAGCAGCATTTGTTGGTTGCATGTCTCGAAAATAGTTAACTGACATTTCACTTCGTTACGACGATAGTTTTCATCATTAAATTGCTAGCACATCTTAAAAAAATTATTTCTAACTTGCTAATATCTCATCAAGTGCAAAATGAAGTGTGTCAGAATTGGAGAATATGGAGCAAAAACTGGTGCCATTAACGAGTGAAAATGATCTACCGTTTACAACAATTGCACCTTTTTAAATTCACTGACCGAAATCAATCAGTTAGTCTGATAATTACAGTTACGGGATGGGAATCAGTCCAATTAAAAAGAAAATCTGCCAAGATTTGTCAATAAAATCCACTTCTTCCAACTAAGCATACCAATTTATTGGCAGTATCACCAGTACACCACAAATTGGTCCACTTGCAATGCACTCCGTTTCGGACGAGTCACACAATTTGCAGTTTGACGGATCGGACAGAGAAAGAGGATTAGGTAGAACGGTTGGTATTATCAAGTATTGATTATTTGCAGCTGGTGGATGTCCAAGTTTTGAAGTTATTTGGTGACAGCATCTTCTGCAAGCGTTATTGTCACATGTGATGAGAATCAGCTCAATTACATACTCGGTTTAGATATGATACGTTTGGAACGTCGCCTCATCGATACATTAAATCGATTACGATGTAAAGTCCATGAAAGAGGATGCGCGCAGTTCAAAACATCACTGACTAACACTCCATTTCAGAAGGTTAATTTAGCGATTTCTTTTCATATTATAAATTGGTGCAGTTAAATGCTAAGTAAGATTATGATGTGACCAAAAGAAATTTCATTTCTTGATCAGGTTGGGCTATCTTGACTGCAAACATTTTCTTACATTATTCATTTTGAATTTATAAACTTCAAAATTTAATAGTCATGGTATATATCAAAAAAATGATTTTGAAGAGTACTATAATTTCGGGAATTTCGGTTTTTTCGTTGCTGGAAAGTGGGTCTCAAGCATGGGAGTGGAATGTGCTTTTGAAGTCATTACAATATGTTTGCTTTGCAAGAAAAAAACTCATCGACGATTTATTAGACCAGTGTATGTATATTTACAATCGTTTTTCAAAGCACGGTGAGAATTTTTAACCATGTGTTGAAAATTAGAGTCAGTGAGTGCTTTTTTCAATAAAGTATTTTTTATCGCTGTTTCCGTACATTTACAATTTTCCGTTTTTTTTTTTTCTTGAAACTTGAAGTGCAGGGGGATTAAAAGAAACAATAATTTCTAGCTGACTTGTGTTGTAAGATTCTTTATGTTTATTGGTCATTAATTAAGCAACTGGGTCGTTTTCCAGCAAGATACTTTGAGTTTTCCGTACCTATTTTGTTACTTATGGAGATCATAGAAACCATTTATTTACTAAGTTATCTAGTGATTGTTCATCAACTCCCATAACCTTTTAATTAGCAAAAGTTTCCCAGTGAAGGAATCAAAGTGACACTATACTGTTTAAAAGTCACTGTATGTATTTGGCTAGTTTTGACATGACATTTCTGTAACTAACTTCTTGTGAACTTTGCTGCATTTCTCGATATTTCTCTTACTTTAAATTTAGTCTTGTATTCTACAAATTGTAAAAAACTCAACATGTAATTACTTGTTTTGGCCACCAAACAGTTGTTTAGATTTCGTTGTTTTTATTTGTTTTTTATTTTTTTGAAATAGCTTCATTCCTTGGTTTGTGAACCAGCTGAATAGGACTTCTGAATAATACCTCCAGTCAGGTTTGTTTCCTATAGGTTCGGCTGTTTTCAATAGCATAAACAACCATCTATTACTTGTTTCTTTTTACTTTTTAAGGTTTATATCAACTATCGATGCCTACTCAATACATTTTGACTTTGATTTTAGTCGAGAAAAATCTGAAAACAGCAAGAAAAATTACTAAGGAAATAAACGATAAACAGGCCAGTGAATCTTCTCGTAAAAGTAACAACGATGATCAACCCTCTGAAAATCCAAACCGGGGCAAACGTCCTTCCAGCTTTCCGGATATACCAATGCCTCCGTTAGTTTTAATCTATTGGAAAACTTTTTCACTATTTAAATGTGTATGTCCATTATTGTTTGCAATTTGCTTTTGAGATTTAATTTTTAAAAGTTTTCAGATTATCAGCTGTTTTAGCAGCCATAGCAGCATTTGTTGCCCTTTTCTTGGTGGCAAACAAAGGTAAAGAAATATCTTGGAAGGAATTTTACACAGAGTATTTGGAGAAAGGCATTGTAAGTGGTCTATGTTCAAAGTTCATATAATTTGGGTGATCGATTTAAATACTGTTGTTTGATTTATGTTTTTAAAAAGTGACCAGATCTACTTTGAATTTTTAATTTCTTAACACTTTATTTCTCAAATTCAGATTGACCGACTAATTGTGCACAGAACGTGGGTTGAAGTAAGAGTACGGGAAGATGCAAGTGTTGGTGTGGGTTATTTATACTTTCAGATGTTTTGCTTCTTGTAAAAATCCAGCAATATTAGTAAATGTTTGGTTTTTTGTTAAATATTGACTATAATAGAAAGCTGTGTATGAAATTTTTATACGTTTATAATAGCTGAATTGTAAGTTGTTCTAGGTCACTCCATATTTTTATATTGGCAGTGTGGATACGTTTGAACGATCCCTGGCAACCGCGCAGCAGCATCTTGGAATTAATCCAGAAAATCAAGTCACTGTTATCTATAATCCGGTCGACACAGCGTGAGTAATATGTTCGTTTAAGAAAACTTTTTTTCGAAATTTGTTTGTTTTTAAATTGTGAAAGCTTTTTTTTTTTAGATCATTGATAAGCAGTTTAATTCCTGTGGCCATATTGTTCTTGCTAGCATGGCCTATCATCAGAATGTTCTTTAGCTCAAGGCGATCATCAGGTTTGATTTTCGAAGTTTCTGTTGTCCAGAGGATTACAACACGTTTTAATTTATTCTAGTTTATTAAAATGCTGTATTGTTTAGGCAAGGACATTGCAGGCGGTCGTGGTGGAACGAATCCTTTTAGTGGTGGTGGTCCGTTCAATATGTTTGGTTTTGGACAAAGTACAGCAAGACTGATCAATAAAAATGATATCGATGTAAAGTTCAGTGATGTTGCTGGTTGTGAAGAAGCGAAAATAGAAATAATGGAGTTCGTTAATTTTTTGAAAAATCCAGAGCAATATAAGAAACTTGGTGCTAAAATACCGAAGGCAAGTTACTTTTTCATGTTGTTTTATATTCCAGCATTCAGAATTAAAGCAGCGGTTTGGAAGTTGGAAGAGGAATCCATCTATTTAAAAATTATAACTCTGTCCTATCCAGGGTGCAATTCTAACTGGTCCACCAGGCACCGGTAAAACGCTATTGGCTAAAGCGACTGCTGGCGAAGCAAATGTGCCATTTATAACAGTTAGTGGTTCAGAATTTCTGGAAATGTTTGTGGGCGTTGGTCCAGCGCGTGTTAGAGATATGTTCTCCATGGCTCGCAAAAATGCACCCTGCATATTATTTATTGGTACGTCTTTTTATTATAGTGTTTTTCCTATTTAATGCTAACCGAAGTAACATAATATCAATCAAAGTACGTGTATAAATCCACATTCAGAATATTGCTTGATAACAAAATACAGGGTAAAATGCTACTACTATCACAATATATATAGGATATGTTTGACCGACAGTATTGTTAAATTGATTTTAGAATGGTCACTTTCTCTTACATACTTATCATCCATATTGAACGTCTCCTGTATATTACTTGATCTTCTTTATAATTACATTCAAAATTTTAACAATACTGTCGGTTACATCCTATCTGGACGAATCTTGTAGTTTTTAGAATTAATAAGGCTCACGTAAAAGACAATTTAAGTTCATTTGCAGATGAAATAGATGCTGTTGGAAGGAAGCGAGGTGAAGGTCGATTTGGCGGTCATTCAGAGCAGGAAAATACTCTCAATCAACTCCTAGTTGAAATGGATGGTAATTTGTTTCAACTAACATCGTCTGCCAAATGATTTCATGTGAAAATGTTACCTGATTTCGAAAAACTTAAAGGTTTCTCGACTGAGGAATCATCGGTTATTGTAATCGCAGCTACAAATCGTCCTGATATTTTGGATGCAGCTCTACTTAGGCCTGGTCGATTTGATCGCCAGATCTACATCCCTGTACCTGATATCAAAGGAAGGTAAAACTTTGTGAATATTTAGTCTTTATCTACATCATCATCTGAGGGAATTGCAAATAAATTTGAGCTCACCAAATTTGGAATTGATTTATTTAGGGCTTCAATATTTCGTGTTCATTTGGCGAAATTGAAGACAACTTTGGATAAAGTGGAGCTTTCAAGAAAGTTAGCTGCTTTAACTCCCGGATTTTCAGGTTTAGTGCTTATCTACATCATGATCTTATCGAATTCAGCAGAAGTAATTTTTAACTTGAAAATCATTTTCAGGAGCGGATGTTGCAAATGTCTGTAATGAAGCAGCATTAGTAGCAGCACGTGATGCAGGAAATGAAATTATCTTTAAAAATTTCGAGCAGGTTAATAGTAAATAATGAAATTATCAGCTTTTTCGTTTCTTAGGCATTATAAAATTAAGTTTCTTACCTTGTTTTTTTCTACCCATTTTCTTGAAGCACTAAAGTAGTGAAAAATATTTTTTCTCCTTTTACTAAATAGTGCTTTGAAATTTTACACTATTGAGCTCTTTTTTTCTTTTTCTTTTTTTTTTTTTTTTTTTTTTTTTTCATTGGGTAATAAATTCAGGCGATCGAAAGAGTCGTTGCTGGTATGGAGAAGAAAAGTCAGGTTTTGCAGCCGGAGGAAAAAAAGGTAGTTGCATTTCATGAAGCAGGGCATGCGATCACTGGTTGGTTTTTAAAACATGCCGATCCACTACTAAAAGTATGTTTTTATAAGTAAATTCATGGTATATACTTTTGGACCGAATATATTAATTTCTTTTAAAAATTGTAACTTTGACAGGCAGGTATTTCCAGGTTTCAATAATACCACGTGGTAAAGGATTAGGATATGCGCAGTATCTACCGAGGGAGCAGTATCTTTATTCCACTGAACAACTTTTGGACCGAATGTGTATGATGTTAGGAGGGCGTGTTTCGGAAGAAATCTTTTTCGGACGTGTTACAACTGGTGCACAAGATGATTTGCAGAAGATTACTGAGATGGCCTACTCCCAGGTTTTTAAGTATTTTTGTTTTGGAAATTTTTCTGAATTTGAGGCTATTTAAAGTGGTCAGTGAAAATTCTTTATTTGTATCGATTTCAAAATCTCATCTTTTGGCAAAGCCATATAATTGGATAGTTCTTTTGATGCTGGTAATTGATTTATTTACAGATTGTGAAGTTCGGTATGAGCAAGAAAGTCGGTCCGTTGTCGTTTACAGAGGGTTCAAATTTTCAAAAACCATATTCTGAAACCACTGCGGAACTCATTGATCAAGAAGTTAGATGAAATTTTCTCCTTTATGTGAATCCTAAGTAGTACAATGTATAGAATACTTAGTCAGAACATACATTTGTGACTAAGCTTTCCAAGAAAGATAGATTTGAATACAGATAGAATGTGAAAATTAAAGTTTATAGAAGGTTATGGGATTATGCACATAAGATTCGTCTTTATGGCTCTGAAATTATGTGTAGTGATTTCTCTTTTAGGTGCGTAATCTTGTCGACACAGCTTATAAAAGAACCCACGAATTGCTGGAATCTAAAAAACCGCAAATTGAAACTGTAAGTCATGAGAGATCAGTTTCATTAGATAATTCATATGTATTGTCCTCTTGAATGCTTGCAACTTTTTAAAAATAATTATTTCACAGGATGTCTTAACCTCTCGAAAAATTTTTTCCCTTCCATTTTAGGTGGCAGAAAGATTACTTCAAAACGAAATTATATCTAGAGAAGATTTAATTGAGTTGCTAGGACCGCGTCCGTTTGCCGAAAAGCAAACATACGAGGAGTTTGTTGCTGGTACTGGTGGCCTGGATGAAGATATCACATTGCCGAAGGGTTTAGAATCATGGAATAAATCAGTGAATTTGGAAGACAATTCCGAAACTAAAGTAAGTTAATTATATTTTCATCAGAAGAGGTGGACTTCTTTCACTATTAATAAGGAATAAAAATATTTCTTGCAAAATAAAGATAAGGATTTTAATCCAATTTTCATATCATTAACCATCCACTGCAACTAATAAGTTTTCGGAGATTTGAAAATTTATTTGTAACGTTAGCTTCTTGTGCTGTGAAAGTGGCAACAATTAAGTGCCATTACATTTACAGTACTTTTAAGCAAGGTAAGAAGAACTTTCATTGAGGTACGAGATAGTGCAATAGTTTGCTATTAGTTTGAGTTATTTTTCTGGCTGAAATCATTCCACGAAATTGTTTGTTGTGATTTATGTCATGAGCTTACCTTAGCTCCGGGCAGTCTACGATTAACTTAAGTGATAGAATTAATATTTGGATTTTCATAAACTCTTTCATTTTTCTTTAGCGAAAGGATTCCGCAGTATCAATAATAAAAAAAATCTTTTTCAGTAGAACAAATTTTAATTTTATATCTTTTAGGCAAAAGCAACAAATGGCACGGATAAAGCAAATAAAGAGCGGTAGAATTAAAATCTTTGTATTTTAGGATCTTGGTGCAGTTTTTGAATTACTATTCTTCCATCTTATGTTCTTTTTTTTTTCATATTTGGGGCCAAATATGACTTTTTAAATTGATTTGCTCATTTTGGGGAATACTGCCGATAAGATTTCCATTGTTACGAAATTATATATTTGGTTTCTTCCACTTAAGTATGAACATTTTGTAAGACTGATGGTTGTTGTTTTTCCATCATCAAACATAATTTGTTCTGTGATGTGCGCACTTGTAAATTTCCAAAATTTTTAAAGTTTTTCTTTTATAATTTAAAAAATGTCATCTAGGGTGGAGTGATAAATTTTAGGGTTGACCACTGATTTAATTCACCATTTACAAAATTTAGTTACAATTTCCTCTTTCGCACGAATTTCAAAACGGATAAAGTTGAATTCAATTATTCGATTGTTTGGTCTTTGTCGGTTCCGCAATTGTTTTCATATTTTGATGAGAAGCATATGCAGTTTCCGAATGTTGCGTTTGAGTGTTTTTTGCTCTCTGTGCAAATTTTGATAGTTACGATAAAAGTTTCGAACTGGGGTTATTTTTTATTTATTTCTGTTGCTCTCAAACTGCAGGCAGATTATACTTTCAAATTGTGCAAGGGCTTTTTGCTAGTGGAATGATCGCATTGCTGGATAATTCTTAATCCAATATTTTGTTAATACGTAGTATGTGCTGCACTCGTTTTATATTCACTGATTAATTGGGTTCCACTTTATACTTCTTGATTTACAATCAAATTCATAGCACTATCGGTTTAGACGATGTCACGAAGCAATCGTGTAGGGAGTCGAGGTGGAGCTTCCTCTGGTTTACGAGCGGTTGCAAACGCACTGGGCATTGCCCGACATGAAATGAGTGCATATACAAAAGTGGTGATGGAGTCACAACCTATTTATCCTGCAAGTTCTAAATGCATTTCCCAGTTCGCCCCACAAGTTCTGAAGGAACAGTCGTTGTGCCTATATAATATAGGTAGATAAGATTACTAGTAACTGGCTTTCATTTTTTGTCATGATGTTTGTTATAACCTACATTTTAAAATTAATAATGATTTACAATAGCGAATGCTCATGACACTGCATTTTTAGTCGGTTTCGCAAATTGTTTTGCCACTCGAGAAAACAGATGAACTGCAATACATGGCTGAATTACGACAAGAATTGCTCACTCGGTTTCACGAATCGTCTTTTCATTTCGATGTAGAGGAGCGGGATTCTGAATTTAGACGGTATACGGACAAGTATAGAGAAACCGAAAAGGAAGAACTTCGACCGGGTTATCAATACTTTCAAACATTTTCCTCATAATCTTAAAATCTTAATTTTGTTTTTTAAATATTTTCATTTTTAGGAAAATAAAGCATCGAGATTTAGTTTTAACTCTTTCCTTGAACTGGTTCTGAGATCACTCTTTGACTTTTATTTCTTTTGTTTTTTTTGTTTTTTTTTTTTGAACCCATAAAAAAGATGACAGGAGAAATCCTGCGGCCACTGGATTTAACTCTGTTCAGATTGGTCACGACTTCCAGAAGAATTATGCTGGAAGAAAAAAACTGACGAACAAGTTAAAAAGAAACGGAGGATAACTGATAAAGGAGCCGATGAAGTTGTTGAAAAACTGTCGAAACTTGAGGAGAATGAAAAATTAGGTTGTCTTGAAATTGAAACCCAGGAAACTATTGATGAAAATGATGAAGAAAGCGAAAAAGAGGAACAAAACAACGAAAATGAACAGGTTAGTGATTTAAACTTCGCTGTCTTGCTGTGGCTTTTGTGGACTTAAGAAATGCTATTTATTTTTAAAGTGTAGAGCCAGGTTTTTGTTCAAGTTTTTTTTTTTTTTAATGAGATTTTTCTTTTACATAAATTTTACGATGTTACTTAGGAAGCATTATCGGACGATGATTATCAAGAAGAAGATAATGATTATATTCATTCCTATTTCGATAATGGTGAAAATTACGGTGATATTGGCTCAGATGATAATTTAGATGAAGACAATGCTTTCTAACATTCTTACTTTTCACATACATGTAGTAACACATTGTTCATATACATTTGTAATGTGTTGTTAATTCAAATGTTTTGGAAGATGGAGTTTTCGCATTATTCCTGTTGATGGTTCTCGAAATATCTTCTCGAAAAATTTTGAAGTGTGTTGTTTCATTATTTCTGTGCTTTCGGAGGTTTATGTACGCGTTTGTTACCTTGCACGTGTACATATTTGGGAATAAAATTTTCATGACTAGAATTAGAAATTCCGGTAGTCTTGAACGAAATAAATTGTTAGATGGTTTACTGGATGGGTGTTTACTGATATTGATAAAACAAAATCTCAGCTTTTGGTCTACAAAGTTATTCAAAGTTATTCATCGATTATAGCGAAATAAACGGCAGTGAGAAAAGTGAAAAAACAAAAGGAAATTTGGTGATGAAAGTAAAACGTAATACGAAATGTATCTTACTCATTTTATTCTTAATATGAATTTACTTCCATAAGTAGTGTAAAACATTGCCGAAAACTTATGGTTTATCCTTGACTTATTAGCAAGGAAAATATGATTTAAGATACGCTTCACACTTCCAGATATTCGTTTTATACTTACCACGATATGTTCTTTGAAATTGTCGTTATGTATTAATTGGTAGTAATTGGTGCACCTGGGAGTCAAATTTTGTTTTGTACATCGTTAATAAAGAGCATTACTTATGGGTTATATGTTCAGATATTCAACATAGCTCTTTCAGAGTTTGTACTGTTCAGCAGTTTCCGGTTGTAATTTATTATTTCCACTTAAAGTATTTAACGTAGAAGCCTGTATTTTTGAATTTTAATTGGGATAGATGTAACGCGTTGATTCGTTGTATGTGAAGTGAACTTTAATTATTGTAAGTCTCCCTTGGAAATTTGAAAGTGCGGTTTGTAACTCAACATTTTAATTTTGAATTTGATACTGCTTGCACTTATTCCTCAGTTGTGATTAACAGTTTTATGACATTTAGATGACAAAACTCATGAGGAACATCGTATTTTCTGTACTTATATATTTAAGATTTGATTTCAAAAAAATTGTGAGAACTGACTAACGTTGTAAGAAAAAGAATTAACTATAGTAGGTTTCAAAAATTCTTGCGAGAGTTGGTTTACATAACGGTGCTTGCACATTTTGTAATTTGTGAAGGAATTCTGAAAATCTTTTTTTTTTTTTTTTTTTTTTTTTTGAATCAGTATAAATTTGTATCATAGCAGTTTAAGATGGCAAGATTGTGGCATTTAAGTGTTTTCGAAACAGCAACCAATTTTTACGTCATTGGTTCTGATGTTTCAAAGACTCGTTATCGACTGCTAAAAATTGGCCGTTTGGGAATGCAGACTTTGGACATAGCTGAAGTGGAACAAAATTATTCAAAGAGTGACATCATGGAACTGTTAGCGACTGTTTCAGAAGGAAGCTCTGGTAAGTGAATGTTTTCATACGGGTAATCCAGTCAGATCCTTCAGAATTTGTTTCTCTTGCGTTCTTTAATACTTGCCTTTAAGCATCTTAGTATTTCCAATCTGTCTAAAAATCTCCATATATTTTTAATTAACCTGTAAGGGTAATAAAACAACTTGAAATGTACTATTTCTTCAGTTTGTTTTGTTATTTATCTCCTTTAAAAGAGCCATCCTCATTGCTGCAGTAAGGTACATTAAAATGAGATGAATTAGATATGCTTTTATTTATAGTTAAATTTACTTGCAGTTACAGTTGCAGAAAAAAATTTTTAAGTAGTACATATATTTTTTTCCCAAACTATTCAGTTATTCCTCTTTTCACCTTTTTGCCATAAGTTCTCAGTAACATTCTATCTATAATTTAATTTCAAAATCAACTGCTGGCATGATAATTTGTAACTTTTTGCGAATAAATCTTTTACTGAAAGTTTACTTTTTTGAGATGTGTCCTTAAAAACAGCAGGTTAGACAATAATTAAATTTGTTTGTTTACGAAAACATTAGAATTACAGTTGTGTTTACGCAAAACGAGAAGCAATTAGCGGGTGTTGATCGACAGAAAAGTTTAGTCGAACGTGCCTCTGATGCTTTCGGATTACTTGGGGCTGTGCGCTTTCTTGAAGGCTATTATTTGTTGGTGAGGTAGCATCACTGTTGTCATTCGTTATTTATATGTTAGGTTCCTAATTTCCAAAATAAAGATGATGTCACATTCCTTTTGAGATATTCAGGAAAGAAATTTTGTAAATTTTACGTATTAGAATGATTGGGGTCTTCTTTGGTATGCTACTTTTTCAGGTCGTAACGAAAGCTCGAGTGGTTGCCATGATAGGCTATCACGAAATATATAAAATTGAAGAAGTTATTCTTATTCCTTTAGCAGTACAGGGAATCCCAGTTAACAATCCTGACGAACTGCGCTATCTGAAATTATTTCAAGTGAACCTTGTTATCCATTTTTATTGTCACTTTGTAAAGAGATTGGGCTACTCTGATCTTCATATATATTCGCTGTAAACGTCATCGATAAAACCTGAGGGTATTCCATAGAATATATGCAACCTAAGATTATAGGAAAATTAGGTATAAATCTAGTTCAGAGTTTTCAAAAAGTATTTCTGATCTCTCTAACACTTTCATTCTTCAGCTTCAGTACCATAAGCACAGAGGCAATCATTTTTTTAGTCTGTGGATTTGTCAACAGATTTTTATTTCTCTTATATATACGACTTGAGCCGAACGTTGCAAGAAAATGTTTTGGGAATATCTGGCTGGTCCAAGTACAAACAAGTAGATAAGAATGAAACAAACCAGTTCTCCGATTCGAAATTTATCTGGAATGGATATCTTTTGGAACCATTACGTAAGAACGCCGTTAGTGAGCAGTGGTTTATTGAAGTGGTTCACGGATATGTTGGTTTGTTCTTTGCTTCTCTAAACTCCTTGTGGAGCGCATGAATGAACATGATTCATTGCTGAAGATGAATCACCAGTAAATTTATAAATTTGCAGATTCCAGGCAATCTTACGCAACCGATCATCATTCATTAAAAGTGAAAAGTTTTTAATTTATTTTTTTCACTGAAATGGAAGTTTTTAAACTTAATGAAAGATTTTAAAAATCAAAATTAAAAATTTTAGATTTATTCAATCTACAGGTCAACAAATACTCGAATTGCCGTGCTCTCGATTATCATTAACTTTGATTGGACGACGTTCTGTGGAATACGCTGGTACGAGATATCTGAAACGGGGTGCTAACTCTAGAGGTTGTTTTCCATCTCTTTATTTTTTAAGTATAGATAGATGTGAGAAAATTACTTCATTTAGCACTTGAAATTATTTCCAAAGTCCATGACTTTGTAATTTTCTGTAATTGAGAGTTGAAATTATAGGCCAGGTAGCAAATGATGTTGAAACGGAGCAAATCATTTGGGATACACGCTCTTCTCCTAACTTCACAACCGGAAAGTTTAGTTCCTTCGTGCAACGTCGTGGATCGGTACCACTTATTTGGAGTCAAGATCCAGCTACTCGTGGTGTTGTTGGGAAACCGGTGATTTCGATTGACATCAATGAGCCACATGCACAAACTGCCGCTGCTCATTTCCGGTGTGATTTATTATTTATAGGAATATTCAAGGCTTGTTGGAAGAAAAAGAAAAGGCAACTCGTTGATTCCTTTTTGCTAATATTTTAACTTTCTATATTTTAATGTAAATTTGGACGAGAAGAAATTTGTGGAAAGTCAAATTTCTAGACTAATGACGAACATTTAAAAAGAAGTCCATAAAAAGTGAAAGCAGACTACATAGTTTGCTTAGAGTTTATTTCGTTCTGACTGGTTGGAATAGAATGGTAACAGATATCACTTATGAACAACACTATAGAGTTACAGTGAAATTTTCATTTTTTCATGACTTTTTTGGTTTTTTAGTGAACTACGAAAAAAATACGGTAATCCGTTAGTAGTAATGAATTTGGTGAAAAGGCGTGAAAATAGAAGGCATGAGACACTACTCCATGACCAGTTCCTTAAGGTTTTATTTTTTTTTTCCGAATTTATAGTCTGAAATCTTAATTTAATAAATTTCCATTTTGCAAAGTGCATTTTTTTAAAGAATAATTTCAGGCTATTAAATATTTAAATATATTTCTACCTAAAGCAGAACGGATCGCATATTTGAGTTTTGATGTAGCTCGATGTCATAAAACTGGAAATGTTTTGAGTAAACTTGAAGAAATAGGTTTGCGTTGTGCTGTTCAACATGGCTGGTTTCAGGTTTCATTTAGAATTTAAAAATTTTTCCGTTCTTTTAATACGTTGTAATTGTTGAAAGTGTATAAATAGATAAGTACTCTCGTTCTCTCTCTTTTTCTCTCTTTGTTTCGCTCTCTATATATAATATTTAGTCTTTCTAATAATTTGTTATTCCTATATTTTCACTTGAATTTCCGGAATTAGAAGTAAATTACATTATAGTCATTTCCACCGCTGTATTGCCGCAAATTGAGACCGACTTTATTGCTGAACGATTTTGAACCGTTGCTAAGTTCAGATGGTAGATTCTTGCTCCAGCATGGTATTTTCAGAACAAACTGTGTAGACTGTCTGGATAGAACAAATGTTGCTCAATTTGGAATCGGTAGTTATACTTTTTACCCTTAATCTTTAATGGCAATTAAAAAGTATCGGGAAATTCATATTTGGATTTTCCTAGATAAGAACTCGTAACTTTTTAGATTACATATCAATTAACTTTTGTTAAATTTTCGGGTTTTAGGGAAGGTATCGCTTGGATTTCAGTTATATTCCATGGGAGTTGTCGGCGAGCCTTTACTTTCTTCATCCAGTGAAGTCTGTCGAATATACGAGGATTTGATGGATCAGCATGGCAATACATTGGCGCTGCAATATGCGGGATCTCAATTAGTACATTCAATCAAGACTTATAAAAAGATATCTGTTATACAGGTGTGCATATTATGCGATCATGTATTTTCTAGGTTGATCCTTCTAGGATTTCTTGATGTTGCTATTATCTTTCCAGGAGTAGAAGGTGTGTTGTTGAAAAAAAAAAAAAAAAAAACAGAGATTGTATGGAAATTCTAAACTTTTGAACTCCAATATTAATACCTTAATTGGCTGACTTGGACAATATTTTTAAGGTGAACTTTAGTACGTATTATTAAAACTCGACTGGAACTCGGGAATCGTGAATTGTAATTGGGAATCTGTTTGAAATTGCTGATTGTGGTATTTGATGTAAATACCTTTATTATCGATATAGGTAGTCTTAATGAACCGGCAAAAGCCTGTTGTAATGAGCAAAGATTTGTAAAATTTTCATGTGGGAAGAATAGATAGAAATTTTATAATTAGCGAATGTTCCATTGAACCACCTGTAGATCGATAAGAGAGGCAGCAGATACTTATTGCAGGAACGAAGTCGTGATGTAATCCAAACTCTATCAAGGTATTATAGCAACACTTTCGGTGACTATGATAAACAGAACGCAATTAACTTGTTTTTAGGTGTATTCAGGTTATTTGTTTATTTTTTGTTTCTGATCACTTATTTTTCATTTATCGGCAGGAGCAATTGTAGTGATAATTACGTATGAAAACAATGTGCAAAAATTAGTATTCATTGTGACGATCATTTCTGCAGGATGGTAGATGATGCCACATTCATATTGCTAGTGAACGTTGTTATTAAGTGGGAATTTTAGAGTGTAATGATCAATTATTATTTATTCTTGCATTTAAAATACTGTAGCAAATAGAATTACCTATAATTAGGAGTATTCTTACCGGTGATCTTCCAACACAACAAATCCTAAAAGCTTTTCTAAGAAAGAGTCAGGCAAAGGTGGTACATTAGAAACATATGAAAGTCTGTGCTGAAATAAAATACTTAAAAAACGAGAAGAAAAATAGGGTCAATCATCAAGTAATTAAATAACATGAAGCCAATAAAAGTAATAACAGAACCCAAAGAAAAGAATGCATGAGACATGGACAATCAGAGTAACCAAAGACTATAATAATAATCGAAGATTTTACGAGGCATATCCTGTATACCCGCAAAATACATAGGAAAAAAAGTTATATTAGTACTAAAAAAAAAAAACAAAAAAAAGGAAGCAATTATCAATAAATCATGGGAAAAAAAAACCGATTCTCCCTTTCTCCTCTTATTCCTTTCATTCCCCTTCCACCTTTCTTTTCTTTCCAATTAACAACAACTGACAAGTAGGTTGCATAAGTGGAACAGCTCAAAACTTATGATAACTAGACCGTGAGAAACTGATAAAATCACAGGTATATTTCAGTTAATTCAGTTATCAGTTATTTGTTAGTGCTGTAGTAAAGTTTTTTCTTCCTGGTTACTGTAAACAATTGATTTAATTTAATTTAAATATTAATTTCATTTTTAGACCAAGAAACAAGAGCTGTCATTTGTGGGATTTGGGAACCGATCATTATCTTCATTTCCCTGTTGATTTCAAGATGAAGGCAGATTACTGTGCATGGTTTGTTGATCCTGACGACTGGGGAAGCTTTTATGGATTAGATGATTGGAAATATACTAATGACAGTGTTTTTCCCAATATTAATATGAGTTAGTTATCATTATTGTTTGAGCATTTCTTCATTGTTTGAGCATTTCATAGATATAGTCTGCAAAGTCCAAATTTTTTAAATAGTGCGTCGTTAACTTATCCACAAAAGGTGATGTGCGAAATTTATTGTATAGCTACATAAGTTTCTTTACTATTTGATTATATGATTCGCAAAATTTTTGTTGATTAAAGCAGTATCAGTATCACGTTGCCACTGCTTGTTTTCTCCTGAAGATCTATATTACACATACTATCGTTTATGGGAATTGTCACGATTAGACGATTTAATTCGTGAGCAAAAAGATCTCCAAAAATCCGTGATGGTTGATGGTGTAAATCAAAGTGTCGCACATTGTTATAGTTTTGCCAAGTTATGGAAGGTAGTTTATTGTTTTTTTTTTTTTCAATAAGTTGGGATTCACAAATTCTGTATCGTCTCATTTCTTCACTTTTCTCACTACCGTTTATTTCGCTATAATCGATAAATAACTTTGTAGACTAAAAGCTGAAATTTTGTTTTATTCAGCAAGATTTGAATGATAAAGGCAATGTAAAGCAAGAAAGAACTGCCTTGTCAGATGATGATGATGAAGAAGACGAACCACTGCTTAAATCAGATACTGAAGCACATTATGAATGCGGTTTTACGACGGTAGATAATTGTTTCATTTAAATGGATTTTTTATTTGTTTTGTTTAAATTTTCTAACATTAAGTTCTAGCTTTGAAATAGTTCTATAATTCCGCTTCCACTTATTTCGTTTTATGGAAGAAATTTTTAATATATATTACTTATTTGTTTAATCTGTAAGTTTTATGTATGGGTTTAAGTGTATGCGTTTAAACTTGCACAATTTAGGTCGTGTGACGAAACGGAGGAAAAGAGAGTAAAGATTAGAGTTAGGGAAGCATTTTTTCTTCCAAATTGTGTAAATGTGATATAGCTATTTCTAGGTTAGTAAACTTCGTCTAATGACTTCAAATCGAGAAATGGTACTGGACCGGAAAAATTCGAGTTTGTTATCTTCATTTACCATCAATAATTTTTAAATTTTTTAAGAAATTGAGTTAATTAGTAAATCAAGTAATTGTTATGAGGTTAAAGTGCATTCAAAAGTTCTCTTTTTAGATAGAAGAGTGATGTGTCTAGGTATTTTAACAACTGAAGAAGCATACGGTTATGAAATTAGAAAGCCTAGTGATGTTGACATGGCAAAATATGTTAAATATTCGCGGCTCGGCAGTTGCACCAACAGTTGTAAGGTGAGGTTCCATATAATTTTCTATTTATGAATAACTTTTCTTGTTATAAAAATGATCTTTTATGTGAGAAAATACCGTATGTCCTAGAATATTAGGTCATGGGCACTTATTTGAACTTGTTTTAGAGATCTTCTTTGTGTTCTTAGTGCTTTTTAGAGCGTTGCAGCAATATGTCGAATTAATGCTGATTCTACTAATCTTTCTTATATGAGTGTTTAAAATTGCTTCCTTCAAACTATTATTTTATAACTGTAAGTTTGTGGTGATCGTTTCAGGATTTCCACGCATTAAGAAAGTCCAAACGAATTAATTTGTCGATATCAGTGATACCCGATTGCAGCCATTTGGAACCGACATCATTTTTTAAATCAGATAGTGTATATTCGGTTAACACTTTTAATTTATTAATAATTTATTTCTTCTCTTTATATTGTCATATATTTAAATATATCGAGTTTCGGATTTTTCTAGCAAATCCTAAAATTTTACTGGAATTCTATGCAGTACGAAGACAAACGACTAAACTTTTAGTATTTTTTGGAATTTTTAGGTTTCTCTTTTACCAGTATCGAAGGCTTCTATGAAAATTTGTACTGAAAGTGTTGAATGTGCTTGGCGAGGGCCTAAAAGTCCATCACAGATTGATTTAGAAAAATACGAGAATTACGCACTTCAAAAGCGTTCATCTTTTGCTTTACAAATTCCCTTCTCTTGAGGTATAGTTATTTTTTGTTTTCAAGATTTTTTCAATTATATTACTAAATTTCTAACAGTATTGGTAATGCAAAGTCATATGAAAAATGTTTTTTATGTGTATGTTTATTTTTATCGTTGTATTACGCAAATTTTCGAGAATTTAAATGATAAATTTTTAAGCTGTGTCATTTCCTTCACATTATAACAATTTTAATGTAATCTTTTTTCCTTTTTTGAAAAGCACTAGTTTTACAAACTAATTTCGAAAGGAAAATGGTCACATGATAAAGATTTTTCTGTGGACTTGAAATTTAAGCTTAAATTCGCTTTCGGATGGTCAGCAGTAGTTAATCTTGACGTCAAGAGAGAAAACTAGAAAATTTGGATGTTTTCTTTCCAAACTATATCGTTTCTTTCGATCCTTGGCAAAAGCACCATCACAATTACGAGCGAACGGAACAGCTGCTCAATTTAACTAATTGAAAACCTTGCCATTCACTTATTTTTCACAATAAAATTTGAAAAATTTTTTGGGAACTAGACCTGCTGGCTGGTTAGTACTCTGCGTGTTCTCTGTGCGAGAGTGTCTTTGTCTTCATCCTGATTATACGAGTCCATTAAGATTTCAAATTGAGCTAATTAAAATTAACAGAAGTGTTCTACAGCAAATTCTCAATGCCATAAGCTCTGTTCTGCTTCTTAATCTGTATTTCTTTCCCCTGCTGCCTAATTTTTCATTTGCAGCGTAATTTAAAGTTTTTTGGGTCATTTTGTCAGCTAAATGTATATGATTACTTATATTGACAGCTGTAGCAAAAATTGTGAAGTTGCTGTCAGCATTTGTAGCTGTGATGAAATAAGTTTTTGAAGTGTCCAATTTTACATGCATAAACAATATTCGCTATGTCTTTGTCGCTTAATTCAGACAAGTTTTTTAAATTCTAGAAGGAAATGTAAGTTTCTCATCCTTATTTATACGCATGCAACTACTGTTTCTACTCTAATTAATTTAAACACCAAAATCTTATGTTAAGCCATTATTTATACATTATGAAATTACATATAATTTTGTTTCCTGGGAGTGGTTTACCATTTGCGTAAAAGATCGTAAATACCAGTACAGAGTAATTGACCATTATTACATTCTTATTCATTTTCGGCCTCATCCCTATATATTTGCTGTTTGGCCTTTATGTTGTTCATTCTATCAAGCAAGTGCTGAGGTATAATTTAAATATAAAATTTTTTGTTGAAGTTTTCCCTATTATAAATCTCCTGTTTGAAAGTTTCTTATTTAATTTTCTTTATTATCAGACTATGACATGAAAATTGTTGAAAATCTTATTTTGAAAAAGTTGTGGTTCCAGTATTAAATTAAATAAAAGTATTTTTGTGTTATGTGTTATGTGGGCATGATTGGCCGTTACTCATTTACCTTCTCATAAAGAACATAAACGAGGTATAGTCGATGTAATAAACAATTGTGAACTAATAATTATCAGTTGGTAATATATGTAGGTAATGTGAGATTTAATGTATTATAAAAAGTATAGATAAATAAATACATTGCTTTTATTAACACCAGACAATTGAGGTGATAGTTATTTTAGGACACTGTCTCTTAATCTTGTTAATTTCATTATTTAAAAGTAAATTTCTTCAAAGTGATTTTTTCACAGTTCATTCCTATGAATATGAGTATTAAGCAAAAAAATTTTATTTGAAATCCTTGAGAGTTGTACAGGGAAAGTTTTTCGACAATGTCAAGCTGAAAGGTCATGATCTCAGTGACTGAGTTCATGACTTTGCTTAGACTTTGCCAAAAATTGGGTGAATTTGACAATTAATAAATCTTTTGAAAGTTAATAGGAAGCAAAAGTTCTTTATGTTTTTAGTAGGATTCTTCTGTACGAATTTGCTGAAAGTTTCCTTCCTCTAAGAAGTGCAAATAATTCATGCATAATTAATGTTTATCCATTAACTCGATTTACAAGTCTGTAAGATTAAGATTAATTCAGTAGTCATTTAAAAAAGTTTCATTTTTTGTAAACTGTTAATTACTTATTTCATGCTAAGTCATATCACTTTTCACAAAGATAATTTTTCCAGTGAATAAAATCACATCTTTCGAATAGCAGATGCATTTGATCAATGTAATCTGAGCGAGTTGATGGTATAAAAATGATGAATGTGATAAAGTTGATATCGGAATGTTAACAATAAACTTTGAAAGACAAAAATTGTTAATAACATAAACTACTCGTTATTTTTATTAAGTAATATTCATCTGTTGCCATTTTCATTTAGAAAGGCACACAATAAGAATGGTTGGCATTAACCCAGTAGTTGGTGAGCCTAGTATAGTAGGAGCAAGGCCCTCTTTTTTTCTTCCCTTCCTTCTTCCAACTCTTCCTTTCTAGTAAGAATAAAAGATCTACTTTTAGTGAATTCCTCATTGATAATGGAAAAACTGATTCATCTAGCAATCCTTTCAATACTCATCATTCTTTTATCTCTTTCGTTCTTGTTTCCTCTTTTTTTTGTACCAATTTCAAATTGAAATTGGAAAGCTCAATAAAATTTTTTCTAAACTTCAGTCTTTCAACATAGGGGATAGTTTTTTTCTTGATTTAATTCTATGCTATTATCATTAATCAAATTATATCAGGATGCTTCGCTTTACCTGGGAAATATTATGATAGTTTGCTGTACGCGAGGAACAATTATATTCAGAAACTTCTTTTCCTATGCAGAAATTCCTATGAAATTTAAAAACTAGATGCATAAAAAAAATTTCTTCTATTGATTTGTTTACGAAATAAGTGAATTAATGAGAATGTGGGAAATTTTAGTTTATCTAATAAAGAGAGAATCACATTCTCAGTTGCCAGTTCCGAACAGTCATTGCATGGTTTTTGCTGTTCCATATGCCAATTATGTACTACATGAAAGAGAAAAGTTGAATTACATTTACCATCAGTTATCTTTTAAATCCTATTCGTTCCAATAGAATAAAGGAGAATCACTGCGAGGTTCAAAGGTCAAAACAATTCGAAACAGAAGGATCAGCATATTAGTTTTGAGGATCATAACTTCTCTACTCCAAAGCAGTGATGCGGGAAAGGAGTGCAGTACAACCTTCTGCTGAAAAATCTCAGTCTTTGTTTCATTTAGAACTACCCTTCACCTTGTAAAATTCTACAAAAATTCGATGAAATTATGCAAACTTAAAAAATATTTCTTGATCACATCTTTATTCTGAAGCGAAATTGTTTCATAACTATTTCACTCACAAAGTACTTTTCAGCTTTTTCATCTTACCAATTGTAAACAGGAATTACAAATTTATGGTATTTCAGAGAATTTAGGAGAAACAAAAAATCTTTTTTCAAAAACAAATCTAAACAAATTCCTAAATCAATCTTCTGATAAATCATTAGCGATAACTGTTGATATTTACTCTAATCCCTTCTTTTTCACAAAAAAAAAAGTAAAACAATAATTTATAGAATCCAGTCACTGGAATATTCGAATTTTTGAATATCAACAAGCAGTATGGAATTACTAACTTCATTTGGCTGTAAGAATATCTAAGTAAGTAGAATTAAGTAGAACACAAAAAAAAAAAAGATTAGCTTAGTGCCTTATCAACTGGGTAAAACTTTACTATGATTTTCACATGATAAATTAATTGTGGTAGTTTTTCTCGTGATGACTCACTGATCTAGTGTTCCATTCACTGCTTCTAACAGCACTGATGTGTTCAATGTCGCATTGTTTTTTGAAAATCAGCTATCAATTTCACCATCTCTTAAGCTCATAAATCTACGCAGAGAAGGAAGCCATGGTTGAAGCTAGTAAAACAGATGATAAAAGTTTTTTAGACTGCTCAATATTTCTGGAAGGATTTTTTTCATAAATTTCTGATCTGTATTTATTAGGAGGAAAAAGGGAAGAAGAAAAAGATGGAAAGGGTTGGAAGTAGGTAATTTCAACAGAAGATGCCTTATTGAAGTACTACTGAATGGTTCACTGGATAATTTCAACCCATGTTTTTTTTTTTCTATCATCATCTGAATTAATTCAAATGAAGTTTTGTCCTGAAATGAAATTGTTACATAAATTGTTTCTTGCAATATTTTAATAAAACATTTAACGTTAAATCTATTTTTTTAAACAGAAAGAAAGATTTGGGAGGTTGAGAAGATTTTGAGATTTCTCTTTGAAAAGGATCGCATCATCTAAAATTATGCCAGCATTTTCGTTTCTTTTCTTGTTTATTACTGGAACAGGATTAATCAGTCCCATCATCTTATTTCTCATTAAATGCCAAAATAATTTGTGATTATTTCAAGGAAGATTTTTGATTCGTTTGGATGTCGAAAGTTAATCAAATCTTGCAGTCTTTTTTCTAATTACCCATCTTTTTCTATTGCTGATTGCTGATTGCCAAATCACCATTTAGCTGAAGTCTCCTGATTTCTTCAGACTTTTAACTTGCAACCGTAAACACTTATTCCTTTAGTAAAGTACACATTAGATAAATTTCATTCTTTACTTCACCTACTTGTTCACATGTCGCGCATTGAATTGAATCAAATTAAACTGAATTAATTTAATTGGATCCTTCCAATTTTTATTCCCTTCCTTTATTTCTTTTAAGGTATTTTCTGATATTAATAAGCGATTTCTCAAAATTCTGTATTTATTGATTGCAATAACTTTCTGAGTTTACATAGCAACAAATTAGTAAATGAGTGATTAATTGATTCAATTAAATTGTGTACGAAATATTATTGCCATTGTATTGTAATAATTAAAGATGAGACAGAAGAAGAAGAATTCTAAGATTATCTTACGTTTGCAAGGAAGATTTGGCGAATTTAATTGTGCATTTATTTTACATTTAAAGGCTACTTAATTGTGGATTAAAACTGATTCAAGCTTTTGAAATTCGCGAAATTTATGAATTTTAAAAAAATTAAGTTTACAAGTTAATTACCGATTAACTCACTTATCGTTTTATTATCACTGTGTATTTTCGGCCAACTATTACTTCCGTATTTATAATAATTTTATACTAGATAATTTTATACTTTTATACTCGTACATCAGAAATACACGTTTCCTGCTCCAGATTACAAACTGATTAGATTGATAAGTTATCGATTCGTTTTTAAGCATTTAAATTGTCGTTGTCACTTAAAATTTACTTTCAAGCTGTACACATTTAGCTCCGTCTTTTTTTATTTCCAATTTCCCCTCAGGAGATTGTTGCTTTTAGATAAAATATTACTTTTTAGAATGATACCAGAAATATAACATTTTCTGTCATTTGTCAAGTGCATTCCATTATATGTCTAGAAACTATAGCACTTCCTCATTTCCCATTCTTCCTTCCCTTTTTTTGTTGGCGGAGAATGACTGGAAAGAGTGTTAATGCCTGCTGTTACAACGATGTTAGTCTATCATATTGTTAGTTCTCGTAATTTTCCGCTAAATAAATGATCGCTAGGTCGGTCGATCAGCAAAACTATTTGGTCATTGAATGCCAGCTAACTTTCATCATTTTAATCAATCCATGAATGCAATAATCATTCTGTTTCTTCAAGATAGTCTCAGGAATATCTTGCTATAGTTTTCCTAAGAAGAATTTGAAATTAGTGAGAATGAATTCAAAAGTAGTGGTGACAACTACATGTAATTATAATTCGGACACTTCTATCAAGAGCAATTTACTACCGATAAATTTAACCTTTGAGATCTTGTCATTTTGAAGTACCAACTATGAATGATATCTGTAATATGAATAAAGAGAAAAGGATGATGGATTTTGTTGAAAGTTGATAATTTAGGTAATTAAGAGGAAGGTCGTAGCTGTACTGTTTGATAAATTGTGAAGTATCAATGTTTTATATATGTTTTCATTTTGATCGATATCATTTTTTGTGATTTTGCACTTTTGAATAACCAAATTCATTCTTGCAAAATGCTCATTTAACAAGAGGTAAAACGTCAAGACAAAATTATCATAATCGAAAATTTCTTTACCGTTTTGCCATTATACGTCATTTGAGATTACATCATGCAATAACTTCAAAAAATTCTCGCAGTGCAATCATTCTCGTTGTTGCTGCTGTGTCCAAATGTCAATGAATCCCTCAAAACACGCTGAACACTGTCCAATCGTAAGCGCTGGCTACGCCGAGGAAAAGTTAGCTTTCAGAAACGAAATTTTCAATAGATGATAGACGTAGGGGAGAAGAAACAGCATTGCAAGTTACGATCGCATTTCAATAACACAAATATTGCAAATGATTTTAGTGACAACATAGGAATGAGATGAAAAGAGAAAAAAAGAAAAGAGATTTGCCGAAATGTCTTTTAAATTAGTTAAAAAAGTTGTTTCTTGAAGATATGAAATGGACGTAACACACTTTCAGAGGATAGATCTCTCGGAGTAGACTGAGAGATATGTTATGCATTGATTTATAGCAATTCAATACTCGAATCATTTCACTTTTACCAAATGATGCCGTCACACCAATCACATAATTATTCCTGTCTTCATGAGCTTTAATTTTTTTTTTTTCATTTTTGCTGAATTCCATTCTAACACTTTCAATAACCGTTTCAGTAAAGTCTTGGTTGCTACTTTTTGAATGAATACTAAAGCTTTTCTTTCCATGTTTTACTTCCTTTTCTTAAAAGTTTACTTATTAATGAAACATTTATTAGGTTCACTTGAACTGTTTCTTTATTACAATTCTTTTTACAAAATTTTCTGACCATACGGTTAGAGAAGCAATGTAAAGTTATCAATTGATTGGACAAGGTATGCTATGACGGACATTTACATACCTGGTTGTAGTCGAACCAAATTGTTATATTTTTAAAATCAATTGGTCCCCTTCAACCAGCTATGTTTCTCCTCCTGTAAACATCTAGTTAAGAACAGTTAGCATTCAGTGACACAAAATAGAAAATTCGGAATCATCAACATTTTCACTTGATAAAGCCAGATGTTCTAAACTACTAAGAACGGAAGTACCATCTTTGCCATCATGACGTTATAAAACAAATTATTATCGGTGTTTCTGTGATAACACTGCAAGTGATCACTTACCTAACGCATGTTCACAGGGCCTTTAAAATGTTTTTTAATTATCAACGATTAGGTGTGTTATAGATATATTCGAAAGGTAAAAGTCATAGAAGAAGCAAACAATGGAACAGATCTTTTTAAGGTACTCTGAAAATAAATGAAATATTTAATTATATGTCTCTTCTGAAATTTGCTTTTCAATTTTAATTTTCGAAAGAGAGCCAAAAAAGAAATGGAAAGTGCGATGAAAATCAAATATCGATTTCACATAGTCGTTTCAAAACTTTTGAACTCCTTATCCATTTTTTAAAGTACTTTTTTGTGTAATCGAAATAAAACTTACTAACAAATTATTTCCCACCGAATTTGTTCTAACTGTGGTTTTCTGAACATATTGAAAACCATTGGATATCTCTCATTTCCTCTTCATTTTTCTTTATTTCACCATGGGAAATGAGAAAGTTAATTTAGTATTATAAATTACAAAAACTTTGTCAACTACACTGCAAGAAATGTCATCAAATTTTCTCGAAAGTCTTTTCCTCAATTGAAGTTGTTTCAAAAGTAAGTCACTTTTTAACGTATTTAAGCAATAGCAATGTTCAAATAAAACGTCAGTGTAAGCATCGTTGTCCAGTTAAAAGTCAGCCAAATTACTGCAGATGCTTCGTATTTTGATTGAGGTGCCTCTTCACACTTGGCTTATTTCTGTTCCAGACTAGCAAAAATCCGCTTCTTCTCTAATCAAAAAAGTGTTCTTTGTCAAAATTTTTCACTATAAGTAAAAATTTCTTTTAGGAAGCTATAAAGTCTCCTAGGCACATTTTGTTTTTTGTCTCCACTTGACCTGTCACTGCTATTGATTCTCATCACATACTGTCGTTTATTGGCCTTGGGACAATAACGCTTCCTCACTAAACTTCAGTTTACTGGAAGTATTTCACGCTAAAAATTAATGAGACACAATGATATTCGTGGTAAAAAGTATGATTTGATTATTTGATGCTGTTTACTGGTAACAAAATCTGTGAAGTACGACTAAGAAAAAGAAAAACACGTGAACCAGCGGTATGAACGTGTACTGTACGTAATACTGGAACATTTATTTTTGCTGCAAGTACTTTTCGGTTTACTATGCAATCTTACAAGAAAAAGTTTCATTTCACATTAGTAAAAAAAATTTTTCACTTTTTTGAAATTTATTGAGGAAAAAAAGATGTCGGGAAAAGATCGATCCACTGCATTTTAGCAAGAAAACCATTTTAGTTTTATTTTCTGGAAGAAAAAATGAGTAAGCATCTAAGCTGCATTTATTCCTTTTGAAACAATTTACTTACTCTTCTCTTTATTACTTTTCATGTGAAAGGCCTTTCAAATTATTTTTTTCTGTAGTTACTGTTTTTTACGTCTCAATCTTCTCCTTCTACCCACTTCAACTTGAAGGATTAAATAAAAAGAAGTTTTAATGAGAGAAGAAATGAAATGAAAGAAAGAGGAAAATTAAATGTAGTTAAATTCAATAAAGAGCTGCTCGTCTACAATATATATCAACCTGCTTTCGTCAATAAAGTTTGATGCTCGAAAAAGCCTATTAGATTTAGCCAATTGTTTTTAAGACATTACTAAATTTTAAATATGAAGTGATGCGACGCATTTCGACTTCACAGCTTTTTCTCATTGTGCTATCAATATTGTATCATTTAAGAAAAAAATTAATTTGAAAGGGATATGCCCAAGATTTCTGCTGAAATTTATTCATAATCGACAGGATTCAAAATTGCAGTAATTTTCCTAGAAAGAACTGGTGATTAAAATAGGTGGATGAAAATGTTTTTCCAATAAAACTTTTCAAATTGCAAAGAATTTTATAAGAAATTCATATTATTCGTCAATATTGTTGTTAATAATATCCCAGAACTTTAAAATCAAAAGAAATATCTTTCTTGTCATTGTAGCGATACATAATACTCCCATCGAATCTTTCTATTTAGCAAAAATTACAGATGCAATGGTTTAATTTGATTTAATTCTAATAAAAAACTAATTCACTTCTTAACTTAGTGACTAGATGAAATTATTTGAGTAGTTGCGATTTCAAATTAGTAATCCAATAAGCTAAAGCTGTTAATGGATAGCAAAAACAAGCCATAATAACGCGGAAGTGACGCTGGCAAATTGGAAGGATGACATTAAAATTAATTGTAATTCATTTCTAATTCTCTTAATTCTTCCAGACTCAATCACTCAGCAATAATTATTGTTTAATTATACTTAGAATTATATATAACTCAGCCAGAGACAAACTTTGCTTGTGGGAGACACAAGTTCCAACAGCCATCCATAACTAATTTAGTTCAGCTGTCACAAACCAGAAGAAGCGGTCTTCAAACTATGGATTCTTTCCGGGCAGTTTTCAACACCCTAACAATATATCGCTACCTTACCTTGTTCCCTTCTACCTCATTTCCCAAGTTATTTTCAAATTCTGATCTAAATCTAATGATAATATTCTGATATGTTATCATAAATATCACCACATTACTTTTAGTGGTGTGTACTTTTTTTCACATTTATCACTCATTAATCACAGTTACACTGATTATAGAAACTTTTCATCTCCCATGGAAGCAGATATCAAACATTGATAATATCACCAAATATATCAAACAAAGAGAATATACAAAAAAACACTGTACAATCACAGCTGCATAAGTGAGATTTTGAGATTTTAATTTTAAGAAAGTGAGGAGAAGTGGTAAACACGATGACAATTTTTTTCAGAACAATTTTTTTTTTACTAGAAAAGTAAATTGTTGGTAATTAACACCCATCTCTCCCTGTATTTATTAATGAAATGTTTAATGGCAAATAGGCATCAAAAAAAAAGGAAAATCGAAAAAAAGAAGAGTTGAAATCGAGAAAAGACTATATAAATTAATACAAAAATAGAATGGAACAAAATGACTAGAATGCACTGTTTTTTGAGGTAATTTAGAGAGAAACAACAATTTATTTCTAGTGATACTAACAGAGAATAGAACCGCAGCGGAATATCACAAATACAAAATTTCTAATACTTGGAAACTACTACACTGCTTTCATTGGATTATATTATCCAGAACATTTCCGCCAAACTACACAGTGAATCCTCCTAAAATCAGAAATTAACACTGACAATTACAGCGTTGTTTAGTGAGCACATATACATCATCATCGAAATATCGCTTCCCACCATAGTTTCCTACTGTATGCGGTTCATCAGAACCATATTTAACAAATTCCATTCTTCTTTTCTGCCAGTCGGCGTCACCAAGGAACTCGTATTGGCCATCTTCTGAGAATACAGCTGGTGTATGCATATTTGTCCCGGAAAACAGTATGGTACCATGATCAACGTCTTTAACCCGCATCCACATAAACCTAAAATTTCCTTAGATATCTGGGAAATTCTGTGTATTCAGGGTGAATAATTTCAAAAATCAGAATAACCAAGTTCTTTTTCCAGAGCAAACCTATACATAATTTAAAATATTTAAACTATTGAAAATTGATGGCATTTACTTGAATCCGTTACTGTTTGGTGAACCATTGTAAATCAGCAATCGGAAACCCCGATTTAGAACTTTAACCGCATTACCAAAAATAAATACAGCTTTCATCCCGCCATTTTCTTCCCAGGCTCGCCCCCAAATAGCAGGAACACCACCTCCTGGAATCCTGAAAATAAAATCTTTCAAGTCTCGTAAATTCAGAATAACGACTTCACTTACCTCTGGTCATAATGAGGGGAATACAGCGATTATAGTGGAGGTTTTTGAAGAAGATGAAACGATTGGCTCATTTTCAAGTTTTAAAAAATACCACAGGGCAACAGCTACATCTATCGTCATTGTGCCATCTCGAAGTGACCTTTCAAAAGGTCGAATTGCTTCCTTTGGCATTGGAATTGAACCGTTGACAAATAAAAATGATTGAGGTGGAACTGAATGGCTCTGCTGAAATGATAACACAATAAATCTCTTACATTAGTAATAATTAATAATTAATAATAATAATAATAATAATAATAATAATAATGTCTTATAGCATTTTTCGATAGTTTTCATCCTTAAGAAATTGAAAATGATTGCTTCCCAGAGTACTACGCAGATTACTTGTGTACAGATTCTCAAAATATCCAACAATAAAGGTTTATCACTCCTTAAATTATAAAAGCTTCAGGTTTCCACGTCCTTAGCAGTGGACTTTTCTGGTTTGACATTCACTGCTAGTTTAGTTAAGATTCAATCTGAATAACAATTCAGAGAGATAAAGACTTATTCACCATTAATTTTTATTGATGATCCTCTACGAAATTCTATACATGCTTTTCAGATTTCTTTACAGAAAGTATGCGGAGACACTCTGTTCAAAATATGGAGTATTCAATTAGTCTGAATTCTGAAGATGAATCTATGAAACCGTTTCTACGGAAATTTATATGAAATTTTAAATAAAGGCTTTTTATTAATTATTATTATTAATCAAAAATATTTCATGAATTGTTTTTGGTTAATTTTTAATTAAGCACATCAACAGACCTTTAATATTCAACACCAATAAGCAAGCAACAGGAAATTTATTTTCTTTTATAAGTGGATTTTAAGCAAAAACGATTTTAGATGAAAGGGTCATTTTCTCGCCGTAGTGGTCAGTCTTTCAAAAAAACAAAAATTCGAAAAAATCCATCATTTTCATTGCTAATTGTTATGATAAACTAACATAAATAGCAGCCCGTTCGGTACGAACAAAATTGAGTAGCTGCTGATCACCGCTGCAAACTGTGGTCAAGGCCAAAAAAATGAACTCTTGAAAGTGTATGATCATCTCCAGTAAACAGTACACATTGCAAAATAGTCTCTGATTGTTTCTCTTTAGCTCTTCTTTCCAATTTCAGTATTTCAGTCGATTTAGAAAAATGCCTTAAACATTTATAGGATATCATCCAGAAAAATCAGTAGAAATGATTTCATGACGTTTCAAAACAAACGATGTAAAATCCTTAGTTGTCCCAGTTCCACGTCTCGAACCAAAACAAACATAATCACCTGACCATGCATGGGGCTAATATTCAGTCACTGTCTCAGGACAATTTTTAAACAAAAGATTACCATACTAGCGAATCAATGTTAACGAAATTTATTTCGAATATTAAATAACTGACGGATATGCTACAAACTATTGTCAGAGTATCCAGCTGCTTCTAGGAATACATTTTAATGGCTATATGGATCCACACAGAATATTATACAGTTATTTAAATTTTTCACCGCTCAACAAGATTTTTTCCAGTATGATACAATTCGAGCACAACGAGCATAATGTTCTGAAATTAAAATTACTGCTGTCTTTAAAGAACAACATCTGGCGCCAAATTTGATGTCGCTCGAACTGCTTGGATAAAACATAAAAAATTAACGTCTAAATTAGTACAAATGGATAAGTTATAAAAACATAAATGAATAATTGCTATGTACATAATAGTATGTGTAGAAAAATAAAATTTTTCTTAAATGCTTTAATTGCTGCTTAATGTGTTGCAAACTATCATAAATGATGGTTACCAATTTCTCCAAGAAATTCATATGATTCTAATCGGATCTGAAATCAGCCTAATTTCAATGCTAACTGAGATTTAAAGTGTGGAAATGATACTGAAAATGAAAGAAAGGAAGAAAAAGGCAGAAATATTAATCATGAAATATCCTAAGCACTTCTCACTTTGAATTATTTTTCCAATTCAAATATTATCTTACTTTGTTCCATAAAGTATGTGTAAACGATAATTATTTTTATAGACTGTTTTTCTGGAATTTTCCACCGCTTTTTTTATTTTATACATAATTTATTAAGCTAGTTGTCAATCACTTTAATAGTCCAAAAGAATGCAATATGTTGTATCGATTGTATTGTGATACTGGAAGGTTTGCTAGTAGTCGCGGCCAACGTGTATGGCGAATTTTTAAATGAAATGGAAAAAGGATGGATACATTTATATGACGGATATAATAATACTTTTTTCTCCGTGTAATTATGAGAAGTAATACGTTAGAAAGTAATAACAAGTGAAACGGAATTGATATGAATGTAAATCAGGAAAGACACTAAGTTATGATTTTGCTATGTTGTTTGTTAAATTTATAACCTATGAATTTAGTACAACGGATACAATAATAATATTTTTTTTTTTCGACAAACACTATTTGATCATTTAGCAAATGCGATGGATAATTTGATCATGCTGGCCACGATTCGGATCTTGGACCATCCAGCCTAATTTACTTCCTTATATAAGCTTGATCAGGTAATTTCTTGCTTAATGAAATGAAGCCTCACTCAATTATTCATAATGGGATAATTCGTTTTTATCACTACTGAATTATGATGGAGAATCTGAGTTGAATCTCACACTATAAAAGCAAAGAAAACAGGTGGGCAAAAATTTCTTGAGACCAGTTAAGATGGAAAAAAGAATTCTGTAAATTGAAAATGATTTTTGTTTTAAAGCGAAAAAATGAATCTATTAATGCTATCAGGGATGAAAAAGAAACTTATAACTCGTTTTGAGCAAAACAATTGACACAGCTTATGTCATTTCATGTCAAAAGTTCTTCACGGAGTTACGTCAAAAACAAAACTAAACTTTACTGAAAAGAAAAATTTCATGTGATGAAGCATGCAAGGTTCATGATAAGTTATGCAGTACTCTATTTGTACCTTCTCAAATTGGTTGCAACCCTTCCGGATTTTCTCTGTGTTAGAGTATACATTTAAGAGAATAATAACAGTGCTATAGAGATTAATGGTTATAATTGAACCCTGGACACCGATCAAAGCTCACTGATTAACAAGTAATGATTCGGAATAGTTGGATCAAAAATGGCGATAGAAACCCAGCGACTGCGTTCATTGAAAGCCTACCGAAAGATGATGGATGGCTCGAGTAAAGTGACCTGCAGGGTACTGACCAGTAGTAGCGTGAGATTATCTCCGGGGATACGCTGCTTATGGTATTCTATATGAAATGATGGCCAGAAGTAGTCAAGCAGTACTGATCAATGGAATATTAATGTAACAATAATAGAAAGCTAGAGAAGAGAAAGGTAACGCACTAAATCATGAACAGTGGAGTGGATAGTGGTGAGGCGCAATTCGTTCAAGAAGTGAGCTGAATAGGAATCGAAGGGAGTGACATTTTGGAGATTTGCAATGACTAGAAAGCCAGGTGATACATCCATCTCTCACACAGTACATCTCAGTAGCGTAGTCAGTAAGGAAAAGCAAGGAGTTGATTCGTCATTGTTTCCTATTGTCGTCCTTACAACAAACATTTAGGAAATCATTCTCGTCAACAACGACCTTCACTGTACACACACAATTCAACATATACACCACACACTGTCTGGCGCAACTGGTGCAGTCTGTCGCGCGATGTAATGCTTGTACAAAGATGACTGGTCGCCAGGTAGGGGAGAGCTGAGTCATTTGTCATTTTGTTGGAGACATGGAGTGGGTGGTAATGCTGGGGTGCGTGTGATATTACACTGATTTCAATTTATATGAACTCACAGATTCTCATTGTTTCACTGGTGGTGGACATGGGTGACAGATCGGGATAAACTCTCATTACGTTGAACTGAAAGTAAGTATGAAAAGTTTCGATAAAATGCACATTATCTTGCACTTATAATGCGAAATTCCTGCGTTTGAATTCGAATTACAAATGCAGTAAAATAATTTCTCACTCAAAAATTTCGAAAAATTGGGTTGCATAATGGTTTATTCCATGTTTTCTTTTTTAAAAATTTTAAAAATATTTGGAGTTGTAAAGCCGAGAGAAGTCAAATGCTATCGAACTGTACTTCCGTTCTGTTAAAATCCCGTCAAATTCGGCAAGAATTAAAATGCTGTTGGCAACTACAATCTTTCAATTAACAAACAGGTAATTTGAATCGAAAAATGGCTGCATCTTTTACAGGCTGTGGTCTATCCATACATTTCCATTGTTTAATCTGTTGTTATAAGCAATACAAAACAAGCAAGCGTTTACACGACAAATATGTCTTGAGATTGATCACCAAGTTTAAATTTTAGCCAAAAATTTTAAGGATGATATGGTCAATTAAATTCGTTAATCGTAAAGCAAAGGCTAGATTTAGAAATGAGGGTGCAGATGAGTTTACTTGTGAAACAAATGAGTCTGAGGCCATGATAAGGGGAAGCATACTGATAAATCCTGAACGCATCTCCATCCACTCATTTTAATGTGATAATGGTATGCATGAATTAAGCTAACGAAACCGTTTGCCGTTTCTATGGTCACTGTATCCTTACTTTGTTGGACTTTATTTCCTAAAGTATTTCAGAAACATTAAAACATACTAACATAAAAATATATATTTCAAAAACCAAGTGGAAAATATATTTTTTCCAGTTGTTTCATTATTATAAACTGATGTAGTGTCAAGGCAACCGAAAACTTACATCCGCGACATCCCACCATAAAAAGTCCTGCGGAAGATTCCAATGCCATATAAATTGATCGCTAACACTTCCTACGCTTGAAATTAGCCAAGACTCATGCTTTTTTGTGCATCTTTTCATAGCACAAATTACTGGATAAATTTTATTCAGCTCTTGAACTTCCAAATTCCTCAAATTCTTAAAAATCTCATTCTCGATGATGGAACATGAACAACACACTTTCTTCCATCTAACATCGCATTTTCGCTACTACTGGGAATTCCCATCCATAGCAGATCGCTGACAAAATCATAAAAACTTCCGACTCTTCCCTTTGCACACTGGCAAACAGAAACATAGGCTGACATGTCAACAAGAATACATTTTATATGTCTTGTGGTAATACTAACATGATTCTGCTTGAAAATCAAAAAGTGTTTTTGCAAATTGAACAACAATTTTTTATTCGTGTTATTCATGCAATATGAAAAGAAAATAATACCAAATATTATTTTAGAAAGAAGGGAATTGAACAACGATTCTTGAATATCTTTTTTGCTCGCAATGACGGTTGAAATCTAAAAGAAAAACAATTTTGTCCTAATAATTTTTCGATGAAAATTTTTTTGTACGATAAAATTTGAGAAATTTATCTGGGAATAAAACGCGAGGAATTTGAAACAATTACCAAAATAGCAAATTTTTATAAATCTACCTGAACGCATTCCCGAACAAAAGATATATTTTGCCTTCCAGTGCAAATTGAAATATAGTATCTTGCTTTGGAATAGCTAAAAACATAATAATTAAACAAAAAAGTGAAGGAAAGAACTTCGAAAACTCATTTACCTTCTAAAAAACATCCAATAAAATATCATGAAAAGAAGAGACAGAGTATAAATCATGGAAAAGAAAAAATAAAATTGTGTAAGAACCGATCTGTTTAAACGAACTTAGCAAGTGTAAGAACCGATCTGTTTAAACGAACTTAGCAAGCGGTCTTGTTTTGTGATCAGCATGAAGGTTTGCCTAGTTTCACGAATCACAATGCCACAAAGACCGACCTAGAATGGACCAATAAAAATTTCTTGTTGTTTTATTAGAAGTTAAGAATACAGCGAGCAATTTTAAAATTTCACGTAAAGACGCTTAAATTCTCGTTGACAAAAGTACCTGAGCTGGATTAGCAGCCTCGACAATCATCAGCAGACATCCATGATAATCGGCTTTCAACATTCGAGCATCCAACTGACCATTGGATCCATTAATTAGGGTACTGAAATAGTCACACCACAATTCATAGAGCGGTTCGAATTGCGAATATCTGAATCGAACAGTTATGAGTTATGAATAAAACAGAATTTATACTTCGATGCTATTAAAAAACTCAAATCTCAACCTAGGGTGCAACTATTGTAATTCCAGTTTTTACTGCCAGCCGCACCATCTTCCTATTATGAACAATAGTATACTAATCATTTCAGCAGCCATTGTACTTCATCAAAAACTAAACTATCATGTACCACCTTTAAATTAAATCAGATCCAACAGAAGTGCTCTGTGTGCACTCGAGAAACACAAAGAATTTAAGGTAATACTTCAAGCTCTCCATATCACTTCTGACAGTTCTTCTTTTTATAAAACTCTCTATCGGCTGCCGATGGATTTTGATCTTCTTCTTAATCCGTTTTTCCAAAATGAAAATTTTATGCGGGTTCAGTGGTTCAAACAAAGTACAAACTTCGACATTCATTTCCCGAACTTAGAACGAATATCCAACACCAGCAAAACCATAAAACAAATTAACAAATATACCTAGAATTTAGTAGCACACTTCAACATATTTTTGGAATTTCAAGACTTCAAAACACAGCGACACTTATGAGTTATAAATCCACAGATTCCAATATTAAGTGGAATATTACAATGGAATTTTGATCCACTTTTGTTACTTCCAGATCATCGTTAAAAAAATTCGCAAATATGAAATAGAAAAACTCAAAATTTAGAAAATAATAAATACGAATAAGTGAACCAAACATGACCGTTCAACATATATGGATGCAAGTATAATAACTGAAAAAAGTAACAAATTTTTAATCAAATTTTATTTTCCACTTTACATTGCAGAAAAAACATGATACTGACTGCAAATATAAATAGAAACTAATGTGAAATAATAAACGAGCTAATAACTATCATTCTTTCTAACATTAAATATTCAAAAAAATTCCAGACAGTTAAAAACACCAAAGAGAAAAAACATAGAATCCCCTTTCTGACAGAACTGTTAACAAATATCACATTTTTTTTAACCTGTCTTCAAATCCATATCAGCAATTAAAATAACAATGTCATCTTCAAATTTCGCTATAGAAAAAAAAGTGGGAACAACTGAATGAGAGCAAAAAAGTTCACTTCTTCATTGAAAATTTATTCCTGACTTCTATAAAGACATGCAGCACCCTCAAAAGTTCTAAATTCCACAATTCTTAAAAAATAAAATAAAACTAAATTCAACGCAAATAAGGCGGTTTAAAACCAAAAAATTGAAAGTAAATTAAAATAGTGTCCCTATGAACATATGCATATGCTTACAAATAAATTATATCATAAATAACAATACAAAGATATGAAACAAAAAACCTTCACCACAAAAATACTCCAAAAGACTAGAATAAGAAATATAATTTATAAAACTTCAAATAACTGGCCGACTACGTTTACGAGCTATTGCTTCTTCAACACATTTCAATTGACGCAGCAACTCAGCACGCCTTTCCTCTTTTTCTGCTTCATTATCCACGTAATCATCATCTGAAATAAACATAAAATGAGAAACAGAATTATCATAATTTCTAGACAGTATATAAAGTTTAGAGAAGAGTAACACACCATCGACCCTTGACTCGTGACACTCCGCAACTGCTTTTCTTGAAACTGGTCGTGAATTTCCAGCCAGTACTTTCTTTGAATGGTGTACAACTAGTTCATGCACAGATGTATCGGAGAGAATCTGAAGTAACGCTTTCAAAGCTCAAACAAATTCCGCAAAAGGAAGGAATGATAAAGTTAAGCAGCCGTTAAGATGGCTCTTAATGCAGTCTCATTTGCGGTAATTTTCCACTGAATCTAATACGACAAATGTATTCTTCGATCACCTTAACATTGAATTTCATTATAACAGATTAGTTTTGCATATTTTATGTGCAGGTACGAAAATGTTGAAATTATTACAAAGTAAAAGTCACCTCTTCCTCATCGCTAGAAACATCTTCTGCTGCAGCTTCAGGAGATAGCGGTATTCCTTCAGTGGGCAAACCATCATCGATTTTTTTTTTCAGACGATAAGCTGCAGGCTCTGCATCATCACTACTGCTACTTGAGCTCCTTAAATTCCTACCACATAAAATTTTTTTAACATTCATTTATAATATACTTTGAAAAAAAAAAAAAAAAAAAACTGTTCAAACGATTCACCAACAAAAGAAAATATAAAATGGTTTTTTATTTAACCACCTTCCTGTAAACAGCTGTTATCAAGTCATACTTTCGTTACAGTTATGATTACTCATCTTCGGTAATGCCAAAGCTGTCCAATACTGTATAACATTTAGTTGGAAACCATTTTTTAGTTGAAACATTCACGTTATTCAGTAAATGGTTCATTATTCACAGATATACAACAAACTTTATGGTATCTGTAACACTTCTGGCATATACGTATCAAGTTTTCAAATTTAAGAACGAAAGAAGCTAAACATCATTTAGCCAGCGATACGGACTAACCCAGAAGTGCTCGATGAACTTTCATCACTTGAAATATCGTCTTTTCCTGCGAACAGAACATTGCGTTTATAAGCTCTATTGGTACGACCAGTAATTCCTTCCACTCTTTTTATCCCTCGCTGCGCAATTCCAGAGCGAAGCAACGGACATAAAGAGGGTCTGAACTTACTGCTAGATGATAAGCAGCAAATAACAAATTAATTAACAAGGAACCACTAAAGATACTCAGTTTGTAATAAGTTAAATTCCATTGAATAATAATTTAACCTTTTGAGAAGGCTGGAAGATGAATACCCCTTGTTTTGATTGGTGGACCGCTCAAACGAATGCATATATCCACGAATAGCAGGTGTACTAGAACGATGCACTGGGTGCGCTGGAGAAGACCTGTAAAAGAATAAACTATCCTTAGCCACCTTAACCACTTTATATTTGACATATGACTTTCTTGCAGTCAGTTTTCAGTTTTAATCCATTTTATTTCACTTAATATAATCGTAAAATTGATACTATTTGCAGTCTTTTCTAACCCAGCACAAACTGACAATAAAGTACGAAAGTTTGGATAAAACCTCTTCTTTTTTGGAATGCGGAAAGAAGAAAGATCTGTTGCTCTTAAAGACCCATCATCGTCAATTAGATTTCTGGAAGCAACAGCTGATCCCAATGAGGGACGAAACGTTGACTGATGACGGTTTCTTGAGGATGGTCGTGAATGTGATCGAGAACGAGAAGTTACTGATGAACCTGCACTTGCACTTCTAAAACCCAGAAGAGTACACTTAAAGAATTCCAAGACTCCCTTTTGGCAATATGTAGAGATTTTAAACAAATTTGAAGATGAAACAGGAAGCATACGAAAAAATGCCAGAAGCATATCATTTCATTTTATAGTATTTAACATTGAAAATAAATCTCGTTCGTCACATTCTATTAGAAATTAAAGTTTCAAAAAACCTTCTTGAAGCACTGCTTGTTGAGCTAGCAGTGTCCTGACGACATGTTTGCTTTTTGTTATTACCGGTTCGCCTAGTTTTTTGAAGTTCTGCCCCAAGTGTTAAAGATATCAGTTCTCTATCCTTGCTTCGGCCTTTTTTATGTGATCTTTCCCACGGATCGCGAATCTGGTCACCAACTGAAATCTGAGAGTATTTCCAGTCGAATTTAAATCACGGCATTATATTATGAGTTCACTCACTTCCATGTTTGAATTGTATTTCATCTGATTTCGGAAATGTACAGCATTTAACATCTAACAAATTTACAAATTCTATATAATGCCATGCATAAAACTAAAACGGTAGAATGAAGGCAATCAACACATCAAAGAATTATATGCAACAAAAAAAGCTAACCAGAAAGAAGACCACCCACAGCACAAACACTGCTTCGTTTTCTATTCGCTTCTCGTCTATCTGCTAATAGTGGTGAACCGCGTCTTTTTCCTGCAGGAGAAAGCGAGCGACGTTGACTGGGTGAGTGAGAATTTCTTGGTGTTCGCGAAAGTGGTGAACGAGGGCTACAAGGTGGAGAATCACGCCGTGACACACGATAATGATCATTCGGAGAACTGGGAGAAACACAAGATAAAGTACAGCTATAAGGTAATGTTATTGTTAGCTCTATACAATACAGTAATATTCATTTAAAATATTTCTAAGGAAACTTTGCCCATTCTGGAAATTCAAAGCTATAAACTTACATTTCACGTCTCGGGGGAGGTCCGTGACGTCGAGAAGTAGGTCTTCCATTTGGGTACAGAACTTGTGGTCCAAGATCTAAACATTTTAAGCTTTAAGTTAAATTCCACTGAATAATAATTTAACCTTTTGAGAAGGCTGGAAGATGAATACCCCTTGTTTTGATTGCTGGACCGCTCAAATGAATGCATATATCCACGAATAGCAGGTGTACTAGAACGATGCACTGTAATCTAGAAAAGGCAAAGTAATGCAAAAAGCAACCTTTAGGAGGTAATCGAGAAGGTTCATCACGTCCGTAATCATATCCTGAAAAAAAAAAGAAAAAAAAACGCAACTTTGCCTTGTTTCCTGTGATTTATAATTGCGTAGATTGCTTTCCCTATATAAAAAAACCAGAACAAGACGTACTTCCTGAAAATCCAAAACGTCCTCCTTCGAGCATAGTATCTATTAAAGATGGAATTTTTCGAGGTTTTGTTAATTCATTTCTTTCGTAAATACCGCGATGTTCTAGCTCAAAATAACGATCATCTGAAAAAAGTGCATACCGATAAAGGAAATACAAAGGAAAGCTAAGAAATGAAAACAGGAGTTTATTCACTTGCATACTTGAAATAAAGCACTAAATTAATTGAAAAATAATCAAGAAAATATATGTAAATTAGGGTATTTATTACCACTGATATCGTCAGTTCTAACTGGGCTGTCATATTTCCTAAGCCTCGGATAAGGAACATCAACACGTGGACGTACAAAACCATTTAGTCCTCTTACAATGCCTCGAGACAACGGTGAGCGCGATGTTCGGTGACGTCCACTAAATCCACAAGAAAGAAATCAATACATTTAACTGAATGTTTTTTCCTGCATTCCACACAATTAGACCATACAAAACGTTCAAAAAAAAAAAAAAAAAAAAATCATAAATCAAAAAAATCATCATCATCAGGATCAAAAACTGACAATATTCGAAAACATAAAAATTTCAGCTTTATACATTTTACGGTGTCCACGAGAATCGTCCGATTCTTCATCCGTTGTTCGTGGCCGATCCATATCTCCACTAGGGGCAAGTACCAATCGTTTACGATCAAAATCAGGCTCTTCTTCGCGTTTTTTTGATGCTCTCATCATTAACTGAATAATACATATTTCAACCAAATAACGTTTTAAATATTTTCGAAAATTTCGAACAAAATATAAGCTGAAAGATGATAACCTACTTCACGCGCCTGACGTAATCCTTTCTCCCAAGGTGTTTCATTGCCGTTTGACCTCTCATTTTCGTTCGATGTTGAACTGGACGGATAAACAGTGAGTGCATTGGTGTCGGCTAAAGTAATGATAAAAATTCAAAAATCCATATCCCGCTTACTTAGAGATAAAGGACTGAAACATCACATATCTTCGGTTGAGTAACCTTAGACCAAAATTTCAAAATTATGTTCAACATCAAGAAAAATATTTATGACCCACATGATAATCTAAAGCTTAATGTAAAGCATACGTTTGTTGAATTCTTTACTTTTGGTTCTTCCTTTATCAGTAGTATTCATGCGCTCTGAGTAAGTACTTTCATTTGACGAACTTTGTACTGGTGCCGAACCATCAAGTCGTGACTAAATGCAACAACTATATTTAAAAGAAAAGATTATTCTACTCATTTGCGTGTTAACCTAAATAACTAAATATTTTTTTAGAGTCAGACAAGAAGTACTTTACGAGTTTAAAATATATTTAAGCTTAGGTATAAGTTATGTCAAATATGACAGCGAAGTTTTCTACGATATTCTCTTTGCAATGTTTCACTGATACAAATGTACTGAAATGATGGATGTTCTTTCGTAACACTGTTTGGTACCTCTTTCATATGCAGATATTTACAGTCTGGTCCCCATGTACATGTTCCACGAAGATAAAATTTGCAAATGCCAACCGGGGCTGAACTGTCGCGCCATAAACGATGTGGAGTACGTTCCAAAACTTTTCCACGGTTTTGACCAACCTAAAAATTTCACTCAAATGTAATTCAAACAGTAATATTTGTGTAATCAAAATAAAAAAAAAAAGGAATAACTAATTGTAGAGATTCAACAAGATAGCTACAGTATCCGTCATAGCAATGCCCATTACTCTATTTTATCTCGAAAAATTTTCACAAATGATTAGTTTTTTATCATTTCAAACCCTTCCCAAACATTTGATTTCGAAACTTCTTTAATAATCTCGAACAGCGGTAAGCTTTTATTAAATGAATTTAAAAATTAGGAGTTATAATATACAAGAAGCTGAACCTTCCATTGAAGAACATAATACTGAAAACAGTTTTGAAACTGAAGGATAATGCATGAAAAATAATATAAAACTTACCGACCTTCGAGTCGACTTTTCATTTGAATATATAGAACCCGTAACACTATCTTCATCAGATTTTAACTCGCCCTCTTCCAAGTCATCGATTTCTCCTTCCTCACTTAGCTCATCCTCCACTTCTTTTCCTGTACCAACTATAACTTTATGAGTGCTGCTTTCATCATAATCAAGTCCAACAGTACTTCGCTTTACAAAATCCCCGTCATACCTATTTCTTTCGCTATTACTTGACACTTCGTTTTTAATCGCAGTGACCTGAAAATTTATCATATAAATAAAGGCGAGGCAGTTTTTGAATATTTCCTAAAAATGAGCAATCAATGGATGAAACATATCAGAAAATACTTCAGACTGTTCTTCAATTCGTTCCAATTCTTCATCATAATCCAATTCAGCATCAACATCGGATTCCATTGCAAGATTACTGCCACTACTCCATAGTTCTCTTCCTGTATATGAATCTTTGTAAAGGGCTGACACAGTGCCATGACGAAAAGCGAAATTGAAAAATTCCAAAAATCTAACGAAAATTTGCACATCTTTAAACCCGTTTCTTAAATGCTTTTAAAGATTTCAACAAGTGAATAGCCCGACTTAACAAAATGCTAAGTACCATTGAGAGTGCTCTTTGCTCCATGTGTATTTTCATCGCTATTTTCCGAATTGCTCGAAATACCAACGCCATCCATGTTGAGTATCGCAGAAATAGTACGCTAAATAATTTAGCAACTTCAGTGATCACTGATAAAAACAGTAAATCTGAATGGGAAAAACACCAACTGCTTCAAAGATGCAACATGTATCGATAGTGAAACTTTACAAAAAGAAAATTTTAAATAGTCCCCTTGTGCATAAATATGCAAATATGTTGCAATAAGATAACAATATTAGGATGCACTTGGGAAAAGTAGTGACAAACTTTGGACTCTTTCATCCAGCTTATTTTTGTTTTTCAAGTTGCTCATGGTACTACTTACCTTGCCTTTGTTAGACTGTAATTAGCTATTTAGTAATTTTTTTTCTTAACGATAAATCTGATCTCACCTTCATGTACATTTCCTCTCATGCTCTCTCGCACCAATCCCACTCATCCACCAATTCAGTTGCCAAATGGTCTGCGGCACTCAAGGAATCCACATTAACTATATCAACTCATTGATTTACTATATCAGAACAACAACGATCTATCTTCATGAACAGTATTCAGGAGGAAAATAAGCTGGAAGTTATTTTAAATATCACTTAAATTTGTCAAGCTATAATTCCCAAGTACATCCAATCTTAACACAATGGGTATGATGGCCGGATGATGAGGAGGCATGGCGAGAGAAATACTGAGAGAGAAGTGTCCAAACATGACCCCTAAAACGTGAGCCTCAATGTCAAGCGGTGTCCAGAATAAGATCAACCTTCGCGCTGTGATAGAGCCGGTATCGGGATTTAAGCACCATAAAATAAATGGTCAATGTACTTACATGCATGTGATTGATTAGAAAGGATGTATTAATGTGAGATGTTATTACCGTCATGAAGAGCCTTGGCTAGGACGGGCACAACAGTGCGGAAATGAGGAGGAGAAGACTTGTCGGTAAAGGATAGAAGGAAGCAGGCTGGCAGGAATCGAGTATAAGTTGATAGTAAAGCCTAATAAATCATAATCATTCGAATTATCAGATCATAACCATACATCACCATCAATCAATGACAATCGGTCGATACCTCCCAGGAGGGTGGGTTATCACCGGAAGAAAAGCATGCGCAACACAGTTGCAGAACTGGTACGAATGAATTGTCGAGGTGTCGTCCAGCAACTTCAGAAAGAGGTGGATATGATGCGCTCCACTCATTCCTCCGAGACATACCGGAGGAGGTTCCGGAGAAATCAATAACAGATACAATTGGAAACCGCAACGTCCACATGTCATCCGCACCAACTCCTTGCACATACGACCACTGCCTGCTCACCCTGCCACTATCGATCACCCTTCACGCCCACATGCACCCTCACATCCTGTTCCTCTCTACATCTCCTACCTATGTCTACTGGTCATACACACACATACAGACGCAATTCGTGTACAGACACTCCTCCCACGTATTTTGGACATTCACGCCCACGCACACGAATAGCGCTGTGAACAAGCAATGTAAGGTTAAATGGTGAAGAGGAATTTACCATCCGGATTTTTGTAAGCAAAGAGCATCTCTCTCTCTCTCTCTCCCTGACAGAGCCTCTTCCGGCGTTTATTCCTTATTCCGCTTATTCTAGTTATCCACGGCTTTCACTCAGGTGACTTGTTTGCAGGACTTTGAACTTTAGGCTTTCAAAGATAGATTACCCAATCTTTGGTTCATTTAGAGAAGTGAGTCTTATTTGTCTCTTTTTCTTGCCGAGTTACTACAATTTCATTCCGGAAATAGTGAATATCCTTATCTACACTTTTTTACTAAGATGCTCCGGGAGTTACTGTTGGTAGTCTACAGATTTGTAGTAAAAATAGGCAAAAGTACTTCCGTTTCTTTACATGTCCTGTAGGCTTTTTATTTTAAATGGCTATTTCCAAATCTTTGTTTTTTGGAAATAGCCACTTTAAAAATCAGCCACAATGTCGTTAGAACTACCCAAAATAGGTCAGTATAGGCAGTTTCCCGTTTTCCTGAACACCACACTTCCAATGTCGAAGACTATCTAGAAAGTACTCCACTCATTAATATGATATAAGTTCCTTAATCTAAAAAGTGAATGGCTAAAAGCATGGTAATGAAATAATACGTAGAGGAAGCTAAAATCAGAGACAGGCGTGTTAGTGACATTACATTATGTGGGTGCTCTGGACGTTACGTGGGGAAACGCTAAAAAAAAACCTTCGGATGGATGCACGTGTCAACAAATTAAGATGTTGTCCACAATCATTCTTTAATAATATTATTCATAATGAAACTTTAATGAAATCACATTTCATAAGGCAGTTGGTTTTAATTTTTGACCTCAGTAAGTTATTTGGCAGTAAGGGCCGAGATTTCCAGTATCAGTTAACAGTGACAGCTCGTTCAGAAGAAGGTAAAACTCGACAGTCAGCAGGTAAAACTATGAATACTTTGAAACATTTCTTTTGGGAATGGAGATTCTTGAGAATTTTTTTTATGTTCCAGTAATGAGCAAAAAACAATTTTTATCAATAAGACGGTTGTTGTTAATCAGAGATGACGAAATTAATGCAAATTTACGTGTACCCTGTGAAGGTTACAATGCACTAAGGATATGTGCAGCCGTTAATATGGAGACGAAGATAGCTTTTTAAGATGGATTTCTTTAATGCTATAGTTTTCGACTAAAATTTTCCATCAATGCAACTCCTTTGATCTTAATTTTTTGGAGAAAGAGATGAACCTTCAACATAAAAGTAATTCTGTTATCCTTGGCTATGAGACCATGCATTCCACATCGGTCAATTTTTTCCTTCTTTGTAGTGACTATCGACAATTCACTCATCATCACCAACATTGACCGATGTTCTTCAAAATCAATTTCAAGTGTCGATTTTTCACTGATATCAGTATCGTTGAAGAAATAACTACTAAATAATTCAAATATTTGCATACTTTAAAATCAAAATCGCTGTAATTTTAACAGTTAAGAAAAATGTTATCCTTCATATATTAAAACTATAGTACCAAGAACTTAATGGTAAGGCAAAGACTTGGAAATGAAAACAAAATTATATTCAAAACTACTTCAGAAACCGAGAAAGATAAAAAATACGAGAAAAATACTTTTGAACTCGAAAATATTTGTGGTTGATCAATTCATTATCTCCTTATTTTTCGAAATCTTCAAAATTGAATCTCGATTCCTGTTTTCGAAAGCAAATTTTACTCTCAATTAAACTATCTTCTTAATGATTTTACACTGACATCTGTTAAGAACGAATACTGGAACAGAACTCGAAAAGGATTCTTCTCTTCAAACAAATTCGCTCCACACTTTACATGTCCATAGCCTCAGTTCCCTTCCTTCTACGTCAATTGACAATAACAGGTTCCAACTGAACAGTTTGTAAAGCCATGTAGTTAACTGCCTGCACATGACGATATCTGCCATAAGGGCTTATGACTTCCGCATTCTGACCTCCACACCTTCATTCCTACAAGCATTCACTTGCCCACTTGCAGCCCTCATTCCTTCCCGTACTATTTTTAAATTTACCATTCTCCTCTGTTGCTCTCTACTTTCACATTCCTCTTTTCTCTAGCTGTAGTGGAAGGTCACAGCAGGTTTTCCTATGTAGCCCAGGTTTGAGTGCAGGTGTTTTTCTCCTCTTTTTTTTCTCTCTTTTCCTCTCTCTTTTGGTTACGGTTAATTTAAGCGAATCATCCTGAAATCCGTCATTTCTATGAGTTTCTGCTTGCCATTGTTCTGCTGGCGTTTTCAGAAATTAGCGCTTCTGTGTTGTTCACTGTTGCTCACATTATTTATTTATTATAACCGCCATTTTCCATCTAACGTCTGGAATTTTTCTCGCTACCACCAACTGGTCCGTGACATCCCCGCTTGGAAAACTTTTCCAGTAGATGAGATAAATCTGAGGTTGCTTCGGGGTAATTCGGTCTTAGAAAAGCTTGAAACACAAATGCTCTCTCTGCAGCAGGAATTTACTCGTCTGAAAAAGAATTCGCATCCGATTAAGACATTACAAGAATTGAACGAAAAAAGATATTTCAATGTAAAATACCAAAACGAAGCAAACCGGAAACGAATTCTAGTTACAGGTGGTGCAGGCTTTGTCGGTTCCCACTTGGTAGATCGTCTAATGCTTGAGGGACATGAGGTTATTGCACTCGACAATTACTTCACCGGTCGAAGGCGGAATGTAGAACAATGGATTGGACATCCTAATTTCGAGCTTGTCCACCACGATGTGGTTAACTCATACCTTACTGAAGTAGATGAAATATACCACCTTGCCTCCCCTGCATCGCCAACTCATTATATGTATAATCCTGTGAAAACTATCAAAACGAACACCATTGGTACCATAAATATGCTAGGTCTAGCTAAAAGATTAAAGGCGCGTATACTGTTAGCCTCAACATCTGAAATTTATGGTAATCCAGAGGTTCACCCACAACCGGAAAATTACTGGGGACATGTAAATACAGTAGGACCACGATCGTGCTACGATGAAGGGAAACGGGTCGCGGAGACGTTGATGGTTGCCTATCACGTGCAAGAGAAAGTGGACATTCGAATTGCTCGAATATTCAATACGTTTGGACCTCGAATGCACATGAATGATGGTCGTGTTGTAAGTAATTTCATCCTGCAGGCTTTACGTGGTCATCCGATCACTATTTATGGTGACGGGAAACAAACTCGTTCGTTTCAATATGTGGACGATTTAGTAACAGGATTAATCAAATTAATGGGAAGTAATTGCACGGATCCAGTTAATATTGGAAATCCTGAAGAGAAAACAATTAATGAATTTGCAGAGTTGATCCGTGGCTTAATTGGTAGTAATTCAAGTATTGTTCATCAACCTGAACAACAAGATGACCCACAACAACGCAAGCCTGATATCTCACGAGCTAATGAAAAATTGAATTGGAGACCTATAGTTTCTATGTGTGATGGTTTAATTAAAACAATTGATTATTTTCGGAAGGAACTGGAGCATGATCAAATAATGCTTATGAAAACGATAAATTGAATGGCAAATCGAAAACTTTCTTTGCAAGTCGAAAAAATTTGTGATTTCTCATTTTTAACTAATGGTGGTGTCAGTTAATTCGTTACCGACGAAAAATTTGAAATAAGTTTCACAACATGGGTCTAATTAGATAATTATATTTCAAATTCTACGACAGTCGATTTATTCACCTATAACCAAAAAGATTTTTTTTAATTTAATTATTTCCTTATAATCTTTTAGCTGTATTGGTCGATATTGATCTACAATTTCATTTTACGGAAATGAAGTATAACATGTTCTGCAATTTTAATTGTAATTATTATTAATTGATTTCATAGAATTCACTCATTTTCTGTTTGAATTCTCAATACAGAAAAGTTAGAAGTGTTGAATAAAAACTTAAGTTTGCCAAGTTATGCTGACATTTTTACCAACTTTTTTTTAACTTTTTGGAAAAAAATATATTTTAAAAACTGTTAAGCTGATTTTTTTTTAATTTTATTAATTATTTCTTTGTAGAATTGCTCACTTTGTATTGATTTGATTCTTAACAATATGAAAACAGCTCGGAGCTGTTATATATTTCCTTCAATTTTTCGTGCTGTGAATTTATTATTTTACCAGCCGCTCTTGTATTTTGCACATGTGTTTAGGCGAAGTCATACACCACTAAATCTTATCCGACCGTTAAAAGTGAAGCAATTATTAATGTGGGTCGTAAAATTTCAATTAGAAAGAAAGGCTTTGGTTAGAATCAAAAATTTCTAGTAAAACCAGTAAATACAAATGCGGCATGTCACATACGTTCAAGCTTTTCATACTCTATATGTCACATGATGTAATATTTTTAGTTACTGCACATACTCATATGGCTTATACTTTCCTTATAGAGCTCAAGTGTCTGTTTTATTACTGTGCTATAATTTGCTAATTTTTATCTTAAATGATATTCTTTCGTGCCTCATATTTGAAATGAACATGTGAGGGATATATATAAAAAAGTTTTATTTTATCATTATTTGAAAGTATTCACCAAATAATTAGTGTCTGGAAAATGACAGTTTAAAAAAAAAAAAAAAAAAACTACTTATTTTCTTGCTTAATAGGCAATTAATTCTGTGTTGAATGAAACCATTCTTATCTGATTATATTAGTGACTCATACATCCACAAACTAGTGGTCTCCTACTCTTTTCTCGTTTTGATGGGCCGAATTTGTAAGGATACGATTATTTCACTCTTGCCGGCATTAACTATGAAATTGAAAAATTCCGAACGTTTTTAAAATCTCAATACGAACTTCGTATGATGTAAATTTTGGATGAAGATGAACAGTGTATTTCATAAACAAGGATTGATCGAGAATATTCTTAGTGGGTGCTGCTATAGTAGTTGTTACCACACTACTTTTGGAATATGTCATAAAAGCTATCAGGATAAGTATCAAAGAACACTTCTGGAGCATTCCGAAATACATAGCTTACATTCTCCCCAAATGTCTCTGCTTATTTATATGTCTTTCACTCCATCTTTTGCAATAATAACACTTTATTCTGATCCCTCCAAGTAATCGAACAGTGGTATTAATTCCGTAGTTAACGAATTATTAATTGAGATATCCAATTAATTCTGCTTTTCAATTTTGTTTGTATTTCACTCTTGAAAATGAACTGTCTATAAAATTTTAATTTGGTATGTTAACTGATGGAGTTGTGCATCTCTTCCACACAACTGGCAACTTATATGTTACCTTTAAAAAATTGAAAATTTTAAAAAGCTTTTTTCAGAAACTTGATAACTGCGAACAGTTACGTGGGAACGGAATTGGTGATTTGTCTATTCCTTTTATTCATCATTTTAAGTTTGATATAAAACGTAAGAAATTGGGGCAGGCTGCCCCACTAGCAGGGGCATGGAGGAATGCCGCAGTGGAGATGTTGCTGTTATTATTCTTTACTTCCCTATGAAAAGATTTCCATTTCTGTCTACTACTACCCAACTGACCAAATTTTATAACTGGACGGAATTTTCTAGTAAGTAATCAAGATATCCAATCAACTCCGTCTTTTTCATCTGTGTTGTCTCATTCTTTAAAATGAATTTTCTATAAAATTTTAATTTCGACTACTCGATTATTATCTTGGCTCATACCACTCTGATTATCAAATACAGTGGTTTGAAATATATCTTTAAACGATAATCTTTACTTGTGCTAATATCTTGTGCTAACAAATATAATTCGAAAAGTACCTAAATATGGCTAGCTGTTTACGGACACCTTTTTCCTTTCTGCTGACTAATACCCATTCAGCACACATTTATTAGGAGAGAATATTTGCAGATAGTTACCTATAATTTATTTATTTTGACAATCTTAACATCGTACGTGTTCATATTTGCTTAACGTATTCGAAAAGGTACTCCAGCAACACCAACTCATGCTTAGGTGTCGTCGAAGTGAGTGAAGCTGTTTCGCTTTTCGATTGTCAAAGTAGATGGTTTTTTTCTATTTTGATGTGTTGCTCAAAGATAGCAGGAGCTAAACAGCTCAGCTTTATATAGTCTAAATTTCTAATGTGGCATGAAAACTGATGTTAGGAAGTGTTGTGCCTCCTATTATAGTTGTGGCAGGTAAAAAGTTCTGACTTGATGTTGGGTTAAAGTTAAATTTCCCAATTGAGGTAGACAATTTTTATTCTGCAGATTTGTTTCTTTTCTGTTTCTTCTAGGCACAGCACTTTATGGTATGGCCATTCCCTGATGTCAACACTTATTCGTGCTGCTAACTGTGGCATAAATCATCATGGATCGTTGCTAATATTATGCAATAGTAGTGTGCTATTAAAACAACCATGTCGAATATTCACCAACTGGGCCAAACGTTACATACGGTCCAAGAATGCAATGTATTATTTGGGAAGCGTTGGTGTTCTATTCTTCAGTTTTGCAGTACTTTCTGTACCAGCATATCGAATGTTTTGTGAAAAGACTGCAACCATCGGATTAACCAAGGCAAAAGATTTAACATTTACAGGATTGCTGGCAGCTAATTACATATTCGTTCAGGAAATGTACCGTTTATTGGTCAAGAATGATTATGTTTCTCAAAAATGCTCATTTAGCACCACCATAGAGTAATTTTCAAGTTATTTTGGAATTTAAATTTAATCATTTTTTAAATTTGCTGTAGATTGCTGATGATATGGAACGTGTTGCATCAATGGAAAAAATCAAAGATCGATTAATACGTGTGTCTTTTAACGCTGACCTTCACTCTGCCATGAAATGGCAGTTCAAACCTTTGCAAAAAGAAATTTATGTTCATCCAGGAGAGACAGCGCTTGTTTTCTACAGTGCTTATAATCCAACAGACAAGCCTGTAGTTGGCATTAGCAGCTATAATATCACACCTTTTCAAGTAATAATTTTATACACTTTTTTTGTGTTCATTAACACTTTACTTTTGCCGTTTCAATTTTCCTAATTTGCAGGCAGCGTATTATTTCAACAAAATTCAGTGTTTCTGTTTCGAGGATCAGATCCTTAATCCAGGACAACAGATAGATTTACCTGTTTTCTTCTATATCGACCCTGATTATACAAGTGATCCGGACCTGGAATATACGGATAGTTTAATATTGAGTTATACATTTTTCGAGTCAAAACCAGGTATTTTTTTTTGCCTTCTTAATTTTCATTTGCTATCCAGTCAATTTCTCATAGATTCTAAGGTGCATCTATGTTACTGCGAGAAAATAATCTTTCATTTGATTTCTTTCAATTGTTAATACTAAGTATTTAATTTCTTTTACAGTATCAAGCGTATCACTTTTTTAATACATTGTTTTTCTGGAATGCCCTTAAATACAGTGAATTTGATAACAAGGCTTGTAATTACAGATCTTGTTTTACCGGATCCATTCGATCCAAACAACAAGCTCAGTATAAAGCGGAACGCAAGTAATGTTAGTAAAGAAATGAAGAAAAATTAAAGATTGAATAAATCGAAAATTGTTGACTATGAAGACAATAGTTATAGTATTTTCTTATCAAGAGTTAAATATAGGTAAATATCAAGTTAGATTAGATAGTTGTGTTTTTAAAATACACTACTTTTTTTCGTATATAGCTTGAATTTCGTTTGTTAATTGTTGTCACCATATTTCATACACATTGTCTTAAACACATGTAATGCCAATTTGGTTTGGTTTGTTTTGCGGTTGTTGAAATAAATTATTTAGGTTTCAAAAATTGTGTAAGCTGGGATAAAATTTTTTGCTACCAATAAAAAATTGTCATTTTTAGCAAATCCAAGTTGCCGTTTGTTCAATATTTTGTCCGAAATAAGGTAATATTACTGACTTCTGAAAGATGATCATAGCGATGATTCATGTGTCGTCTTGCTTATTATCCATCTAAGCTATTACTGTCTGAAATTGCATTTTTGTCGTATTTTGGAAGGTTAAAATAAATTCTAGCTTCAATTTTTTAAAGAAAGTTGTAAGAGAGATAAACTCTCATCTATGCATTGTTTTTTTATTTCTTCATTTTGTTGAGTTTGCTGAAATATTGCAGTTATCACTTACTTCCATCCTGCAAGTTCTTTTTTTATAATAGTATCAGTGATAAAAAAAAAATAGGAAAAAACTGTGATTCTCCAGCAAAAGAAATGAAATTGAGTTTTCCATTTTTCTGTTTCAAAGAAAACTGCAAAAGAGCGAGAGAAAAGAAAAAAAATGTTGTTCCAAACATTTTTTTAACTGATCATTGAGAGTGTATTATTTCGTTGATGTCTTTTTGCACGCGAGATCTCACATTCGCTTGGTTATGAAAACCAACAACTTTTCGAAGAAATATTTCATATATGGCTTTTCAAATTATTTGTTCCTAGACTTTTAATTAACTTTCAGTTGCGCATTATTTGTCGCACCTAACATTGTTTCCAAAAATTAATGACAAAATGAAATAGTTGCTGATGATTTCAGTTGTTTGTTTGAGAAAACACAGATTTAGGAAATCTGTGTGCCTGTTTTTTCAAATATTTTTGTGTTCAATGTTACATCTGAGAATTCTTTAAGCTGTTGTCACGGTTATAATAAAAAAAATCTAATTTTATTTGGTGTTTAAATATCCTCGCAAAATCTGGGTGAATTTATGATGCGAAGTAACGATGACTGAATGATTAGAAGCATGATAGCTTGAGTCGGTAGAATGGTTTAATTGATCGTTTGAGCCACAAGCTAGTTAGGTTAAATGAAACAGGAATGTTTGGTTTCCCATGCTTTTTTTTGTTTCAACTTTAATATTTCTTTTCTTCTAATTTTGTTTTGCACATTTCTAAATACAACAGTTTCTAACCTTTCTTTGTATTTGTACTTCGTTTTTGTTCTTTTGAAAAAAGGAATAAACTTTTTTATTAAGAGAAGTGAAATAAGATTTGTTTCCTAATACTTATTTTTCGAAGCTTACATAACATATTAAATGGAAAATCAATGGATTTAATTTTGATGAGCATCATCTTTGCTGAAATTTTTAAGACAAAATATAAACGTTTGCATATATTCCATATGTCAATAATTCGGTTGTCAACCACCGCAGTGTTTAATTTTTTCTTAAGAAATGGGAAAAAACTACCACACTAATAAAAGCATTGTCGAAATAAAATTGCTTACAAGCAATTTTATTTCAGGGTCAATTATTGGAAATTTTGCAAAATTTAATAAACGTTTAATTTTTTTTTTTTTTTTTTTTTTTAAAGAGAAACTTTCTTTTCCACTATCTTAATATCGAAAAGAAAGGAGTAAGTATGTTTTTTGCTTTAGAGTGACAGAGTTTTGGTAGATGGCATCCTGATGATATCCTTTTGAATCATCAGAACAGAAGAATTCAGTTTAGATTAGATTACTTGGAATGATTTGAAATGCAAGAATCTTTACCGAAGCAAATGAAAAATATCGAGTTTAATTCAAATGCATATTGAAATATTCATTCTTTACCACCAAGTTTCACTAAATTATTTACAGTAATTAAATCGGATCATCCTAATTTAATAAACAATTAGTATTTCATTTAATAATTACTTCGATAAACTTGAAATTGAACTACTCAGTTGCACTATTACTACTGCTGCTGCTACTACTACCACCACATCGGCACATTACGAGTAATATCCGAAAGGGATAGTGTAGAGAAGAGCGCTATTCACAACATCGCTGATAATTTCATGCTCAAAAGATACTAATGGGTCAAATGCTAAGTTATTCGTTTGCGTGGCCCTTAGCACAATCCACGTTTCTGATACAAACCACTCTTCTCACTCTTCCATCATACGTGACTAACTTTGCTTGCTTTATTGCTATTGGAATTGACAAGAATTAAAGTTCTTCAATTTCAGTAAGACTTTCCTCTCTTCTTATCGCTTATTTTTTTGACTTTCAGTTCTTGTGTATTATATGAAAAAGTCCATGCTTTTGGCGTTATCGCCCGATATCGACGACCATTTAGTTTTCCTTTTTGTATCACATGAATGTCTCCAACTGCTTTTACCAAACCTTTTTCTCTCAAAGTTTTTAAATTTTTTCTTTCCTTCAACAAATTGCCCAAATTTTCCTTTAAAAATTTCCACCATGATCATTGCTCAATTGTTCGAAAATGGTATTTGAAGATGGTTACGAAAAATTCTTTTTGCTTATCCGCAACGGAAACCACCTTTCCTGACACAAGAGATACTAACCCTCGCTGATGCTCCAAAGACACTTCTGTAACAACTTTTCCGCTTTTCCCCTACTCACAATTCGGTTTTCGATAAGTTTCGCTTGACTCCCTCACTATTACTGTCAGTGGTGTCGATGATTTGTAATTGTAGATAGAAGCTTAGTCTGAAATTCTTAAATAGCTAAGCATATTAAATTCTTATAGATCTTCTACCACTGGAAATTTTTTATTAGTTTAATACTTTTCAAGACATTTTTTGTTCTACTATCTCTGTTTTCCCTCAATATTAACAACATTTGCTTGTCTGTCCAGGTCCCTGCCTGAGTAATTTATTTATATGCCACGGTTAGTGCTTGAACTTTCCAAGTTGAACTTTTTCATTCTTCACATTCAGTCTACTATTTTCAGTGTTTTCTTTCTCATTCCTATACTCATCCATATACCTCATTCCTTCTTTTCTCATTCGTATAATGATTAGTATATTTTTATTAAAATGTCTTTTTTTTAAAGAAACATTTATTCTTCGATTTTTTCTACTAGTTTCCTATCTATTTGCTAAAAATTTCGTAGAAGATCTAAGTTTGTATGATTAATTTCTACAATATACATTTATTATTTATGTATGCAACAAAAAAATAAGAACAACATTTCTTCAAATTCGAAGAAAAGAATTTCTGATTCTTAACCTGAGGGACGGAAATGAAAAACCATCTTTTCCACAACATACTTTTGTCACTTTTAATCACCATTGTCTCTTCCAGATAACTGATACAATTGTCTTTTCTTTATGATTGGTCACTGTTTACATATTCAAAGATTTGCATAAATTTGGGATAACTTTTGGCTTCAGCATAAATATTTATTGAAATTTCATTTATGAAAAGAAATGTAGTCACGGATAAAATTTCCATATTGAATAGCACATTTTTAGTGATAGCTATAAGCAATTGAAGATGGGGCCAAAAAAGAAAAAAAAAGAAATGCAATGGACACTATTGAATAAATTCTCAAAAAAAGTTGAAAATCCTAAAATACTTTCTTGTTTTTAGTGACTTATTTTTTATTTAATTCTACCCCATGTAAATAAAGTACAGCAATTTTCCAGTTAAGTTGTATATTTCACTTATCTTCGTATCATTTTGACCTTTGAAAAGAGGCTGGCTTTTTTTTTATCAGTTTTTCAGTTTTTACCAAAGTACATAAATGGATGGAAATCCGGCAAGTGACGAACTTGAGAAAAGTTTCAACTACAAAAGTTTATGTACGTTGTGTATGACTTCATGAGCTTTTTGAAAGTGCTTTTATAGATATTCATTTTGAAATTTTTGAATTTTGAAAATTAAAGTAGCACTTTTTTGTTTTTCATTTGTAGATTTTTTAAAACTTAAATTTTGTGAAATGTGAAACTTTTTAAATTGTCTTTCTAACCAATTATAAAATAGTGAAATAGAATTGATCAAAATGATCATAAGTGGAAATGATAGTATTACAGAACAGCAACGGAACCATTATAGAGGCTGTCTTGCTTGATGATGACGAATGTAAAACTCTTCTGGGGAGACTTGTATGAAGTCCACTTCAACTTACTGGGTATCTTAAAAAATACTTACTAAAAAAAGTACGCAAATATATTTCATCTATTCCTTTTTACTGCGTTCTTTTAATCAAACATTTCCCTCAAATTAAAAAATGTTGTGAGATTTAGCATTTTAATGGATATTTGACTGTTATATAATACCGATCACATTGTTGCATCAGATCCAATTACTACTGCTTTTACTTGAAAGTAAAATTTCAACCAGAAAGGGAAAATTCCTCCTAAGCAAAACTTGCATTCCGCAAAGCTAACATTGCTGAGAAAAACTGCAGTATTAAAATGGAAAGCGAAAATGTTTCATTAAAAATAAGCACATCTGGTAGAACATAATCAAAATTTATTGACGAAATTTCGATAAAACTTGTAATTTAGGAAAAGCAAATTTCCGAAGAAATTTGAATTAGGCTAAGAAATAATCTATTTGTATAAAATTTTGCTTACTGCATCTTCTGCAAAAAATTTTGCATACATTACTTCGACTTTAGATTGAGCTACTTTACATTCATTATTTTACATCAACTACTGCTGATAAGTATGACTGATATCGATTAGCACATTTCATTGTGGATTGAGTAGATCAGAGAATAGTAGAAGTGAGCAATGATGAATGCTGTATTTTCTTGCTTTTACATTTACTACTTCAATGATCGTCTGGTCTTTTTCTAAAACGAATGAAACATTTGGAAATGAACTTAGATTAAAGATTTTTTTGAAGGATTTCACCTTTCTAAAATGTCATTCCAAGAAGAAGAAATAATTCGAAGTGATTATTCTGATGACCATTTTACAGGAAAAAATAATTTGAGCAGTTAAATATTGCCATTATTCAGTATTCAAAATTATTCATTCTTTCAATCATTTCTTCCTTGTCCTTGTTATGAAAACTTTCTATGTAACCCTGTTTGCTAAGGAAAAGAGCTTTTGGTTTTTAGCGTCTTCATAAAGAATCCTCAAATTCGTTCTTCCATACTATCGATTAAGAGATGAATCCAAGTTTATCCTTGAGCTAATAGAATTACAAGGGCATTCAGATGATGAAATTCAGAACACTCATATCGCTCATGCGCAAAAAATGCTCAAGGAGAAGAGAAATACGCAAAGATGCGCAACAAATAAATTCCATTCCAGTACCACTTCACTCTTTCCAAATTCTGTAGATGACATTTGTGTCCTTCACTTCGATTCTTTTAATTACAGAGTTATACATGCAGCTGATTGATTGCCGTTTTTTAATTTTCTCCTATTTATTGATTAATAAATTAATTTAGCGATTGAGCATGTAATCGATCAGATCTCGTATCAAATTGTTATCAAATTTTATGAGTGTTAAGCAATTGAAGGAGACAGCTGTCATATCGTGCTGCAGTTTGTTTATTTGGATAGGTAAGTTATTTGCTTCAAACATATTTTAACTTGTTCACAGTTTTTCATCGATGAATCTTATTTTTTGAAGTTCATTTGCGAACCTATCCCTATTCTTAAAAGAAGTTTATATTGGACTATGTGAAAACTGTTAGCTGAAGTACTTTGAATTCAATACAGCGATCTAAAAAAAAAAAAAATACAGTGATATGACACTTTTCGAAATATATTTGAAATGTGAAATATCGGAAGAATTAAAAAGTATTGAAATAGGCTGACTGTAATTAGCATTAAATATACCTCTTTTGAAATAATTTTTATCAAATGAAAGCAAATTAATGTATTAGGCTCGTTTTCCAAATTCAATTTTATCAGTTAGAATATATCAATTTTCCTGAAATGTTATCTATTTTGTCTTCTTATCAAACCATTACTTCTTTAGCTTTATTTATTTGACTCCATTCTGAATTAAACTTGCAATTATGATAATTACAAGAATATAAGCAAGAACAGAGCGTATTTTATGAAATCTAATCTTGTTTAAAGCGTTGATATAAGGGTTTCAAGGAATAATTTAAGTAGAGGAATACACAGCTTTAGTCTGTTTCTATTTTTGGCTGCAAATTTTTGGCTTCTTAACTTGAAATCATAACACTATGAATATTAAAATGATGGTTTTGGAAGTAGACAGCTATTTTAAATTCAAATTGATTTTTTCCTGGCTTTTGATACACAATAGCTTGAAGTTCAAAAGAAAGTTTTCACGAAATGTAGTTGGAAAACGTCCTGAATTACAAAATTTATAGAAGGACGATATTTATGAGTTTAAAATCATTGAATGTATCTCTCCAATGCGGAAAGTTTGCAGAAAATAATGTAAATGACGAAAGAATAATACTTAGAAGTAATTAATTAAGTTAGTGAAGCGTAATTTCATCAATCCCTCAAGCAATGTTGTCCATCTCTCCAGCTGCTACCACTCCTATTTTTTGCAATTACTTTCATCCATCACTGATGAATCTCTGATATTCACAAACTTTCATTTTACATTGCATTCATTGCCACTTTTGGTGTTTGTTGTCCACCAATCAACGATATCAATTTCTTCTATTATTTTCCAACCTTCTTTATCACTTCATTGTCCTAAGATTGTTAGACCCACTCTGGCTATTCATTGATGTCAGAAAATTTTATTTCATTTCTCTCACTCATTGATTCTTAAATAACATTCATTGGAGTTGAAGGAGCATCGGGCAGAGGTCAATATGTCTTCTTTTTCAAGATATCTTCATCACTAATTTCTTCTTAATTAACCAATTAAATGTAAATTTATGGAGATAATTCTAGTCTGCTATTTTCACAACTAATAATACTTCAGTAAGGAAAATGTATCATTTTCCAATTCACCACAAAATTTTTTACATTTATTTTCAACAATAATTCAATTTAACCTCTACTACTATTCCTATTTTCATATAGGCATATTATTATTATTGGTGATGGCCTTAAAATAGGCGCCGAAAAAGGAGAATAGCGATAGAATGGGCAGAGAGTGTATCCCACAATTCACTATTTACAACATATTCATTGGTTTGTGCTTCACCTCCATTTTCATCCTATCACTGCTCGGTAATTCGATAGTCGTACTCACTATCACCAAGCTTCAACGACGTGTCACACAGTCAATCACCAATATATTACTGTTGAATTTAGCAATTGCCGATTTGTTACGGTTAGTTACAGAGTGCCAAATGTGAAAGAGTTAGATCGATCGCAGTAGCGATGCACCTCACGAACACTTCAAACAAGTGGAGACAGTTGATTATAATTTTAAATAATTTGTGGTAGCTCTTCCTAGTATAAGATTGAATTCAGCAGTGTTAGCATACTAAAGCCTAATACTAATTAAAAGTACTTCTCCTAAGACTAGTGAAATTTCCACTAAATTGAAAAAATAAAAGGAAAAGGTCTTCCTGATTCATATTTTAATCATTTAATATAATTAATGGAATGTTTAGATCAATAATTTGCATACCACCAACCTTAATGAGTGAAATATCACAATGCTGGTTGCTCGGACCGCATGTGTGCAAATTTGCTGCATACTTGCAGCGTGAGTTTACACTTCTGTCTGTTCTTTTGTGCTTTTGAAGTGTTTTGAAAAAAAAAAAACACAAATTAGGTTGGAGCGATTTCTTCTCGAATAGATCCAATCAGCGGTTCACATTTCCGTTTTTCTTTCAGAGTGCATTATTTTTAGTGCTAGCAGAATCTATTGTGGCTTATTGCAACATTTTTTGTTTTATTCACTTCTAAAATATAAGGACAGGTACAAGTAAGGACAACATAAGCAAGAATACTTCTTTATTTTACATTTCAGCTGTGACAGTTTGCGCATCAGCCTATACATTAGCCTTAATTGCGCTAGAACGTTATTACGCAATATGTCGTCCATTGGAGTCGATGATTTGGCTTTCAAAGGTATTGTTTAATTAATTAAAAATTTACTCAAATCTATATTTTTTTTTTTTATATTTTTCATTAAGCCAACTGATTTTGTAAAATCTTTTGGATCTAACAAAAAATGATTTCATTAGTAATGGACTGGCCATATTATATCATTCGATATAATTTCTTTCTTATAGCGGCGTTTGCTAGCACTCATATCGTTTGTTTGGCTTACTGCATTTGGGAGTAATATTGGCGCACTTGTGATTTATGATGCTATTCCTTACAAAACACATTGGAGTTGTCGTTCCACTGCTACTCCTTTGACAGATTTTTTATATCAGATTCATGTTACACTGGTTAGTCTATAGTTCATATTTTTATCTTCTCAAAGGTCATCATAATAACCATACTGAGAACTTAGTAGTCCTCAACTGAGTACGATGACATGTTATTTCAGCTACTGTTATTCATACCACTAACAATTATGTTGCTTTTATATTGCAAGGTAATCAAAACTCTTCATCCAGACAATCAGGTAGAAGTAAAACCAGAAAACTATCACAATTATGCAGCGGAATGTTGTCGAAGTAAGAGTTTTTTTAAAGTATATCCAAATTTTCAGCCTTTTTAAAGTGATTTGTTCGTAAAAATTCTAGTTTATTCCTGAAAGAATAAAGTTTCTGAAGACCGAGACAAGAACTATTTTTTTTTGTTGATGATGTTGATAAATGATATAAACTAGGTATCATAGATCGAAAGAGATTATGTTCAAGTTGGTTTTTTCCATCATTTACCGACCAAAACAATAAGGAGCTCAATATCGATTATGATGTAAGTTAAACTGTAGTTAACTTACATTTTTCCATCAATGAAATCATCGTTTACATGAAATAATTTGTAAGTAAAATTTTATGGGTTAAAGTATTCCAAGCAAATGGATTCGTAATTCCTACTTCTACTGGTATGTCATGCTGGAAATTTTAGACTTTTTTGACATGAAAAGTTTTCGATTCTTTCTTTCATCCGCAGAATTCTAGTGATTCATGTTTCTGTAACTGTTTGAAGAATATTTCATTTTTTGGAAATGTCCAAGAAATTCATCAAAAAAGCTAAGAATTGCAGACATGACTGAAGAATACTTCCTTCAAGTATATTCGTTTTGTTCTTAAAATCAAATCATTAAATTGGTATATGTTTTATTGCGCTGAACTTTGAAGAGCACAGCGAATTAATAAACCACTTTTTTCACTTCATACTGTGTCACTTGAGTTACACGAATCATTCAGATGCACGGATTATTCTGTCTGCGAGTTGCAGGAGTCATTCTGGGCGGTTCTATTTTAATCTTGAATACTTCAATTATCTTGATTCATCATAGCGAATAACTGAAACTGAAATGAGTTAGATGGTTTCCATAGTTTGTAAATGTTTTCTTATATTCTCTCGAATATGTCTAATTGCAGACTTGGGTAAAGGATCGGAAACGGGAAAATACCGCTCGAAATGTAACGTGTAATGTGCCATGTAAAAGGCCCTGTAACTACAATGCTCGAACCAAGTCGCTTTTCAGGTTATCAATTCATCCACTTTATCAGCATCATACTAATTTGTTTTTCTATTAAAGAATATGAGATTGATAGATTTTTGGGAAATTCCAGCTTCACTGAAATCTTACAACTTCAGCTTCAGCAGTGCTCCTGAATTCCAATCATCGATTAGTGGAAGTGCTAATTATAAGCATGGTTATATGCTTCGAAGCAACCGTCAGGTTTTGATTTCAAAGAATATTTTCTTTTGAAATTATTTTTTCGCCATTTTCGGATATAATTATTTTTTGTGAAAAGTGAAATGTTTCGAAATGCAGTGTCCTCAATGATCGAAATTTATCCTTTGTTCTTCGGATCTTTGCATTTTGGAGAAAGCAAATAATTTTGATGGAGAAAAATTCATTCAGGAAAAAATAATTGAAGCGAAACGACGTGTGATTAGAATGTTAATTATCATTGTTATTGCTTTTGTTATTTGTTGGTCACCGAGTTTTATTTGGTGGCTTACAATTAGGACATCTGATCTCGTTCAGGTATAAAGCTTCCAGTGATTGATCAACATAATTCGTTTCAAAAAAGGACTTTATGAAATTAAAAATTTCATTAGCTGACTTAAAAGAGTGGAGGTTATAAGTAGTTTTAATGCTTTCTTGAGCCTTAAAGATTATGTTTGTGATGATCAGTGGAAAGTGGAAAAAAATTTAATCATTTCATAACTTTAAATGAGGAATTTTATACATCTACCATCGGTACACTTGTCACTTTCTTTTTCTCTTTTTTTTTTCGATTCTCCTTTTGACTATTATTGTTTTTTTTCTCTTATGATAAATCGCTGTAAACTTTTTCAAATTATAAATAAACTTTGTAGATTCACTTGTGGAACAGAAGGGCGAATGCGTATATAACACTACTGACGCATATAAGTGCATGTGCAAATCCGATAACTTATTGTTTTATGAATGAAAGGTTCCGGAAAAATATTACTACCTATCTGTGGGCGTGCACATTTCAAGCTTGTAAAGAACCTCTCCAGGAAAAGGTGAATTATCGGTAGCAATCAATATTTAACCATGTATTATTGCTCTTGCATCAATTTTATCTGCCTAAAAAATTGAGACATTATTTAACTGATTTCCAGTCTCCAACAAATCAGTACAGATTACGACGAGTGAAATTTATGACACATTACAATGGTGATTTGTTTAGTAGTGGAAGTAACTTGGAGCAAGCAGTTGCTGTGATTCCCTTTTTATCTAATGATAATTTGTGATCACTGTTTCGTTTTATCACAAGAATGCCAATTAATCTTTCTGATGTAAAAGAGAAAATGATAAAGGGATGATGATACTGTATCAATGCTTTCTTGTGCTTTTTTTTTTTGCTTAAGACTTCCCATCAGTAACTAAAAACATTTAACAGTTCAATGTTTGCCTCAATGAGCCAAGACAACAGTAGGATAGGATCAGAAGAAATAATTTTATTATTCTTCATTTATCTACTGAATTTAAAATCATCTCTTTCTCCACCCCACAACACTACTCTAAACATCCTGATATGACTTTTATATATAAATTTCACTACAAATGTATTTCCACTTCATAATTTTGTTTTCATATTATTTTGCAAAATGCATGCATTTGTTGTTCTATTTATAGAATAGGCCAAGATATATTTACTAGGAGTGAATAAAAATTGAAAACCTAATTGAATATTTTTTTATTCTTAGAAAGAAGAGCATTTCAATGATTGCTAAGAAAAATGAGGAAGACGTGTCAATATTTTCGTGTTTGCATGTGGTCGGTGAAATTTGAAAAAGAAAAAGAGAAAATAAATGATTCTGAATAGTGCATCATTCATTGCTAATACAAAGTTGTGAAATGAAAAGAAAAAGAAAATAATGGAATGTTAATGAAAGGGATGAGTCAAAGAGAACCGATTTTCACTGTCATTTGCTGCTTCGTTCATGGTGCAGTTGATATTTGTTCATACAGTTTCACAGTTCCTTCCATATCTTTAAAGAAATAATGAATTAATTTGATCATCCAAAGAAATTCCAAGATCAATTTACTCAGATTCTTAACAATTGAAAATTTTGCCATCTTTCGGATAATTGGATGGTATCACTTGCTGCACTTTCTGTTTTATAACTTAGGGAAATAATGAAGTGGTATGTTCCAGCACTCAGTTCGCCGTAACTTCGTGTGGATAGGACTCATAATTATTTAATCAAGTTTAGTTTAGGGTGAAATAATTAGTCTTTCATATCTTGATCTGTTTCATCTATGTTCTTAATTACCAGAAAGCCGAATTTCCCAAAATTTGTTCCACGAAGAGTAACTTTTTGGACGAAACGATTGGCTTCTAAATTCATTTATTAACGATTTTTTAAAACCAATTTTTGTTCAAACGTATGAATAAAGCTCATGCATTTCAATAAACAATTAGAATTAAAAAGCAATTCAGAAAAAAATGAAAAGTTGTTGCAGTCATAGAATTTAATCGAAATGGTACTTCATATTCCTGTTTACTCTTCTTCTATGCCACACACTATTTCGATAATATTACAATACTTTCGGGCGATTCAATTCTTATCAAATGACAAGTGTTAACGATTGGACGTAAAATATACCTACAGTTAGCTTCACATTCATGCAAATCCTAGGAGTCATCCATGTCAATTACCTGTTACCATATTCCATTGCATGTGATAATAGTTTAGCAATTGACTGCCTATGACTTCAGCTACAAAACATAGCATTCTTTTCAACTTGTCAAAGTTTTTTTAGGATAAATGTACCAGTATAGCTGAAACATGTTTAACTGGCAAAATCTAAGATTCTAGCCAATTCAAATCAAACTTTTGATATTATAATTTCAAAATCCTCAAGTTGAATAGAGCATTCCACCTATCTGTGGGTGCTTTTTATTAGCAGTATCTGGACATTTCAAGTAAAACACACTATTTTACCATTTTGCTTATTATACCTTTATTTCTTCCTTAGAAACCTTACTGATCGATGAAGCACTTGAAACTCTGAAGCACAGTATTTCATGAATAAATTTAAGTACCCTCCTACACTAACACGATGAAAACAAAAAGCGAACAGATAGGTGCCACGATCCTCTTTCAAATATCCAAAATAGTAAAACTTCGTTATGATAAGCTTTAAATATTCTGAAAACACCACTGCTCAAAATCAAGATTTTATTTTCTTAAATAATGTGAAGAACAGCGACAAAAACTCAAGGAAAAATTTGATTTGAAAAAGCAATTCGCCTTTGCTATAGCATAACATTCTTGAAATCCAATGTCTCTAATATAATAAAACATATAATAAAATTGTAATATAACAAAACCATTGAAGGATAAATATAAAAAAAAATTTTCCCAACAGAACGAAGCAAAGTGTAAACTGAAAAATTGAAATCAGAAAAATCCAACTCAAAAGTATATTTACCTAATCACAAAATTTATTGTTCAACAAGCGACGTCTTATTTACACACGCTGATGCAAAACAGAAGTAAGATTCAGCTTATTACCTGTCTTCCAAGACAATTTGTAGTGTGCTTGCCCATAACTGCCCCACGAATTTCAACTGATCAATAAGCCACAGCTTTGACTGATATAGGCTGTGTGCGTAAAATGCTACTATTCGAAGAGGAAATCTGGCGAGTTTTTTTCGGTGGTGAAGAAGGCAGCGCACCCAGATCCAAATTAATTGCCAAACAAACCGGCAAGATCAGTGGGCATGTGAGAATCTCTATAAATTAAAAGTTCAAAGGAACATTGAAAGACTTTAAAATTTGGAACTTTTTAAAAAACCCGAGGATTTAAAAAAAAAAAAAAAAAATCAATGAGCTTTTACTTTTGTGAAAAGTTTAATGTTCAGATTTGGGTGAGAGAAATATTCCTCCAGTGTTTTTTTTAGCAAACTGCATTCGAAAAGCCCCATGAACAACAAAATGATACTTGTAACGGCTACTTTTTAATACAAACCTTTGAGAAGGGGCCTTTTGTTTTCATTAACATCCAGAATAGAATTAACCAACTTCTTCAAGCCATCACTCCAGTGTTCAGAGATTGGATTATGTTTTCCCTAAAAATTAAAAAATCTCACCTTTGTAAAATATATAATCAAAAAAATATATTTTATTACATATATATTATATACTGAAAATCCCTTCAAAAAAATTTGTATAACACAAAGCGTTTAATTTCATATGCGGTTTGTGAATAAGAAATAAAGAACCTTTTTTTAAACAAGAAATACAAATTTACGGAGGATGAAATGTACTTTTGTAATTTTCATGACGATCGATGGTAAATTTTCGCCATCAAATGCTCGTTTTAATTCAGCAAGTTCATATAACACACAGCCTAAAGCCCATAAGTCGCTTTTCTGATTGTACGCTCTGCCTGAACTCTAAGGAATTTAATTTGCTGCCCAGCTACAAACAAAGTAGAGTTGCGAAATAGAAAATGAGTAAAAAAAGTATAGAAAATAGTATGGGACGAATAAACATAAAGAAAGCAAAAAGGAGACAAATGCTGAAATCTAGTACTACCTTCACAGATTTCTGGAGAAAGATAATTCGGTGTGCCAATAATTGTTGATGCTAAACTTCTTGTTGATAATTCTTTACTAATTCCGAAATCACTCAATTTAACAATTGTTCGTTTTTTATTTAACAAAATATTTTGCGTTTTCAAATCTCTATGAAGTATTTGCTTGGAATGCATATATTCAAGTCCAATAGCAACCTGCAAATATTTCAAGAAGCTTTATATTTTTATTAATCAGTAAAAGGAGTGTGGAAATAACACTGCCGTCACATCTGTAATTTCATTATCATTCATTATTGCTCATCCATTACTACCATTATCATAGTCATTATCATTATTATTATTGTTGTTGTTGATTGTTGTCATTATTTACCATATTATCGTTAATATTATTATTATCACTGCTACCGTTATTATTACTATTATTATTGTTATTATGTTGCTATTGTCTCTTATTATTATTATTACCATTATTATTATCATTACCGTTAACATTATTATCATTGCCATTATTATTATTATTACTACTGCTATTATTAATTGATAATTAGAGAAAACAAACGATGAAGTTAAAGCTTCTTGTAAATTCTGTTCAAGGCATCTTGAAATTTATTCACTGTGAAAAAGAAGTATAGTTCACCTAATTAGTAAAAATACCCACGATTCTATTTGAAAATTTGTTTGCGGAGGTTTCGATGTAAATGGTATCGTTTCAATTTCACTCTTTGATAATTCTTAATTTGTCAGCAAAGACCAACTTGTGTGAAATAATTGAGCACTATATTCTCAATAAATTTGACTCCTTTTTGTTCCGAAATCATTTTATCCATTGTTCCACCCTCAGCATACTGCATAACAATCGAAAAAGCGTTTTCTGTCTTAAAATTAGTCAAATTACCACCTAAAGGTCATTCAGACACCATTAAAACTTTACCGGTGACATGTGCTGAAAAATATTTTTCTGACTTGTCAGGGGAAAATGGAAACAGCTTCAGTGATCTCAACCTAGCAAACAACAAGTGACAAGAACCTTGAAAGACTCATAATATCCAATAATGTGGGGATGATGAAGGCGTTTCAATAGCGTTACTTCGCCTGAAATACTTTCACAATGCCTGAAAATGCTAAAAATACGGAGCCATCACCCATACTGTCCGTTGAACTCAATGTCTTCAAAAGTAAAACGTCTCACCAGCTAATTTCAAATAATATTGATAAGAATTTCGGAAGTGCTAACCAAATAAGGAAAATTGAGTGAAAGTTTGCCTCTTGGAAGACATCGCTTACAGTGAAATCAGAGTTCCAGACAAAAAAATCAAACCCATGATAGCGTTCTGTTCCTCTGGCGCGAGGCCCTCTAATGCCACTGTTTTGATGATAACTTTTTGTCGAAAAATATCATCTTTACGCTGACAAAGCCAACAGACACCATGAGCTCCACGTCCTACTACTGAGATCTTCTCGTAGTCGTCCATGAAAATCCGTTAATTTTTACTCAACAAGGAACCTATAAAGATCGGCACACACTGCAGCTTGACAATGGAGTGGAAATATGAAATTAAGTCCCATCAAATGTGAAGTCTGATTTAACTGCACGTCATTCCTCCATTTGGTCAGTTATGACATTGCAAGCTGATATAAAGTACGACAGATAAAGATTATTATATAAGGTTTCGACGGCAAAGTTGATGCCTCTCCTGTTACTTCTGTGGTCCACGTCCAACTCGCGACATGTGCATAGTATGACCCTGGCTTATTATGAAAATGGAAGGTATATCATCAACATGAGGGAAATTATCCAGTAAGACAGGACGTAGAGCAGAAGAGTGCAAGAGCTGCATTCCACGAACTAATTTATGTGGAAAATTACAAATTAAGCAAAGTACCATAATTTGTGGACTAAATAAATTTGAATTTGTTAGTAAAACTTGGTTTTGCACAAATTGAGAGACATTTAGTATCATACAAGCCATACGTGAAGAGAAACGCACTGGAATTATGATTATCATATTGAGTCTTTATCACGTTAGGATGAGATATCTAATATGCAAACTGTCCAAGGATATGTACTGAACCAAAGAAAGTATTTCAAGATCCGAGAAAGATATGACCATCATTTGCATGCAGCATGTTTTCCGTAACAGCTACCGCTGGTTCTAACGATTTACAAGGTTCACGTACGCTTCTATGAAATTTTAAGTTGTCATCACCAATACTTATCGATACTTATGGGACTAATGCACATTCAGCCCCACAATTATTCTAATTATTTAAATTTACTTATGCAAAGATATGGTTGAAATATTCCGTATAGGTGAAGTTGCATAATTAGAGGCAATTCAGGGACAGTTATATAAAGCGAGTTTCAACTCCAACATTCAGTTTTTCCTTCAGTCGAAGCGCACAAAGGTCGTGTGGTGTGATACTTACTCTTGTTGGCATTTATTGAAGTGAAAGAGTAGTAAGATACTCTGGGATTAAGATTAAGATACTCTGGGATTACCGCGGGGGAACCTTCTTAACCGTTACTTCTTAATCTTCTTCCCCTTATCTCGAAGATGAGCAACTATTTCCAAATTTCGATCTTGCAGACAACCTAGCACACAATGGGTGACGCTCCAGCAGAGGGTGCACCACCACCAGAGGCTGCAGCACCACCAGCAGAAGGTGCACCATTAGCAGCAGGCGTACCGGCAGATGGAGGAGCTCCGCCGGAAGCTGCTCCGCCTCCGGCTGGACCACCGACGTTGAACATCGACCCACCAGCTGCTCAGGTACCTGCTGCAGGCGGACAGTCTGTACACCAAATCGCTAATCCAAGTGGTGTCCGCTTGGCCTTCAAGGTGAGTAACTTCGAATTTCCGACATTTCCCACTACGGTTTACTTATTCAGGAAAAGAACTCCAGTAAAATTCATTCGTTTGCAGGTAAAGTCGACGAACAATAACGATTACCGTCTGAAACCGGTCTATGGATTCGTCGAGCCGGGGGCAACAGCTCCATTGGAAATCACCCGTACAGCCGGACCACCGAAAGAGGATAAATTTGTCATTCAGTTCAAGGAAGCAGCTGCAGATGCTGCTGACCCCACGGCTATTTTCAAGGGGGGACCACCGGTCGGGGAAGTTACCTTGCCTATCATGGCTCAATAAATATTCAGCGTTTTTCGCGGATACTCTCGACTACAACCTTTCTTCACCTACCTATCAACAAAGGATTATTTTTTTTCCTAAAAACTGATTTGGGATAAGTAGCTTCGATCCACTGAAATAAATTTTTAACGACAAATCAATATCCATGCTTCAACATGTGGATAATGTGTATTGCCTGTGTAACTTTCGCGCTTGCTCCGATCTGTGCTACTGTTACTGCACTGCCGTCATCCACGCATGTGATAAATGTATTTGTGTGATGTCCACGCACAGTATTATCGCTCTTTAAATCTCCAAAGACAGTTTAACTTTCTGGCTGATGATCAAAAAATCTAATTTTATGTATTTTTGTTGTAGTCTCATATACTTGGATGGACAGATCTACTGAGTAAAAAGTTTGGTGAAATTCATTATTTGTCACAAGATTCCGTTATCAGCGGTTTCTTGAACCGTTCAAAAAAAAAAAAGAGCGTCTGCCATATTCAGTATAACTATTAGTTGTTAAAAATGTTATCTACAAGGGATTAGGTGAATCATTAGAGAGTAATTATGTGAGTCATAGAAGAGTAATTGGAGAATGAAACAATGAGAAGGAAGAATTGTCTGGTGACAATATTGCCAGAGAACGGATTGCATGACGGTTACCTAAATTTAAAAGTGCGCGTAAGAAGTCACGTTCGTACGTTTTGTTGCGGCTTTTTTCCCAGGCGTGTGTTTGCAAAAGGTTCAATAATTGGAGTGCGAAGGAATTAATTGACTATTTTAAATACTTGAGACTTTGTTTTTCAATCTTTTACGCGGGATTATTGGTTACGATTTCTTCATGTTTAGTTTTTTTGCTGCTGTGCGAATTATTCATTCATTGCAAATTTCGCAGAATGTTCATCGTTTCCTCATTTTCAGTTCGTTTAGATGGTGAATCAATCTATTATTGGATGAAGAAGGGTAACTGTTAGTGATAAGTTGTTCTACCAGTTAGCACACACATACATTGATGAATAATAACCCTGTTGTTATTGTAAGTATGATTTTCTTATTTATAAACTCTGAAGATACGATATAAACGCATTAAAATGATTCTTGTACAGTATATGCAATGACAAACATACATTTCTATTGTCTGAGTGTACCTATGTTTTACAAAAGAAACTTTTACAAAAGAAACTTCATGATTTTTTGGAACTTATTTACCAATAGCTATGGAAATTGTTTGAATCGTAAAGAAGTGATCAGTAAATAAAGGAAATTTTCATTGATTGTCGTCTTGTCAACAACTAATTGCATCTCAAGTTGAGTACTTTCTATCCTCTATATAACTTAACTGTTGAGTTAAATCTTAATCTCTACGTTATGCAACGCCATAATAACTATTATGGCATGCAGAATAAATCATTATCTATTTATCGCTCTTTTTCTGGAATTTTTTTTTTTTTTTGTTTCTTGATATTTCTCAGTATTATTAATTATATATTTACCTAGATTAAGTTTTAGAGTGCAATAATTCCAATAAAAGATGGCAGTGCACATTTGTCCATGTATTTGGATTCACTTCTTGAGCAGCTGATCTGTCCAGAATTTGTTATTGAGGTGAGTTTTTTCTTCACTAAAGCAATAGTAAATGTAAAAGATATTGATCAAAAAAATGTCTCAGTACTTTAGGTTTAATTATTTGATGATGGCAGTACAGATAATACTTCTAGTATCATATCTATAAATCGAGATTTTTGGAAAAAGGCATCAATGTTATTCTTGGAAGTAGCGCACATTCCAGAGGTATTTTGTTTTAATTGTTGTCTTAGTAATCTGTTTGGCATTCTTGATATTTCTATTGAATTTTGCTTTTTATTAGTTCTTTTCGGTTTCCTTTAAGTTTCGAGAGATTCGGCGACATCTTTGCTCAATTTTCAGGTGTGGGTTTCGCAAAAAACTGTGTACAACAGTGTGGTGGATCTGTTCTAATATTTTGCGATGCAGATGATATCTCGATAAAGCACCGCTTTATCTCATTATATAATGTTTTGCTTAATGCACCGAGATCTTGTTGGTTCAAGACTCGAACGCATACCAGCTCTGGGTCAACATCACGTTATGCTCAGTGGGCTAATTCACTCAACAGTAAAGAAATTTATGATCAGGTATATATCACAGTGCTTTTATTTTCTGAAGTGGGCTAGCAAGTATGGGTTAGATGAAGTATATTCCGTGACAATAGTGGTATGTTTGAATTAAATTTGAATTGGTGAATTTTTTATTTGCGTATTTACTTCTCGAAAAAAAAAAAATTCACATAAACATGTTTCAGTTAGCCAGTTTGTAACTTGTTATGATAAGCAGTGCAGAAATTTTTTCGGTTTGCATTGTGTCATGAAATCTTTTAGCTCTTTATCTACAGTGATTACTTTGTTTTATGTTTTCATAGATTTTTGAGATTAAACGTTCATAAATGTTCACAGATTTTTACTTCTTATGGTCCCTCAGTGATTGCTCCAACTTGGTGTATGTCGAAAAAGCTCTTTAATAAGGTTGGAGGTTTTCATGAAGCAGAGCCAGTGGGTTATCCGGAAGATTTGCATTTTTTCTATGATGCTTTAAAAATTGGGGCAGTTTTTATGAAGGTATTAGATTTCTAATATGTTTTAAAATATAATTTCCGCTAGTGCTTAGAACTTAACACAGATGCGACTCATTCTGAAATCCAACATCCAATTCTTTTTTTGTAATGATTTACGAAACCACTTTTTAAATTGTCTTTTACAGATTGAGAAATCTTTGGTAATTTGTCGTTATCATCCAAAATGTGCGTCTCTAGTTGTAACGAAAGAAATGATATGGAAGATGCATAGTAATGTTTGAGGAACTGGTTCTTTCGAAGTGGAAAAAATTTATGGTTTGGAGTGTTGGTAAAGTTGGGAAAAAGTTTTACAGGTGATTACTTTCCGTTTATTTTCTAAACTTATATGTTGCTACGATATGTTAAGTTACCGAAGGCATGAAAAAATGTTATGACGTCATTCTTCTTTTTAGGTTTCCAACTTTTGATTAAAGATTTACGGGGAAATTAATTTTTCAGATCGTTAAGTGAAAACCGTTTAAAGGTGGTAGCTTTTTGCGATATTGATGCAAAAAAACTCCACTGTGGGCATTATGAGTTGTTCCAGGTCAGCGGAAAGTTCTTGCTACAGTCCCAATTATCTCACTGAGGTAAGTTTTCACATGTGAGTAAAACATCTGTTCTTTATTCTTGTTATACGTTTAATTATTTGTTTGATTTTCAGCGAAATGATTGCTCCGATTGCAATATGTTTAAAAATGGATTCTTTTGTTTGTCAAGAAGTAAGAAAGATATTAAGAACTCGTGAAATGGTCGAGGGAATGGATTATTTTTATCTCGGGTAGTTTTTTCGTTTAAAGTAAAAGAAGCAGTAGATGAACTAATCACTAAAGAAAAAGAAAAAAGAAGATTCCCGAATTATTATATAAAAGTAAGTAATCAAGTTTTTAAATTATAAAATAAAATCATATTGAAAAAAGAAAAAAAAAAAAACTTTCATTTTAAGATGATCTTATCCATTAAGCTGCTTTTTACATGTTGTACTAGAAGTAAAACAATTTTCATTTATATTTCGCAAAAAATATTATTTAATTTATTTGTATTCAAAGAAGTAATTTATTCATTAAACACTGAGTACTGTTTATAATAAGTTTTTGAAACATATATAACCTTCGTCATTGATTTTGCATCTCTTCCAGTGTTTATTTATTTGTTGCTTTTGTGATGGGAAGGTTTAAATAGTTTTATAAATCTTTTTGATGTCTTCACTGTATTGGATTTTTAAATTTTCAACTTAAAACTGTTTATGTATATGATCAATTGTAAAACTATTTTTTTTTTTTTTTTTCATTGCTATGAAGTGCGTGCGTTATTTAGCTTGACTTTGCACGTAATTTGGCTATTTTATAAGTGGAAAATTATTTTCCATCTTGATCTCATTTCTACAGTTTGATTTGATGTTTCATTTTCATTGCTGCTGTTTAATATTTTACTTCCACTAATATTAATTATACATCCAAAAGCGTTTTTAAAGTGTCTTTTATATTTCAGAATTTAATTTTAAACCTTCCCACTTTTTGATAAAATTTACCTTTTCCTCGCTGTTTATAACTATCCTGAAATAAATGCTAAAATTTATATAGAAATAAGAAATTGAGACTGAATAGCGCGGTTTTATCAAGTTTATCTTCATAACTTTTGCTACCCTCGCTTCTGAGGGCGCGTTGTTTCTATTGCTTGGTTTCAAGGAAAGATTCCTGGGATGGCTAATTTTTAATGCGGGCAGAGTGTATTGCTTGTGAATCACTATACATTATATTTCACTAATCAACTAAAGCAGTTCGCAATCTATTTGAATTCATTCCCCGCTATTGAGCTAATTTATGGTGACCGTAGGAAGGGGAAGGCACAATTTCAAGATGTTTGTTTACCGTATTGCCTTACAAGAAGTTTACAAGCCCTGCTGTGTCTATTTATGCTACTGGGAGTTGGTGTATTTTATTGAGTAGATAACAGAGTAATATTTAACCTCATTAAACAACTTTTGCATCTACTTCAGATTATTTAAGTGTCCTCACTTTTCATTCATAGAATTCACAATTCGTTTATCGATTAAAATATTATTCCCTTCCCTTTTGCAGCCAAAAAGTCAGTTCTTTCTGTACTGAGAAATCTTGCAGTTAAGATCGAACTGCTTTGTATTTAAGCACCTTCATCTAAATTATACTGATTTCCGATATCAGAATTTGAAAAATAAACTTTGGTTCTTATAGGTGATAATGATGGTTATGCGGTATTCTATTCGATTGGCTGTTTGTTCGCAGTCTATATTGTGGAGAGGTTTAGCAGCCAGAGTGCCGTAAGTTCTAGAATTTAGACAAGTCTTGGATCCCTAATTCCTGGTTTCAATTTCAACTTAATCAATAATTTGATATTTGCAGGAATGTGAAGGTTCAGTTTAAAAACAGGGGTGAGACTTTGGAAGCAATAGGTAAAATAGGCCAGTCATTGTATGAAGTAGTGGTTAATGCCGACTTGCCTATTGACGGTTACGGAGCATGCGAAGGCACCTTAGCCTGTTGTACGTGTCATGTTATTCTCAAGCCAGAACATTACAAAAGGTTGCATCTCTTAGCATTCATTTCGGTTATGTAATTTCATCAAACGAATCTTCAAGAACTATACAAAACAGGAATAAGCTGATATCAATTCGTTCGAAAATTTAAATCTTCATAAGTTTAATAAACTACTGTTAAATCCAACATGAATTCTAGAACTTATTGAGTCATAGTGACATGTGATGGTATCAGATAGTAAAATCTTCTAGAGGTGTTCAATCCACTGTTTACAGATTACCTTCACCAGTCGAAGATGAGCTTGACCTGTTGGATCTGGCACCTAAAGCAACGGATTTCTCACGTCTTGGTTGCCAAGTAAAATTAACAGAAGAAGATCTACCGAGCATAGAGGTTATCGTACCATCCGAAGTTCGCGATGCGAGAGCCTACGATTAACGGCGCTTCTTAAAATTCAAAACAAAGAAACAAATCTCGACTCCCTTGCTATAATTATTGTGAGAACTGAAAATATGTCAAACAGATAGAAATTTATTTCTGGTTTCCGCTACTCAGCACTGTTGGATACTATGTTGGCTTGGAAAATCAAATAAGTTGTTCCGGTTTAAAGCTCACCACGCTCATTATTTAATGGAAAGGCAATTCTATTTCATTACATTATTATTAAAACAAATGATAACTTAAAATGTATTCGTTGAAGTTTTGTTGCACTTTCTGATAAGTGAGGTTTTTATCACAATATCATTAGGACACAAAGTAGGAAAATTAAAACAAAATAAAGACCAAGTATACTCTCTCTGGAAACTATCAAGACTTTCAATCGGAATCCGAACTGTTATGCTTTTTACGCTTTTTCTCTTTCTTGTGCTTCTTCCTTCTCTTTGCTCGTTCTGAATCCGAATCACTAGCACGCTTTTTTGAATGCTTCTTCTTCTTTTTTCTGGAACTGCTAAAGTAATATAGAGACAGAAAATTCACCTCTACAAACCTATAAAAACTCACCTTTGTTTCTCATCCACAAGATCCACTGATATTGACCGCTTCCTGAAAATGGCGAAGTAAGAAAAAATCCTATCTAATAAAAACTCGAGCACTCCTATCAGTAATTACTTAAAAACATCTGTACACGTTTTACCTTCAGGAATGAAGCTATATTAGAAAACTAGTTTGACTGTGGTTTTTTTCGAAAATTTTCATAACACTGAAATTAAATCCAGAGGGTCTGTGCACATTAATATTTCTTAAGTCTTTTCAGATCAAATATGGTATTAGTATTGCTTTTGATATAATTACCTAATTTTTTCCTGTGAAAAAGGATAAGTTTGAAAGCGAGATAAATGAATGTTGTGTTAAAATATATAAATCAAAGTAGCAAAGAATTCCCTTGCCTTCTACGACGCTCATTACTTCGACTTCGTCTTCGAGTTTCTTCCTTCCGTTCTGTAAATTTTCGACGCGGTGGAGATCTGAAGCTTCAAGCACGTTAGAATTTCCACTAAAAAAATTTCATTGGAAGCTAGATCTAGGGACAGTTCACTCGTAAATTCTTCAGAAGTATATCCTATACCATATTACTCTCAAAAAGCATACTCTTCCATAAATACCGAATGACTTGGGTCACTTATTCCATTAAATGGTGATTCTGCAAAACCTAACTTAATTTCAATTATTACAAACAGTTAGAGAAGCTGGCCTGAGATTAACTACTTAATTTATTTAATAATGGACAGATTTTGACGACAACCTATTAGGAGAACGATAACGTTCCTTTTTCCTTTCCGTTCGCTCATCATGAAAATGTCGACGAGTGGGAGATCGGCTATGTGATCTCAACTTTTCATCCTTGAACTGTTTTTCTTCACCACGCTTTCTTTCAATTCCTATAAATAGCTTAAAGTTAAAATCATTTAAAAATAGGCTCACTTATCTGAGAGTGAGACTTCTTTATGACCTAAATAAAATTTTATAATTTAAAACCAAAAATATTTATCCCAGAAGATCGGCAGGCTATGTTAACTGGGACCTAGTGTTACCAGATTTAAATGTGTGATTTTGAGAAACATAAACATGCGCTAGAATATCGCCCATTAACTAGTGACCAACATATTAAATATATATATATATTTATTTAGATATTAACAGCATATGCAGCAAAACACTTCGAAACACTGTAACCCAACTAAGATAATGTCAGCTCTCGAGTTATACTTCTCCATAAACTATTTAAATTTTAAATAAGATTTAAATTGAACCAAGTAAAAACCACCATCTTCCTTCACGCGGCCACTTTCTCCACTTTTATCATTTTCTCGATCTCGATTATTATCCCGGTGAGTTCTGTGGCGATCGTCATCCTTTCTGCCCCGTTCACTTTCAGTAATAGATCTGCTCTCTCGGTTACCGTAACGCCCACCAGTCAAAGAATCATACCGATTCTTCCAATCTGATCCAGCAACTTCAGCAGCCGCACCATTGGAAGACGAAACAGTTGTATTTTTTGCCTGAAAACTTTCAGAAGATCTGATAAATTTAATGACAATATATAGAACTCTCAAAACGATGAAATAACTGGATCCTTCTCACTGTATTTAATGGTAACACCCCCGACATCAATTTTTATAACGACTTCGTTATGAAATGAAACAATTCTTAATGACAACCTTAAGTAAATTAAAAAAAAAAAGAGAAAAAATATGTTAAGAAAATGTGGAAGTTTTTTCTAAATTAGAAAAAGTACCAGTGATTGCGAAAATCAAATACCTTCTCTTGTATTTCCTTCATCTTTTTTTCTACTAGCGATGTTGGAATACCATCATCGCTGCTTTGTGCTTCAATTAACATACTCCATAATTCACCTGCAGTGAGATGACATGAATGCATCTAAATAAAAGGATTTACATGATTGCAATCCAAACATGATAATAATGAGTTGCGTAACCATGGATTCTCAACACAGTCATATATGAAACAAAGTTGGTCGATTAAAAAAACTTTTTAATCTTCTATCCTATATGGTGCTACCAGTTCTGAAACGTGAGTAAATCCATGCTTTCATTAATCCTATAACAAAAGAATATTTTAGTTTTTCCTTTTTATGGGACTGTTAAGGAAAATGGTGGAACGTTACCCATAAATTCCCGTGCTCGTCGAGCATTGAGAAAGCCAGTTAAATTAATCTGCATCACTTTCGGATTCAACGATTTCTCCTCCAGTTGACTGAATACATATTCAATGACAACATCGTCTTCTATGCCCAAAATGTCATTCAACTTGGCAGTAATCCACGGTTTGAGCACATCCAGATTCACTCGATCCATGCAGATCTTAACCTCACAAACTCACTCACGATCTCTTCAAAACATAACAATTAGTTTAACAAAATCTATATTTTGAAAAATAAAAAAAAAAAAAAAAACACTTGTTTTATTTCCACTGGTCTCTTTCGTAACTCTTCTGAAAATTATCAATCAATCCATTCAAATTACGCTTAACTAACTCTGTATTCCATGTTAAAGAAGAAAAAAGAAGTACTTCAACAAAAAACGATTACCTTCGTTCTTTTAATCTTGGCTATATACTCAGTAAAGAAATGAATTTATGAAATGCAGATGTGGTTGGAAATCGCATAACATTAACGAAGAAAGACGCGACTGGCTGGATTTGTAGTATACATAAATTTCGTCATCTCGGAGAGGAAATATTACCTTTTCGTCCAATGCTTCCTCGAAACGCATTTGCTTCAGTAACTTGCGTTCCTTATCGGTGAAGCGACTATCTTGCTCACTACTTGTACCACGATAAAAGCCTGCGTCAGCCATTTTATCTCCTTGTCAAAGTAATAGTTTTGACTGCTAAATGGAATGGTTATTTGCCAACAACATTTCCTAGATCAAAACGCAGCGAAACATAATAAACATATGTCCAATAAACACCGATCTCAAGGGAAACAAGAGATTTAAACTGATAAAACTCAGCAAAATATATACTGGAAAGTGGAAATACTATCAGATCCAAAAATTCTGCAGCACTAGAAATCTGGCGCAGCCTTGCGTATATAAAACAGCACTTTAGGGAATTTTATGTGCCGTACAATAAGAATTCCAGTTTTTATTGCTTTTTGCGACTATTTACAGTCCTCTTAAATCCGAACAAAAAAGACCACGTAGATTCATAAAAGTCCTTGGTTGTAATCAGTCTCTGTACACGGAGACGGATGAAGGTTACATCCTAACATCCGTGGGGATGATCTTTCAAAAGACAAGCGGGGTATGATGAAAATGTGGAATAGGTCCCGAAACAAACCAATTATGATTACTCTATCCCACATCACCACCAAAGCTATGTTTACACTGCAGTAACATCACTATGACCATCACATTGGGTTCCTAAGGGATCGATAGCATCGAACGCAGTGGCTCGGTACAGTCCGAGTGAGAAGATACGCAATTGATGGATGTTACTTCTCGATGTTAGGCGGTCTTTGCAACTCGACTGTCCGAACTACAAAGTTCATACCACTGCGCCATTACTGTTCCTACTGCGGCCACTCCCGAGACCTCCCACAACTTTCCATCCTCACCAGTTGATTGTCACATCAGGCAAATGAAAGCGGCTGGCGGTAATTGCCCGTTAGTATTTCACGGGTCGTCCAAGGCTAGGTGCGAGGTGTTTCATCTAAGCTTCGAGCCTTAGCCACTTGGTCTTTGTTTGGGCTGGGCTTCACGAGGGGGAAGAGTGGATGAGTGGTGTCGGTGCACTGCAAGCAGATGTGTAATTTCTTTTGTGTTGTTTTCTTTCGTTAGGACCATACAGGCAGTCTTTCTCTTAAGAAGTCGAAATGCATTGAACTAGTTTAAAAGTCCCGGCATGCTCCAGCATAATCCATCAATTTTCACGTGTATAGAAATCCAATACAGAATAAATTTTGATTGTTTCCTCCTCTCACTTTTCCTCATGTGTTTTGTAGTATACAGGGTCTTGCTCAGTCTTTCTTTCAACATTAATCTCTGCTCTCTGCTATCTATTTATACCGACGTATTCTCTTCTGTGAGGGTATTTTCTCTAAACAGTATTTCATCAGTTCTGTCTTTTCTGTGTTGATGGATGAAAGAGCATTTTCCGCGGACAAAGTAGACGGCAGACATTAATAATTAATGTGCGTCTACTTTGCAAATATAACTGATGAAGAACTGACTCAGTTCGAGCAAATGTCTCCAGTAACTGGAAGCGACTTTTCCTACCCTAACCCAGTTAGTTTCTATTCAGTTAATACGAGTTTTTCCTGCTGCCAATTTCATTCATGAATATCACGGAATGAAATCCCGTGGACCAGCTGTTTCCACCATCCTATTGTCATTCTCATAATATGAGCACCACAGATGAGCAATAGGATTGACATCATTCAGCAGTGAACTGTCCACCTGGTCTTATGAGTTATAATGAAACATTTATTCAACAAACTTTATTCTTTACAGCTGTTGAGAAGGCAATTTCAGAGGAGAACTAGTCCATTCTCTTGCTTCTTTTTTTGCAAGCAAGGTCGAATAAACAAAAGTGAACCAAACAGATCACTTCAAAAGAAAAGGTAGGTTCAAACTTTCTGGAAGTTATTGTTCTAAATTGTCTAAAAACACTCACAACAAATTTCTCCAAAAAGGAAAATTAGTGGAAAGCAAAAAAAAAAATAGTTCAATAATAAAAACGTAAGAAATAAGGGGCCCCTCATTCACCCTTCTCTTTGCCAGATGACATCATCCGTTCGAGATGAAGTTAGAATCATGAAATCACAGAAAAATATTTCATAAGCTAGTAAATCCACATGATCCTGTATAGCATCAAATTTGGCGTAATTTTATATAACTATTCAGTTAGTACGCCTACGACAATCAGTCTGATACTGCCGGATGCTTTTTCAGTTAATGCTGGCATTTTTCCGTATTATTTTATGCTCCAGTTAAATTAATTGCTTTTTGAAAATGCATCTTCAGTCAAATGATCGATTGTATTGAATGAAAGATCAAGTTCGATTAAACGAGGCATATTTTCTAGATACATAGGTGCTTAGAAATGCCTAAAAAGAAGCATTTCTGTAATGTTTAATAATATTAGACTGTCTTGAACCCGAACTGTTCAAGTTTGAGAACTTATCAATTTCAAAATACATAAATATTCATACATACACATAGGTGCTTAGAAATGCCTGAAAAGAAGCATTTCTGTAATATTTAATAATATTGGGTCATAATAATATTGGGACATTTGTGTGGGTCATAAATTTGGTATTAGTCTTGCTGTCATCCACAAGCTAATTTAGACATCGACTTAGAGAATAAAACCAATGAACTGAGCACTGGTTCTAGATTAGGATATAGTGAAAATTACTAGACAAGGATTACAAAGCAAGGTCTTGATTGCTGCACAGTTCAATTGTTCAAATTAGAAATGTGCATAAAATACTTCAAGCACATTTCGACGCCATTTTGTATGAAAATCAGCTACTGTTCCAAAACAATCGTATTTTTAAAAATTAACATTAATATCAATATAACTCTTTTAGCGACAGAATTTTCCATTGCAAGGGTAATGAAAAAGAGAAGACAGCCAGAATAAGAATGTAACTAAAAGTCGGGAAGAATCTATTTCCGACATGACCAAATAAATATAACAAAATAATAAGATGATAAGACAAGCATTCCTTCTTCCTTTCTAAGAAAGTGAAAAGTGAATTGAAATTGTTCTCTTAATAATATCACTGATTCGAATGATATACGAAGGTAGTTTACAGGTATTTGTTTATACAATGGAAATAGGAGTTTTTACAAGGTTAAGTCTAAAAAGATAAGATATAGACGAAGCTGCCAAAAGATACTACTTATTTGTCGTTACTTCTTTGTTGACAAAAAGGAAAAATTCATTTGATAACAACACCTTTCTCACATAAGTGTTACATTACAACACTTATAGCAAATTTTTTTTTTTCATATTCTCGATCCCCAGCCAATACATACTTATGATATTTATCCTAAATAAAAATTTTCAGAAATAACAGCTATCTTATTATCAATAATGAGGAAACATTAGATTGGACAATTTTTACATGACGGAAGCACAAACATTAAAATGCTAAGTTAGTAGCTACTGTTTTCACAATGAAAAGGGCTTAAAATACTTACTTTCACATTAGCAATAATTGTTGACAACTTTCACAACAATAAAATTTTGTATTCAAAACCATTTTCCGTCAGCTTCCAGGCATCCTCATTGCATTCAGAAAACGATCTAACCAATCAGCCGATTTATCAAACTTCAAAGAAAAAATAGGAATTTAACACCTCTTCAGAACTTATCTCATTAAATGCACAAATTATCTACCTAAAACCGAATGCAAAGTCAAAGAACTAGTATTACAATAAACTGTGTTTGAACCATTTACGGGAACTGGTCAGAAAGAGTACCAAATAACTGCCCAACTAGTGCACTAAGTTAGTGAGAAGATATAATGAGGAGTCAATATGTTTTGTTAAATCTGTTCCAAAAGTCTTCAAATGAATTAATCGAATTAAAAAAATTTCTAATGAAAAATGTGGATATTAGGTATTAAGCACTAGTAATATGATAGTAATGATAATATCTTCAGGAAAAACGAGAACAAAATGAAAAAGTATTGTAAAATGAAGGTAGGTTAAAACTAAATCTGCTGGTTGTTTGCAATCTTTTGAATTTGCCAAGGAAACCAATTTTCAACTAGTATATCTCTCAGAGCTATGGCCTGCACGGTAAAATGCTGATAGCAAGAAGAAGGTAAGATATGAAGAATTTGTAAACGATCTATTCTAGCAAATGCGGGATTCTCCTCCAATTCTTCTTTCCAAATATCCAAAGTATCCATTGGTTTACACTGAAATAAGGTTTCAAGTTTCTTTTAAAAAATGTACGGACAATAAACAATCTTATAAGCATTACAGATTTTTTGACTAATAAAAAAAAATAAATAAATAAAAAACTGTAATGTTTTGAAATTCAGCACCATATAAAAACCAAGAATTAGAAATACGCTAGCCGCAGTAGTAAAAATGAGAGAAATTATTTCTTAATGTTCAATAAACTTGCGCTTTTATTCGACCTCAAAATATCTGTAATACTATACTAGTCAGCTATAATCTTTCGCAGGGAAGCAAGTAAATCAGCAGTTAAAATAATCGTACATCTCCAATTCACATATGAATTTCAAACTTTATTTGAACAAATGAGGACATTTCTAGATAGACTTACGACGATAGCGAAATCATAAGTGACAACTTCGTTGATGCGCACTTTTCGATCCCGTAACATTTCCAAAATAGTCCTTCAATAAAATACATGCAATGAATGCATTTATATAATGCGTAATATGTTTGCAGTGGAAATTAAAAACCACTTGGAGAAATGCAATTTCCTAAGAATAAAGTGAGAAAATCAAAGAAAAGAAACTCAACAACTCCCAAAAAATTTTCTTTTGAGGAATAACCTGTTGAATTTTATAAATTGAATTATTCAGAATTACAAAACTGCATACTTATCATGCATCCTCCTGATTAATCATTTCGTTAGCTCTGTTAACTTACCAGCCTTAATAATTTAATTTCCAGCAAATTCAAGACGGAATGGCTGAATTCATAGAAGCATCTACTATGTGATAGAAGAACAAATAGTAAATATTGATTTCAATGAAATGTGAAAAGAGGACCTGGAAACGGTAATGCCAGTGAACTTTTTAATTAGAACTCGTCGATCGGGAGTACGGACGGTGAATGAAAGAAGCTCAACAGAATCATCTACATATGTACTCAGTCTAAGCTCTTTTTCTTCAAATTTTTCCTCAGGTACTTGCAGTGGTTTCTGTGGCTGTCCTTTTTCGTTCGTCCTTAATTTGTACAGTGTTTTCGTTAACTTGTCAATATCTTCCTGCATATCCGACAATGTCTTTGTGGTGTACGTTCGTTTTCTGCTTCTCGGCTTCCTCCAAACTTCGACATATCCTTTTTTCGAAAACCTAGCATCCTCAATATGCACTGAATTTTCTATCCTTCCATTAATGATTTCTACATATGATTTCTTTTTATTTGTCGAATTGGTACGCATATTTATGCTCACTAATTTATGAGACCGGCCATTTAAACTTGACTTTAGTGTATGGATGTTTTTGTAAAGTGGAAAATTCCATACAACTGCGATTCGTCCAACTGACATAAAATAGAGTGAAGCTCTCGACATGCAATCCACTCTGAAAATAGTGAGCATGCAACTTTCTTGAAAGAATATGCAAAACAGTTATTAAATTAGAATGTCTTTCGTTCGTTAAAAAAATGTAAACAGGACTTGAAAAAAACCGATATGATGTAAGAGGTTTAGAAAATTAGTCGAGCACCGATTCTTGACGTACGGAACTTAATGTATGAAAGAGGCTGTTTGGCAAGTTTTTATGGATACAAAAACCATAGCGAAAGTACAATTGAAAATACAAGTACAATGCAATATCAGAAATATATGCTACAATAAAAATTATGAAATTTGTAAACCTGACGAATACAAATTATTGAGTGACGAGACCTGGTGAACAGCACTTAATTCTGCCATCATTCAAAAATTTTTTGAAATATAGTGTCACTTGTATTTCTAATCCATTCTTACAAGCAGTCCTCGTACTTTCTGGTAAGTCCTCCAAAAGTGATATCCGAACTTTTCCTCCTTTTCCGAATGCAGATTCTAGGCGACCTACTTCACCAGTAGAAAGGTAAACGTCCATGTGACAATATATATCAATATTTGTTTCTTTCTTGAACAGAGAATTGCAAATTATGCTTCGTTTATTTTCGATTCGTTCAACTTTTCCAACTTTTTTCTTCCGCCGAAATCGACATATCTGTTTGTCGTTACTAAGTAACTTCAAAAACCTACCATGAAAGACAAACCGACAGCCTTTTCCCTGGTAATCTAATCTGGATGTGATAAAAAAGCTACCTTCTTTTGTATACAGAAAGTGTTCTAAGCTAAGTATTGCGAATTTCACAGTTCCATCCAGTTCCTGCACTACTTCATAATGATCCTCTTCTCCGGACAGTTCTGGAGCCAAAAATTGGCACTGTCCAATAACAGTATCGAAACCAGTTGAAACATGTAACTTGGAACTCTGGCGAAGAACTCCTTGAAAATGCACTACTCGATTCACACTGACCAGTAAGAATTGCACACGGCGCAGTGTTCCTGGTTCATATATAATCGTTCGGTTGATATCCTTGCCAGAAACATTGTGAAATAATAAAGCTGCTCGATCTCCCATTCCTGCGCTAAGGACGTTTTCTTTCCAACGTTGCATACTTATAATTTTACGTTTTTCTTGTAAAGCTGATATCTCCACGTCCATTCCAACTCTGAAATATGGCACTGTCATATTCAAACATTTTAATATTACACTTTTGTTATTTGTTATAAACTACATATAAATGGTAGCATATTTTGAAATTATTCTCTTCTGAAATCCTTCTAAAACCGATGACATTTAACCTTAGCAATTCAACTGTAACAAGTATTAGATTAAATTCAAAAAAATTGAAGAGAAATCATTAGGAAAAAAACGACTGCAACATGTCAAATTAAAATTTAAATTTACTTGCACATTCCATCGACAACAGTGCCTGTCATTATTGTCCCTTTACCTTTAACAGGGAAACAGTGATCAACAAACATCATGAAATGACCAGAAGAAACTCGCTGAGGTGTGTAAACAGCTAAACGCAAAGCATTCATTAATGACACTATCGCTTCCTCCCTTTGCTGCGTTAACGATACTGGCACAATTTGCAAATTTGAGTTTAGCTTTAAGCTAGATGCCACCTTTCTGCAACGTTTCGTCATTTGCTCTACTGCTCTCTCGTCTATTAAATCAATCTAAAATAACAAGATTTCTCATCAAAAACATTTCCTTACTTCATTTTTCGTCTTATGAATGACTGAAATCCGGAACATTTCTCGCACAGAAAATCAATTAAATTATTTGATTTCAATTCAGTATCTAGTTCCTTTCCTGCCGTTTTGAATTTGTTAATAAAGAAATGGAATCTGGATGGAATTAATCGAATGCATTATTTCCCAACGTACAACCAAGCTAGACTTCACCAAACTGACATCTTAAGAATGAATATTTTGAAAATGGTGCAACTGTTTCAGACAAAAAACACATGCCTGAAATCCCATTTAATATTGTTTTTTAACATTATTATTTATGGTTCATAATTCATAATTGCAAATCAGATTTAATTATTAACCTTATTAATAACAAGGATTACATGATCTGGACAGAACAGTGATACGAGAAGGAGATGTTCAGCTGTTTGCTGCTCGATTCCTTTGCTGCTATCTATCACAACAATTGCCATGTCAAAAACTGATGACGCTGCAAGCACCGACCTAAGAACGAAAATATTCAGACAAATTTCACATTATCAGCAAAAACTTAACTAGCATAAAAATAACTTTTTTCTTATTCTTACAACATGTTTCATGCTTGTAAATACCAAGTACTGTTTTCAAAGGCCATCCTTACATATCTTTGAATTGCACGTAAAAAGTACTGTCCGGTTACAAATTCCAAACAAAATTAATGAATATCACCTGATTAATGACGCGTGTCCAGGGCAGTCGATCAAAGCAATTACTGTATTGTCGATTGTCAGTGTAGAGAAGCCAAGATCGATTGTATTGGCTCTCAAATTAGAAGTTTTGGCATGCTTGTCAAATGCAGCAGTTGAACCCATTGTGGATAACGCCTTTGCTAAAGTTGTTTTGCCACAGTCCACATGTCCCAGGATACCAACGTTCAACGAATTTAGTGTTGCCAGTTTGTTTTACTGCACTTTGCTTAATTGCTATATTACAAATAGACAATATACTACATTATATTAGGGAATCGCATTAATGACTACCACTTAGGGGATTATGGAAAAATGGTAGTCCACATACACAATTATGTTGAGCAATTTCAAATCAGATCCTTGAAGTAAAATTTTAAAGTTATAACTTAGCAGTTAGTGAACCATTTTCAATATGATTGAGGCTGAAACTTAGGAAACATTACTAATCAAAACTATTAATATAAAGTAAATAAGCAGAAAATTTCAAAAGGGTTTACCATAGCGACTATCCGAGAAAAAATGTTCAGGTAATTTGAAAATAACTTGGTATCTAAAACACTTTATTTTCTCTTTAAACACACCTCTTCATTATTATGAAGCAGTGTTGTAAATCAAAGACAACATGTTTATTCGTAGTATTCGCATTTGCATCATTAAGAACAACACAATGTATGGACCAGCGAAAAGAATTCATGATGTAAAAACTATCTAATCCAACTTGACAAATATGAAAACAATGAACAGGAGTTAGATAAGCCAAATAAAACTAGAACTGGAGATTCAAGGAAGCGGAAGATTAAAAACAGTACAGATGAAGTTTTAATATTTTGAACACATTGAAACGTTATAAGTGACGCCTAAAGAGAAGCGCTCTTCGATATTTAAGATCTTCCTAAATACTTTTGTTGTTTCCGTACTGGACTGATCACCTAAGCTCAGGAGATTAAAAGCACTTCAGAATAAAACATCGGAATAACGCATTGAGAATACCCCAAGATATTAAAAACACGCGATTTTTTTTCCACAAATAAAGAATTTATTTTTGCAGACCCTTATTTTAACAATATTTTCAAATAATACATTATTTGCAATATCAGCATGCAAATTACAACAAATACTTGATTTTAATAGAACGACAGAATTGGCATAAAGCTAAGAAGGATCTTACAAAAACAAGTTCACCTAGAAACAACAAAATGAAGTGTTACTAATAATAACTTTAAAAAAATCAAAAAGGTGATAGAAAATCAAAAACAAAGTAGAATTAGATCCATAAATTCAAACAGTTTCAGATGAAATAATGAAAATGAAAAAGGAACATAGGAAAACAATGTATGTGAAAGAACAAACATAATGTAGTTTTGAACAAAAGCTATATTTATTGTATTTTGGCTCACATCAAAATCAAAATACAATAAAAAATTGACAACAATATCGAAGTTTGCTACATCACTACAGAAATAGTACATCGAAAAAATTAGTTGGAAAATGAATCGAAAACTGAATTTTTTAACTTCAACCAATTCACTTACAATTACTACGATAGGTAACCATTTGGATTCTTTACTTGCCAATTCCACAAATCAAGACACATTTCTTCAAGGCCATATTCACATTTCCAACCAAGCTTCTGGGCAGCTAACAACGGATCGCAGTAAATGCAGGCTACATCACCTGTTCTAGGAAAAGTGTTTTCTGTTTTTATCTGCAATTTTAAAAGTTAAAACTGAAAGCAGAGGAAATGAAAGAAATGAGTAATGGAATTGTTCTAACCAAACAACTAATCAGTGTAAACTTACTTGTTGTCCACTGGCTTTCTCAAAAGCAGCGATCATTTCCAAAACTGAATATCCTTTCCCAGTTCCAAGATTATAAACTTCACAACCACAGTTTTGTTGTTTATTAAGATGATTAAATGCTGCTACATGTCCTCGAGCTAAATCCACAACATGGATATAATCTCTTACACCGGTTCCTGAAAAAATAAAAGTTCAAATGGCTCTCTTAAAAAGCGAAAATAAAAAATAAATTACACAATCAAACGAAAAATTTAATTAATGGACAACTTTTGGTGCTTAAACTACAGGAAACTAAAACCTTTATTGCCATTCACTATTTGTTTCCTTGAAAAATGGATTTTCCCAAAATAATTATAAAAAACACATTACCATCTGCAGTATCAAATTCGGTTCCAAATATGTATAACACCGGTAATTTTCCAATAGCCACTTGGCTCATGTATGGCATTAGATTGTTTGGGATTCCTTTCGGATCTTCACCAATGAGGCCACTAGGATGAGCACCCACAGGATTAAAATATCTTAGAATAATTATATTCCAGCTCTAAAATTAAAACAAATTAATTCACACAATTAAGGTAATGCAGTCAAACAGATTTATTTTAATACAAAATAAAACAAAACACAGTTGAAAATTTTCGGATATTCAACAAGCAGTTGAACTATCCTTTTTTTCGCTAGAGTAATTTTTATTAATTATCTCTAACCATATCAGCATGAGCTAAGTCCATCAAAATTCGTTCAATCATGTATTTAGTATGACCATAAGGATTAGTGATTTTATATCCCACTGGATCAGTTTCTTTAATCGGTAAACTGTCCGGTGGTCCATAAACAGTTGCACTGCTTGAGAAAATGAAGTTTTTGACATTATATTTTCCGCATAGCTGTGAAATATTTTTTTAAATTCATCAAAAATCAAAGTGAAAAAAAGATTTACATAGAGAACTCGAGAAAGAGTTGTTTCAGATATAAAACAATTCAATACATAAAACAGTATAGAGAATGTGGAAACTGTAGACAATACAAAATATATTGTAATGACAAAATTTATGAAAAAATATAACCTTAAGTAGGACCAGTGTAGCAATAAGATTATTGCTATAATAATCAAGAGGATTTTTTACCGATTCACCAACCGCTTTCCAACCAGCTAAGTGAATAACACCACTAACTGAATACTATAAAATAAATGAAACAGTAATTAATACATCTATTTTTACACTTGAAAGATTTGTCAAACATATTTTTAAAACTATCCAAGTTACTGAATATGAGCTAGTCAAAATGAAATAAAAAGCAAACTTTTTCAAAGATAGCTTCCAACTGCTTCTCGTTCTTACAGTCAGCAAAAACGAATGGTACCTCTTTGTTTATAATTTGTGAGACACGTTTTAAACTGACCGCATTCCCATTGTTATCTTCAAAAAAGAACTTTATTGTAGAAGAATATAAGGAAAAATAATACTAACAAAAATCCTAAAAATAATAACGGGACTGTCACAACGAAACGGAAGTAATTTCAAATTTCACTCGAATATATGTTCCGAAGTAAGAAATTAAGTGAATTACCACTTAATTTCATACTTGTTCCAGGCTGAATCCCTGAAGTTATCACCTGTTCAGATGAAATTAATAGCAGATAAATGAACCTTGCACAGAATTTGAGAAATTGTCGATACAGATAACGTCGTACCCAGCTTCCAGTAATTCCAACGCAACATGACTTCCAATAAAACCAGCAGCTCCAGTTAATAAAATCCTCATTGCATAAAAAGGCTTCTCAAACAGTGATTACTTAAATTTTTGATTATAAAACAGACTTACAGACATCAGTACTTGAATCAAAAATTCTTGTCTCTCACAAATCCAGAAACCGAAACCATCACAATTGAGCAAATGATCAGTGCTACCACCAGTGAATAAACCAAATCATTGCAAGATGGGATGTCACCATCTGCGGTGGGCACACTTTACCGCAATTCAACCACCAATAGTACGTAAATTCAAACGATGCCATACCAAACTAATGTGATTAACGAGCTAATTACAAAGTGAATATATATAATCCAGTGCCAACCAAATGCCCTCAATTAGATCTTTTCTAGGCATCAATTAAACAAGCAGCAATAAGATATCTCATTTATATATAAATTGCATTTCACTGAACGTTTTATACTTAACTTTTCTATATTACCAGTACAGTAAAATGAAAACCAGAGAACATAGGGAGAAACAAGTATTGAGTCGCAGTCTAGATAACATTTACTGTATGTTAACAAACGTTTTTTTTTAATAACACTTACTGTATAACAAAAAAGGTAAACAAATGTGAATTTCAAAGAAGACAATTTGCACAAATGAGTTCAAACATTGCAGAACTAACTCATATTAATTTCATTTCAATTCTTCTTGAATCTGTAATTTTCCTAGTTCTATTCATTGTTTATATCTTTTTCTTCATACATTTTCTATTCTCATTGCACACATTTCATAGAGAAATTGAGCAAATGATGATATTGGTTAATATATTGATTCAATGGGTTTAATGATACCTACAGTCGGGCACAAAATCAGCCATCATTTGCTGAATGGTTAACTCACCATCACTTATATTTTTATCTAAAATTATGATCTCAGAATTTGAATTAAGTTTTGCTATTGTAGCATCTGCAACAGAAGTATTTTGTAATCCCTCTTGCTCCATTAAAGTGTATCCTACTTTCTCTGATATTTGCTTTTCATCCGTAATTTCTAATGTTTCCAAGCACTGCGAACTTCCGTTCGCAGAAAACATTTCTTCACTACATTCGGAACCAATCCGTACATGCTTTAAGGTTGTTTTTCCCGCTGATGGATATGAACGCTTTCTAACATTGCTTCCCGTTGATTCTATTCCAAAATTTTCATGATTCTCCATAGGATTATCGCTTACAAGCTCATTACGAATTTCATTTTTAGCTGCCGTCGAAGTTAGTTTAGACGAATTCTGAGAAACATCGAAATGTATGTGCTGATCATTCATCACAATATCACTCAATTTCTTCAGCAAATCTTCTTGAGGAATAATTAGTTGAATAGAGGGCCGCGAAATGGATGAACATAACGCTCGCCCCAGACGTACTTCATCGCACCAATCTTCACTGCCACTGAAGATGCTTTGTGCAATCTAAAGAGAGTGACTTAGTTTGTGAAACTGAAAATGAAAACGAAACTAGAAAATGAAAGAACTAGATAACAAGTGAATTTCTCCGATAACAACCTGTACAGGCGACGGCACCAATTCATTGTTCATAGCCAACAGTGAGTTTAGCAATGATAGTACTGGCCTACAATTTCGATTTTCGAAAGCTTCCTGACAAACTAAGCGCTGCAGCTCTATCACATCCTGAACATCTAACAAATAAGGTCTCAGTTCCAGCATTGCACCTAGCGCTTTAGCATATATTTTTCCATATTCCTAAAACTAGAAATGGTGAAATGAACTTTATCTGAAATACAAATTCTTGAAAATAACAGTATATTTGCCTGAAAAATGCCATCCAGTACAATAAATAGAACAAATTCTAAGTAATACACTTAGTATTTGAAAGCTAAAAAACTACACTAGAATGACAAGCCCACCTGTGAGTGTAACTGACACTTGGCAGAACGAATGAAGGTTTTAAAAAGAATATTAATACTCAGATCTGGTCCTAATTGAACATATTCTTTTACTGTTTCGTAATAAGCTTCACTTGGATGGTAGAAATCACTGATAAATGAAGAAATTCTTCGTGCAGCGAGATGTGCACAACTTCTAGCTTTTAACAGAAAAGTTCTTAACCACCGAAAAATGGAATTTATTTTTTCGGTTTTAACCATAATCGCCGACTTATATGCTATATCCAACCACTCGTTTACAGCAACTTTGTCATCTGAATTATGTTGAAATAGCTCTTTGATGAAATCTACTTGACAGTTAGCAAATATGGAATTAAATATCTAATCAAAGTCATTTACAAATCCAAAAATTAACAAACTGAGAGCGACCTCAACTACCAACACATGTAATTCCATCCTAAATAATAATGTAGCAAACAGAAAGTATGCTATTCTCACGACTAATTTTCAAAAATACATTCTTTAAAAATGAACCTCACATAACTCTCTACAAAACATAAAAACAATACTTGCTGAGCATCTCTCCATTACTTCTATGTGCAGATTGAACACTGTAGAAATAAACTGTGGAAGGTGTCGCTGTACAGCTGTCTCAAAACGCAATAATATCTTCTCATTCCCATCATTTTCTTCAGCAATCACGTTACTCAACATATTTTTCAATGTCTTTATCAAAATGTAATCATACTTAGTTCCTGCCCATAATGCATATATGTTGGAAGTGAGCCTATAAAATAGACTTAAAAAACCAGATATATTACGCCTCCGATCTATACAGTGAAAGCAGTGGTGTAAAGTTGTACATAATAGTCTTTAATTGAACTTTTTCTATAATTTTGACCGACACTCAAAACTTCTAAAACTCCAAAGTTTTCTCATAATTCTTCCATAGTAACAAATTAAGTATCTATACGGACCGAGTAAATAACTAAATTATATGGAATAATTAAATTATACTCAGTAATGCTTTCGGAACAACTTTCAACACTAAAATCCACAGCACGTGAACATATATAAGCCAAAGTTTGTTCATTGAAACTTTTAAGCCATTGAAAACGAACAAGGAATGAACGGACAAAGTGCAACAGAGGAACCGTAATTGGCTGTCTAGCAGCGGCGACCAACCTCTTCTAAAATGATTAACTGAAATAGAATGGCGAAAACAATTCACATAAGAACTTTCTATATTGTTCAGCCAATTCTTCATTCACAAGCACAACACCAAAATTGATATACTTGAACTCTTGACGAAATAGTTCTCAGCATCTCTTGATCACAAGCGTAAATTAATTTTGCAAGCAAAGCCCATCCAAAAGCATCCTTTCCTGACAATTTTCCACATTCTTCCATCACTGGGAGTAATTTTTTGCGTAATCTGGTCGGATCCGCAAGTATATCGAGCATATAGCGTACCTTTTGCTGTTCCATATTACTGGAAGTGACGTAGGACAGTAATTTCAGGGTAAATTTAAAATTTCATCTTAGGTTTTCAATCTCTGTTCAAATCCCATTCAAAAAAAAAAATATATATATATATATATACATAAATTTTTGTAACACTCCATAAAATGATCAGTATTCATGAAAATACAAATGAAATACAAGCTTCTATTTGTACTTCTCCTCGAAATGACTTCTCAATAACAAGTATAGCTGTAAACTCTAAATACCACTGGTGATAAAACTGAGCAAATCAAAAAAATCGCAATATGAAGATTTTATTTGCTATATATATATACAAACAACACTACAAGAAATACGAATTACGAAAATGCTAAAGCAATGAATAAAAATGTTATACTACTATTTTTCCCTCAACACTACTCGATTTTTCCTGGGCGGCTCTTTTACGAGAAGCTCGTTTCAATAACCGTCTTTCTCGTTCGAATTCTTTCATCCTCAGGAGATGATCTTCATATTCACAATTCTGCCATCCGTGGTAATCATCTGTGCAGTAATAATGCGAAAAAGGAGCATACTGTCGCTAAAATAAGGCGTTATATTACAAAAACTAATGGCTTTTGTTACAAAAAAATGCGCTAAATCAGTCATTACCACCAAGTTTATATTTTTTTGCATATTTCTTCATACATATATTAGTCTGCATTCTTTAAGGGGAAAAATGAAATGTGTTGCACTGCAAGTAAATTTACGAACAACCTATGTAATAAACTTTAACTAATTTAATATTAAATTCCCAAGGATTCTCAAATAGTGAAATATCGAATGCAGAAAGAAAAGGAAGGGTCACATGAGGTCATTCTGCATGCATTCATTGAAGTTTCATTGCAAAAATCAGGGTGGTTTTAATCACAGTTCGATTAAGCCAAACGTATCATGACAACCTGGCATTTTTTGAGATTAATTAGTAAGTGAGCACAGTAATCACGATCGCCGAATTCTAGTTTCCAGTGATCCATTTCCTCCCATGTTGCTTTCATTTCACGCGGTTTTCGTCCTTTAGGAAATCCATAGAATGGGTCAAAAGTGGGAGGGCGATCCGTTCGAGGTGAGACTTCCGGATCTTCCAGTGATACAGATAACCGGGTACCCATTCAGTCTTTTACCATTAACTGAAAAAAGGAGCCAGTGCAACAAAGAGAACATCTGATAGAATATCAACAAATCACACACAACAAACCAATGATTTAGCGGTACTACAAAGAAGTTTCACATTCTGTCCTTTATTCACCTAAAAATAAAAGATCAAATTTATCAAATTCAGAATTCAAATTCCAGAAATTCGTTAATCTCTTGCAAATCCAAATACGACCGTAATGAAGAGAAATGAAAACTGTTGCAATACCGTGTTTGCTGATCATTGAGAGATGTATTGAATACTTCAGCATATCATCATAGAACAGTATCTTACATTAATCGATATTTGTCCAATGGACTAAAGTGACAATATTGAAATTACTTTGCCTACAAGAATCAAGAACTACATGGTGCTCATCTGGTTGGTTTTCATTAGGAAACTCTCAGTAACGGCTATCCATTTCCAGAAGCTTTAAGTCAAAACTTAGCTATGGCTTAGGGGTCGCGTCAAGTATCTCGTACTGTTCTACTTCAAATTAACACACCTATTATATCGAAGAATTAACTTTAGCGATTTCGCTTGAGCCTATACTTACTCTAATGTGTCTGCAATGAGTGCAGTGGAGCAAGACAGTATGCTTGTGGTCGTTCATTCTCTTCTGACAGATGAATAAATTTATTATCAGACTACAATTATATCTACTCACCATTATCTCTGAATGGCATACTGCAAACATTTTCGCAGATACTGAATCAATACACGACTCTTTGATTTTCTTGTAATTGTGCATTCCCATATGAACAGAGAGGAAAAAGGACATAGTTTTTGGAATTTACAACATCCAGTCGCAAAAAATCGTTGTCCTGTCATCATGAACATGAGACATGAACAGAAATAAAATGAACGATGCAAAACACATACAAATTTATAGTTTGTGTAAGCTAACACTCGCAAGATAACAAAAAATTAAGTGCCAGCCCAAGTGTGGAGTTACGTCTCGAAGTCATTACCATGTGGTCCATACAGGGGTCGATAATGGCCAGAGCAGCCAAAACCACATACCACTTCATTGTCACAATGCGACAGGTGAGGAAAGGGTAGGGAAGGCCACGTTGATAGAGACGATTTGCTACAACTTTCCACCTCATTGTGATGTAATGGCGGGATGAGTGATAGATCTGGAACTTTTGAGGAAGTTACTCCGTTATATTCCTTTGTATATTAGTAAAACAGGAGATCGGATGTGGCTAGTTCAGTTGGACATCATTAATTTTATTTCGCGAGAAAGCTTGAAGTGTTGTTGGTTTTTTACCTGTTTGCTTAATTTAAAAGTTACTAGGACATCGAGATAATTGATATCTACCATCTATCCTTCCATTGATAGTTAATGCGACTTTGCATATAATTCCGAATTTTCACGTGAGCTACATTGCCATCTTGCCACAGTAGCACAGATAAACTTAAAATGTTGAGTGCTGAGACTTTTTACTTCCGATAGCTGAATGTCAAGGATGAGAGGGTGGGCGTCTAATCCATCTTTTGCATTTGGGAACAAATTTTCTAAAAAGGCGAATATCTGTAGCATACCTAGAGCTTCTATTTATGCACTTAGTTTTCTTGCAAGAGAAGTTGTCGTAATTAAAATAAGCCCATTGTTTCATTATTTAGAATGGAATAGATTGAAGAATTGGAATTGATGACATAGAGACAGCGATACTGCATTGGACACAGGAGAAGTGTGTTCATATTATTCACAACATACTGAATGACCTTGCTATGTTGGATAATTATTTGAACGGGTCAACTAAAAAATCACATTTGCGGTCATTTTCGCTCCTTTGGATAGTCCTGATAAAAACATTAAATTTCAGAGCAACACCGAATAAATGTTATATGTTTATTTCAGGTACTATGTTGTGGTATTTGTAAACTGCTTGATTGTGTATTTATCCTTCTCGGGTGTCGATCCCAACAATATGTGTGTTGCTTCACTTTTATTCATCTCCAATATATTGCTTGGTGAGTAATCTTATGTCGTTGTTTCTTGTTTCGTGTTTAATTTGAATAATACACTATTAATGCAATAACGTAATAGTAGCAGTGATCTCAATCGTTCACATATTCATATGCTGCCAGACATTTTCTTTTTCAACTTTATTTCTGCTATCTAATGAATTTTCAGTAGATGGTTTAAGCAGGTTCGTAGATTGGTATGAAACACTTAGTTATGAACCATTGGCTGGTCGCAGGAAGCGATCACCTGATGGAATATATGCACCTCTTAGTCTTCAGTTCGCTTCACATAACAGGTATATGTAGCTGTCTATGTTCACTGAATTAGTGATTAGCTGAATTTTTAATATGTTTTATTTAAATTTCTCAGCTTTGTTATAATCTTATGGGAATATTGCAGATCATTCCATTTAATTCTTCGTTCATTGGATGAGAGTACCAGTGTGTTCAGCGATAATTTTATTTTTGATGTCGATGGGAAAGGCGAGCACATACCAATGCGAGATTTTTTAGTACACGGTCATGATAAAAGTGGGCATTATACTTTGTTAAAGAGTTGGATCTGCTAGATTTAAAAAAAGATTTAACGATATGACTGAAGGAATAAATGCGTTATGAAGGAAACACATTTTTTTTTTTCTACTCTTCATAATGTCAGTTGGTTTTAGATGATCCAGAATCCACGTTGTATGGTTCATTTCGCGATGGAATATTTGATGGGCATATAATTTATGGTAATGGAGAGTCTTATACCATAGACAAAATCGACCGGTATTTACATTGGAGGCATAGGCCAAAACATTTCCATTCCATTATTTATTCAGGTAGATTATTCCTGTTTGCTATATAAATTACTTTTAGTGAAATGCTATATATTTCTACCTCTTCAACACAGCATAGTTTGTAGTAGCTTTATAATTTATTTCAAAAATTATGGTGGTTATAGAATAAATACGGGAGTCATTTTTATTTGAATAATCTTTATGTAAATATTAATGAAGGGGAATCACGAATTCCGTATTGTTTTTCATTCATTTTTTAGATAATTCAATTAATTTTTGGAAACAAAGAAGGAAACGTTCATTGGTGGAAAACAATCAGAATTGTGGATTAGATTACACAACGCAGCAGAAAATGGAAATTCTGCAAAATAGTGTTATTTTCGAGGACGAAGAAAACGAGCAATCCTATCGAGACGGTGCATTTGATGAACGGTTATTGTTGTCACTTTACGCCAGACTTAAATTATTAGGAATGTTAATATAACATGAGATTTATAGAGCTTCTCAAGCAAATCATTGTTTATTGGGTTTATAATTTGGAATATTTTAGTTATATACTTGAGTCACGATTCAAACGATCTGCTGAAGAAAATGACATTAAAACAATTAATGGCAAACGGATTTATTCCGTCAGGTCAGAGAAACTTGTTTATCATGTTGCAATTTTTTTGATTGAAGTAATCATATGTTATATCTGTGCTGTATCAGAACAATTTTAGCAAAATTGATCAGTTTTAGAGCATGCTATGTCTACCTCCAAGCAGATCAGAAACTTTACCAACATGTTTATGAAAAAGAAGGAAATATGGATGACGTCAGGCATGTTCGGATGCATATTTTTAATAGTGAAGCTTCAATTTGAATGTAAATTAATTTCCTTGTAAATTTGAAAAATAAAAACTCTATTTTTGAAGGACCAGGGAAGAGATTGCAAGTCTTTTTTACAACCACATTAAGGCAGTGAATCAAATTTATGAAAGTACGAGCTTTGGTGGTATCAATGGCATTACATTTGTTATACAACGAATCTCGGTTTGTTTGATTTTTTATTCGACTGCTTTTAAAAATATTAGTGATTTCTTTACTCCCATCTATCTTTTATGTTTATTAAATCTGAGTTTTTGTTGAAATTAAGTTTTTATATAATTTTTTAGCTTTATACTCCAAGCACTTGTAAAGATGGCAAACCAAAAGGCGTATCTCAGGAAAATCCATTTTGTGAAGAAAATGTCGATGTGTCGAATTATTTGAACCTTAATTCTCGCAAAAACCACTCTGATTTTTGCTTAGCTTATGCATTCACATTTCGCGACTTTGTAGGCGGTACTTTAGGCCTTGCTTGGGTAGCCAGTCCAAATCACAGTAAGTTCCTTTCATTAATATTACATTTCCTTAACCGTCTAATATTGATAAAAACATGTAAATATTTTATCTCTTTTACCAAAGCAAGAGCTCATTCGAGCTAGTCATAGTTAATGGAATTTGGGGTAACGAAGTATTTTCAGACACAGCTGGTGGTATATGCCAGCAATATACGAAGTATAGCGAGGCTTCGAACTTTGTCTATCGTTCGCTCAATACAGGTATAATTACATTGGTAAATTATGGTAATCGTGTCCCCAATCGGGTGTCGCAGTTAACCCTAGCTCATGAAATCGGTCATAATTTTGGATCTCCGGTAAACTTTAATTTTTGTTGCATGTTTATTCCTTTTGTTTCTTTGTCTTTTTTTAACGATTTTGAAGCGCTATCTATTACGTTTGAAACTTTTAGCCTACAAATTTCAGAACTTCATATTTACTGGGTATCTTTGTAACTAAATAATGTTTTATGCTTATTTTTTTTTTTAATAATTTGTTTTTAGCACGATTATCCTCTGAATTGTCAGCCAGGATTACCAGATGGAAACTTCATTATGTTTGCTTCTGCAACTTCAGGGGATAAGAAGAATAATGCGCAGTTTTCAAACTGTTCAATAGCAAATATTACTTTGGTGCTTACTGAAGTACGCTTTGAAAACAAAATTCATATAACTGAATCATCTCGAAAGTTTTATCCGTTTTCTGTCTTGCAAAGACAGGTTAAAAAATAGCGAAATACGTCTCTAAAAGAAATATTGTAAAATGAAAAATCAGAAGGGGAAATAACTCATATGAAAATTCAAATATGGATAGAATGAAATCGAAAAGGTTCTGCAACAACGACTTTAGGTTCTGCAACAACGACCAGTGGACAGCGAAGTTACATTGCGAATAGGTGGCTTCGGTAATATAGGTGCTGGAAAGCGAAATTGCTTTAGAGGTATAATCTATTACTATGTTTTTTCTCTCAATTTTTCTTTTCGATGCTTTATAATAATGTATCCATATTGTTTATAGAAGCAAAATCTTCTTTTTGCGGAAATCAGGTAAAGGAACCCGGGGAAGATTGCGACTGTGGATACAGTGCCGAAGACTGTCAAACAATGAAAGATAACTGCTGTAATCCTCGTCAATCTGGACCTGCGTCTCGCTGCAAACGTATTCATTCTGCTCAGTGTAGTCCGTCTGAAGGACCATGCTGCGACGCTTCCAGCTGTCAGCCATATGCTTCTAGAAAGTAAGCCAAATTATTTTGTTAGTGGCGAAACCAGCAAATATAAAAGAATAAAGTCAAAAGAAGTACGGGAATAAAGAAAACGAGGGAGTAAAGAAGTGAAGAAAGGTTATAAGTTGCATAAGATGGAAGAGTAGAACCAGAAAAACTTATTTAATACTCAGTAGCATTCTTATTTTTAGAACATGTCGGGCAGAATCAGAATGTTTAAAACAACAGCAGTGCAACAGCGAAAGTCCAGAATGTCCACCATCTGATCCCAAAGAAAATGGTCTACCATGCCAAGATTCGACAAAAGTTTGTAACGATGGTAATTGTAATGGCTCAGTCTGTGCACAGGTATTTTACTTAGAAATGAATATTGCATTGTGAAAATAAGCCTTAATCTTACGTACGATCACTGAGAGACTCTTTAATATTTTAATAATATCAATCTTTTGTAAAATGTGTTGCAACTGTCTATTTGATCCAGGATATATACGCTGACTTAATTTTTGTATAGTCTATTTCATGCTTTACTAAATGTGTCAATGACCCGCACATTCTTATCGGTGTATTGCTACAACGTACAGACATCTTGAGTCATCGTGTTACTATTCATGTTCGTTATTTCCAGAACATAACGAACATGAATAGTTTTGGAAATTAGGTGATATCGGCTCTGTTTATTATCTACATTAGCTTCTTATTTGTAAATATTTGTAGGTGGGACTGAAGGACTGTTTCCTGACAGTAGGATCACCAGAACATCTCTGTCATCTGGCCTGCGAAGATGAAAATGGAAGTCAGTTTCCTTCTTATTTCTTAACTAATTTTCGGAATTATCCTACAAAAAAATATTCCTTTTTCTTTCATTCAAAATATTGAAGCTTGAGCTTATGCGATATTATTGTTTTACAGCTTGCCGATCTAGTCTTACACTACCGCAGTTTGCTATTGGTAAATACAAACAATCTGGTCGAAAAAATAAACCTGGATTGATTCTTCTTCCTGGTTCTCCGTGCAACAACTACAAAGGTAATTTCTAATTTTTTATTATCTGTTCTAATCTTCATTGCTTACATGGCGGTCAGAAAAGCCAACTATAATTCATATTGAAGGTTACTGCGATATCTTTCGCAAGTGTAGAAGTGTAGATGCTGATGGACCTTTAGCACGTCTTAAAAATGTCATTTTTAATCCCAAAACATTATATGAAGTCAAATATTGGATTCAAGTAAGTATTTGAGTTCCATTCCTTTTTTTTTTTCAAATTTTGTATTATTTAATTTTTTCAAATTTTATATTATTTAAGTTTCCAATTTATATTATTTAATGATGATTCACTGGGACTTGAGGAATGTATTCCTTTCAATATGTATATCTTCAGGTTAACTGGTGGGCCGTTGTTCTTGGTGGTCTCGGTCTTCTGCTTTTCATGACACTGTTTATCAAAATCTGTGCTGTACATACTCCCAGTACTAATCCCAATAAAACTCCAGCCTTAAATATTTATGACACTCTCCGTCGTCCAAGGAACCTTATTCAACGTAAACATGGATGTGGAGCACATCAGGCATAGCTATTTTTATTCGGTTTTTTTCTGAAGTGTTTAGAATGCTGGATAATTTGATTCTATTCGAAATTAAACATGAATAATTCAAGCACTGAGTCGGAAACTAATAAAGAACTAGTATTATTTTTAAGGTTGGTGGAGGTACTAGTGGACGACAAGCTGCAGGACACACAGAAAATAGTGAAAGAGTAAGCAGCCGTGCGGCATTCCAACCAACACCTTCAGCACCACCTTTACCACCTCCACCAACTAGCGTGCTCGTCATAGAACCACCGCCTCCCTATACGGCCGCTATTCCGGGATCTTCCATTGCACTTGGCGGCCCAAAACGCGGCCATCGAAGAAATCGTAGGAGAAATGATGTCGAAATTCGAGCTAAAAATCGACGAAATTAATAGTGATAGTTTTAATTTAATAGTGCTCATTAATAATATCGAAGATGCTCTCTCGCCCTTTCATCGAATTCTAATATTTTTAAGATCTCTGCCCTACAATTAAGCATTGGAAACGGTTCATTTTTGTTCTGCGTTTCAATTCTTTCTGTCATTATTGTGTTTCAGTTATAACGTATGCTGTTTAGTTGGTAGCTCACATTTGATATTGATCATGTAGACATAAGATTATGGTTCTTGCAGTTTTTTTAAATCCGAAGATGAACAAAAGTTTATTCTGAGGAAGGAAAGAATTTTTTTTTTTGTTAGTGAATATTTGCTTTTGTTGGTATTTTTTGTGACGGAATTCAAACATCAAGGTTAATGGAGTCCGAAATAAGTTTTTCAGTATTTCATGTTTTAGACGGATCATTCTTAAATTATTTTTCAGCCGACATTCTTTGTATATGTAATTCTGAAACCCATTTTTGTCGTTTAGAACTGTGTACTATTCTGTAGGTTTAAGCTCAGGTTAAAAAGATGATCCTGTGATACTCATTCTTTTGATAAGTTTAGAAATGTGTTCATTTCGTACGAAAATGAGATTCCAAAATGCATATCATTCAAGTGCTGTTTTAATTTTTTTTGAACAGGTAATCCCTTCTAATTTTTTAGATGTTGGTACTCTTAAAATGTTATGACAAAGTTGTCTTTCGTCGTATATTATTTTAAAAACGGTTTTCTTTCACTGCCCTCGCATCAGTTTCCTCTTTTTCATGCCTATTTTTACATTCCCTCCCGAAGTGCATCACTGTTCACGATTGATGTTTTTCTTTTTTTGTTTTCCGTTATCAACGTTATTGTTTCTCTGTGGTGAAAATGTGCTCCTAACTATATTATGTGATGGTCTTCTCCTGACGTTGCCTTCATCCCATATGTAATTGATTACTTTCTTTTTTATGCTGCTTTTTTGTGTCTTTATCGGTGATTTTAAAATAATCAAGATAAGATGCTGTACGTAAATCATATGGCGAAAACTGGAGCTCCAATTATTTGCATACAAAATAATCCAAAATTATATCTTTTGTTCTTGAAGTTAGGGTTTGTGATAGGTACGGGGGAATAATGAAAAGTGAAACCTGTTCTGGACAGCTGATTCAGTGTTTGAATCTTACTCGTTATTTTAGGTCTCCACTTTGTGATGTTTCCCTGTGTGTTTTACATGTGAAAAGATACAACTATGTAAAGTGCTTTCGGTGCATTGCATCTAGCAAACAATTTTATATGATTCATTTTGGCTTATCTGGTACTGTGTTAGGAAAAGATGTTCACCAGCTTTGCAATTTCTTTGCCATTACCGACACCTCCTTGTTGGAGGAAGATGAAGTCATAAATTTCATTGGTAAGGTATAGAGCGGTTTTCATAAATTAGTGCCTTGAATGTTTCATCATATCGTTGTTGAGAAGGTGGTATCGGTCAGCTGCGCGTTGAATTTTCCGGAGCTCTCACCGCCAGCACTAATAATCGTAAACCAAGAAGGAAGTAAAACTAAGTTGGGAGTGGTATCTCAGAGTAATAATTATGTTTAACTAAGTATTCATCTTCGTTGCTTGTATTATGCGTGAAATAGACCTATTTTCCAAGACCTCGGGCTTCCGTTGTATCTAATATGCAGAATAGTTCTTTGGAAGTAGGATTTAAATAGAATTTACAGGTCTGACCTATTTTTGAATCATGTTACATTTCAGCCACTTTAATTCAGATTTACTAATTGCCACATGATCTTTTCATAGAAGTATAAAGCATTGTCATCTTTTCTATTCGAAATGAAACGCAAGCATGACAATCTAGATTTGGGAATAACGAAGGTGACATGAATTGAATATGTAGATAGGGAGACGTAAAGCGTTTATTTGGCGGCTATTATGGTTAAATAGCAAGCCTTTTAAACAGTGAAAAGAATTGGAAAAAAATTAACTGTTAGGTACTAGTCGATTATACCAACAGATTAGTTGTGAATCAGTTGGAGGTTAGCTGTGAATTGATTACCAAATTATTGCTTTAATGTGATTGTTTTCACAGTCTCCGTTCAATCGTAAGTTTATTAGCATTCTCAAACTATATTAGATTGTTTTCACAGTTGTCGTTAAAATGTAGGTTTATTGTTAGCATTCACAAACTGTATCAGATTGTTTTATCAACTGAGAATACTGATGGTTTGGGGAAAGAGATAAAAATTATCCTCGATGTCTCTCGTTATGACTTGTGAATTTTATCTACTTTTTGTGCTTTGAACCCATCTTCATTTATCATCTCATTGCTTGTGAAATGTTAAAACATAATTGCTCTATCTTGACATTAATTTCTCTAGAAGATTTAGTAATGTTAAGTTCCATTGGCTGACCACGTATCTTTTTTAGCTGTAGAGTTTTATATCTTTCTAAACATCAGTCCTTCAAAATGGCCAACCATTAATCATTGCACATGTTTGGTTTTAATTTGATGATCTATTTTACAACTTTATTCCTGTTTTTATGTTAACTTACCTTTTGGAATAAAGACATAATTTCATTCGCAAAACGACTTCACATTCAACAGTTGCTTTACTGCTATATTATTAAAAATGAGCTTTAAATATGAATCATAGGGTTAAACAGAATGGATTGAAGAGGAGAACAAATATATAAACTTTTTCATTATATTTTCATTCTTCGTTTCAAGGGAGTTACATTTCATCTCTATTATGGAGCATGTTCTAGCAAAAGAGCAGCAACGGGAAGGTATTTCGATGTGTTGAAAGAGTCATAATCATTATGGGTGTTCTAACACTCGTGCACTGATCTGTGATTGATTATGCAGTTGCTGTCAAAGTGTGTTGAACGTACTCCAGGTACTGAATAGCGGAGGTGAAACGATGTTGGTTGATTGCTTAGTGGTATTAATGCGTCGTTCTGCTCGGTGCTTACTGCTTGCCCAACGCCATTTATTATCAAAAAAATTTGCACTGAATGAAGAATGGAATAGCAGACATCGTGCACTTAGTGAACTCGGTGTAGAAGGAGGATATGAATGGATTACTGCTGTTCAGAAGAAGTTTATCAGTGCTGGATTGGCCAGGTTTGCTCGAATTATTTTCCATTTACCTATTACAACATCCAAGAATATTCCCATTATTCAATTTTCATTTTGGGAAGGAATTTTCAATATCTGTAATATTTTTTGTGAATGAATGGATAGTGTTCTTTGCTATGCTTTATATATTCACAACAATAGATAGATCGAAAATATCCAAAAAACAATGTTTCCGAAATTTATTCACTTTTGAAATGTCTCTTTTTATTATTTTTCAGAATTTTCGATTCTTTTCTTTATATCCTTTATGGTTAAAATTTGTTACCTTATTTGTGCAATGATATTTTATAGTGCGGTGGACGTTGATGCAGCGGTTTGTATAGCAGAGGAGTTGGATCAGTTAGATGATGTGCTAAAAATTGTATACAAATTACGACACATCGAAACAACCGGTAGGATGCTGCCTTCAACAGAATACGCCCTCATCAGGCTACTTTTGAAGCATCATAAAACTGACATTCTTCTTGCAATCCTGGCCGACCCTGTAAGCGATATATCTTCGTTAACTGTGTCTGATATAATGAAGATGAAGTAGTTCTTTTCCTTCAACTTAATTTCCTCAATTGTCAATTCGTTTTTTTTTTAAGAACATTTGTTTTATATCGCCAGCATTTATTATTATTATGGATTGAGTCTAGCTATTAACTGTTAGAAATTATCATAATTCATTATTCACTGCGAAGTAGTGGCGAGTGTTTTTGTCAAAAGGAACCTTTTTTATTTGTCTTTTATTCGGTTATCCTTTACTATAAAATCCAATGATATGATTGACCTTTTACAGTTTTTTGTGATCTTTTCGACTTATTCTTGTAAATTAATTACTCGATTCACAGTGCGTTCTTGTATTTCTCATTTCGAACAAATGTTATTGTATTCTGACATCTGCAGTCTTTCCAAAGAATGTACATGTAATTCAAAAATGTTTCACTATGTTATAAGGGTTTAACAGCTTTTCGGTTTTTTCAGATCAATTATGGTATTTTTTTAAACGAACATTCAGCTTGTCTAGTTATAGATAGCTTTCTGGAGGCAGGTAAAATCACAGGTAAGTATTAAAACCATGTTTCAATGTAGTTCTTGAAACCTCATTCATGCCTGTAACTTCACTAAATCATATAAAATAGTTTGCTCTAAATATTGATCTGCTTCTAGATGCCGCAAGAATTGCCAGTTGTGTAATGCTTCAAGAAATGTTCCAGTCAACTTTATTGAACTGGTTATGTATTTATAGTAGTCTAAGATGGACTGAATTGTCTGTTGAACAAAGAGTGTTCGAGAAACTTCCGTCCCTGGATTATATTGTTGGAACAGAAAGCAATATAAAGGATGTCGATGATGAACATGAAGTGTGTCAGAGCGATAATTTCTTTGTTTTACTTTTTTAAATTAAAATTTCAACCATCATTTTTTTAAGGTATTATATAACATTTTGGAATTCTTACAAATTACCGAAATTCATTATTCGTTGTAGATGTAGCTAACAAATACCGGATCACTGTGCTGAAGATTAAATAACCGTGGTGATTTTGTTTAAATGGTTTATTTTAAATTCTATTAGCGAAGGATATATACTACCGGTGTAAGCTGTTTTCAAGTGTTTTGTACAGAAATATTGTAGATGATCTTCAAATTCCCATATTTGAAAAACGAATACAACGACATGCATTTCGATCTTACCGATCCAGATCAGCTTATTGGGAAAAATTTACTTTGGTTTAGTAATTGCGTTCCATTAAATGAAAAAGAAGTTGGGAATATTCGTTTAATAGGATCTGTTTTTTTTGGCAATTATGTTTTGGCAAACCAGTTACTTCAAACGACGAACATCTTTTCATCGGTGGCAACAATTTGCCAATCCAAATTGCAGCAAATAACAATTAAAACTGATGATGTCAGAAAATTAGAGGTTACACTGCTTTCTGAAAATATTAGGGAAGAGTTAAAGATTAGTACTTTAATAGATTGGTGGAAAAAATTCAAGCAAGAAATTTTTTGTGCAGCGCATGACTGGTGAACACTTGTTTAATAGTTTTTTGTTAATAAGTGGATAACTTTTACTGTTATATTTTCACATTCTAAACTTGCTATCAAGAATTGTATGATTGAAGTAGAAAAACTATGGAGTGCACGTTTTACTATTTTTTTGTTTCTTGATTTCAATTATCTCTATTTTACGAATCAGTTCATCTTCTATAGACAATAGTCGATAAGGTTGAAAGGAACACGGACGAGAAGCTGTCAGATATGATCATAAAGCATCTAAAAACTGTACAGAATGTGGAAGAGAAAAATCTGATGGAAATACAACGCAATATTTTCCTTAACTGGAGACAAAATCGTGCTGATCTCATCAAAGCTCAGGTGGTTTCAGACAAAATATTAAAATTAGGCATTAATTTCACTGCTAAAATAATATTCTGTGGATTTTGAATTAAAAATTTTAATTTCGGAGAATTTAGAAGTTTGAGAAAAGTTAGGTTAAAAAAGATTTCAGGTTGAAACCCTTGATTTAAAGTTGCGACTGAAAGAAACCTGTGAAGGGCGACAAAAATTACGAGATCGTTGGGAAATGTTGAATTTCTTCGAAAATCGTTTGAAATGGGAGGATATGGCAGCTGTGAAAGCAGAGTTTTTAAAGGCTGAAGAGGGTAAAAGGAAAAGTAAAGAAGACTTAGAGCGGGAATATATAAGTGAAGTATTCCATAACAAAAGTGCTAAAAAGTCTTAACCAATACAGATTTGTGTAGAATCGACAGCTTGAAATTTAAATTTGAATTTGAAATGACTTTGTTTAGGCGAATGTTCGAACTCTTTTTAAATTCCACAATGAAGTTGCAAGAGTTATAATAGTTTGCTACCTTACAATATTTACTTGCAGTCTTATTTATAGATTGTTCATTTTAATGGGGAGCTTGTGCGATGTATATGTAATCATAAAAGAGTGATAAATATTGCAACATGTTTCGGAATTTATTCTCAAACAGTTCATTGCATCCTTCATATTGTTCTGAGACAGTTTGGAGAGAAGCGATTGAGGATTATAAAATAGATAAAAAAGAAAATATTCTGAGAAAAAAGAAAGAAATAAAGTTCGGGCTATTAGTCTGAATTACAACTTTCTAACTATCTGATAGAGGATATCGAGTGCTCTTGCAATTATTTCCTTATTGATGGTTGAATATTAAATCATGAAGCAAAATCCATTTACAGAATGCACAACTGAATGGCATCGAAAGAGTTGCATGCACGCTGTCGCATATGTAAGTTTTTAAATCTGTCTCACTAGCTTCATTTCAGATTTTTCTAGCTTTTTCAAATCTCAGTCTTCCATCTAATAATTTCTATACGTGCAAGTATATTCTTCAGTGGCGGAACGCCTCTCAGAAAGTGCGCATATTGTTGACCACGACCCATCGTTGGCTCTATATCGATTACACGTATGTTTCAAAAGTCAAAATTCTATTCATATTCAAGATTCAAAGAAAATTCTTATATAAAGTGCTTAGGACCATGGAAACTTATTTCTCTTTCTTTCATAGAACATATTTTGCAATAATTTAGTTTCACCCGCTTAGAAATTCTCAACAATATTTATACCGACACCAGTAAAAGAGTTACTTTTTATTCTGCTGTAGAAATAAAGAAATATCGTAAAATACAGATCATTGAAACTTTTCACAAATCTATGCGAACGAAATTCGGGCTTAACAAAAAATTAGGAAGAAGTCGAAATCATTGCAAACATAAACAGGATGAAGTGTCAAGTTTAAGACTCAGTTCATTAATTTAAGAAAATATATTTGCAGGAACATATTGGAAAAACTTTGGCTATACTTGTGGCTCGAAAACATACAATGGCTGATTTGAATTCTCGTCTTCAAGGTGCATGTTTCGACCTGGACAATGTTCTTTTGTAAGTAATATCACGTTTCATTTTAAAAAGCTTAGAAATGTGGTATGGAAAATCATTTATCGCACTCCTTGTATTCTGTATTCTGGACAAGTTACATTTAAGGCACTAACTTACAGAACAGTGCGGTCAATGAAAAAGGCAGCAGCGAGTTTCCAGAACATTCAGGAAATGCTTCGAGACTGCATACATTACAAACAGCAACTGAACTGCTCAAATAAATAATAATTCTTACCAAAAGAAGAACTGTATTATAATTTAAAAGCGCGAACGAAACAAATTCCTTTGCAATAACCTAAACTATTCGCAGCATGAAACGTATAACAAAAGAAAATCCTAATAATCCAGCAACGAAAGTGTACATTTTTGTAAAAGCATCATGATACTTTAAGATTTGCGTTCTAATATCTCAATATTTTTGGCTGAAGATTTACGCTGTTCAAATTATTGACATTTTTTTAATTAAATGTAAAGAGAACCATCAGCTGGTCCAATATATCCAACGCCAATTAAAACTACATCTACAAATGTCCAAATACCCAAGCCACCAAAGCTGAATAATTTTCCTATTGCACTTTTCCACATCCCCAAATAAAAACGATCTGCACCAAAGCCCCCAAGTGTAATTGAGAGGAACATCGCTTTCCACCAGCTATATCCTGAGGACCAGTTGCATCTGAAAGTAAATCTGTAATTCAAGTATAGTCATATATGTATATAAGGATAGTCTCTTACCTCGAACTCTGCATGAACTTTCTACTAACATATATTTTTTTCTTTAGCGCACAACAAATATATAGATTTAAATTCTTTGAGTGCATTTCGAATGAAAATGTCACCATGAGCTATGAGTTAGCAGTTATAACAAGTTCAGTGACGGGTAAGCTAGGTGCGATTATCCCATTACAGAAATCTTAACAAAATATTGGTATAGTTACGATTCGCAGCGTCAGCAACCTGGAAGTGTAAAATAAGGTGTTCCATAAAACTCCGAAGATTTACAATAAATATACCTCATATTCTTGTAGAAAGCTCGTCGACCCTTGCATATGACCCATTGATGCACCTGGCATGTCGTACGAAACAATCGAGTTGCCACTGTCGAACAGTTTCGTATCTACAACGCTTTTCTAATAACGTGGGATACCCTTATCTTTTTCGTGCACTAGAAATTATTGAGGACGAAGTGTAATGATAAAGTTATACCGGAGCGCAGTGGTGCTCCACAGCATCTGTCTGCCAACAATACCGGCACTTTGCTTCTTTCTGTAATGTATACTGACCAACACATTGTCTTTTCGTGGTACAGTTTAAAGTTATTATAGTTCCGTATTCACATTCTGGAAATTTGCAATCCAGGCAAGAACCATATAATGGACAGTCTGCTTTACCGCAACTATAAGAGATTTCATATACACTACATGAAAAGAATCAGTTTTCTCATGCCTAGACTATTTACTATTTCACCTGATTCCCGACAAGGATTATTTCCATCTTGAGCGCTCTGGAAAAAAAAGCCATTCAGATTATTTCTATCTTGAAAGCTTTGAAAAAAAGAAATGCTTTGATATTCCATAGTCACGTAACAATGAAAGGATTTTATTTCAAAAGTACTTACAAAGAGTCGTCATCTCTTAGAGGTCTTTCGTCTATCTTAACGAAGTTATTTGTTGAACAGAAAATGAAATATGTAGTTAGTAACAGTGAAACATGAATCATTATTTTGGATATTTGACCATGCCGCTAACTTATAACCTAAAGTGGACAAAACGTGTAGTTCTTAATAAATGCAATTACTGATATAAACTGTTGCTGCCAAATTACTGAACTACCAGCCACCATTTTTTTTGGAGCTATAGTAATAACATCTTTTGAACTGAACAAAAAAGAGAAAGACTTCTAGTCATCGCACCTCTTTTTGAAATTTGCTCAAAGTTCACTCAGGTCTGTTGTCCGTAAAAAACAACATAAAGTTCCACAGAGTTCAAAATTTGCACACAGATGATAGCATTTGTTAACTAACATTTGCTTGCATATGGATGCACAAAAGGGAGGTAAGACAAAGCAGAATATTTATGAAGTTGTATACATCAAGACAAACGATATTCGGATTATGTTAATGATATCAGGATCAAAAATTTCCAGATACGTTAAATTGAACGCTATTTGAATCACAACGTATAAAATGGAATCAACAGTTTATTCAGGAAAGGGCCGCACTAACAAACTGCGCAACTGGACGTAGATCTGTAGGAATGTTTAATCGAACAAATGAACAATGAAGAAGCTCTTCATGTTTCCATCGTTTTGTTTCATCCACAATAACACTGTGACTTTCAATTTGAGCAATGAAGCAATGAAGTAAGTAAATCCAAGTTACAAAAGCTTTTTTAAGCCGATGGAAAAGCATTCTTCTGAGACCTATTCAACACTATGAGTACAATGGAAGATTTTCTGGAAAATATGCAATACATATATCTAAGAGCAAAATGAATCTTAAGACCTTAAATTAAATCATCACTTATTAAGCTTTTGTTGGTCCTATTAATAAATGATCCATAATAATTTAGAATCCTAAAGAAATGTTTCTTTTCGCCGTTATCTATAATCCTAAGGATGTAGCAAAATAATAACTGTCAAAGGAAACACACACCAGTTTCTTATCACATCCACAAAGTCAACTGGAAGATGCTCAACATCAAAAGAATCCGTAATATCGAAATTATTGTCAAAAACGGTTTCCATTGTATTCGAAACAATTTTATAGGGGCTCAGTGTCAACGGAAATTTACCAATAACTAGCTCACATATCGTCAAACCAAAGCTCCATATATCCGAACATATTCTGAAAAGACTGGGATTAAATTTGACTATTCATCACAAAGAATGAGAAATAGAAGAAAAAATGTGAAGCCTCACTTTTGCTTCCAACCCCAACGCCTTCCATAAAAAATAATCCATCCAAAACCAATTTTTGTCATGAATTTTTTCATTTTAAATCACTCACAACTGCTATTGTAAAAACATTTCTGCGATTTGCATTAGAAAAATTGTCTCTGCTACATAAAAAAAGCATAAAATGTTTACCTTTTTCGTTTTTTGTTTTCTCTTTTTTTTTAAATTGAAAATTATGCCATTTAATAAATACGTATAGATACCTATAAGGGCCACCTTGCATACGTTCTGGGGCCATGTACATACTGGTGCCGACAAAACTACAAGCTACAGATCTCTCCAGTTCTTTCGAAACTCCAAAGTCGGATATTTTGACATCACCATGCGTGTTCACCAGGATGTTGCTTGGCTTTATATCTGTAGGTTATTAAAAACAAACAAACACACAAAATGTTTGAAACAACAAGATAAGAATACCAAAAAGTTTATTTCCAACATCTATATTTAATAGGTGAGTAAAGCATAAAAAAAGATACGAAATAAAGCGGAAAAGTCTCCATATCTGTCTTATAATACTAAATTAACCTCTGTGCATCACTTTGTGTGTCCAGAGATAATGAAGTCCACAGATAATGGAGACAGCGGTAGGAACAAGTACCGAAACAGGCAACTTCTTATAACGATCCAATGATCCACCATCCATGAATTCCATACACAAGCAGAGTTCGCCATCAAGGAGTGCGGCCGAGAAGAAATTCACGATGTATGGGCTGCAAGCATACTGTACAGGACAAAATCAGTGCATTTAGCAAGACCGACAGTGCTTTCTAGCCTAGCTTATACATTTGAAGTGTCGTAGCTATGCTTCTTACTTTTTTCTTTATAAGATTCATTTGATATTCATTTCAGAAAGGAAGTAGTTCTGTCCTGAATACTTCACTATTTGAAATGAATTCAGTCTTAACTAGAGGTACTAAGAGGCGCAGTTACAAAACTAAACACAGGTCTTTCATAGTTTGTTTTCTCGCTTTCTGAATATGCTGAAGGAAAAAGTTTTTGCAGTTCTTTAACTGAAACACCTGTACTGCAAGCAAGGCTAATTAAGAATTGGAATAGACACTTTTCTGAGAAGCTGTAGCTCTCGAGCAACAACAAAATGTTCTGCATAACCATCAACAGAAATACATTTTAATGCCACAATCCGATCATGTTCCACATCTAGGGCTCTGCAAGTTCAATTCTATTTTTAATGAACAAGACTTCAAATTAAGCTACACTTTATCTTAGCAATCTATTTCTATTCTTTTCTCCTCTTTTCTGATTGTTTGGTAAAAAAACTAACTTGTAAACAGTACCAGAATAACCGAATCCAATAGTCTCAAGTCGCTTCAACATATCCGGCATAATGCTTGCTAAATTACCATCCAGAACAGACTCATCTTCCGAAACTAGTAACAATTACTAATTTTTAATTTACTAGAATCATCGGTTTCATGAGACAGCTTCGAAAAATGGTCAAAAATAATTTATAGGCCATTTATAAACCAAAGGGAAAGGAGATGTGAGAAAAGCAAGCCAGCAGCAATATTGCAAAACTAGTTTTTTTTTTCTGCTTTTGCATAAATTAATCTCTAAAATGTGCTAAGGTCAACTTAAATGGATCCTTAGTGGACGAATTTTCGGTGAAGACAACATGACCGCAAGCTCTTCATTGGTTCGAACAGCCACAAGATCGCCATCCTCATCTTCATCTAAAACCATTTTTTTTCACACAGGTAACGTCTCAGCTCTCTTTTTTTTAAAAAAAAGTCTACTGAACAACTCCCACTATTCTATTTAGAGATAGTACTTGGGCAGATAATCTATCAGCGTTATTAAAAAAATTTAAATTTAGTTCATATAAGTCGCCAAGTAATCCTTTAGAAAGGCATTTAGTCTGAGATGCTGGACTTTGTTTTACTTTGATGTTACAGTTTAAAGAGTGATTGTTTATTGATGATGGAGAAGTACAATAAACATTGATGATCAAAAAAAATTCTAAGATAATTCTTAATAGTTTCCGAAAAGTCCCTTGCTACGTTTAAAAATAGAAAGTTAAAATGAATATTGTAAAGGAATTAAACATCATGTTTAGAAAATCATACTACACGTTAGACTGTTACAACTGTTAACTTTACAGCGGCAAATAATGAAGTATCTAAGAAGTTAATTAAAGAAAGCTGGACAACGATAATTTCACGAACAGCGAAAATGTTGAAAATGCTGCTGGGGTGATATAGCGGCAAGAAAGGTATCGAGAAATACAGTCGCAATATCGTCTACGGTGACATCGCGTTCCTTTCCGCTCGATTCATCCAGGACGATAATGTTCAGTACCATTATATATAACTTATGTCTTCACGGTAAACAAGAAACCACTCACCAAGACTACCTATCTGTAACTACCTTCAGATTCGTATTTCATCACATAATACATACATAATCGTATTCAGAGGACAACATTCCTGCTGTATTAGTTCTGTTTACCGTGAAAAGAATAAACAAGAGAAAGTGAGAGAGAAAAAGAAGCACTCCGTCATCTACCTTACCTTGCTATCGACCTGTCTCGACTATCTGTACTTCAAACATATATTTATTAGTCAAATCAGAGAACTAATCATCCTCCATCCTTCTATTTTTTTCTTTCTCTCTCTCCTTCCCTCTCTCTCTTACCCAGTAATATTCGATTGAAAAACGAGAAAGAAATGACACTCCGCAAAGTTATGATGTAGAGAACTGCAACGGAATGCATCTTATAACGTTTTCCTCGTCTTTAGTGGAGCATTATTTTTTTGATGGCTTGAACTCTTCCTCTGCGGCGTACTTCTGTAGAAGATCGCTTCACAAATTCAGGTTTTCTTAAACAATAATTACTATATAAATTTTATCCGCAAATGAAAGTTCAACTATCAAAAACGCGGAGTGACACTCTAACATCGTAAGGAATGCAGCATTTTATGATTTCAGAATGATGAAAACTGATGGATATGTATTCCTGTTTATGCATTTGGTGCTTTGATTACTGCAAACTCCAACAAGCATTATATGGCGTGCAGCTGTGATCAACCTTGGTAGCATTTCTCATGTTATGGACCACATATCACTTAGCAGATGTCATCACATCTGTACGAATCCTTCGATCAGGTACCATTTCTTCTATTCCACTAATCTTAGAAGTTGTTCTGTACTGACAGTTATTTTGACGTAAGATAAATCGCTGATGTGTTCTGGAAAGAAGGAAAGGTGAATTTATATCTCACCATTGCGATCAGAATAGGCATTACTTGCATTTAAAATTCATCAACAAACAGCCTTCAGTGGGCAGATGTGGGGGTGTACGTTTACGCAGCATGCAGCATACCGTCATCATATCTGCTTATTTGCGAATAGCGCTTTGTAGTACTGTCGATTGCATTTTTGGGAATAATCTACTCTCTGGTTCTCCCGTTTACCCCTTCACGGATTTTTTTGTAACTCAATAAGCAACTTAATGATGATACAGTTTGGATGTGTGTTTTCATCAAGAAAGCCAAATGAGAAATTGTCTCTGCTACATAAAAAAAGCATGTATTTTTCCCCTAAACTGAGGACTTTAAAACTTAAAAGCATTTCTTCTCCAGTATGTATTATATTAAATTCCTCCAAGTTTAAAAAAATTTATATTAAAAGGCATTTTCAAACTGGTGACGGTAATCATCCAATATGATTTTTAATGCTACCACACAATGTGATTTCAAATGTTATTTGTATTTGTTGTCATTTCATTTAGTAAGTATTGTAAAATAGTGTTCATTTCGAAATATTTATTAGTAATTCAGTGATAAAATTCTGCTGTTGTTTTAATAAATATTAGCATACATAAAATGCATACATTCTTCACTCCAATCTAATTGTCAGTGTGGTCCTTTGTCTCATCCATTTCGTTTCCTACATTTCTTACCTTCTATTTTGAAAGACGAAAGAACTGATGAAAATATGTGTTTCATCTCATAGCATAGCAATTTTATACACCTTACTTATATTAACTTTAATTTTATTGAATTCATCTGCATATCACTTGGGAAGTAGAAAAAAATCATATAAATCTACAAAACTTATTTAATTCTGGATATACGAAGACTTGTCAAGTCGAGAATGCATTCTTATCGAACGAAGTGCTTGTTGACGCTCGAATGAAATATCAGTTTTCAGTTTTATTTATGATAACTTCTAGTGATAAATGTTACGTATATAGAGTAATTGTTTGAACAGCCTTGTAATGGGAATGGGCACTCTGTTCATAATAGTTTTTATTAAAAATATATGTATAAATACCATGGATGCATCTTTATCGAATTCTTTAAAAGCAGAGTATGAACGAGCAGGCTATTTTTGCATTTTGTCTTCCTGTTTAAAAAGAACCATAAAAAATAAAAACTGGTTCAAGATATATATGTTTAATGAACAGAACAATTGATGAGAAACCACGTTCCAGATGACTTGGCAGTACAGATCACTACTGCTGTTATGTCTATTGAATGTTTATGCAACACTGAAATCAGACAACGAACCGAAAGGACCAAAAGTAACTGACAAGGTAAATGTGCCATAATCTTTCTGTAGTATTCCTCTCCATTTCTTTGTTGTAGTGCATCGAAAAATTACAGGCCTGAAAGTGATCAAAAAATAAGGAAGTGAAGGCATAGTTAGTAAACATATTACATATATGACGAATATTATTAATATTATGCATGCACCAGAACACATGCAAATTTATGTTGCAAGAAGCAGTTCAATCTGCTGGTTGAATTATCTCCAGTTGTTCCTTTTCTTTCTTTACACATGACCTCTCCAATGTTCATTCTCTTAGTGCTTTTGATTTCGAAATAGAAAGGCTATAACCATTTCCAAGTAATGTTTTAAAGGTAATTTTGACGATAAAAATTGGAGATGAAGAAGCAGGCATAATAACAATTGGCTTATTTGGAAAAACAGTTCCGAAAACTGTAAAAAATTTTATCCAGCTATCAAAGAAAGCAGAAGGAGTAAGCACATATTATAATTGGATTTCTTTTGAAAACAATGATTTTCGAAACTGTTCAATTAATTCCTCATAATCGATTTGTTTGGTGCTATAACTGTAATTCTGGTTAAAGAAACTGTAACTGTAAACTGTAACTGATTTTTTTCCGGATTTTCAGGAAGGATATACTGGCTCAAAATTCCATCGAATTATCAAAGATTTCATGGTACAGGCTGGCGACTTCATTAATGTAAGGATTTTTTGTATAAACGTCTTTAATTACTCAATATATTGTTCTTTTTATTGTCGTATCTTTTCGATATTACTTAATATGGCACTTGTTTGCTTTAGGGTGACGGTACCGGCAGTATATCTATCTATGGTAAAAAGTTCGCCGATGAAAATTTCAAATTGAAGCATTACGGTGCAGGATGGGTTAGCATGGCAAATGCTGGACCAGATTCGAATGGTTCTCAGTTCTTCATTACTTTAAAAAAAACACCCTGGCTCGATGGCAGACACGTCGTTTTCGGCAAGGTACGAGAGCTAATTATTTTTGTTTCGTTCTTTGTGGCTTCTTTTCAACTTCTTCCTTTCCAGGTCCTCAGCGGAATGAAAGTAGTAAGAAAAATGGAAAATACGAAAACATTAAAACCTAGTGACAAGCCCGTAGAGGATATCATCATCATAAAAGCAGAACATATTATTGTAGATGCTCCATTTTCAGTCCACAAGACTGACGCAGAAGATTAAATAAGATGCTTTTTAAAACAGACTTAAAAATTTTGGAAACATAATTCATCTGTATTGTTGAGAAAAGGAAACTTTGGAAACAACTTCCGATATCTTACACCAAGAAATTGTTTCTGTTGTTACTGTTTGTGCATTTTGGTGATTAATTAAAATTAAAGAAGTACAAATCAACAACAGTGTCGTACAAAGAAAAGTTCAAAATTATTTAGATGGATGTCCTAAATCTTAGTTAAAATGAAGGGCCTGTAGAAGGGAAAAGCAAAATCAAATACCATTTAAGAGAAGAAAGCTTTGACACGAAAACTGGAGTAGTCTACGGAATGAAGATTAATTAGGAACAGCTGTGTGTCCACACCCGAGAAATGAATTTTTATATCTATTTTTGAACCTTCAATGGTTTCCAACTCCAGTTCACCAGTTGGAGGTACCATTACACATATATCGCCATAACAAATGATTGCTTTCATTATGCCCTGCAATCATTATACCTTGAAATAATTCTTACACAGTTAACTGGGAACCTCATTTTTTTGTAACTACTAAAGTAACTGCAAATGTCTAAATCATTATTTTCCTCAGTGGACAATAACTATAAGTTTGTATGCTAACAATGCTTATAACTGGATTTTGATAGCATAGAGAAGATGCTCGAAGTGTTTTTAGGATTTCGGTAGTCTTTAGTACGATTCCATTTGATTCTATTGATACAATATTGATCATCTACATTAATCAGAAGTATTAATCAGAAAGTCTAGTGGTCCTGCAAGCGCCATACATGTTAGGAAATATCACCTTGCATCACCTCTAGCTGCAGATGAAATCAGACTATTGTTGGAACAGAAGTCCGTGACAGATATAGCTTTGAATTTTAAACCTTTCCAAATATTTAGAAATTCACGAATAGTAGTAAATTAATTTATAAGGCTTACATTAGCTTTTTTGATACCGTCTAGTCGAAACTCGATGTTTTTAATCTTATGAACACCGAAATCAAACGACCAGCATAATTCACCATTTGCTTTGCTTTCTTGGCAACAAATATAAGCCACATTCTTCATCTGGTCTACTACTCGATATACATTTTTTTGCTTACTGACCAGGCTTTGCCAACCTTTTATTAAATCAACACCCCTTCTGTATTGATCTTTCGCACAATCATACTCCAAACTAAAATATTTTTAGAAAATTGCTTTCTAAAAATGCCCATCAACAGTTTAACATGCGAATTCAATGACAGTAAACCTTGCATAATACATAACAATCAACCGCTTTCCCCAACCTCTTCCTGTTCTTCTGATATTTCTCTTTCTAACATCCTTTCTTTTCTACCATGACTTAAAATTATATCCGAATAATATGAACTAGTACAAAGAAATAAGTTCTTTGCTCAGCAATGATATAAAACGTTCCTTTATAACAGTAAATACCTTTTCTTAGTGACCAGATAGAGTAACCAACCTGAATACTTTACTAAGAATTTCCTTTTCAGTTGGCACAAGCACTCGTCCAGTGGATGTTCCATTTCCAGTTTCTCCTCGTTGTTTCCGCCATTCTTCTAATCCTGTTGTTCTTCCTTTTTCTTCAACGTCACGCAACTGCATAGTGGGACTGATGAATTCAACCAGTTCTTTCATATACCTTCTTTCCATTTCTTTCTTCTTCTCTTCCGACATCAAACTCGCATAGCGAGCGTTCAATTTCTAAAGTTTTCGTAGAATTTTTCATGATATGTCAAAAGGTGATAAAAGAGCAATGAATATTTCTCCCATCATATTACTTCTTCGAAATACTTAATGCACTTTTTCATTATTTTATTCAGTTGAGCAAATCATCTTTTGCTTTTATAAATACTTCCATAATAAAATGGTTTACTCGTATGAAATTTCTCAGAACTATTTCTCGGCAAGAATTCCTTCTAGTAAGCGTTTCAAAATGACTAAAAGTATATCTCCATGTAACATCTCGTACATGATCCAAACCAAACGCGATAACATAACTTAGGTTCTTTCCCCATCCCTAAAAAACATACGTAATGTATTATTCATCTAAGAGTATTGTGGAACAAAAGCAGGGTGAGCAAGATCGGAAATGAAAAGATGAATTGCATATATACAAGCTTAAAATACATCTATGCGATGCATATTATACAATATCGAAAAAGAACCTTTTCATATAATAAAGGAGTATCAATTATATTTTCGCATGGATCACAGTGCACCCATCTGTCTAGATCCTCTATCCATATTTCACACCAAACATGATCTGTAACATCGTAAACCCACCTAAAAATCAGATACTATTTTTTTTAAACTGATTATTCATGATACCAACAAAATATACACAATCTAGTGTTTCAGAGAGCATTACAATGCTTGTAATTAACATAAAGAATAAACACTAAATTATTAAGAAAGAAGCTAGAAAATCAGGAAGAAAAACAGTGGATTGAAAATTACATGGAAATGAATTTAGACCCTACCCTATCTCTATTTTGAATTATGTAACTTCACTGACTATCAATAATTTTTCTAATTTAAAGGCCAAGAACCAAAAATAAAAGAACAATAAACTTCAAGAAATGATATGTCCTTAATGTTTAAAACTATATGATATAAAATTCATATAAAGTTTAATTGCCTTCACATATGATATAGCATTCCTTTGAAGCAAAGAATTAAGTAACATTGTTGCCAATAATTGGAAAAATACTAATGAATTCAATCTTACCGTGTTTCAAAACCTAGTGCTCGGGAACACAGTGCAAAACAATTTGCCCATTCACCACATCTGCCACATCTAAATTATGAAGCATATAGCAAAAGATATATTTATGGGAATGGACCACAAATACACGGATTTGTAAAATTCAGAAATAAATACCTTGTTTCTAATAACTTGACTGGATTATTATAGCGCGGAAAACGAATATTTGTGTCGCATTTTCGACACTTATAAACTTCAATCCGATAGGCAGCCCACTTTCGTTCTTCTTCCGTTGCAGAAAATTCCTCTAGAGAAAATCCCTCTGCATACACATACACAGAGACATCCAAATATCCAAAAGTTTCAAAACTAAGAATCGGCAAAAATCAAAATTAAATGTTCGTTCAATTTTTTTTCGTTTTTTTCACTACAACCTTTAGACTGCTCCGCATTCTGACCACATAATTCACATTTCGGAATATCAGTCCACACAAAAAAATCCGTTTTGAACCAATTCAATAACGATTTCACAAGTTCAAATTTGTTTGTTCTTCCATTCACCTTGCTTGCCTGTGTCAGTTTATCGCAAGGTATAAGGCTTCTAGCTAATGCTTGTGAAATTTCGTCTTCATAAATTTGCATCTGAAATGAAAATTTATAAAGCCGTTTGGATTGACTTTTATCTCGTGTCTTGCCTAAAAAGGAAACTGCAGAAAATAAAAACTGAATATCATTCGACTAAATATACTTGAGTTCAAAATAGCTGCTACAGATTATTTGCTGCGTTTCTTACCCGTTGTGAATATTCAACGAATTTTTTCAAAAAAATTCTTTCATTTGATGTTGCAACAAGGCTTTCTTTAAGTTGTTGAATAATTCTCGTTTCCAACATTTCAACGCTTGTACCCATCATTCGATCCACTTCACGACCACTACATAAGAAAACAAACGTTGGCATTGCATTAATTCCGAATTGAGTGCTCGTTTCTGTAGTTATAAAAATTAGGAAGACTTAAAAATATCACGGTCGCGATTGATTTGCTGATATATAGGTTAGTAAGTGTTAGGTTCTAAGTAATGGATTTTTGTGCTTAAATCTTTAAATCTCTCCTAAGTACTATTTCAAATGCCTAGGCTAGATATTTAAATACAAAAACATCAACATAAATTATAATGCTGATGATTGTTGCGCATAATGATTGGTTGAAAAAATTATAAGAAAACTCAGAAGTGAATCACAACGCTTGTAAAAAGATTAAATTTGGTTTTAAAGAAAAGATACGAATGAATTAAAGGATTTATTACAGATAAACGTGAATGAACGAAAAGAATAACATGCAAAGCTGAAAGACCACTTTTAGTGAGTCAAGCTATGAGAAGCAAAATAAATTATAAAGAGAAAAACAAAATGAAAAAAACGGACGTCTGCATATTTCCACATTGACTTTGATAAAAATGACTTGTAGATACTTTTCAGACAGGCTTTCTATATGTGGTGAAATTGCACGACAAGGACCACACCAGTTGGCGTAAAAGTCGATGACAACAAGCCTCATAGCTGCTTCTGCAAGGAACTGCGAGAAAGTGAAATCATCGGGCAGCTCACGAACAACCATCGTATCGTGTTTCAATAAAGTACTCTGCAAACAAAACTAAACTGCATATATATGTCACAAAATGCAGAAACATCAGATGCGATTTCTAAAGCAAATTTTTCTGTAACAGAAAAATATACCTTTTATGAGAATATTTACTGACAGTTAGGTAACAATCTTCGAACTTGGTCTAAATAGGTTTTTCAGCTTAATAATAATATTCTCTTTTATTCCACACCAACCTTCTCTATTCTATCCTACTCTGTTCCATATTAGCCCTCTATTCCATCCTTTTCTATCTCAGGTCAATCTTCTTTATTCTGTTTTATTCTATTCTACGTCAGCCTTCTTCATCCCACATGATTCCTCGTTCCTTACGCACATAAAAACATCTGAAAATGCGGAGGATGGCGTACTTCTGCAGTATCCTCAGCCCAGAGCACTTTCGTTATTGTTGGGCGCAAAAGGGGCAAGTTGAAAAGTGATATAAATTGAATTATTCTTTTAATTGTGAATTATTAGAAACTCCAAAGAGATCTCTCAGTTTCATTTCCACTAGTCATTGAGTAGAACCATACTATTCAATTCTATAATCGCTATCAACTTTATCCTGCCTTGACTTTCACTTATATCTAGAAATCTAAAAAAGGCGATCATTACTAAAATTTTATGATCAGTAACGTTCTCCGAACCTAAGAATCACTTGATCAAGTCATTTAATTGTTTAACTGCATTTTAATTTAGTTGTCAGTTATTGAATTACTTATTCATGTGAGAAATTTCACGTCCAAATTATTTCCTAACAAGAAATCCATAAAATCCTATCGATAGTTCGGCCACTTCCTTTTATGGATATGAAATATTTGATCACTGTTTCTATAAAAAAGAAATATTCGATTTTAATCCACAGCGATAATATGAATTTTTAAGTCTGCGACATTTACGCGGAAAGAAACCATTATTTGCTGTACAACTGACGCGCAGACATTTGGATAACAGTAGACTCCCTTATTTCTAATAAGTTATTTGTAGAGTCTGACCATCTAAAGTTACAGGAAATGGTTATGCAGTAAAAAGCTTCTGAAAACTGCATGAGAACAAAAAGAACTGAGATATGTTTGTGAAACCAAGATGATGGTGGACAGTATGGCATTCCAGTTACAAGTAATAAAAGTAAAGATATAGTTAGATAAGGCCATATCAGTTTTCTATTTACGAATTCTCGGAATTTATGATTATTGTACTATTTCTGCCTATCTTTGACTTCACTATTATTAGTTATGTATTGTCTAAAAGCATTAATATTTAGACTAAGAAAGACTAATAGTACCAAAAATTCAAAAGGTGCATGGTTGCAAAACCAATCCTGAAGAAATCCTGAAATAAACATCTGATGGAGAATAATAAGGAATTTATGGGCCTGTGCGCAACGCACTGTCGGTGCTCGGTGATGCACAGATGTGGATACCGGTACCCGTGTAATGATGTCACATACCCGGGATTGGCAACTGTTAAACTGACAGTGTAATACCACCCAAATTAATTGATTTCAAAGTCAGCAGGCAGTTCATTACAGTTATCTTAAATAATTCCATACAGAACTAAAGAACTGCTAAGAACGATCAAAACGAAATATCAAATTTGAGCGATGTGAACGCACTGCAATAACAGTGTTGAAGTCTCATTTTACATTAACCTTGCATTTCAAAACGAAAATGTAATCTCTCATTCAGAATCTAAAAGTTGTTTAGCATTTAATTAATAATAATACGAGAACCAAATTTCAGATTAGAGCAACCGATTCCGCCACCCTTGTTTATCCCAAAAGGAAAATATACATGTACTCGACTCACGGGTGCTATGAATTAGGAGATATCCGTAGTGGAAGTATGTCTGGTGATGATTCCTTCCTGAAATTCAACTGTTCCCATCCTCAACGCTACAATACATACTCAAGGGAAACAAAGGTTTATTTTTATTTCATTCATACTAAAAAGTGACAGGAAGCTCACAAGGCAGTACTGAGTTTATTGCTAAAACAGCGTCATCTGATTCGACGTTTCACACCCATCACAATTAATAATATTACTAAAGATGCAAGTTTTACATAAAGTAAATCATGCTTACACTATTTATCCTTTGTTCCATTATGGCAGAAAAACCTGATGACCTGCAAAAATTTTGCCCGAATTCAATAATCCAGTTAATAATCATTCCCTCTACACTAATAGAACAAAACACAGATGAAACTCTAAATATTTTTATATTTGTTCACATCAAAATTCCCAGTACATATTAAGTGTTCAAATATCTAAATATTTAAAACTTGTTGAAAGTTCAAAAATATGCAACAATGGTTGTATGATATCGAAATATCATTTTTCAGAGATAGAACTCGATGATGACAAAACTATCTGATAAATGATGCACAAATCATTTGCTAAGCAATTATAAATTAATTTTAAGCTCCAGTGCTATAAGCAACATATGTATAATTTAAAAAAAAAAATGACATTTTATAATTAACAGTAAGTCTAATAGAGGTTAGAGTTACAGTAACGACTGGGTTATTGAAGAACTAGTAGAGGTTTCATCGGTAGAGAACTGTCGAGTTACACCACTACAGTCTGCATTAAGTAATTTATTTGTGATTCGATGCATACTCATTCGATTCTCCTGTAGCTCCTAAAAAGAAGTAATTTGCGATGCAATAAAAATTTGAAACCAAAATTTCTTTTTAGATTTAAATTTACATGACAAAAATACGCTCCAGGCGGTTCAAATTTTCTAAAAACGAATATAGAAAGCTAAAAATGCAAAACTTACTTTCAACGTATATTTCCGAACGAAGAATGGTCGGACAAATAGCTCGTTAAATTTGTAAGCAGCTCCCTTATGTGTATCTCTCTCATATTTAGTAAATGTATCAATCTTTTCTGTATCAGCCAAATGTTCCGATTGATCGAATATAAACTTAAAGAGACTATAATTCATAGCGGGCAATTAGAAGCGTTTAAAAAAAGTTTAAAGTCAAATATCATGGTTTACAGGTATCAATTTGGAATAATTTGGAATCTGAATTTTTTTGCAAAACAGTATAAACACCACTTAAGATATTAATATACAAATTTAATAGTAAGCATTCAAAAACCATTTCTTGCGTTTTACTTAACAGCAGATCTATCCGTGTCACTCGCTTTTCGTATTCCTACACTCTTTTGCTGCTTCCTATCCGGGAATGCACCGCTTAGCATCTAAAATTTAAAGTATATTTATTCTCGAACACTGATTTTTATAAAATTATATTAAAGAAAATTAAGATTTTTACCCGTAGCACAGGTAAAGTTGTACCACCAAGAAAAATAATAGTGAATAACACGATGAAAAGTGTTGTTGTTAACAAAACTCTTTTTGTTTCCTGATTTTCTATCGATATATGTAAAGCTAATGCAAATGCCACAGCTCCTCTCATACCTGAAAATTCCAAACCTCGAAGTAATAAAGAAATTAAGCAAAAACTACTTGGAAACATTGAGTTATTCTACATTTCTTTTGACCAGAGTTTCTTTCCATAACTGACTGAAATTTAAGCCCTAAGTAAACATACAATAGGATGAAAAGTTATGTCACCATTTTCATAACTTTAATGATATATATCAAGAGAAAAAAGGGGTAGGAAGCCAGTTTCACCTGTATTTTTGAAATGGAATCGATTGAAGTTTCTCCCAAAAATTGAGAGATTCAGATCACCAAGCTAAATCAAATCACTCTTACTTGTTCATAGGTAAATAAACAAACAATAACGAAAGATTCCATGCCATTCACAGGAAGACTTTTAGGAAGTCCAATTAAACTGACTACCGACTGTTCTACATTTTCATTCGCAAAATATCGATGTTAAATTAAATAACATGAAACTTGCCACTATACCACATTATGAACTGATTCTTTATAGAAATCTGAGGATGACGACATTTGTTAGCTAGATAAGCCAGGGGAAATACATTGAACGCACGACCGACGAAGCAAAGCAACTGTAACATGCTTTGCATTAAGTAGCATAAATTTTTGGTTTTTTAGTAATATAATGATCGATGTGACTGAACAACAAACGCAAAGATAGCCGATCATCTCGAGAAAGCTCACTGCTATTCAATTTCATCACTCCAGTGATCAGGTCATTTGTATTACATTAAAAATAGTGAAGATCTATTGAATAAGTTAAAATAGAAAACTAACAATGCTCCATGATACAAACATTGGTTCAAATTGAAGTTTGATTGTAAACAAAGCCAGTCCCAAATATGCAAAAGTGCAAGTTTCTTGAAAAAAAAAAAGTTGTTAAAATAACATGACTATGATAAATGTTAAGCTGAATTTCTCAATATCAATTTTGTATTATAAAGGTAGAATCTCGACATCTCTATTCCCCTTATGTGCGTAGAAAATTTACCTGCCACAAATGCTAATGTTCTAAATGTCTGTTGCATAGTGATTTGTGTTATAGGCGAAATATTGAAATGAGTGTATTGAGACATGGTTATTGAGCAAAATAAAGTAGCCATTATACCTAAAATTACAAAAAATTAAAATGGAATATAATAAATATGAAAATTTTGATTAAAGAACATTTTCTTAGTAAAACCTGAAAGTGAAATGGCATCTGCAAGACCGTATAGCAAATATGCAAATATAAGTAGTAAAGCAAATTCCAGTGATGGCGTTTTACGCAGATCAACGTACTTGAACATCTGAAATGAACATGAGAAGTCACTGAAAACTCACACCCTCATATAATTAATTTTATTAAAATAAAAAAATGAAGAATGAAAGAAATACCAGTGCCGAAAGAAGTCCAACAAAGACACCAAGAAGAGCAGATATGAGAAAGATATAAGTAAATCTGGAAATTACAGGGGAAAATAAGCTGACTGATGTCGAACATGTAACATTTTGAAGAGACATTTCCAGTGAAGTAGATGTAAGAACGATAGAAACAGCGTCATTAAATATGGACTCGCCAAAAACAAGCATATATAGCATTCGTTCAACCTAAAAATAATATTGGTAAAAAAATAATTCAAATACATCACCGGACCACGATTGTAAAAAATAGTTCAGCATTTGAAACCCGCATTTTCCTGCTTTTAGTACATTTTTTTAAACAAGTTTAATTATATTTCTTGAATTTGGAGAAAAACTTTATAAAATGCAATTATACCAGCGCTATTAATATGGAAATTTTTTAAAAGCAACAGTAAAAGCATACGTTTAATGCTTGAAAGATTGCAAGTGTAGCAACTGGATCCACAGCAGAGATCATTGAGCCAAATGCAAAACTCTCTGCGACACGCATTTTATATATTAAATCTGCCTGACAGTAAAAAGAAAAAAGTAAGGATTAAATCCATAAGTAAAAAATATAATAAAATTGAAACGAAACAGCTGACTAATACTTCAACAGGTTCTATTCTCTTTGAAATATCCATAGCAAACATTAAAAAACTTTTCGCTCGACAATACCTATTCCTAAAATAGTGAATTCGAAAGCAGCTGTGAATTTCTAAACAAATGGAATAGATATCGGCAACAATCCCAAAATGAATGTTAATGAGCATTTTAAGTAAAGATAACTGATACAACTGGCATATTCATAAAATCCACTCATACAAATTAGAATCGCAGAAACAGCTATATTTCAAGAAATGCAACAAAAATTTTATCCAAGCCAACCTGGCCAAGGACATACAAAACTGAACCAATAGTTAAAGCAGATATTACTGTTCCAAGTGTAGCAAATGATAAGATCGGGAACATATTCATGAAGAAATCGCCCTATAAATAAAACCATAAGATGAAAAAGAGATGTGTTGCCAAATGAATGAAAAAATTGAACAACAGGATACGGAGATATATCAGGAAAACTTCATACAGTTAGTTATTTTTTATTTCATAATTTACTTTGTGCAAGTTATAACCATTCTCGAAAATAATCGGCGGAAGGGAACAAGAAAAAATATACTGGGACTAAATGTTTCTACTTCTGTCCAATCTCTTTTACTGTATGATAACACAAGACCAATTACAGCACCTGTAAATTATCTCAAACAGAAAAAAAATCTGCAAATAATACGATTTGGACGATTTGGTTAAATGTGGAGAACTCAAGAAGCAATCATCGAAAAGATGATTTAAGATGAAAAGATAAAAAAGAAATATCATGTCAATTAATGATGTTAAATGATTTTTAATAGCAGTATTTTCTAAAAGGATCACGAATTGCAATGAATAAGAAAAATCCATTTACTATAGAAAAGTAAGGAGTTCAGTCCGTGCTTTGTCAACAGTCCAACTGCACTGCAATTAACTTAAACAGAAGTAATGAATAATGACAATATTTAATAGAAACTCCCCTAAAATAACTATGGCTAAACTTTCTGGTATAAAATATAATTTAGATACGATAAGTATATGCACGACCAATGTTGACACAGCAATCACCATGAGTATGAAAAAAATAGCCTGAAAATTTTCATAGTATGAGTAAAATGGTAAATGTATTCAAGGTTTGAATAAGAGTTACCCTTCCTCGAGAAAAAAAGGATTCACCATCGAACTTTTCCTTTCTTCCACATCTTCACTGTGTTCATCAATTGATAATATTGGTATCTTCGTTGTCTTGTTGTAAACGACATCGCTATAAAGTGATGTAACCTAACTTGTGCTAATTTTGACAATATTCAACGATATTTTCAGTATCAAATTACATTGAACGACAGAAATTTACCTATGAAATCTTTCCAGTCCCACACTACTTTGACACATGACGGTCTTAATATGAATACAAGATACATGCCTATGAAACTTTATTCATTATTAGCTTAAAAATTCAATGCTCAATAGTTCCCTCATGTAAACAACTAAAAGATACATTTAAGAAAAGCTAATTTTTCTGTCACTGAATATTTCAGTCATCAATCACCACGTTTCCCATGTCATGTGTTCAATAACTTAATCATGCTTGAACAAAGAACAATAAAAATACAGCAACGACATAATCACCTGTTTTCTGTTAACTACTTTTCCCCGCCTTAGTTTTCAACAACACACCAACTGGAACTAACAATAATTTACCAGATACTTTTTAACCTTTTAATCTTACTAAAATTATAGTCACAAATTTAATAGATATCGAAAAATGCACACCTTCCTGTCCCGCTATTGCTTCCGGGAAGCAAATCTGCATTAACTGGAAGTAGCAGTAGAAACCTCAACAATCCAGCAAAACTTAACGTACTTCTTCCTCCACTACTTATGCTTAGCATCGCCCTTTCTCCTAGCTAATTGCTCTGGAAATATTCACTACATACCACATTTCACTTGTAAATTTCCATTAAATGCCAAAATGAAAAACATAGTTCAAATACCACATCCAAAGATTTATTCCACTCGACTTCAATAAATAATAAATTTAAAAAAATGAGCATACAATGCTATGCTATCTATGAAATTCTTATAAACGCTTAACAAATGATTGTAATGCTGAGTACCAAAAAGTTGTCAACCGTTTTAAGTCAACTGATAACATCACGAGCAAGGCTTATAAAAACATATTAAAAAAAAAGACAGTCAAACAGTGAAAAATGCACTACAGAGTTTTATGCTGACTCATATGACGTAAATGACCAGTTTTTTGGAAAAAAACAGAAGTTTCAGGTCGAATAGCCATCACTCATCAAAACGCTATGTTCTGTCTAATAAAACACTGGGAAAGAAACAAATTTTACTGGTCTGCATCCAAATAATTCCATTAACACAAAAGCATAAAAAAAAAGGACCAAACCTGAAAAGTAACATAAATCTCAAACAAACAACCGAGAATTCCACATATAAAAAGAGGAGGTAAGCACTGTGAAAATGGAAATAAGAATTCATAAAGATTTATAGATTTAAAGGAACGACTGCTTTAAAAAAAACATAAAAAACCGATAAATGCTTAATAATAATAATAACCATTGGGGGTAAATATTACGCACGGCAATGGACTAATAATAATTGTTATTGTATTTTTCAAAATATAGGCTTCAGGAACTAAAGATTTTAGATTTGGGTCAAACTGTGTGCATAGCAATAGCAGTTACTAGGAATGGAACAATAGAAATTAACTATGACGTAATAGAACAATAATATTTATCAACGATTTATCAAACCAAAATGCTCTCCATGATGAAAGTAATGTGGAGAAAATAACGGGCAGTCAAACGAACACCAACAAACATTCTGCATTAGAAGCAGATCTGATTAGGTCGCAGGAAATCAATTTTTATATGTTTTCCGTAAAATTTCCTATTAAGCTAAATATATTTATTTTCCATTTCCTTCATTATCTGCTGACCATATCTTCATCGCAATACATTAAACATTCAACCTGTGACCATAGCTTATACAAGCATTTAAATTCTGTAAAATAAATAACAAACGAGACCATAACATTCGCGATAACTGATTAAGCCAGTCTACATGACAGCACATCGCTGATCCGGATCCTGACCGTCATCACTAACAAACTGTCCATACTGGAGCTCAGCAGTGCTTTCTCTGGTAGCCATTTCATTGCCATCAGCATCAACCAAAGATGTTTTGACCCGATCACCAGCAGGCCACTGTTGATTCTTCATCACTAACTGAGATGGTGGCGTATGTTTTTCACCGCTATCAGCACTCCAAACCTCCAATACAGGTATAAATCCAATGGAACTAGGTTAATGAAAAAGCAGAAACCTTTTTCCATCTTATGTCCAAATGAAAAAAAAAAAAAAAAAACAAAGGAGAAAACTTTCTATACAAAAGCAAGTTCGTTAGTCATAACCATACAGTGATGGTATCGCCGGGTTTCATCGTTTGTCTAGAATGGAACTTGTAAACAGTTTCTTTATCATTAGCAATGCTTTTGATCGCCCACTGACCAATTGAGATTGTTTCCTCCCCTTTATTCACTAACTTTATGAACTTCCCATCCGTGTCATGCTCCTCTATCTCGATATCGCAATCTGAGTTGGAAGTTGTCTGAAATCAGTCCCTTAGCTGACATGCATTTGCATCAGTGATTGATTACAACTGTTTTCAAGAGACACATAAGAAGCATATGTTAACATGAAGCAACACGAAAACAGTTTGTCCAATATGAAGAAACAATCTATTATTTTTGAACTTGAGAACACCTTGTACGATTTTGCAGTGTTGCGATAATACAAACTGTCGTCCGATGCATTAAAGCGTTTTCGTTTGATGGGACGACGATGACCAGAATCTGTATACGACAAACTGAAGCGACTACCAGCAGATGGTGAGGCTGCCGGAGAACCTCCAGAAGACTGCTGCGAAATATTTAATCTAAATGATAAACAATAATAAAACAATGAAAAAAAAAAAAAGCAAGACTGCCAAAGAATAACACACTGGAATTCGCAATGTTATCATAATCTCAAAATTGACAATTTTCTGATCAAGTGCATATTAGTGAAAAAAATACCGAGATTCTTCTCCTTCCAACAAATTCTGATATGCTTTTAGTTCGGTGTCAAGCTGCACCTTAAGATCAAACAAATCTTGATATTCATTCAACAAACGATCAATTTCTTCTTGAAGCTCCGCAACACGCTTGTCGCGTTGATTAATACGAACATCGCAATCGTCTCGCACGAAACGCAACTGAAACATACATCTTAATGCTGCTTTTCATCAATTAAATCATTATAATATGGCAAATAAATCTAAGGTTGGAAGAACAAATTAAATAAATCAAACATTAACAAACTTGACTCTCCAGATCAGCAATCTTCTTGTTAAGACCTTCTATACGGCTCTCATATCCACCTCCAACTTTTTCCATTTCATGGATACGCAGACGTAACCTTGCTGCTTCCTCTTTTGCTAGATTCATTTGTTGACGAGCTTCATTTGCTTCATTAAGCTTGTTCTAAAATAAAATAACATTTAAAATGAAACAAAATAGAAACGACAAACACTTAGTTCCCGATGGTTTAAACCTTATAGGTTTCATCGATATCACGTCGGTTCTTGTTTAGTCTTTCATCAAATTCAGCGCGCATTGCTTGAAGTTGTTCCTGCAAGCGTGACTCATACGTGCGTTCCATTTCACGTGCCGTTGTTGTCATCTCCACTTGCCGTTTTCGATGTATTTCCTCTAGCTGCTGAAAAAAAAACAACACATAAGCTGAACCAAATCCTAATTATTCCGTTAGATTTAAATGATCTCTTATTACGACAATTTAGAAGGAAGCAGAAACACACTATTTATATTCTGTTAAATATGTGAAGAATGAATGACATAAAATTACAAATAAAATAGATCGTCAAACTTGCCCCTTCATGAGTTCTTTTCAAAAATTCATAGTCTTCCTTTAGTGATTGGTTCTGGTTGTGAAGTGCGGTATTTGCAAGCGCTTCATCCTCAACCTGTTTTCGCAATATCTCCAATTGCTGCTTCAAATCTTCATTTTCGGCAAACAAATTCTAGAAATGACATCTATAAAAAAGAAAAAAAAAAAAGAAACAGACAAAATTTAGAATGAACCCACAAATAATATTAACCTTATTCTCATCCTCCAGGTGTCTTCTCATGTTATCGCCAGAATTTAATCTAGCCTGAAGATCCTGTATAAGATTGTCGTTATTTAGACGAAGCTTTTCCGATTGTTTAAGTTCCTTTTCAAGCTTCCCAATCTTAAAAAAACGTACAACATTGAATCAAATTTCAATTAAAAATAGCGAAAATTTAAGTAGAATGACAACTTTTCTAACTTCATAGCACAAGATCATAGTACAATAAATAATTTCAAATATTCATGCAATCTCACATTATACGTGCGACTGTTATACCTAATAAAACACTGAACCGATTACTCTAGCACGAAGATTATCGCGTTCGGCGAGGGCTGATTTTGCCTCCATATTGACACGAGTTTTCTCTTTCAAAGCATCATCGATTAGATCACGCAACTCCTTGACTTTCGCTTCATAACGTGCTACCAAATCATGCCGCTCTTTCTTTTCGACCACTTCACTTTCATTTATACGCACGTTCAAGCGCTCATTTTCTAGTTCAAGTTGGCGAACTCGCTTAAAAAAAAATGATAAGGTAGTAGTGACCGCATTTTTTCCTCAACGATGAATGCAATCTTAGCAAACGGCCTCTGATTATGACACACATAATTCACTATCAATATTCATAAGAATATATTAACTACAGAATAACCAGTAATTTTACCTTTGAAAAAAAAAGTGGAACTTAAAGTAAATATTTACATCAATGTAAACGGCAAGTCGGTCATTCAGATTTGATAACGTATCTTTCTCGTACTGTCGAGTCCGACGACTGGGTGAAACCGAAATACTAGAAAACAAAAAAGTACAGATTCTTGCAATTAAGAATTACGTTTTCAAATTTTTGTTTTACGTTTTTCTAAATTTTTAATACTGTTTTAATAATAGCTTTGTCAACAAAAATGACATTAAGAAAAATGTTTTAGTTAGACAGCCCCAAGAAACAACAAAAATTCTTAACGTGAAAAACATAATGCCAGTTCACCGAAAATTATCTAGTTTTCAGTTTTCAAGCACAATTTCTGGCTAACTTCTTTATTTCTGATCTTCACCTACTTCCTAGATTTAAAAACTGTGACTCATACTTGAAAGAGGATTCAGTTCCATCCCCACCGCTCTCCACAAGAATCGGATATTCAGTTGTTGCAGTTCGACTGCTCGATGCCAGATTAGTCGTACGAGACGATGAACGTTTTTGTTTCGACGCAGACATTCTTTGTCAGGGTAACCTTTCAGATGTGCTTAACAGTTAAATTGCTATAGACAGCAATAAATTACAACATACATTCCGTCAAATCAATTAATACTACCATACCTTTCACGATGCCATGGGATATACAAATAACATCGGACTCAGTTAACGGTATTACTATTATATATATACGTATATATATGATCTATAATAGACATATTCGCATATCCTTCCCAACATTTTTCAAAATCTCAGCAAAAAGCTATATAAGTCAATGCATAATATATACAAAAAAAAAAAAAAAAAAAACATACATATACAAATAACAAGAAATAATAAAAGAGCTTAGTGAAAAACTAAAGCAGCTTAATATCGGGTGGATCTAAAAAATTAACATTTCAAATTACGTCAAGTATCGTTATCACAAAACTTACCACAACAGGAGAGAGAGAGGGGAGTAAAGTAGAAGGGAGAAGAGAGGAAGAAGGCACCGCCGCGTATTTCCAAAGTAAATTAAAAGTGATAATTAATGTAAACTGAGAAGCAAGTAATAATTAGATGGAATAATATGCCAACTACAGCGGTATCTATTTAATAAATTGTTAGAAAAGTGAACCGCAAACCGCAGTCGCTATGCAAAAGCTTGCGCTGACGCTTCACAGTCGCACAGTGTTGCCATTCATAGCTTACGAATGGGTAAGCGAGCGTCCACCTCTCTTCTTTCACTATACGGTCGATACCCTTCACAAACTATTTGTTGCGGCACAGTTAAGGATAGATGCAAACAGCCGTGCAGCGTACGCTTGTAATCTTACCACGTATATCAAACCGTCATACCACAAGCACTATCCAAGTCGTTGCCGACAACAAGTACCCGTAATCCCTCGGTGTCCCTCAACCATGCACTTCGCGAACGGCACGAATACCCGTTGTGCAAATCTTAATTTCACTGGTAACATTTTTGAAATGTTAATTAGCAAATTTGATTTTCATGATTTGCTGGATTGCACTGTGAGGTGTGAAGGAGTATGCATATAGCAGATTCACGTTCACGTGCGTGATTGTGCAATTTAATAATTGAAAAGTCTACGAGAAAGCGGCTGGGGTAGCTATGCTTTTTTTAAAAGAAGGATGTCATGCTGATAGTATATCTTTGCTTGTCAATAGCTATTTTGGTTTGCTAAGCTGAGGCCAATATATTATTCATTTTGAAAAAGTCTTTTTTGAAGTATTGGCTACCAAATTTTGAGTCAAGCGTTACACTCGTAAATTCGGAATAATTTCTTCATGTGTCAGTCATGCTACAGATATCATTACTGTCATCTCATTGTCACATTTGGTACAATGTTGTCAAAGGTCGACACTTCTTTCTTCCTTTTACCGTTATCTTATTATAATAGTTTTATTCGGATAAATATTTGAATTAAATTGGACATTTGGAAATAATCAAGATCCAGTCATATAGAGTGGACATAAACTTTTGACAGCATTTGTGGTATTTTGCGCGCTAACCCTGTGATATTATTATCTATCTCTCTGTAGTGTAGCTCCTCTGATTTTTCTCAACGATTAGAAATCTTCGATTACTTTGGATTTTGATTATTTTGCGACAGAAAGACCAGAAACTGATGGAAATATTTGAGCGTTTTCAATTCGACTAAAACCACAGTTCATAAGTCAAGCTTAAATACGAATGCTGCAGGAGATTGTCGCCACACAAAAAGTATCGTTTTGCATTCATGCAAATTAAAAAACTGGGAGGGTATGGTGCATTTCTACCAAGTTTGGAGGATTGGATGGGAATAAAACCCACGACATTCTTTAACAGCCACTTCCACGAGGATCTCCTGACGTCGGCTTTTTTGTATTCCCCTTCAACCTTGCCTCAACCCCACAAAACCACTTCCTTTCGTTGTATGGTTACAAGTGGCATCAGTTATTCATTCTTGTTCAATAACTAAGCAATTTCTAACGTTCATCCAGCAACTGACTTTTTTGCTGCTCCGAATAAGAACGAAGCAGACCCAACATTTCAGTTGCTTTTGCAAAAACCCGTTTGCCCCATGGCAGGCTCGAACTGCCGACCTTCGCATCTCCCAGCAGCACTTATAAGTACGACGCGCTAACCAACTGCGCCAATGGGGCACGACGGCTCACCCCAGCTTACAATATATCAGACACGATTCGATTTTAATTAGCATTAAATTTAAGGAATTTAAATTACTTATAATCTTGTGAACGATACGGTTGCCAAATATAAAATGAGTCGCATTTAAATAGAAATGAAACAATACTTTACATAAAATATTACGCAGCCATTTTCAAAGCATTAAAATTGTATTCTAACTCCCATAGTTGCTTATTAATTAAGGGGACGCAATATAAATTGAAATGAAAACATGTCGTAATACTGTATAAGAAAGCGTAGTTTTTACATATTCGATTAGAAGACTTATCGCGACTTTTCAAATCCTCTCAAATTTTCATATATTCTATTACGTGCAATGCAGAGCAGTAATATTCTACTTTCAGCTTAAATACTATTTCCGCTTGCAAGTAGAAAATCAAAGACCATCAGCAAAGGAATAAATTAAACCAAATAAACCATTTCACTCTCTTTTTATTTGAATGAGTTAAATTAAAAAAAGCACTATGAAATGATTGTCTGATTGATTATTCTCTAATATTTATTTGTTTCAAATAAATATTAAACAATTTATAAACGACATAAAAGGTATTCCTTTCAAGTTCCATCCAATGACACATATGAGTTGAACTTGAGTTTTTTGTTTCTGGTTTCATTCTTCTCTTCCAGTTCTGGATATTAGCATAGATGTTGGTGGTAGGAAAATGTAAATATTGATTTCATATAAAATCAATGTTAAACGATGGTTTCATTTCTTAAAGTCATAATGAACTAATCTTCATTCTTTTACTCACCGCAATATTTAAATTTCTAAAAGTCGTAATATCGAAATTTAGTTGCTGTAAGCGCTTCGTAAGAATGATATCACTTGTTTTTCTAGTATTGTGAATTTCCTATTTACTCATCAAATGACTGAATAAATATGAAATAGGAGGAAAGTTAAGCATTAAACCACTGAAATTTTATGGTAAGCGGTGGCTTTATTTCCAAAAGCCGTAATATCGAAATTTAGTTGCCATAAGGCGCTTCGTAAGAAGTTAAGGATGACAGTAATCGGAATAATTTTAATTATATCGCATTCTATTGCTATTTGTTACACACAGTATTGTCAAGGACAATTGGGAATAAATTTAAAGCATCTTTGGTTTAAGGCGGTATTAATTTTTGCATTCCGAAAATATAAATTTTAATAATTTGGAATGTCACAATTTAAAATTAAATTATACAAATATTAAAAAATATACATATATTATAATGGTAAATGATGTGCAGAAGATGATGCATTACATTATTAATTCCACTCTCACTTCTGGATGGAAAGTTTCAACTTTTTTTATGCATTTAGTATGGAGGGAGCTCCATACTATCAAAAAATTTCTCTAAGGCAGTGTATAAATTTCAGTGAAGAATTTAGATGAATTTTTTGGATCGTAAGCATTGAAGAAGTCCGAAGATAGACTTATATTCATTATGTAAATTGAGAAATAACCGGAAATGAATGTAATAAGTAAGCAGTAGATTTCGGTTTACAGTATTACAAACGAATGCACTGTACCGGACAAACAACAAGTTCCTCTTCTTGCAGTATGAGTCGAATACTTACTGGCAAAGAATCAACTGTTGTCAGTGTGAACTGTCCACCGCACAAGTTTTTTTTTTTTTTTCGTATATTTAATATTAATATTACTCGAAATAAGAATTAGAAAAGCAACAACTCCAGAAAAAGTTAGTGAATTTTAGCAAAGAAGTTAATTGTCAATTTATGACATCAAAAGAAAGTGGGTACTCATGTCAGTATTATAAACAATCAGTAACAGGAGAACTTACGCAATTCTGCTGCTGTTTCGGGTAAGGAGAATTCCAATATTTAGCGATGATAGTTCAAGAAAGATTGTCACCTCGGAATTAATTACTATCAATGACTATTTATCAAATTATGTAGGATTTTGTCAACAAGCTCTACTGCAATCAATTTTCGAAATCAATTCCCTGATTCCTCATTAAGATAAACCTAGGACAACAATGAATTAGGCAGAATTAAACAAAGCATTTGAAAGTTTTAAAAGCTAGATAGTAAATAAATCACAGTGTGTTTTAGCAAAAAAAACTTTTATAAAAGTACCGTTAATCATTACTTCTTTAAGAAAAAGCTGTTATCAATCGATAAATCGCTTAGAATCTGAGCAACATTCACTACGTCACTTGGCCGTGGATCCAATAACTGCTGTTTTCTTTGTATTTACGTTCCTTATCAATATTTTAACAATGAAATTGTTTCATAACGATTTAGCAAACGCTGTTGTATTAATCTATCAGATGTATTCCGGTATAACATCATTTAAACTTCTACAATCAGAACACACGTTGCTACAAAATATGGAAGAAGTGAGACTTTCTTTCTCAATCAATTCCTTCACGATGAATTTCATAATACAATTGTGTAATAAATCGAGCAAAACTTTGAAGTAAACAGCAAATCACTGACCTCAATGGAAATTTAAAAAGCAACAATTAAATCAAATCAATATTGATTGCGGTCTGCTTTTAATTTGGCTTTGACATAAAAATACAAGTTTTGGTCTAAATTATACTATGTTAAATCATTTCCCTAATAAAAATAAGTCACTGGACTGATGGTGTACCAGTCGTGAGATCATTGCTTAGGTTACAGATCATCTGCGCTTCATCAGCATTCACAAATTTCAACTGAATAAAGGAATAACACAAATGATTGCACGCATCATGGCGTCAACGTAACAAATCCACGTGTGGAATAATTGTTGCGTTTGATCCATTTTGCAAAGAGCATGTCGTATTGCACAAGCCAAGCGAAAATTTTTGAATAGCACTAAAATTTAATTGATTAACAAGAAATTCAGAACTTTAGTAATGTAAGTACCACGTTTTTGCAGAAAATTATCTCGTGGAAAACACATACGCTAATCACCACGAAAATGATAACGCTTTTAACGCAATCAAGGAAGAACAAACAAAATGTTAATGATGATGCTAAGTTTGGACATAAAAAGCTAGAAATGAATGAGAGTTGTCAGGAAGGAAAGCAATATATGGAAAGTCAGGCGCTGACAGAACATTATTGTAGAAGTGAGCGACTGCTTCGACAGGTTGCTTCATTACTGGCATGCTTCAATCATAGGTAGATCATTTATTAAATTTGTTCCATTACAGGAATGGTATAGATATAATACATTGATGAAAATCAGTTACTCACATTGGCGTGCTCGAGAACGGAGTCAGGTCGGGAAACAAATGCGTAGAACACTGAAACATCTCTTTGAGTTATGACATTTATGACTATCTTCTGCAGTGTTTTCGAATTAAAAAAAAAAAAAAAAAAAACAATCTGAATGTAACAAAATCGTTGCACGATTGAATAAGTCGTATTATCAAAAGCGTAACTCCGTAGCTTCGTAAAGTTTACATATAAATTCCTTGAGAAATTCGAAGATCTGCGTATATGGAATCGTATTAGTTGAAATCTCGATATGCATCCCTTTGTATAATCAGGTATTCTCATTATGCACCGATTTGGATCTGAAGTGCAGGATAGCTTGTTTGATTCCATTTCAAAAAGCAGGGTCTCTATCGTCATCATTTGAAGAATTCAAATTAAATTAGATGATTTTTTTTTTAAAAACTGAAGATTTACACTCTAATATTGAATGACACCATTCATAACTGTTGAAGTAGTTATTATCAGTATCAGGAGGGTTCCATTATCGCTATCTACTATCAATGACGATGATTACTTATTAACAAAATGACTTTGTTCATGACAGTGAAATGCCAATATCTGTTGAATTAACATCTAGACCACAACCTCAAGATGAGTAATTGGATTCAAGAATGTTCTGTATTCCCTTCAAACCTTTGAAATCATTCATTCCAATTCCCAATTGATAAACTTGATCGTCTCACAAAGTAGTAATAAACATGTAATTATTATCCCCTTATTATACAGAAACAACAAATATTTCCTATCATTTTAAATACTTATAAATAATTTTTGGTTTCGGTTCAACATCACTGCTATATTTTTAAGCAAAGAATTCTTGATTTCCGTATTGGAAACAATAAGCCGAAAGTTACGAATGTACGAAATGAGTAGTATCAGAAAAGTAGAACATTTATTTCGTGGTGAGTTTATAAGGCAAAGAAGTATTAATTGCTTCTATAGCAATTAATAAAAGATCATATAAATTTTAAAAAGTGCTGTAGATGTTATTGGTTTATAAAAAATTTATAGTGAAATTATTGAGAGATGATTTGAGGAATGAAGAAAGCATAGACAAACTAACAGATAATGTCATTTTTCATAAACCATTTACAACCGGATATTGTTATCTACTTGATTATAAAAGTAAGTTAAGCTACAGTTAATAAAGAGACCAGTTATTCTGTTTGTCATTACAGAAGATGACAGCAACTCACAGTTTTATCCTTAGAGGACTGACAGTTACTGAGACAATAAGAATATCAATAGTAGTGAACTTTCTACTTTGTTTACTGTTCTGTATTTAATAAAATTCAGATGAAAGTACGTTAAAACCAAGTGACAAAGGTTAAGCTTGAATCACAAAGATGATTTATTTCACCAATTCCTAGTTCTTTTCATTCTGTCTATTTCGACCTTAAGTATGCAGCAGATAAAATCATCAAGGCAACTGAAACAAATAAGAGTGCTTAAGAAGAACCATTGTTTTTCTTTTGCTATGCGTTCAAAGTTTTCGAAATGATGGCTGCCAAGTCAGTAATTTATTCTTTCCGTTCAAATATAAGAAAAAACATTTTCAAAACATTCAGACGAGCGAAAGTTGTTTATATTTTGTCTTTGTTGAAACTTTCCTATGTACACGAACGACCTTATTAGCTCTTAAATTTTAAATATAATAGAATTTTTTTCAGACATTAATCTTATGTTCATTTTTGTTTTAAAAATCTGAACACATTACTTGATATGAATTGCTCGATAATTATATGTGAACAATGGAAGCTAAAGAAATATCTAATATCACGATACATAAAATAAGGCACGAGAATATATCACAGACTTCCAATAAAAAAATAAATCAGCAAAAAATCTCGTTAAATGAAACAAAAATTACAGGATGAGAAAAAACTAAAGAGAAAAAGACTAAAACAAGGGTGGAAAGGAAAGAACATTAATATAGACAAGAACAGATGTTTTACTACAAGAAAGAATTGCCTGGTTATAGAAAAATTGCCAAAATAAGGGCATGCTATTCTACTACTTTCAAGGTATATCTCTGACAATCACCAAACTGATAAAGAAGTGAAATGAGTACCACAGTCATACGAAAAGGTGAGCTGTAGTGAGAAAACAATGTAGCAAGAAGATAGAAAAAATATCACAAAACATGAAAGAAACAAACAAACACATCTAAAAAAAACATGGATAACTATATGCCCAAAAACTAATATATCTATAAACATTACTGCATTCTTAACTGATAATCTCCATTTTGTGTGACATAACGAACCCATGGTAACGCCTGATATCCACTCTTTTCAATAATTTTCAAGTAACGAACCTAAACAGTTCTCTTAGAACATAAAGTAAAAAATAAACTAGATTAAAATAGCTGCGTCAGTGAGAATACCAGAAACCCACCTGAAGTCCACTCGTTGTAAAATACGGAATTTCAAATTTTACTGAAATTGGTGGTTTTTTCTCTGTCTCCTCACCTATAATCGAGGGTAAACAAAAGTGCGCACGCATCAGATATTCACGACCACCTGGAAATCATTTGTTTCTTTGTTTATATGATGAGATCAAAAACTATTATATTTTTGGAAACAGCATTCCAAAGAAATAAAATTTGAAATAGGAAATTCTAAACGATAACCAGGGAAACTGCGAATCATCCAAACAAACGCACTGAGCTCAGGAACATATTTTACTGAACCAACAGAAGTTTTGAATTTAGGTGAATCTGCATCACTTGGCACAGGTATAATAATCTCCACATGATTTGCAATAGACTGACGTTTGAACTGAGATTTTGCCTGGACATGGACGATAAGTGACTAACTTTTTAACTTTAAATTCTTTAACAGCAGTGAATCATATGAAAAAAAAAAACATAATTATGTCACCGCGTCATTACATGAAACTGGCAATAAAATAAATCACCTTCACCATATATTCAACTCTAGAATGAGCATGCTTTTCCATGCAAGATTCCACCCAAATTAATGGCTTTACAGTTGTTGTTAAGCGATAATTCATTAGTTCAAACTCTCCATCCGGTGGTACAAAACTTATGGTACGATCGTTTTCAAAGCGAGATAATCGTACACACTGATGGAATTTCACATCTTCCAATTCTACAGCTTTACCTCGGCCTCCTAAAAATGGATTAAATTTCTAACATATCGGACACAGTTTGATGATATCATTGAAATTTTTAATAGATGGATGCAAAAATAATCTGAATAATAAAGTAAAATCTAAATGAAAAACGCACTTGAGTATGTTTGGAAGAGGACTTTATCATTAAGTCCAAGGCGTAATTCAGGCATTCCGGAAAGAAGTACTCGCATCTTAATCGTTCCAACGATTTCGCTTCGCAACACTGAGCCAGAAGCATTAACCTAAGATAAATTTTATATGAAAGTGCTCATATTCAAGACCCTCAGTTAGTCTCAAATATCAATTCTAAGCTCACCAACATATTAACTGACTCGATAACATCAAGAAAAACTTCATTTTTACGATATTTCAAACCATCCGAGCGCCAAGAGACTGCATTCGTTACCGCCATTGGCGGTCTCGGAGCGATATCGAGCATATATCGTTCTTGTGTGATGTACCTAAATAACCTGGCTATTGGTGATTGGAACATAAGTTTGGATCCATTTTTATGACATGCTAAAGAAATCACTCCTGTAAAATTCGGCTCTCCGTTGTTTGAGGGTAACCGAAATCCATCATCTCATCCAGGAGCTCATAGAAAACGACAAAATTATCTCGTACTGACTCTTCTTCAAAATCCTTAAAAAATCAATAAATGAATATGTCAAAATATTTAAAACATTCAGGCGAAACGTTACAGTCAATCCACAGAAGAAACAAACCTTGAAATATTCACTGAAGACTTCAATACACTTATAAAGGAAAGCGAGCATCATTGCAACATTAACATTTTTCTTTGATATTGAGACGACTAAAAACAAAGCCAATGATGAATGTAAAATTAGAAAACATGAAATGAAAACTGTCTAAATATCTTTTGTCTAGTTGAAAAAAGTCATAGTTGCTTCTCCGGTGTTAGAATTACATTTGTGCGAATGTTTCATATATATATATATATATATATATATATATATATATATATATATATTCAAAAAACCATATATTTTTTTCGAAACTAAACAACAGTGATGATTTGAAACATAAAACAATTATGATGGAAAATTTCCCCACTAAAAAATCACAAAGGAAAGTGAGACTTACGAAATATGTTAAGATGCTTGACGTAAACGTAGCTGATATCATGCTTTTGCAACACTGGAGCTAAAAGACCTTCATCTTCTTTCTCCATCAGAAGAGGCATAAAGGAATCAATCACAGACATTTCCACGTCCCCTCGATAATTCCGTGACATTATCACCTAAATGAAGCCATTTTTTAACTTGATTGGTATATGAGAAAATGCTTCATCATAATTAGAATAAAAAGTTCATTAGCCTATCATCCTACCACACTACTATAAAGTGCATATTCAGTGGCTCTGACAAAAGATTACATATTCAGTTGTTAGCGAAAAAAAGTTACATTTCCTTTCAAGTCCAAAATAAAGATAGCTGAACAAGACATGACTGTTTTTTCCTCGATAATCGTACCGTCCCTATGTAGATATCATCAAATAGTAAATTATAACCTGAAATATCAACAGAACAGAATTATATCTCAGGTAGTACTGAAATAACTTAATGAGTTAAGACCTACATCAGCATCATTATCAACAATATTCTTCACTTAAGCTTAAAACGCCTTACCCATCTATTCTGTAACCATACTGTAACGCTTAACATCTCAATGCATCAACATAGTTAAAGGTACAATCTCAAGTCGTAAATTTTAATTCACTACGCCTCAACTCAAATATATTCATTAATTGGAAATCTTTGCTGCCGAGAAATAAATCCGTACATGCAGTGTAGAAATTTGTGTCACGAGATTTAATTAACTCGTGAGCTTCTATAGACTTTTTTAGAGAAACAAATTGCCGAGATGACTAAATAAGCATATGAAGTAAAACTAGTACTGCCACTAGTTTTATTGTCCTATTTCTACAATATTGATTGTGTTCTGATATAGTCAGGTACCGTCTTGGGAAATTGGCAAATCAGTGCAAACTCTAGAAAATGTAGTTTTCCATGCATTTCATTAATTTACTCTCAATGGCTTCGTCGATATGCCTAAAGTTTTGGTGACTCCCTCCTAACATGTCTTTTCTAAACTTAAGGAAGTGTTCTGGAGTTTCTCGCTTCAACCTAAAGTATCATCGATGGTTTGTCGTGTATAATCCATAATTTGATCAAGAAGTGCTTTTTTTTTTTTTTTTTTAAATATGATTGGTACTCTGACTGGTATTTCAGAAAAGCAATTGTTAATTGGTGACTTATAAGATAACCATTTTGTGAGTTTTTTTCATTTTTCTAATGCTAAATGACGTGAAAAACTATGATTAAGTTTTTCGTTAACTTGCTGAGAGGATGAGCTTTAATAACTACTTTCGACCTCTCTCTGTCAACATTCGGTGACCTGTCACCTCATTTCTAATATTCTCATTAGACAGTAATTCGTAAACGGTTTCTATGCTGAAGATTTGGAAAGTTGTTATCACTACTTTGTGCATAGATTTAAATTAGTTAAAGAAATCATTCAAGTTTGCTTCTTGTCTAAACTTATTCGCTTAATTCTAGGCCCACCTGACTCCACGTCTCCCTAAACATGCATACCCCCAATATCTTAATATGCGATGCCACGACCACTCCCGAGAACAGAACACAACCAAATCCCTCTCCACAGGCACCTCAAAATACCAATCGGCCCATTAGCGAATCTTAAGCTGGCGGTAGATTAGTTGTATCAATTTTAGTAAGAGAAGTAAATTTTGTATTGTTGTGGCTAGGATGATTTCTGGTATGTCTCCGTTTAGCCTCCACATACGTCAGATTATCAACTTGTTATCTTTCTCAGTATAACATGACGTATTCACGGCGTCTATTTACATATAGTAATAGTAGTAGTCATGTATATTATAGTCGGACAAAAATAAGTTTGCCATTATATCAAAAATAAATGCTTTTATTGTGCTTATAGCGCACATTTAAAAACATCAATAGTAATAGTATTAATTATTTTGTTCTTTTTCTTGGTAAACACCGTGTGGTTATGCAGTAAAAAAAAAAGCGGTCATTTCATATCTATTTATGTTATCATTTCAGGTATCTGAAGCAAGAACATACGCAAATTATATATTGTAATCGGATAATGAATGTAATGAAGAAGAAGAATACCGAGAATTATGAAGTAAAAAAAGAAGTGAATCAAGACTGCGCACGGCGTCTATTTATACATCGAATGAGAAATGGGTATGTTTCTTCTCAAATTGAAGACGTTAAATAAGGTTTCGCTTGGAAAAGTAACACTTTTTCATTTGAGGTGGGAAAAAGAATTTGTGCTCATTTTTTAAATTTAAAGTAAAATTCAGGTTTCTCAAGATGAGTATTTTTAGCATGCAGCAGGTATCATCTCACAGAATCGCAGTTGATACCTTGGTTTATGTTCGAAAAATCATAGGTTTTGGAAAGTACAACAGTGCTCAGTTAGTCCTGTGTCATTTCAAACCATTTTAATAGTGGGCTATTGTAATGTCATTTCCAGAGGGGTGAAGAGAATATAAGCTTGGCTGGCTTTGGGATTATTTTCTGGTGCATTCTTGACATGCAAATTATGTATTGAAATTATCCCATTAGTTAATTATTGTAATAAATCCTTTTTTGGAAAGTCTTTTCAGAGAACTCATTGAGTTGCTGGAAACTGAAAGAAAGCATTTGTTGGAGGCATTGCCTTATCAGTTTGTTGTTTCAAATATTGTATTATGTGTGATCAAAATTATCTGTGAAGAAAACGGTGAAACTACCGCTGCATTTGGAGATCTAGTACCGCATGATTCCTTAGATGTCCGGTTATTTTTTAATTTAAAGAATACAACTTGTTTGTAATAATAAAACGAAATTTCTAATTTCTTCACATTCCAAAACTTATAATGTCACATTGTAGGAGCTCTGGAAAACTCCAGGCAGTAGAAAAGTTATGGATCCACGGAAATTTCGAAAACTAGCTCTTGTTGCTATTAATGAATTTGCAGCTGAAATCGACACTTGTGTTGATGATATATGTGCCCAGGTAAAAATTTTCATCCAGGATAATCCACGAGGAAATATTAAATATGTTCGAAGATTATTTTGGTTTCGAAGAAACAGCGTGTGTAGTTTGCTGGATTCTAGCATTATTCGTTAATTTTATAATACACAGTCTTTATTTATAAGTGTCATTGACAAAGATGCTTAAGTATCGAAATTAAAGAAGAAATTCATCGAGCACAATATTACTGAAATAATTTTGAACGCTGAATAATGCCATTCGTATACCATTTTCATGATTTTTTTCTGTGGACTTGTGAAATTGCTACTTTCATCCGTTGTTCTTATAGTCATAAATGAAAAACAAAAATTGTTTGCTTTTACAGGCAAGTGATTACATCTGTACATCTGATGTTATCATAACACACTCACTGTCGTTGTCATCTACACTGAGAGCATTTTTCAAGTCAGCTCGTAAAAGTCAGAAAAATTTTCGATTACTAGTAGTAGATGAAGAAATTGATTATGGTGATTGTTTGTCGTCAGTGGATGTTTTAACTGCTATGCAGCGCGCTACTCGAGTCTTTATCTCTGCTGTCGCTGTATTTCCGGATGGATCTTGCTTGGCACCGGCAGGCACTGTTTTTTTTTTTCGGGTACTATAAAATTTTATTAGTTGAGGCAGGGTGTAAAATTCATTGACGAGAAAAATAAGTTTTCAAAGTAACACCTTTAGTCACTGTAATATTTTAATGCAGAAGTGTTTCAGGATGCTTAATGATATGTTTAGCAGCTAGACGGCATGCAGTACCAGTTTCAGTTTGTACTTCTTTCTACAAATTTACTCCATTTTTTGTAGCGGATATTGATCGTATACACTCTTTCGGTTCTGCCACTGCTGTGGTACCTTTCTCAGAGATGGAAGAAATGGAAAATGCCCAAATTGTGAATCCCATCTTCGATCTGATATCTGCAGAGCTTATATTGCAGTATATATCACATACATCCACCCTCACTCCCTCCCATGTTTACCGTTTTATTGGGGATTATTACTGTCGTGATCGCACTGAAATGTCTTTGTAGATATAATTTGTATGATAATAATTTGTTTGCTACATTGTTATTATTAAAGTAATTTTTATATTATTTTGTCTATAGATACATTTAATGCATGTGATGATTGAGGCTGTTTTACAGCAAAGTTCCAATCATCATAAATTAGGATTCTAGTACATAATCGTGATACTAGATTGGCTGGTATTGAACTCACTTCATCTGAACTTGTCCTTTCAAAGCTCTATTATTCTGTTCAAACGGGTTTGTTAAAGATATTAGAGATATGCTAAAATAACAAATATCAAATAACACATGGTTTTTACGATTAAGTGATATACTAATGTCCCATATTTTTCTACTTTTTTTTTGTTGCTGATCTATTTGTTTGATCAAGATCCACTTCATCTTGAAGTCAAGGGGCTCAGCATGTCAGATGGCTGTTTTGATGTTACAAAGAACTTTTTGGTAGTGGAGTCTAATACAATCAAATAAATGCGTCTAGGATTTGCATTTTAGATACGAATTTTCGGTTCACAAATTAATGGCGGAACCGGGTGACTCGGTGCGGATAGATGACGTGGAAAACAGTAGCGATGATGAAGAAGAGGATGAAGAGGAAACCAGTACAGAAATCGATGAAAGTTCAGCTGAAGAGAGTAGCAGTGAAGATGATGATGAGGCGAAAAGTAGTGATGATGATGGAGATGATAACACCAATGTTTGGGATTCTATGGATGATGGAGCACAAACTGAAGAAGCAGTTGTGAGTTTGGATGGTGATAGGATATTAAGTAATATAGGTAGTTACGAACATATAATAAATTAATTACAGGAAGCTTCACTACAGGCGGATTACACAAAAGCTCTCAACTTTATCATAGATGGTCGTAAGCAGAAAGCGCTTATAATAATGGAAAGACTTCTTCAACATCCAATCCTTCAAAAGTTTGAAGTCAGTACATTAATTTATCATTTCATTTTTCTTTTCGCGAAGGTGTAGAAGAGCTTTTGTACCTTCATTTTTATTTGATTCCAATTAGTTAAATTCTTTCTGTATAATTACTAAGTGTTTTAATGAAGATTGTTTATGATATCACATGATAGTATGAATTCTCTATACTGTTACTATTAGTTGTACAAACTGCTTCATTACTAAGTCAATTTATTATTTTTATGGCATTTCAACCATTATATTTACTCTTTTTTTCTGTATAGGTTAATATCAATTTTTTCAACTGGGATGAAGCTAGAAAAGAAGCTTGTGCGAATCATTCTCGTGTGTCAGCTATGGCTCGACTGTTTTCATCCTTGCACTTCAATATCGGTCGACTTCTAGACGACCCAATAGACCACTTGTTGAGTGTACGTTTTATCAATATATCTTAAATGGTTCATATCTTCATTATCAACTTTTACCAGTATTCCTCTGCTAAATGAAAACCATGTTAACAATTATTTTTTTTATTTTTGCTGAAGTTAATTTACTGTTGCTTGTAGATGTAATTTTTTACTTTGTATACAGAACAGTCCGAGTTCCTATTATAGTCCTGTTTTTATCTTTTCGTGTTGTAGGCATTAACCGTATATCCAAATGACGAATATTTATGGAAATATATAGGAGAAGAATCCCTGAAAATACGAGATTGGTCTATGGCATTGTACGCATTCGGAAACTGTTCATCTGCTTGGAGTGTTATTCGTGGGACTCTTATCGCTTTATATAACGCCAACCTGTTTGAAGGTATTTTAATCTGCTGTTAATTGTTGCCAAGATTCGAAAAGTATCTGCTAAGTCCTTTTTCTAGAACACATATCTCAATGATTACTTATTGGTTTTATATCTTAATATGTAATTACTTCATGCTTCGAAAAATTCGAATCTAAAGAAGTTGAAACACTTAAAATATTTTGCAAAAAAAAAAAGTGAAGCAAATTAAATTCTTTAAATATTCCAATATGGAAGCTAGAGATCTATATGATGACGAAATGCCAACTGGTCTTATCCAATCATTTTATGAAGCATATTTTGTATGCTGAAGTTACACTTTGTTTAGGGCCAAATTGGTTTGACAAAAAATATAATTTGCCTTTTATCAAACTTTTAGAGATTTCAGATTGTCTCCTGAAAATAAAATCTGTATTAGAGTACGACAAAACATATTTTATGGGACGGGTTTTGAAACAAATCATTCGAGAAACGAATTCTTATTGGGAAATGAAATGTCGTCAAGTGTTCAACGAAGATCCGGTTCTTGTGCAGGATGAAGATGCTGTGAAAATAACAGAAAAGGAAAAAGAATTGGTTTGGTCACTGTTTTTCTCAGCCTATTTGATTTCTATATTGTTAATATTACAAATTCGTTTTTTATTTCATTCAGGTCACGTACTTTGCGTTTTTCGCATTTTTATTGATTTCTGTTTTTATTTTCTGTCGAAACAGTTTAGAATAGTATTTATTTTGATTCGCGTTGAAATAAATTAAAGTAGCTAGATTTTTACTTTCAAAATGTATAGTACTCTTTAATAAGTAATGGCACAAATGAAAGAAGTTTGAGAACTTTAGGAGCTGACTGAAATACTTAGGATATCCTAGAAATAGTAGGACTGATATTTTTGAAAGCGTCGAAGTTTATCAATAATTTAAGGTTATTATTTTGAGATCATTTGCAGATTCTAAATGAAATGAAAAATACTGGGAAGTTTATTGCTGGAGTTGAACCTGCATTCAAACCAGTAGTGGTTGATGTGGGCACTTGTTCAAAGTATGTTGTTATTTCTGCTGATTTTTTAAAAGTTTTTTTAACATGATTTTTTTAAATTATTTTATCTTTCTTGAAATGTTGTGTTTTATCTTTCAGCTTAGCAGAAATAGGAATTTATTTATGTGATATATATGACCGCATCGAATGTTTTTCCAGCGTAAGTCGCTCATCGCTTTTATTTGTACACATTTCATACTGAAAATTTTAGCAGTTGTACCTTCGTACTGGTGATGCAACTATCTCTGCAGTAATAGACTGATGGTAGATAATTTTGTTCATAAGCATATTTTCAATAATATTTTGCTAGGAATTGTTACTTAACTTGAACAGTATCTTCAGAAAACGCCAAATTTCGTGTCAAAATTTGATTCTAGGAACTAGAATGCTATCAAAGTGTTAAACATAGTAGAACATTGTAGCAACATATTTCTGCAGTTCTCAAAACAGTCTATTGTGCTATGTGGTACGAACGTGTTGGATGAATTTGATGAAGTTGCTCATGATGCATCTGCTGACCTTATAGACTGTGTTAACGTCGTTCAGGATTTAATTGATAGGATTGTATCCGTAGAAGCTATTCGGCCTGCTTCAAGCATTGTAAGTTCTATTGATATCTTTTTTTTTTTTTTTTTTTTTTTTTGCGCAACTCAAATAAATTAAACTATAATTACTGAGAATGAAAACTTTACATGCCCATCTTCGAAAAAAACTCTTATTCTAATTACTGTTTTATTAAAGAGATATAAGTTCGTATTGAGGCTTATGAGTAACTATTGTAGCCACACTGATGCACACTTCTGTCATAAATAGACATGTTATGCTAGATGGTATAATGTTGTTGATGTTAAATAATGGTTGTGTTCACTGTTTCATGTACCTCTTAGAAAGCGAAAACGATCAGATTCCGGTTTGGACTGGAGGCGACGTTCCGTTCGTTTTCGCGCAGAATTTAACATTGAGGAATCTGGCTCAGAAAATGACAAGATTTTGATTGCTTCAGTACATTTATAATTCTATTTGCTTAACATGATAATTCACCTTGAACTTATTCGCCTTAGCATAATTCATCTTAAACTTACTTCTTTTAGTCTTTTTCCTTAATTAGCTGATCGGGTATGTTATTCCAGCTACTAAATTATTCATGTGCACATGAATCATCGATTGTTCCCCTTTTATCAATGAAGCCATCCTCACTGACAGGCTTATCTGCAAAAAGAGCTCCTTTACATGTACTAATGGATGATAGAGCATCGTTACGTAGATGCGTGATATATCTTGCAAGAAGGTTTATGGACGGAAATGGACGAATTTTTGAGATTTTGGAGCAGTTACTTCTTTGGTTCTCGAAGAACTGCTTTTGCATTATTATCACGGACTACTTACGAGAGGTACTTATATCATTTTTACCTGATTGGGTATGTTATTCCACCTACTAAATTAGCTGAAAATTGTGCCTGAATTGAAGTATGGAAAACGTTGGAAAATTTCATGACTATTATTAAACTAACGGTTATAAATTAATATAACACAGTACGATTATGTTAATATAACACCACGATTACAGTTTACAGTTTTACTTCGGATGCTGGAAATGTCTCGCAGTTGTCAGTTGATATACTGGTCAACTGATGATGATATCTTGCGGATTTCAGTTTTTTCAAATGTAGTGCCCTACTATGTCTCGCTATAGTTTAATAATTGTTATCTAAGGAATAATAATTGTTATCGCGACGAATTACATCGGTCAAACTTTGTAGGAGAATTAATAATATTTTGACAGTAGTTTGTCCACGATAACTAATTTTGTCTTAATTGATTGTTATTATTCCTATCTCTTTATTGTACATCAAAACTTTTTTGAAAAGACTTTCTGTTCTGTTGAAAAAGAATTGCTTTATTTTTGCTTAGGTAATTATTGGTTGTTATGGTCGATGGATTACTAATTTTGGGAATACTTCGATGATTTGTGGCGATGAATTCCTTTCTATCCATACCATGTTAGCTGAACTAGGCTTCGAAAAAGCTGTATTTGTTTGTTACTCTTCACTTCCTTCGTCTTTGGAACAAGATTTACGCATTCGAATACTTTGGTCAATTGCATTGAATAGTGCAAACACTTTCCCTTTTCAGGTATAAGGCATTTTTATTGCTCTTTTATTTAAATTATATCTAAAAAGCTAAGAAATTGGCTAGTATTACTCAAAGTCTTTTTTCTTCTGCTAAAAGCCGTTGTACTTTCTTGATATTTAACCTTTTTTAGATTTGTAAAAATCATCTGTGGATGTTATTAGCTGCATTAAAATCTGGGTGCAATTCTGAAGTCAAATACCAGTCGCTGATTAGTGGCCATGAATTAATCAACTTAGAAACAGTTCAGGATCTCATTACCCAGATGGAGCGTCAAGAAAAGCTTGAAGCTATTCAGCGATTGTTCGATGGTCGTCACTTTGATAGGGTATTTTAGCAAACATTCGTGGGAGAAAATACAGTGTAATCTAGAAAAAGAACGGTCTAATAAGGACTATTTTATGCAAAAAAGTTGTTATAATTTTTTATGTTCTGTGAACCCAAAAGTACAGGTTTTCCCATTTCTCTTTGTACTTTTTACTTTAAGTGATCCTGGTATTACCTAGGAATTATCTCTGAAATCAGTTGTTTAGGTGGTTGACATTATCATCGACAACTTCAGTTGGAAAGATGTTGATCGTAGTGTTCTTCTTTCTACAGCGATGATCCTTATTGATTCATATCTTGAATTAAACAACATGGATGGTGCATCTGAATGGATTAGCAGGTATGTTTCTTTGAGACGTATGAGAGATTTAAAAAATAAGATCTCACTGTAAATTATTTTTAAATTTCAGATTGCTGGATTTTACTGGAGGACTTGCTGGAACTGAGGAAGTGATTGCAAGGTTGAAACAACTTGCTATAGAACGTATTTGCTTAGAAAATACTTCTAATCTAGTCCATTGCATTGTTCATCTTCTTGTTCTCAGCGGATATGAATCTGTATGTATTACTTTAAATATTCATAAATTCATATGAGAAGAGAAGTAAATTTAAGTATTATTGAATTAGGTACTAATCCTTTTCAGGACACTACTCTTTGGCTTTTACTTTATCGTTGTGCTTACCATTTGGAGGGAGAGCACACAGTGGAAACATTATCCGCACTATATGACGGTGGTTGTCAAATGCTTACATCTGCTTTGAATATCCTAGTCACTGCTCATGAAGTGATAGCTAAGCACAACAAATGCTTCGTCGATGACGTATTCTTTTTTCTAAATTCCTGTTCAGTTAGATTTTAAAAGTGGATGAGGTGCACCTCGTTGGTAGCCTCCTTGAAAAATTCCCTTCTCATTTTTCTTCCTGTGTGGTAGACTTTACTTTATCTGCTAACTACTTTACATGGATCATTAGTATAGTCATAATTAGATGTTGGCTTCTAATCATTAAACCTTAGTCCTGCAATATTCTAAATGAAGTTCTAGAAATAGTCCAAGCTTTGTTTTTTTCTTTAAGCTTTTTATATTTCGTAGTGTTTATATAATTTAAATGTAATTGAAAGCGAAGTGATGGCGGACTAAAGACTTTTCATGTTACATTTTCAGCATAGTTTTCCATTGTTTATTTTAAATGAATTTTCGAAAATTCGGGCTCATCCTGCCGTCATTGAAGTTCTTTCAACACGAGAATGCATCGAACAAAGTCGTGCTTTCATAGATGAAGTTCATCAATGTCTATTTTGTCTATACGCGTAAGTTACAATGCTCAGCAGTGGAGATTTATTTGAAATTAAATTCATTCCAAAAATTTTGAATATATCTCAGATTTCCATGTCTAGGTGCCCATCAAGACGTAAAAGACAGCTGGAAGAACATGGAGGCACACACAATCATGAGCCAAATTTGAAGGATATTGAAAACGTTTTATCGCTGCTCTTGCCTGACAAAATACCTCCATATGATGGCACTTGTTCTTTTGATCTGATTGAATTCGTGCAAAAGAAAGCATCTTCGTTTTTGGAGCCTACAGAGAATGAAAAAGAAAAGGTAATGAACAAGTCTAAAAACTTGGGAAGTATGAATAAGATCATGCTATATACTTTTTCTGTTGGTATTTACAATGGAAATACAGGTAGATAGAAATAGAATAATGATGGTGGATTATTTTGAAAGAAGGTTGAAACTGACAAGTTCATTGCAAATTAAAATAACGTAAAATCTTTATAAGCTATGCTTTCTTATCAGCTTGTTTACGGATTGTCATGAAAATTTCCCACACCATGCATTAGTAGATCTTCTACTTCCAAATCACTAGTTCATTTTGCAGCTGTTCGCATTTGATCGTTTCATTGCGCAAGCAGAGGTTCACGCGGATTGGCCTCGAATTGCAGAAAGTTCTCAGCTTCGATCAGGAGTTTTTTATCAGCTAGCACTACATTCCTATCGCAATCACAAAGTAGATGATGCTGTCTACTATGCCAAATTGTTTCTTCTTTATGCTTCTGCTACACTACCTAACGAAGTGTTTTTTTGGGATTGGACCGTTCTAGCTTTCGCTGCTACTTCAGTTTTCTTTGCGGGAAGTTCTTCTTTATTAATGAACAAAAAGATTACAGTCTGTAAAATTCAACTTTGTGATATGGAAAATTCAATCTTAATTTTAATGAGTTTCGCGTAGTTTGTTTCCTGTTTTTATTTGGTACTTGAATAAACGCTTTACATCTGTTATGAGAAAACAACTGTCCACTTTATTTCCTTTCTGAACAATAAACTTAATTTTTAATTAATTGGTTTCTTATTTGTTCCTTAATCTAATTGTTTATAGGTGGATGAAGATGAAATGTCCTCGCACTTCGATTGTAGTGTTTTTTCTTTTCGAATGGCTCTTTTTTTTGATCCGTTTGATCGATATGTTATATTTAATTTTGGTAGCGCTTTATATCAAATCAATTCTCGGATTCGTCGATACAGAGACAAGGTTTATCGAACTTATTATTGTAGTACTATGTCTCAACTATTCTAATAAAGTAGAAAGATTGCGGTTTTATGCATTTGATAAATCTAGCTTTCTTTGGATGATATTCGACATCGATGGGCAAACCGCCGAATCAAAGGCCTCCTCGAAGAAAGTCGACGTCAATTTGAGACCTGTCTATCACGTTTGCCGGATGGTGATGTAGACAAATGGCGATGTCACTACTTCCTAGCGAAAATTGCAGAAAAATGCGGAGGCGCTCTTGAAGATGTGATTTCTTTGAATTGAAACTAAATTTTTTCGAGTCCAAATCAATTCAGTTCGTTTTTAAAAAAAATTTTTTTAAGTGAATTTGCTTTTTGATTTAACATTTAAAAAGTGAATAAGTTTTAAGCTAATTTAGGTATTCCATCATTATCATGAATCAGCTCTTCAATTACAAACTGCAGGAGTTCAGTATCCGAGTAGAATCAATACCAAAAGGCAGGAGCATGTGGAAGCAATCGAGGTAAGTGATTTATTTTTTTTTTTTTTGGTGGGGAAAAAGAGTGGAAAAGATAGCTTACATCTTCGTATATTTCTTAGAACTGCAGAAAAATTTAATAGTTATTCATGAAGTGCAATACTATTATAGATCCATTATCGTGCTTATGCCTCTTTGCTGAAGTATTTACTAGAAAGGGAAACAGACTGGGATCGAGAGGACCTGATATTGATGCACTCATTTGCTTTGTGCTTTCGGTTAGCTGTTAGCAAATTTCTGTCTCAAAAATTTCTAGATTTGAAGAAGTTTGGAAAAGTGAATACTTCCGATTCAAAAAAACGAAGTCATCTACAAACTTAAGGGAATTTTGAGCCATCATTATTTGTGATTATCATTTATTTAAAATTTAAACGACTTCCAAAAAACAATTTGTGCGTTTAGTGTATAAAATAAAGTTTCAGAAATCATGGTGTTTGTAAACAAAAGGATAATGACGAATTCTCACAGTGCCCACGAGTAAAAGCAGTTGTTAGCAATCTTATGTATAGATGCACGGAGCCAACTGATACTGTGCAACGAGTGCTCAAGGATTTAAGAGAACGGACTGCCCTTAAATTAGAGATTCTGCAACTCTGTGAAGAAGCTTTCAACATTTGCATTCGTAGGTCTGCAACAATATTAATTTAATTTTATTTTTTATGTTTAAGGAGCTCCACTAATCGCATCTGTTCATATACTAATTAAAAAAAAAAGTTTCGAATTCCTACAGTATCTCTAGTTTTTTTAAGAGTGTAGGTTTCATTTCTTTTTGATAAAATGTTAGACAGTGATTATGTTGTTTCAGATTTCCACACTTTAAATCATACTATCGACTGTCGCAACTAGCTCTATACAAAGGAGATATCCTGGAAGCTTCAAATTATTTATTTGGTCGTTTCTTGGTCAAGAAAAGGGCAAACTTTAATCCAGATAACCTATTCGAGGTCATCTCTAGAATTCATTCTCAAATTAAAGGATTCATAAAAAAGTCCCATCATAATGGTTTGCAGAATGTGATAACGATTTTCTGTAAAGATATTGACCGGGGAGATGCACTTCAGTACCATCTTGCTCGTATCAGCGCTTTAGCAATATATCTCTGTGCTTTATTAGATGATTTCGAGGCTCTTGCAACCTTGATTCATACATTCTGCACATTGGATTTTTGTAATAATACGTAAGTGACACATACTATTAATAAACAGTGCAGCAGAGATTCTTTTCGCTGATTTTATTTTCTAATTTACTCTGCATTTTAACTCACTATATAAAATAAAAACAGGAAATTAAAATGAAGTGGATTCATTAGATAATAATGGAGCTCGAATTGTTCGAGCTTTTTTTAATATGAAAGTAAATCTCCTCCTTTCTTGATTTTCACTAGAATAAGATTACAAATGAAATAAACTAAAGTCTTTACTGCCTCCCAGTCATAAATTAGAAACAAAGTATATTCCTTGTTCTTTTTTTCAGTGATTATTTGTTGAAACGAGATCTGGTAGTGCTCTATCGTAATAGTTTGAGCAGATTTTTCGATTGCATACAGCGGAAGATAAAAAACAATACAGTGGAGAGCCAACTTCTCTCTTCGGTTTATGATCTTTATCAGTATGCTGAAAGGTAAATTATTGAAATCTTGAAAAGATATAAAACCGTATCGATATCACAATTATTCCAGGAATAATGTACTACGCCTCTGCGAACGAATTCGGCCAATAATTGTTTCAGCTACCAGAAAATTTACTGGTTATGATGAGAAGATTGAACCAGTGTTATTTTGCAAGGTAAGAAAGCTTTGCTAAAAGATACAATAGGAGGGAGAGAAATAATGAGATTTCTAAACATATTTTCCTAAACAAGTCTAGTAAATCAATGACCTGACCTTCGTGATTTATCATTCTCGGCCAAGTTTCTATTGAAAAGCATGAAATCTTGCTTGAATCTTCAAAACTCGAGAGAATCTTTTCCAGCAACTCTATACCGCTTCAAAGAGAAAGTTGGGCAAACGAAAACTGAGTAGCAGTTCAATCATTCAATCGAAGTCGTTCCGCCTATTCTCTAGTCCAAATTCCAGTCTTACATTTACATAGAGGTCATCCTCTGAAAAAATGTGTAGATCCAGGAACTAAAACACAATTCCAAAAAAAACCTTTTCTAATTCGAAAAACACTGGCAATTACTGAATGTAAGGCAATATAAGGCATGAAATTCCTATTTACCCAAATAAAAAAGATTAAATAATGAAGACGTGAGATGCTTGGAAATAAATTTTAATATTCAATTACCCGAAATCTTCCATAATACTTATCTATTTGCATGAAATACATGTTATGCAGATGGAAATGATAAAAACATATACATTACGAATGCTTTACTCACAGTTATTTGGAACTAGATACAAGTCAGTAAAAGAGCGGATTATGTGTTATCCAGTGTGGTTTTGGTTTATGTTTCGCCTCCTCGCATGTCGTGAACAATGATTTGTATGCCGCAGATGCATTTGAGTCTTGAATCGAGCTGCTTTTAGCAGTCGTTGCTTTCCGCTTTTCTGCTTTTCTGAGGAAACCTTTAAAATCAGCTGATGTTGTCGTCCGTCTATGCTCGTTTACCATCTCCTTTTTTTGAGTGGACTCGATCCCCAATTCAGAAGTCATACTCAATTTTTTCTCCGTCAGTTCTAAAAAATATTTTATAGGAAAAAGTAAATTTATGAATGTGGTTTCCAGCATCCAAAAGCATACTTGATTTTTTTAAATCTTTTATTCACGAAGTGACTGTTCATACGAAATCTTAAATGTATATTAGCGTAACTTCTAAAACTACAAATTATGTTGCTATGTGCCCAATCTTCATAGCACTGATCGTTTATACATATAATATATATGTATACTAACTTGATGTCTTACTTAATTTCCGTTTTAGTCGTTCTTCTTCGACCTGTTTATAAATCTCAAGGACATCTTGCGGAGGATTAAGTAAAATAAGGTCATCTTTGCTAAATGAACCTCCACAGCCATGGCATACATCTGGCTTCACTTCTTCAATTGCTTTTCCCGAAATTACACATCCGCATCGCCAATTAACAGTAAACCTGAACCACTACTTTTCACAAATAGAATAACAATCAAAAATGGAAATTTCTTGTTACAAAAATCTTAATCGGAAAAATTCTTAATCGAAAAAATTCCGAAAACTTTTCCCATAACAGATTATAATTAGAAGCAGCATTTGGGATTTCGCACTCGTAGGAAGAAAGACAATCAACACAAAAAAGACTGCTATAAAAAAACAACTAACAAACGGATATGTTATATATGAATAATTCGACCCATATGAATGATATTTCTGCAATATGTATTCGTTTATCAAAACATGTGCAACAAAATTGGAATAAAAATAAATGACCAGCAACAGATGGTTAACGCAGATGTCCTCTATATTTATTCCTAATTATATAAAAGAGATGGAGAGAATAATAGATATGCAGAGATATAGAAGAAACACCAAGTCACAATCAAACACAGCAAAACTGAGAAAAGGAAATTTTCTCGTTTTCCTCTTAAAATCAGTAAGAAACATACGAATGATTGCCATTCATTGAAATCCCTGTGACTGGGCAGCAGAATGGCGCGATATTATGGTCTTTGTAGATATCTCCTTTGTCAGCACCGCTCTCTTTGTATTCCTTGTTGTCCGTTAGCTTCAACTCCTTAACATCTTTCAAACTTTTGATATGTTTTGCCACTTCATACTCACCAATTTTCTTCGATAAGATAGCGTTAAGAATTTCCTCTTTATTATACAAGCTGAAATAACAACGTATATTAAAGCACTTAGAAACTGGAACTAATAGGTCATCTCATCAATCAAATAGATCATACATATTTCACTGAAAGAAGCATTTCCATGCAAAACAAATAGAAATAGACTAATGCTAAGAAAGTTTTTTCGGTTTTCAGGAACTCATCACACTAAAGTCGTCATTAAAGCAAAGGCATTCCAATACAAATAGTTGCGGGAAATGCCTAAATCATCGCATCAATCAAAGTAAAAGGTCACATACTTTCCCAATCTGCATGCTACGATCGGTCTCTTTAGCGGTTCCTGGCTCAGTCGACATAACCTCCAGCGAGTGGCGTTCGCTACATTCTTATCCAGTTTCTCCTTCCTTTTCTTCTTTTTTACAAGCTCACAACGTTTCGGGATTGTACCACCATCCGCTCCCATTACACTTCCTCAACTCACTGTTATATATATACTCAACTCCGCAGTACATACACACGACCACCCCGCGTGTCTAATAACCCCACACCACTTCAGTCCAAACCACTGATCAGCAATGAACCAGTCAAGAAATACTCCAAGTTGCTGTCCATTACAACACCTAATGTACCCAGTATGCAAATTTCTTGTCCCAAGCCTACCTTCTTCAACTCTCAGTCCTTCTCAGAAATTATTTGCAAATGTGTCAGGAATTGAGTACCAAACTTTTTGTTATCACCAAAGGTCATGAATAATCTCGAACAGAAAGTTAGAGAATTTATTTCAAAATAATTTACTAATGCTTTCCAACAAATATTACGTATGAAACAAAGTGCTGGTTTCATGTTATACATGGAAGGAGGGAAAAGTTTTCTTCATAGACGTTCTACCAGTTAAAGACTACTGCTAGCGAAGTAAACTGCTCGCCTTAAATGTGTCTTGCTTACTTGTTAGCGTATTGTTTGGCAGTTATTCAAATATGTTTATTTGTTTACCTTTGAGATAGCACAATGCCATCAAAACCACGCGTAGATAGGATTAAGATATGTTATACGGCGGCGATGCATTTAAACTATGGATGGCGGGTGAGTGGCTATCCCTGCACTCCTTTCAACAACGCTGCAACTAAATATATCCCCCAGTTGCATCGGATCACCGTTCGATTCTGCCGCAAAAATGAGTGCAGTGCTGGAGTAAGGCACTTCATAAGCAGTGGGTTATTGTCTCAGTTCGCATCAGAGAATCCGTCCATCGTTGTTTACGTACAACCCATCAGGTTTGTCAATTCTCCGTTTTTCTTCTTTATTTCAAAAAATACATATTATATGGTATATTCCTTTTTTTGCATATTCATTTTCGACATTCTAAGTAATACATCGAAAACGCACATCATTAGAAATAGCAACAGTATTAGTTCAAGCTGTTGAATGACCATTACCTGAAATTGTTGCATAATCACCCGTTAACGTTCCTTTTGGAATGATTATATTATTGTAGCAATTTGTTTGCATAAAAACCAGACGTCAAGTGATCGTGCTAGTACACCACATGTTGACTTTCTGGAGGAAGCCAGTGTTATTGGCACGAAACTTTGTTTTTATTTTCCCATGCTTTTCGTCGTGCAAATGAAGATATCTCTACGACTTTATTAAGCTTTTAGAATAGGTGCTCAACTATTAACATTCGTGAAATGCAAAACGATAGCAATAGAAACTATGGATCAGTTAAAATTCATTTATAAAAGAAACAATACCCATTTATATGATTAATCTGGATATAGTGTATATGTATTTGTTTCCATTTTTTTCTGGATATATTTGCTTCTAGGCAGAATATTCCAGTACTAAGAGCGGAGTATGGAAATGGACGCATAATCCAAATCGTTTTGAAGAGTTTTGATGCGGAGCAGGTGAAAAGACATTTCAATCTAGTACGGACTCGAAGCGGTCTTCCAGTAGTTGATCTGGTCTCGAGACAGTCTGCTCATGTTGCTTCGGTGCAAGGAATGTGGAATCCAATGATCAACATCAGTTCTGAACTAAATGTTTCCGAACTGTCAGAGAAATTTTCGCGCCACCGTACTGCTAAATTGTCAGCTACGGAATACGTGTCGTCACTAGTTGACGAAAATGTTAGTGACTCACATTGATACCTTGTTACACATCTTGCACATCTCCATTTCGCAACAGAATTAGAGTGATTCTGCCTTGGGAAACTGACACCGTTGCATCAAGTCATTGCCAATAGCTTTCTTCAAACCTCTGTAAAGGTTTCTTTTGAAATATCTCTGATGAAAAGTTAGCAGGGATTCAAAGTATGTAGGTCATGCAGTTCCAGTTTTTTTCTGTCGTGTGTCCAGTTATAACAGCTGTTTTATACAAGTTTATTATCGAATTCTTTTACAAGTTCGCAAATATCTTTACATACATAATGAACTGGTTGTATAACAAAAACATGAAATATTATCACGGCATCAAAAATTAATTAATGAAAAGCTCATACATATTACCCAATTCGTTACCGTTGACCATACTGTCCCCATTGATCTGTATTCCACATATGTCTTCTGCTACCGGGTACAACACTATCAGACCCAAAACTGGTAGTGGACGACCACTCATTACCTGACGATAGGTCGAATTCAGATGGTGCTGTTGGAAACATCTGAAATTATATACTCAATAGTGATGAAAGTGATATTATTTTCTAACTAAAGGATGTGTAAGTTTGTTACAACTACTTCATTTGTACTTGTCCTAGAACAAAATAAGCAAATTAAATAACTGTAGTTTTGGATCCCATTCCTCTGATAGGCCAATTTACCTGGGAACTGGTTTGCCAACTTTCATTTTCATTCATAACTATTACATGCGTAGCAATCACATATTCGAACTGTTCCGAATATGGATTTAAAAATCTGTGAGCAGTGACTGCGCATGGGACGAAATCTGTTTGTGTTCTTAATCGAACTGATATTTGTGTACCTTGGTCCTGTAAATCAAGGCTAAAATAAGAATGATTTGGCAGAAGGATTAAAATACTTCTACTGAGTTCTGAAACAATGTGTCAACTGGCAGCAACACAAACTATAAGAGAAAAAATATTCTAGTATATTAAAAAAAAAAAGTTAAGACTTGAATTTTTACGCTAAAACTCCTAGAATAACTTATAAGTAGAAAGTAGCAAAGCAAAAATATGGGAAGATTTGGTGGGAGTGCTATCACTTACTTGGATAATATGCATGAACGCATCGTGCACAATTTGTTCATCTGCAGGGTGTACAATTTGCCACCAGTAACGTCCTAATATCTGCTCCGACGGTATGGATAACAGAATTGCCGCTCTCTGTTCCACAAATGTTATCTAGAATGAGCACGCAATAAAACAACGCGCATTGATATTTCGGATGAGCATCACAAAAGATATTGAAACTGAAACAAAAAGGTTAATCTCACTTTTCCATCTTCTGCGAGTCTTACTGAAAACTGTGAAATGGAATTTTGTTCATTGCTGATCGGCATACTGGCAACTTGCAATCGTGCAATAGCAACAAGACAGCTCGATGGTGGTGAATGAAGTCCAAGACCGCTCGGTGGCGAATTTTTAATATAACCGGTACAATGAACTACCACATAATTGTGTCCGTTATGTGTAAAGATAGGCCGTCGATTACAGAGACGATGAAGAGGTTCCAACGGTCCCAGTCTCATTCTAGGCAAAATATGTATAACATCTAAATTATCAGACGTTGCTGTGCATAAACAGAGTTTTCATAGACTGTGTTCTAGAACAACCAAAAACCCTGCAGTTCTACACTGCATCACCACATAAATATATCTTGTTTTTTGTTCTTTTCTACCGACAAAGAGAATTAAGAAAATCAAGCAGTTATAAATTGGAGTATGTTAGCTCACTAAATATAAGACGAATTCGCAAGAAAATTGGCATCAAGCATGCTAATTCATATGATAAATTATCCCAAAACATAGCGTGAAAGAACTCAAAATGAAAAGTTCTTACCTACAGATGAAACCACGACGGCAACTCATATGAACACGAATGGAACCCTGCTCTTTTTTAACAGTGCCAGTTTTCAAATCCAATACTCGATTCAAACTTGCTTCACTTCCGCATAGCTGATCCCTTACTTTTTCCATGTCGTCAGGATGTATCAGATCATAGATAACATGATGTATCCAGTCATCCTTAAGCACCAGTATTTTAGACCAATAACTAATGGAATGAAAAAATGGGGACAATGAACGATAAGTTCCACAATAATGGTAAAAATTGAATGCTATCAACAGTGAAGTCACAAAGACATCTCATGATTCATCCATCTTCAATGATAGTTCCTTACTACTTGAAATCAGGTAGTAAAAGAAAACCTGGTATTTTGGGATTTAGAACCCAACAAAAACAAAAATATCACTATATATCAATTTGTACTCGAATCTTACCGGTAAATAAGATAAACTGAAAGCAGCTTTATTTCATTAGATGAATTAAAGTTATCTGAGAATATATGGTGTAATTTCGAGTAGTTAAAAACTAGAGTAGCTTTTAACACGTAATTTTAAAAAAGCTGTGCTGATAAATTCTCGACCTGGTGCATATTCAGAACAGGGACAACTGAGTCGGCTACGTAAAGAATTCTTCCTGTATCACAACAAACAACAAACAAGAAGCCATTGGCCGCTTCTAAAATCAAATGTTTCAACTCTTGATCTGTCAAAAAAGATGGTTTATACGAAGCTTCACTTTGTGCGCCACCACGAATCGTCTGCAATATATGATTATCTACACTAATGCAAACATAAAGCATTTTAACTTGAAATATGGAAAATATTAAAAAACTGTTAAAAAGATTTCCACAGACAGTTTTGCACACAGAGACCACCGGAACCTAAATTATCTACAATCTTCAGTGAGACAACTGCTGAACACTATTGTCAAGTCCATTTAATCCTCCAATATCTGCTCTATCAAATATATAAACAGCATTAGCTGAAGTTTCAATAAACCTTCATGTGAGAGACAGCCATGCGCAAAATAGTTAGCTTATCTGGTTTGCGACCGAGAGCAGCGCACTGAGGTACCATTTCCGCAAGTTCATTGATATACTGCGTCATTTTATTCCTCCTCCGTCGCTCAATTTCACTGTGATTTTCACGTGCGAATCGCTCTTTACTGTCCGATCCAGGATCTTCACTTTCACCAATTCTTACTCCCATTCCATCCATTCGCGCGTACTTTGATACCGATCCGTTTAATCCTCCAATATCTGCCCTAACAAATGCATAAACAATATTAGTTGAAGCTTTAATGAATTAGACTAATTTTCTTGAAATCCATTACAAAAAAAAAATAATAAAAGGAAACAGTAAAAAAGAGACATTGTTCTATCACTACCAATCAGTAATCAAACACATAAACAACCGACATATTTTGCGGCCAAGCATCTAAAGACTGTGCTACGATTGGTCCGGGGACTGGTATTGCTCCCTGACCGCCCCCACTCGACATCTTACGCCATTTAGGTCGGAACAGTATCGAAATTTTCTGCAACATAATTAACAAATTTGGAGCAGTCATTCAACGAATAATTTCATCCATTCACAGTGACTGATTTAAATAACTTTTATAAGAAACCATTCCGGAGAACTTCAATTTCTAAGATGAATCAGACAAGATAAGAATCCAAATCCAGTGAGCTAAAAAAAAAGAGTTAAAGACAGAAATAAATAATTCTGAACAATCTAAAAGATACGTTCGGCATATGTTCTTGTGAAATTAAAAAATACTTAAAACAGAGACGTGAAATTGCACCTTGGCAGCCTTACAAATACTAGACATATACACTGGGAATCTATAATTACATGCACTGAAAATATTAATCCTTAACGTTATCGAAACGTAGCGAAATAATTAGAAAACGAAGGGTATAAAGGTTAACCTGAATTGTACTAAATTGCCCTTAAAGCTGCCCATTCAATTAAGCTATTTGTTTTCAAAAATCATTCGTCCGATTCTTAGATTTACAAGGACTGTCCATTGGGGAATCTGAGTACCATCCTGGTGCGATTTAAGAGGTACGCACAGCAAGGCTAGTTAAAATAAGCAATCCAAAACTCATGACGACATCATTAAATGAGCCAATACATCATCCTTCCAACAATTCTTCTACATAGTGATACTTTTCTCTTTCTAGCAAAGAACCTGTACAGGACGAAATGCATATTAGAAAGTTATCAAACACAAAAACACTTTTATGATATGTCAGTACGGATTTCTATGTTTCCAGTCACTGAATATCCATTTCCTTAACGCGGTCTAGTGAAACATCCTCAATAGGAAGTAGGTGACAGATGACGACAGACACGACTGTCCAGTGCATCCTCATAATAGTCCAGCAATCAGTCCAAATGCTGCATATAGATAAACAACCTTCGTAAAAGGTGTGAAAACAGAGACACAGCACACAGAAACACTGCTCGCTCGATCCACTGCATTGAGCGGTTGTGAGCTAGGTGTTGCTGCAATGTCTAGGGAAGATGTCGTCGCATGCGCTGCTCTCTCTCTCGTCACCACATCACCCCATAAAGTAAACATTAATGCACTAGTAATATAGTACACCACAACTGCATCACTAAGTCACAACATTCTGCGTGTCGCGTCCTGTCCACCCAGGTACTCATTCACTGGTCACTTGTTCAGGAGACCTGTCCAATCATTCTTTGAATATGAACTCATGAAAAGCTGGTGATATGACGTTATCCATTAAGTGATAAAACATTCTCAAAAAGAACTCGAGCGAGTCCGCTTCGGTACTTTGCCGATAATGAGAGCAGTATTTTGCATAGATGATACACACAGCAAGTAAATCGATGGCAGTTGTTATAGCTGCTAATAAGAAATGATGATCCAGTTTCCGTGAGGAAGTGCAAATCACAACCTTCAACATAACCTGATTTTATATCCGGAATTGAGATTTACAAACGAAGAAGTTTGGAATCGGAGAGTGCCACGACCATTACGATGTGAAGTGGAAACGAAATTAAGGTGGAGGTGGAATATAGGAAGGAATAATGAGTCACTAAACGGCCACTAGCACGGGACATACGGGACACATAATGCAGCACTTTGACAGAACGACAATAGAGAACGATTGATTTCGTATTCAAAATTCAGACTTTCACGAATACTTGGAACGAAGAATACAAACGTGCACTCTCGACTGGTCCACAACTTCCCAACAGTAAAATTGCTAAGTAAAATGCGTACTTACGCAGGACTGCTTTTGCGCTGCTTTACGCTACTCCATTTCAAATACAGGGCGCTAAAAAAGATTTTTAAATGTCGGTTGCTTGGCGTCAACTTAGTGACGTAAGACTATCCGCGTCAGTAGATTATGAAAAGTACTGAAGGAGTTCATGCGGGGTAAATAACGATTTACAGTGTTTTGTATTTCCACAAAGGTGATGGAACTGCCCAGTTTGAATTCACTAACTTGTTCCAATTCAAAATTCAGAATTAGTCAACAAAAACTGCTTATGGCAAGCAATAGCGATTGATCGGTAGATCGGAATAGAGGAAGATTTTTTGCTTTTTTGCATGACCTTACCGCAAATTCTTCTCTCTTAATGTTTAATGTCATTTAGCACTGTCGTCTAAACTCAACCGTATTTGGACTGAGTTCTGCTCATTCATCATCAAATTTAACAATATATTCCCTAACAAGAACGCATCAAAAATTAGTGTAAGTTGGTGATCAACACTCTATACAGTTTGTCGTTGTCACTCAATTTTTTGCACACAAACTTTTGCCAGTTCTGATGGTTACCAATATGGGGATATTACCAATAATAGGCTATTTTATTCATTTACAATTGTAAGCCTTTTCAAAGGATTATTGACGGTTTTTATGAACGAGGATGTAGCCGGAACGAAATCGTGAGTTATAAATGAGGGATTTAATGATATTAATTCAGTATGGCATCTGGAAATATCGGAAGGGATAATGACATGGAGCTTAACTTCGAGATCACCGATCAAAATGGTCGGGATGCCACGCAAGATTCATTAACGGAAGAAGCGAAATTCCTTCTCACTACTCATAAACCGACACGGGTATTTTCTACACATCAAGTTGAAACTTCGATTGTGTTTTTCTGATGAGATTTAGTCTTTCAGATCGACATTTTCCAGAAAGAGCGGGCGCTGTCAGATCATCGAAGTAACACGCTAACTCCCAGTACAGTTAAACGCACAAGGTTATGTACATTGCCTGGAATTTGTTTTAGGTATTAGTTGTTCCAAATTTACAACAGAAGATTTTTCAGAAGTGTTTTGTCAGATGCAACACCTGTCTCGGCAGCAGCTTTCAGTAAAGGTGATTTATGATTATGTTTTCTTTGTGTTCATCAAAATGGAATTGTTAATAAATTTCTGGTTTTGACCATAACTATTCTTAAATACTGCTTTATTTACTGAAAATTTAGACACGTTATCATCTCCGCAACACCATACTTATCTAAATATTGCCGAAACTAAGGAGGAAAACAAACAGCTCAGGGAGGAAATATTCGACTCAAAGTCACAACTGCTTTTGTTGAAAAGAAAATTACTACCAATATTAGACAGTCAAGGAAAGGATTTCAGTGAAGAAGTAAATTATTTTGATTTTCCACTCTTTCTTAATTTATTTGTTGAATGTTCAAAAGAAATAGACAAAGACGAAGAAGATAACTTATCCAAATCTGTTGATATTATCTCATTCCTAAACATTGATTTTTTTCAATATATTTGACATTCAGGCCTCATAAAATACAGAAAATTCTCTCCAGAAATTTTTTTCGTTGGTATTTCAATATCCTTTTTTCCAGTACCTGATGATGCTGAAGGGACTGGATAATGAAAAAATCCGGCAAGCAGAACTGAAACAGATATGTCAGTTACGAAACAAAAAACTCGATGAAGGAAAATCGCAAACCTTAAGTGAAAGAAATGATTGGGAAAAGGAGCGCGAAAGGCTGCTTATGAATATGAATGAACTTACATCCGAATTGAAAAAGGTTCTGCCATGGCCTTTTTTCCAGAAATTGTTGAAATCGTAATGCTACACGCTTTTTTGATGGAATTTGGTTGTGCTTCAGGAATGTATTATTGATTCTTTCAGTTTAATTTCTTCATTTTTAGGCACGCCAGCAGTTACTTGAAAAACACGGTGAACGTGATGATTGCAATGAAAGCCAAGGCGACAGTTCTTTGAGCACTATCTCGCTAATATCGGAAAGAGGCATGTAAGTTCAAAACTAAAGTAGCCTTATTGTCTTGTCAATAAAGTTGCTGTATATTTTGATCCATTTCAATTCTTTTGTTTAAATCGTTCTATCATTTAGAAGGGGAATCCCATTTGAGATTGATTAATCATTCCAAATTTGCGCAGGGAAATCGAGAGACTGCGTTCAGCAGTCCTTCAGCAAAATGTCGATGAGAAGAAGTTTCGAATGAAAATGGAACAAAACATAATTCAATTACAAGAACAGCTGAAGCTTGCTCAAGATAATTTGGCGAAGCAGAATATTAATTACACAAAAGAGAAAACGCGCTGTGAGACATTGAAAACTGAAATGACAAAGCTTCAGCAGGTTGTGACCGAAGCTAGACAGGAAGTAGAATATCAGAAACAGGTTTAATCCTTCTTTGTCAATTTCAAATAGTTAACTGTAGAAATAGAGTTTCATTCGCTCTTCCTCCTCCTATATTGTTTGTCTTAATTCTGGTTTTTGAGTTTCCCTCGAAGCGAATTGAACCGGTTGTTGTAATTGTTAGGTTTATATATTATAAAAGTGATATATGTTTTCCAAATGATGCGTCTTCAATATTATTATGAATATTATGCAGACCTGAGAATAAGCTCCTTGATTATCTTCATTCCTTAAAGAAATATTGTTCAATATAGTTTTTCTAGATCTCTGAAGAGCAACTGGCTAAAGCTCATGCTATCAATGAAATTGCGTTGAATAAACGAGACCGCACTATTCGTATATTGCTAAAGAAATTGAAATCAGTTGATCCTCAAGCATCTTCCACTTCGAAAATCGTGAGTTTGTTCAAGAAAAATTTTTAAACCAAACTTCAAAATATTATGTATGATTATTAAGGAAGCGAGCAATTTGTCGTCACTGCGTCATGATGTTCCGAATTTGAATCCCTATGCTCAAGCAATACTACACCAAATTAATGAGGTTCGTTTATTTCTATTACTGCATCCCTATTTCTGTGTCACAACACGGAAGTAGTTGAAACAATATTCTTGCCAATTTTCTATTTTGCACTTTTCAGTGTATCTGCTCTGCACAACTTTGTTAAGTTGCAGTGAAGAACATCACATGAATATTTACAGTTCACTGTCGAGAATGATGCTATTCGAAAGAAAGTGATTGAATGGGGTGCTATAAATATCGATTTAACAGCAGAAATTGAATCTAGCGAAACGGCATCCACTGAAGATGAAAGCTCTGAATGGAATACGAAGCATTGTGAACGCGAAGTGCGAAGCTGCATTTATTAGGAAATATTAAACTTTAGTACTCGAATAAAGATTCGAAGATATATTTGACTTCAAATTATAAGCTATCAAGAGTTTAACCAATTCATTTGCTGAGGCCTGATTTGAAAACTGTGATTGAAAAAGATAAATAGAAAAATAAATTATTTGCTTGAATACAGATTAAGAAAAAACAGATTCATATGTTCACTAATAAAGATAATATGATTTTGAACGGTTTTTTTCAGAACGAAAAATTGGCAGTATTTCTAGCGCAAAATAAAACTATTCCTGATATTTCAAATGAAGAAGAACTGAGAGAAAAACTTGCATTATTCGATGCTGTAAGTAATTCTGGAAGGAGATGTTCGAAAGAGGAGTTAGATGATACTCCACGAAATATGAGGGCTTCTGAGATGGTAATAAGCGTTGACAATGTTCCTATACATTTTTTGAAGCAGTTGATTTCTCAGTAGTTTGTTGTCCAAACATATTGAAGTTTTCAGTTGAACATAACATCAACAGCTGATCTTTTGAGCAAATCTTTGACACTGACAGAAGATCTTGGTGAAATTAAGAAAAAACTTTCGGTTTTGCAGTCTTCTTGCACTCGTCTCTTTGAGAAATTGCGAGGTACGGCTAACTTTTTGCAGGTTAGTTGAACTATGAATATTATAGCCAGTAATTTATGTAGATAGTTAGACTAAGAACTTAATTAATTAATTTCTATCGTTTCTCTGAGTCTAAGTATAGTATTAGAACATAATATTATATGATCTTTTATAGTATTGCTCTATGTTTAATGATTTAGTGGCAGAATTGTTCTTATTTATTTATTTGTTTATTTTTTTACTAGCACTACATCGTTTGGTAATTTTTAACATGATTTTTTTAGACTCTTCTTGATGAACTGGGCTCAGGCGATCAAGGTAGAGAACTGCTGGCTAAGATAGAAGCACTTCGTATCGATCTTGATCACTCTCTGGCAACAGCTATTGATATTAGTCGTGACGTTGAAGGTATTTCAAAATGCACATAGGTTTAATAAAGTGAAAAAAAAGTCAAAAGTCATCATTATACGAAGTTGTTTGGCAATAAAAATCAATACCATTGTAGATTCAGTTCAATTTTAATTATGACTTTCATTAATTTCAGTATCGTATGTGTTCATTTTTTAGCCGCAGAGGAAGGCATCGGAGATTTGTCTGCTCATTTGCAACAATCATTACTGAATTGTTCGTTCGGTGTATCATCGGTACCATATAATGAAAATCAGGTTTCTTTTTTAATGTCTTAACTGATTTCCAGCTATTGTAATAATATATCTTTGTAACTGAATAAATGTAACATCTGTTACAGGATGCATCAGCTCTTTCACGGGCTCAGAGAGCTTGTAGACAATTAAATGTCGACTTAGCAAACGAAAAAATGAAAGTAAATGAATCCACTAAACTTAATGAAAAGCTTCAAGCGCATGTTGCCGATTTGGAAGAATCAAAGGAAAAATTGATCGATGAGCTGAATGAATTGAAGAAAAATATGGCAGAAAAAAAAAGTGAAATGATTTCATCGGTGAAAGATATGGAAATACAACTTAAACATAAGAATCAGCAGTATGATGAGCTCTGTAGAAAAGTCGAGGAACTTCAGCAAACAGTTAAGGCGAAAGAAGTTTTCGCTGCGGAGAGGGAATTCGAAGTGAAGCAGCTAAAAGATCAAATGAATAAGAAGTGTCACGAATTGGAAGTTCAAGTTAAGGAAATTACTAACAATCTGAAAGTAAAGGATGAATCAATCGAAGTAATTTCTTAATTGCTTAATTTTAAGCCATATGTACTCTTGGGTCCTAATAAGCAGTGAACAGAATATATATTCTTTGTTCACTAAGCATCATCGTTTCTTCTCCATAGTCCACTCTAAAAGTCAAAATTTTTTTACAATTTTAGAAGCATTATTATCCTTTGTTTGAACTAAATTGTATATTAATTTGTCTAAAAAATTGTCAGTTTTGTATCATTTGGCTATATCTTTTCTGACAAAATAGCGTTCGATATAGAAAATTTGAACTCAGGATTTGTAGGAGGAAAAAAAGGAGAAATATTATGAAGTTAAACTTGCATATTATCTCACATCTTTCAGAAACTTCTAATTGATGTTGAAAGTTATAACGACCAATTGTCGTCACGTAACAATGAACTAGCTCATTACAGAAATGTATGTTTCTCATTTTTATTCTGTTATCTGTAGAATATATTATTTTTGAAAAAAGAATATGTTTACATTACAGGAGATTATTGCTTTAGAGAACAAAATGTGCGAACTGATTGGTACTTTAAGAGAAAATTTGGGAATTGTTCAGAAACAAGTTGACAAACCAGTTGTGGAAAATATGGAAATAGCTGCATTAACTCAAGTCAGTGATTAGGAACCGTTATAACAAATACCATTAAGGTTGTTTATAGTTAAATGTTGAGTGAAAAAATCTGTCAGTGTTTTTTTTTTTTTTTTGCAGCTATCTCAAATCGCAGCAGATTTTGAGGAATTAACTAAAGTCAGTAATTATATTGCTGATTTAAAAAGTCAAATGGCTAATCTTCAACAGAAATTGGATCTATGTGAAAGAAGTCGTAATGCCATCAGTTTAAAATGTCGTGGATTGTCTGACCAAAATGCTTATCTTGAAGTAAGACAATAATTCATCAGTTTTATGATAACCAACATATTTTTTGTTCTTTCATCATTGATAGTGGTGCTGTTGCTGTGAAATTGTCCAAAAAATCGTAAATTAGTTCACTGGCATTTCTTTGTGTCCGAATGCTTACTCTTCTTAGTAATAAACCACTTGTAGTTATTTTTTTTTTTAATTATAAGGTGCGTTTTTGTTCGTTACATTTGAAAAAATCTCCAAAAGGTTTGAGAGAGTAGCAGCATGTGTTACCAAATTCTTGCAAAAATCACTTTTATTTCAGGCAGAGCGTAATGGAGACAAGCAAAAGTTATTCACTCTTCAGCAAAAAATACAAATAGAAAAGGAGTCGATTAAAATGATGGAAAGAGATTTACAACGTTTAAAATCTGAAAATAGTTATGTCAAGGAAAATGTAAACGTTATTTTCAACACATGGTTTTTATTTCACCAGCGATCTTTTCGTTATTATTATTATTTTTTTTTTGTTTTATAGAATGAAAGATTAACGAATATGTTAGTGAATATGGAAACAAAATACGAAGAACTGATTTCGAAACCAAATCATAGTTCTCTTTCCGAGAGGCAGCATTCGGAGCGATATACAATGGTGAGTAAATGGTCGAGATTTTTAAGTAACATCTTTTAGCAATGTTTAATAAAGTAAGTATTAGTGAATTTGGCTACTGACAAGTTTTATTATTCCAGACTGTTAGTACTATGACTGTTATGTCTTCGCACGATTTTGTTGAATTGACGGATAAGGCAAAAACACTTGCTTCATTCACGAAACGAATGTATACACTTGCAGCCCGATGGAATGGCGAGACTGTTGTTACCACCATGTAAACATTTTTTCTCTAAGGACTTTCAGTAAAGGACTTTATTGTTTTTACGGCATCGAGTTGTTTTTCAGTTGCTGAAATTATAGTATTTTGCAATTAAAGAGCAGGAAGTAATGTTATTTGGGATAAAGAGGCGGTTCATATCACAGCTTTTTCGAAGGACTAGCATTCGAATTTAATTAAACTGAATCGGAGATTTAGCAGTTGTGATTCTGAATTGAATTGTAATATTTAAATAATGATAAATAATATTATCTTGGATATACAGCAAAAATATTTAGGATTTCATATAAACAGGCTGATCTAGATCATCTTTATCACACTTATGCCCGGATTTTGAATTGCTTGTCAGATGGATTCAGTGAACTACGAAATAGGATAGTCTTGGGCAAAGTCAAGCTACAGTCGATTATTTCTGAAGAACAACAAAATTCTCAACAGTAATTAATTTCTACAGTTTTTTTTTTTTCGAGATCATTCAGTTATATGAGTTAGTATTTGGTGTGGAACACTTTAATCGAAGTGCCAAACCTCTTTCTATAGGTTGTAATCTGTATCATTTTTATGATGACAAGACTAATCCGTACAGAAGTCATTAAGAGATGAGGAATCCACATAGGTCGAACAAGATGTTTGCAAACCTTATGATTCTGTAAGAAAATTATAGCGCTTGATATTTTCTAGGACTAAAAGTGGAAATTCAAGATCAAGTAATGAGGAATTGAGCACGAACTGTTTCATTCCTGTAGACGGGTCACAAAAAGGTAAGAGCCATTAAAATAAATTTTACACAAATTAATGCGAGAATTGTAATGGATCAAAATTTTTTAGAGCTGCTATCAGTTGATCTGCGAACACTTTTCAATGAAGCCGACCAAATTATTGAGAAGCTTAGTGCCATTTCAAATAAACTAGTAAGAGTTTTATTTCCACATGCTATTATTTTTAGCCAAAAGAAGTTTTTTCTCACTAGAGAGCTTATATCTTATTAAAAACTTATTCAAGAACATTTCAGCATAATGCAGAAATATTGGAAGTGCTGTCGAACATGAGATTATTACAATTTCAAATTGATTATCTGCACGAACATTCGCGACATTTTGAGAAAACTAAAGAAAATTTTGCTCCGGTGATTTTCTTTCCTTGAACGGAAGATAATTATTTTTCAAACATACCATTCATGATCACTTCGCTAACTGTACTGATAGATGAGTATCTGTGCTCCACTCCTTTTCCCATTTGTTTCTTTCTCATAGTTTGTTTAATTTCTTCGAAATTGTTTATCAGATATGTAATCCGAAAATGTTTAGATGGAAGCACTTCAATTAGAAAATGATCGTTTGCAAACAGCACTTACCGATGCAAGAATTTTGTTGCAAAGAGCTCATGAACGACTGAATAAACTGGTGAGTTTTAAATTTTGTTTTTCTCCAGCGTTTTTTTTCTTTGGATAAGAGTATTTTCGGAATTTAAGTAGGAGAATTTCCAAGTGCTGGAAAATGGAAAATCATGATTTGCGAAAATAAATAAGATCTATTCAAAGAATGATGAGCAGTGATCAGTTGCAGCCTAATTCGAAAGATATGTGCGAACAGATATTGTGTGAAATGAACGAAATTAGTAAAGTAATGAAGGCGACAACGCGCGAGGTACATCGCATAGGAAGCCATTCAAGAGTTGTAAAAAGCTATAAGTAGCTTACCATTATCAAATTTCGTTTGAATTCATTTCCTAAATTGTCTTGATCCTACCATATTTATTCTCACATTTATTAGTCACTTACATCTTTTTCTTTGATCAGAAGTTTTACAACTAAAGTTCCTGCTTCTGGTTTATGTATATTCACAGAAAAATAACTAACAACCTACCCTTGGAGTACTGCACATTCACATTTCCACAATATATAATGTGCATTTTACAGATTTGCTTTTAGATTTCTATTATTTGAATAAAGGTTTCTGCATATTCCATCGAAGTTGGCTTCCAGTAGTTTTAAGCTATAGAAAAAACTCCTTTGATATTCTTTGTAATATTTTATAAGATTTTTTAAAAACAACGTATACTTTTGGCAGATAACTGATATGAAATATTAAATGCAACATTATAGAAATACAAAAAATTATGCTAACTTGTTAAATAAAAGTAAAGTAATAATCACTCAATACAAAAAAAGAAATAAACTTTGCAGAACACAAAACAGGTATCGTCAGTTTAGCATAGTCACAATTATGTAAAAAGATATTATTTCATTTCCCAATACAAAATGAAGAAAATATTTCGTCAAGAATTTGTTCATTCACAACTATACCTGACATCTCGCTAATGCAATCCGAAACGTCGCGTAACAGTTCTGCTGTAATGGCAACATCCTTTGCTTTCAGTGCCTTGAATAGTTAAAATAAAAAGCTGGTACGAGTTTTAAATCTAAACTGCGATGAAACTTATAGTGATAAATTTCCCCAACCACAAGTTATCAAAAAGGAGTGTGTTACTTCATTTAAGAAATGTTAAGATCACAAAGAAAAATGACTATTTTGTGATGTTTTTTTTTTTTTTTTAAAGTGATCAAAAAAATTAAATAAAATACCTTTGTAAGCACAGAGATGGCTTCTTTTACCAGTAACCGATGAATCTGACTACTAACAAGAGCGCTATTATCGGAAATTGGACACAGCTCATCGATATAATCACAAATAATTTTAAGCTGAAAAAATTAAAACGAACAAAAACAATTAAACGGAAAGATAAACATATTGTCATCACTAGTGCTTTCTGGTTATATCTATTAAATTTATTTATTACAATATACTTCTCAAATCTTGAATAACATTGTGACAAGTTATAGACTAACCAATGAACTGATCCCTTCACCAGAAATGCATGATATGCTAATAGCTGGCCACGGAAGAAGTATATTATTCGGAACACTGCGTAAATCGCACTTATTCAGGGCAACAAAAACAGGTGTATCTTTTTTGAGATTACACCAAGAAAGCACTGAGCGCACATCTCTTTCGAAATCCTTGCATATGCTACTATCTAATACTACGATTATAATATCGGCCTCCACCGCTCTATAAATATCTATTTTATGGACTTTATGTAATATCTAACATACTCGATCACAACAAAATTATGGAATTATAAAATCAAACTTCTCTTTATAGATTATTTACATACTTCAATTTATGTTCTAATTAATATGAAATCGTACTTTAACATATTGGTTCCACAGTTTTTTTAATTAGAGTTCTAGTAGTTTTAACATACAACAGAAAGAGAAGTAGCAGACTCTATAAAATAATATGAAATAATGCTTTAAAAAAAAAAAAGAAATAATGTTTTAAGGTTTAATATTGTCTCACTATTTTGAACTAACAGCAAAGGAAAAAAATTGGATGAAGTTTCTTTCATGATTTCTTTTTATAAAGCCTGAGTTAATCAGACGGGGAATGAGCAACCTTCTCAATGTCCTCTGGATGCCTTCTGCTTCAAGAGAATCCAAAGGAATTTCACGAATTCCTGCGGTATCAATAATGGTCACAGGGACAGAAGAAAGCTGAACTGTTATTTCCAATGAATCACGAGTAGTTCCCTCAATGTTGGACACTATAGCCATGTCTCGGTTTGCTACAAATATTTTATTCATGCACACAAAAGTAAATTTCTTATTAAGTGAATCTTGTGGAAAGTCAAAAATTACCCATATGATTGAATAAGCTGCTTTTTCCAACATTTGTTTGTCCTAGAATAACGATCCTTAAACCTTCATTAATCAACGCTCCTCGCTTCATTTGTTCTTGAATGCAGCTCAGCTCACTAATTATTGAACTCATTGCAACACGAATGTCTTCCCACTGGAACTCAACATCATCTCCGAAATCAATGGATGCTTCCACAGAAGCTCGTACTTCAATAATTTGCTTTCTTATATTTCCCAATGCTTCATCTGTAAGAGATGGTAACAGTAGCACTATTTATACGAAATAATGTTATCGTTACACAGCCATTACCATTAGCAATTCTGAATATGTATAACTCACTTGCCTAAAGTGTTCCTATGTAAAGCTAGGCGCCTTTGACGCTGTGTTCGTGCAGCCAAAAGATACGCAAGTGACTGTACTTCATGCAATGTCATCTTTCCATTGAAAAATGCCCTAAAAAATTGAACTTGAAATTCAGAAATATAGAGTATACACATTTAAGAAACATACATTTAAAAAGGAAAATTTGCAGTACGTTCACAGATTTGAAGAACCAAATTAAAAAAGGTTAAAAAGGTCAAACATTTTGTCTTACCTTTTCGTAAATTCTCCAGCCTTTGCTGGCTGCACATTGTCAAACTGAGCAAGCGCTTCCAATAAACAATCAACAACTGCTCGACTGCCGTGCACATAGAATTCAGCCACATCTTCCCCTGTTGATGTTTTCGGGCCTAACGATATAAATTATTGACCTAATGTTAATTTGGCTTATTTAAAAGAGTTTTTAAAATCATGATTCATAATTTCTATCATTAATTTTTTTAAGAAATTTTTACCATGGATACAGTCATGAACTATTCATGTTTATAGCAACTATGTTTATTACTTTAGTTATGTTCAGTTTTAAAGCAAAGAATTAGTAAGAAAACTAAACAAAGCGAATGCAGAAAGTAGACCAGCAAAAAATTTATTGCGAAGAAACGTTTTCGGCTGAAAAATAAAACGGCTAACATGACTCTCTAATAAAATACGATATTTCCGAAAAAAAAAAACAACCCGGCAAAAACACCGCCATGCCTCGATCAATAAGTTCTCCATCTCGTCGAATATTCGCATAGAACAATTCCCTAGGCAGAATTTTTTCCCGACCCGTGAGCTCTTCCAAGCACCGCCGACTTTCTTTTCCTATTTTACAGAAATTTTTTACAAAAAGAGAAGGGTGTGCTATTAGACAAGATACCACAAGTAAAGATTCTAAGCTATGTAAGAAATTCCAGAAGATTGAATGAACCAACCAGAAACTCGGATAACTGAAATGGCGGCAGGTAACGCACCCGAACTCATAGCAAATATGGTGGAATAACGCCTCAGATGTCTCAATACTGCATACGCCTCAAGCATTCCCTTATATGATGAACCTGAGAGGTGTAATAAACTACTAACAAAAACTCATTGTTCTTGATATCAAGATTCAATCACAAACTTCACACAAAGCCTATTACATACGAATTAAGCACCGCAAAGAAATTACGTGCATTAAATTGGAACGAAGCAGTTCAGAATCCTATAATTTGACAGAAGTTAAACAATAGTGGTAGGTGAAAACTGTCACTACTACTTCTTTTATTAATATAACTTTAATCTTTAAATATGCATAGGAACTACTGACATAACTGGATAAAATTTACCATATCTTCAAAACAAAAAATCAGAAATATAAATTGTATGACGTACGAAAAACATATATCAATATCGAAAAAAAATTCCGAAATTGCACTTTTTTTCATTCACAAGAACCACAAAAAACATATAATCAGATTTTTTAAGATCTCCTAGTGTTATCTTAACGGCTTTACAATTTGACATGCTCTTGAATTCATTTCACCAGAGTGCTTCATATACTTAACAAGCCTAACGCTTTACTGGAATCCCTTTAACTTCCCAATTTTGAAAATGAAGCATAGGAAAGTTCACTTCATAATCAAAGCTTGATTATTCGCAAGAACAAAAATTAAAATGAACATTATGCCATTATATATACAAATTCTAACAAATGCAATTATATATTCTAATCGTTACAACATATCCAATTATATTCTAATGATGAGATGTCAGAAATGCAGAAAAAACAGAAAGCAGAAAAAAAAAAAACATGGAGTTAAACTTCATAAAGGAATGAATTTTGAATCCAAAGTCCCTAATTAAGGAATTCTAAAACTCACTGATACAGACAAGGAGGGACAAAATATTTTGGATCTTCTAAATAGCAAATCATATTTGATGGCAAAGGTAAAGATGCAAGCAGTTCTTTCTCAACACAGTTACGTATGACCACTCTACACAAATATTTCAAAGATGGCAGAAGTTCATGTCGACGTAGTAAGTGATTTAGTTCAAGGGTCTCGATTCCTGTGCTATCACTTTTTGGATGCATCAACATGCAAATTCTCCTTTTGCAACAGCTCTGCAACGAATTTTCGATGAACGAAACTAATGAATTCGCTTTCACCAGTGAATTTGGTCCTGAAATATGCAATTCCTAATTTCAAAATATGGCAGTGTCTGAAAGAATACTCAAAGTCCTGGCTATGTCCAGAAAAGCAGGGGGAGGGGACGGGAGATTGCCCTCTGAGGTAACAATAAAAAAGATTTTACAGATTAAAACTGAACATGTCATTACATGCTTTTCAATTAACTCGAACTCCTCCCTCCCAAAATTTAATTTCTTCCGAAGCTGGAAAGCTGCTTTTTCCCCAAACCAAAATGAGGAGAGAACTTAGAGCCATAGTGATTCTACTAATTTGTGCAGACTATTTACTAAGATACTCAAAGTTCTACGAAATCCAGTGCAACACATTGTTACTTAGTAGCGCAGCTAAACACCGAACATGTAGAAACAGCAGCTTTAACGGATAAAACTGTTCATTTGAATTCAGTTGATTGCACAGCCAAATTAATTCCCCAAGCATAATAATAATAATGAATAATAATTAATAAAAATGATAATAAACGATGATAATAATTAACAACAATAATAATAATTAATGATAATAAACAATGATAATAATTAATAATAATAATAATAATTAACAATAATAATAAATAATAATAATTAATAATCATAATAGTAATTAATAATAATAAATAGCAATAATAGTAATAATAAACAATAATCAAGAATCCGATTTAATGCTATATATTTCACTGAATTATATTAGAGAATTAAATTACCACCAAGACAAAAATTTCCACCATGTTGTGCAAGACGCGTATGATGAACAGAATGTTTTGTACGATATGATATTGTGAAAATATAGCGATCACTAGCAGAATCTCGAACGAGATAGGTTCCTGGTAACTGACTCATCAGTACCTTCTCTGCATCTTTCCATGACATATTTCCCCAGTACCAAGAACTCTATAATGTTAACATCTAGATGAAAAATGGAATGGCATTTTGCACTAGTAGTGTATAATCCGGTATCAATAATAAATGGGAATAATCCATGAATATTCTACAGACCTATACAACCAAAAATAAAACTACTCCTCGTATTAGTTTCATTGTTTGAGAGAACTGAACAGTATGACTTGCAGCACCATGCTCCATCCATACGTCCCGTCTCACAACATCTAAATCTTAAATACTTCAATATATCTTTTATGAAAAAAAAAAGACGCTGAAAATAAGCAACAGAGAAATTATAAGAATCATTAAAAGCAGAAATATGCATCGAAACAAATTTGCACCAATATATACTTTGTTAAATCCATTAAGAAACCACAGTACTTAAAAGCGAATCAAAGACAGCTATGGCAAACCGAAGACAGTTATGGAATATAAAAAGTAAGCCAAAGACTTGTTAATTACTTTTTATTAGACGCTGTACAACATTTAATAACACCAACAAAACATTATGTAACAAATTAGGAGATCTGTTAAATAACAAATTTTAGAAAAGACTGGAAGGTCCAGGAGCAAGTTTATGGGGCAGATCAATGGCGGTATTCATTTGCGTGTGTGAAATATATTTTAATTTATTTCGCATAGATGGTGACAATCGCTGTATTGCTTGTTCTGCTTCATTCTTGACGAAATCACCAACGTACATATATTTCATATGGTATAAAAAATCGCAGATTGAATCTTCATATTTTAGTAGGCCTACTCGTTCGTTTACTTTTACCGTCATCTTGTAAACATCTACAGCAAGCTAAAATCACTTTTTTTCCTCGAATTTTGTCTTCAATTAAATAATTTTTTAGAAACAGAAAAAAAAAACTATTAATACATGAACATAAGACATTTTCAGATTCATTAGTTATATTTTTTTTTAGCTGATTACTGTCAGTTTGTCTTAAAATTTTAGTTCAATTACGGAAACAATCTTTTGTCCTATAAAAAAGTTCCCATTAAGCATAACCTTTCCTTATTAACCACAACAAATATGTAAACTCAAACAGTATTAAATAGAACAAGGACATACATCCTGTATTTGCTTGCTTCTCTCTTTGGCATCATAAAATCGCTGTAAAATGGGCACAACGAGACGAAGCACAAATATCAGTTGCGCTTCCGTGACTAATTTTGGTGCAAGCTGATCACGTACAAATTCAGGTAAAGCTGCTAGTGAACTCTGAAACATCAACTTATTGAAATTTAATTCATTAGCATAAGTGAAAGTAACAAGGAATTTCTAGGCTCAGCAATCATCAAATAAACAAAGAAAAAAGTGTTTTAACATAGATGTTTTTCACTTTCCCTTCCCAAAAATTTCTAAAAAAAATTTTTCATTTCTGTTTAAAACTGATTTTTTAAATTCACTTAAAACAATTGGAAAAAGCGAATACGGACTGTATTGCAGTGTTGAAGATAGGCATGCCCGAGCGCAAGATTCGTCAATAATTGGTTCTCGGTTAGCAACAAGCATTCACTTTCTAAACTGCCAAAGCAAACTGATGGATCACCTAAATCGAAATTTTATATTCAAACCTTTTTATTTAAAGGTAGAAGAAAAAAAAAAAAAATTATACCATGCAGTGCTTCCGAATCGAGCACGGATACAATATGATCATAAAAAACTTGCTGGAAAGAAACTGGTAGAGCCGTTAAAATTAGAGCAACTGCATTAATGGTGGCATATCTGAAAAAAAAAAAAAAAAGCTATAAAACCACAAATTCATTCCGAAACTCATCTTTTAGAGCATAACATATTAGCGACGTCAAAATAATAATATCAAGAAATGTAATGTAATGTCATGAAGCTAATACCATTAATTCTATGCCAAATAAAGGAAGAGTGATAAATAATCGGAACACATAATTAAAAAAACGAACGGTTGATGCAACGGCCGAATAAAGACCAAATCGATGAGTGCATGGGCCGTAATAACTGGTGCATGTGGAGATGCAAGCAGCTCGATGCACGCTCCGGTGAGGGCTTGTCCTGCAGGTGGCATCTCCGCGAATCTCCAATCCTGAATATTAACTGATAAAATGAATTGTTAATCGAACGATTTCAAATTATTTAATAAAAAAACTATGAACCGAAACCACAATCAATCTGACCTTGTAAACGAAAGCTGGTGGCTGATGGGCATAGTTGGAAGCTTGCAAGATGCGATCCACCAATGCTTGACAAAACTGAGACGGCAATGACAGTTGATGATTGTCAGAAATAAATGACGGTGTTAGAAGGGCATATTTACCATCTCTTAAAAACTTCTCGAAATCAGACAAATTCTAATTTTTTTTAAAAATCTTCATTTAACTCGTTAGATCAAAGGTTTCAACCTTCAATTGGACCATTTTAGGATAAGTGTCGCTCAGTTATGTTGAACACATAATGAAATTTAGATGGCATCACTTCAAAAGTTAACAGAAACTTAAGTGAGTCCCGTCACTAAAATTGAGCATGTACCTATCTTCCAACTGTCCGCAAATTTCCAACACGAAATCTCTAGCACGAACTGTATGTGAGATAGTCTTATCCAAGCAATACAAAACACTGTACATGTAAGCTGCTGGCTGTGCTGTAACAAGAATTACTTTATCAATGTGTATTTTCTATTCAATCCACATCCTCTTCTGAAACTCACCTATACAAATTACCGTTAAATATTTTGCGTATTCATGGGAAACACATTTCGAATAAAGTTAACTGCATAGATAAACCTGAAAGCCATAGATAAACCTTTCTTATTTAACTATAATAAGCTCAGAAAGATGAAGGAAACCATCTCTCTCCCATAGGGCTTGAATGTGAAAAATTACGATGATATCGGTAACACGGTTTGAAGCACATCAGCAGTGTCGTAAATAATTGATCAGCAACTACAGTTTCTATCGCTCGGAGTAAAATAATGTCCACAATCTAGGAACAAATCAACATACTTCAAATGGGAGAAAATATGGATTGCAGAAGTTAATAACAAACAAAAAGACAAAAAAAAAATCCCAAAATTTCGCTTCTCACAATTTACAGGATATTAAAAGTCGAAAACGAAAGCAAGACAAAAAAACGAAAAGAAAGAAAAATAAAAAAATGATAAGACATCAGACCAATTTGTTCCACGAACAATTGGAATTATACATGAAGAGCAAAAAATTAGGTTGCTACAATCTTAAACTACTTTTTATATTGTTATAAGCGTTTGCAAAAAACACCTAAATTTTAACATCATAGCCAAATTTTCTTCTATAATACCGAAATTTTTGGGGAGGGGTAAAACATATCTGATTATTACGTACCGGGAGTATGCGTTCCATAATATTACCGTAGTAAATTGGCATATGTAGTTCGGGGTTGACAGTTGACTGCTCGATTGGTCGCATACCCAGTTCAATTTGCATTTCCCTCCTCATTTTTGCTTCCATTTCTCTGTATGACAATTCCGGAAATTGCTTAAAAAAAAACCATTCAGTAAAAACATAAATATGAAGTTTGTAATGAAACTTCACTCACCGAATAATATTCTGACATTTTATTAAAAAATGCAGCACCACTGTTGCCAATTTTGTTTGATGGTATTATGTGCACCAACGCCGTAATTCGATTATGAAGATCGGGATACGAGCCGACCTAAAACAATAAGAATTTGTGCTTCAAACTCCACAAAAAGAATACTTCCTATTAGAAGTTGTAAGTTTATTTGTACTGAGTGTAAAAATTCAAAGTTGAAAATTTTGCAAACATTGCAACTGACACCTAGTATAATAATATCCTATTATCTTGCTTTAATTTGCTCTCCTAATTTCTAGCTCTGTTCCTCTATTACAACCTAATTTTTTCCTTTTCGCCTCAAACTACCTTTTTAATAAGCTCTACGAAGGGAAGCCAACTAGTAACAAAGAGGAAAATAAGCATACCAAAGAATGGATTATGAGCATAGCAATTTCGGTGGCTCCATCATCGGTCGGGTGAAGAACAAGAGAAATAAGCAGCCGATCGAGCGGAATTAGGTGTAAATTAAATGCCATGTCATTTAAGATTCCAATCATCTGAATATTAAAAACATAAATTCAGTGAAACTGCAAAACAATTTTTAAAAAATCTAAATAGTGAATTCGCATGATACTATATACTTTTAGAAAAAATACCACAGTGCCGTGAGACGCTAACAAAGACTGGTTTGAGCATAAAATTAAGAAACCTGTGTTTAAATGCAAAAGAAACAAGCAAGTAAAACAGATTCCTAAACTTCCCACTTAAACAAGGTTATTAAGAAGCAACTTACGGCTGTAAACTGCTGATCATCTGAAGGAAGGTTCTTTTTGAAAATAAATATGAAATAATCTGTGAATTTATTTATCGTTGCTGTGAGTTCTTTATTGTTCATTGAACTTAGCACACTACAGAAAAAAAGATGTAAATGCGAGCAAATTTATGGAACACAGCGGAAAGAAAAGATTAAATTAAATAGCTCCTTCAAACCGGAAAACTTTCCAAAATCAACGTTTTCATGAGAACAAAGACTCTGGTTAACAAACAATTCAATAACGGGACTAAACTGGTATGAAAAAAAAGAATGATAAGTTGAAAGTTTAAAAACGACTACAGTTGAAGCTTAATAGCATATACCTTTAGTAATTAACTTACGAATAAATTACTGGATGTATCTTCTTTGTTTCAAATAACATGTTGTATACAACACAGAAAATTGTTTGTCTCCGCTCACCCGAAAAAAACTTCAGAAGCTGCTCCTCGGCAGCTAAGCCTTGCGCATAAATAATTTCTGAAAATGTACAATTCCCAAAAAAAGAGATTAGTTAAAAAACAATTTTATTACATCTCCTCGCTAATTTTCTGTAATGATTGACAATCCCACATATGTCAATTGGTACTTTCTTGCTCAATGTCTTAATTATTGTAGTAAAAGAACTAGGAAAAATTTTTTCCTGGGTAATTTCTTTTTCACTTCAACTTACGAAATGTGCAGCAGTGCTTCACATATCAAACAGATACGTAGTAGAAAAGACTAACATTCTATATAGTAGTATTAACACAAGTTATAAAGTAAAAATTCTTCCAAGCGATAAACTTCAAGCGAGAAGTGAGAATATTCATATGTGCTATCGGTTGTGGTCTTTAAACAGTTATGTTAAATATATTATCATAGCAGGAAAATGTCCCGAAAGTATTCCCCAGAGTTAAACAGCAGTAGAACGACAAGTAGTGACGAATAACTGGGAAATGTTCGTCAAAATATTACAATTTAACCTTGTACTTGATGTACTTCTTGAATAACACGATGCATCAGCTCATCATATATAACTGTATCTGCAGCACCGTCATCCACATTGCAACCAATGAGTTGAGAGCTGTATGTCCGATTAATCGATAATGGCCAGCAGAAATTGACATTGCAGCGTTGCATCATTTCTGCGGTCATTTCCATTCCTATAATTGAATATATCTAATGGAAGTTTGATAATATTTAGAAAAGTGAGAAACATTGTTAAGGTCTCTTAATTAAGAAAAAATTAATTAGTGAAGATGGGCAGAGTGATTAAAAGATAACAAATTATAGCAAAACAGAAATAATTTCCGCCTGTTCTTAAAACTTTATTTTTGAGAGTACTTTTAATGATGAAATAGCGCTAAGCAAAATAAAAATATTATAAATGCCTGTCATTTTGAGCGATCTGAACATGGAAAGAAGCAAGCATCGTAATAATTCGAGAGATATATGTGAATTAGTATATTGCTGTTCAACTGAAACATTCCCATGCTGTGGATCACAAAATGCTGGATTAGCAGTGTTAAATATGACAGCCAGCTTGCCTTGTTTGCCTAAATTTACTATTTTCAAAGTCTAATTAAAACATTTAGAGCAAAAAATAAGGCCATATTTGAGAACAAGATTTATTAGTTAGAAGATTGGAAAAACTTTTAAGCTGAAAAATGCGCATTATTCCGTTAAAATAGTTGCAAAAAAATCTGATCAAATACAAAATTCCTCAATAGTGTTGCTTCAGCAATCACAATAAAATAGTAAAGAAACATACCAAGGAAAGCATTGCTCAGATAGAACATTTCTTGCGGAGAATTCCACATCCAATACCGCATCATAACCTGTTCCAGGGCCGAACACAATACAATATTCATTTGCACTTGACTATTTCCAAGTGCTGTGTAACACCAGAGCATCAAATTAATCTTAAAAAAATAATTTGCAAGATGAAATTAATCCAATGTTTGCAAGTTTTTTTATGGCGCGCAGTAGGGTAATATCAAACATTCAAATTCAAAGCCAACAAAACACATAAGATAAAAAAATAAACCTTTGATCCTACTGGAAAAGGATAACTGATGAATCGATATGAGAGGATATCACAAAGAACAAAAAGTAAATCACGGGAGCGATCTTGTTGTGCCGGTCCCAAATTGGTGCTTTTGTTTACTGAAGCTAGTGTGGATGACAGTAACGCCAGTACTTGCTTCACGCCGTATTCAAACTCCGTAGTTACTGCCAAACGTACAAGTGTATCTGAACATGAAATTGTAAAACGCAGAATGAATACATCATATAAAATGTAACTAGAAAAGAATGAAAATAACAAATGAATCAAGTTGTAATGAACCGATTGTTGCAGGACTAGGCACTTTTTGTGCTTGCTGAATTGAAAGCATAGCTGTAAGTTTCAATAAACAAAGTTGAAATAAATGATTCCGTGCATGGAACGTTAACGAATCGATCAACGAGAGTGGTAAAGGTGTCTTCTTCGAATACGAGATGATCCCATACGGAAGATGCCAAACTGTATTCATTTCTTCTGGAGATCCATCCAGAAAGACATCCACTGCTGTTAGGACTAGTTTTTGGAAATTTGGCATGTCGCTACTGTCTAAAAAACTGACAAGAAATTTAATGGCTTTTTCATCTAAATACAAGCGTCAAAAAAAAAAAAAAAAAAAAACCATACATACTAGATACTATCTTATTCCATACTATTTAATATAAGAGTCTTGCAAATTAAATATGTCTTTTCTGTGACAGTATAAAATCATTAGATAATATTTCTTTAATCCGAATACCATCCTAAACTGCCGAAATGTATGGCAACCTTATCACATAGATTAACAAAGAATGTGTGCTATATTATCTGTTATCAATACTATAGAAATAGAGCTGATATGGTTCTGTGACATAATAATAGAATGATGTTTGTTAAAATAAATATTAAAAATACTAAGGAAGCATAAAACTCAATAACTGCTCAACAATTGTTGTTATAATAACAAATATAAAGTAATATTGAAAAGTAAACAGAATTTAATTTAATACTCACAAGCATTGGCAACAGCAGCTAGAACTGCATTATGATCAGCGACATTCTGGATATTCGGGTCTGAATCTGCAGTCCTTTCTTGTAAAAACTGTATTTGTCGCCATAGAGATTCGGAGGGTTTAGGAAGTATCTCCGTATGAGAGTTGCCTAGTTTCTTATAAAAATGTATCCAGATCGCAGCCGGAACTAGGAACCGGACAAACAGCAATGGATCTGTATCTGCACCAGACCATGTCTGCTCATCGCTAAATAAATAAAATTAAATGGGCATAACTTTCATAACTGTATGCTTATGCTACCAATAAAAACTGTATCTAAACAAAAGTCCTTGAAATAAATTAGGTGAAATATTATACAGGAAACCTGTAAAGTAAATTGTAAATTTCGGCAACGCGAACCATTTCCTCATTTGATACTCTATCGATATAAACTGCAACGTATTGTAAGATAACCCACATAAGTTCATCTCTTCCTTTTCGATATACTGTTTCGGAAAGCTGTATAAAATAAATAAATAATATTACACTGGGGAATAAAACGAATAACATACAGCTCCTCTTCTCTTATTTAAAAGCATAGAAACCTGTGTTATTTAAAAATTTCGAGCGAAAAAGCTATGGTTCTAAGAAATTTTCTAATCGGTAAAAAAGCTTTGCAGTGTATCAAAATGAATTTACAGTGAGATATGAAAAGGGTGAAGTCTGACCATTTTAAGAGACAGTCGAGAATTAGATCGCATTTAAAGTATACCGCGACCTGAATCAGGTTTTTTGAGCACATATTATATGTAAATTCTATCCTTACTGATTCGTATAGTATTTTGAGAAGGCGAGCAAAAGAAGCGTTTCCATGAAGTAAAGAGAATGTAACTGTTTGTGTAATGTTCATCCACTGATACTGGTTTGCAGGGTCGTCAAGGCGCGTGTCGGTCTTTTCCATTTCACTCATAGCCTCGAGAATGATCATGTGCAGCAACTCATCACACTGTAGCCGCTGTGGGGTTAAGCTCGTGTTTTGTCGCATCACATACTATAATATATTAACATCTAATTCTAGATAAAATAATTTTACAAGTCTATTTCTAAATTCAGTTATTAAGTAAACAAATTTTATCAACAGTCATTGAAAAAAAAAAGATGTTTTCCCCAAACTCTTCAAATATGTTTTGTGTGTTAACTTCAAAAGTCAAATAAAACTATTAACTTACGGAAATTGTATCTTTTCCGCGAGGCTGTCGAAGAAGTGTATAAAGTAAAAAAGACTGCGGAGCGAAAAGTTCGGATTTGTATGGAAGATGAGCTCGCTGATGCAACCGAGTAGTTGTGACCTCAAGTTTCCAAGACGGCGTACTCACTGGGAAAGAAATGTGAGCAGCTATAGGATAAAGCCATGATCGACCGATTATTGTTACCATTTCGGTAAGTGGACGGAAGGAAATAAACATATCATTAAATTTTTTTGCCACCCTCTGTAAATGAATATTATTTTGTTTTTAACTGCTACTTTCGCTAATATATAAGTGAGGTCATTTTTTAGAATCGACTTTGTACATCATGATTCCTCTTCATTTAAATTTGAAAGCAGGAAAATAATACTTGAAACTATCGTAGAATGATAAAACTGAACGAACTGGAAGAAGAAAGGCACGTGAATTATTGGAAACACGATGTAACTCAGTAATCGTGAAAATGCATGGAAGAAGGTTTAGCTGCCGATCGATCAAAGTTAGTAACATCTGAAAAGTTATTTTAGTGTATCACACATTCGAGAGAACGCTGAAATAATTATGTCACATAAAATATATGAATTTAGCCGGATGGTATCATTTAACTTGAAAAGCTGTTATGAGGAAACATTCCGAAGAAGTGAGAAAACCGAACGTTTTCTACAGGTAAGAGCATATGGCGGTGATGGTGTGTGATCGTGGATGGCACTTCCTGCATGCGTTCAACCACAAGTAACTTCAGTATATTCCGAAGTCCTTTGTAATCGATTAGGTGTAAGTTTTTCTGCATATACTCAAATTTGCGAGAATCCATTGGCGTCGTAAGGGAGAAATTGGTGCAAAGAATGAGAAGTTCACAACAATCACTGGAAAAATACGTTAAGATAAAGACATTTTTGAAAACATATTAATATATAGAAACAACAATGGTTGCGATCTCATCTCACTCAAAGTATAACTATTTTTTCACTCTTTATTTAATAAGAAAGTTTTATAGGATTTATTAAAAACTGTATAAAACTTGGAATTGATTCTTATTAAAATAAAGGAAATTTGAACAGACTAAATGAGACTTTACGCTAATGTTTGTTTAAAAACATTTCAATAACGAAAGAGGAAGGGAACTGACGAAAGAGGAAGGACGCCTTCATTGCAGGCAATCATAAATATCGAAGATAAAATCCTTTCATAATGGATGTATCGAGGATCGTCTTTATTTGAAAGCAGAGAAAGGGATGCTTTACAACACTGTGTCTTCTCCTCCTACAATTCGTACGCAGTTTATTTCGTGTATTACATCCACTACATCTCATGAAAAACATGTCTATTTATTTCAGGACGTTTAAATGGATCTACAAATTAATCGATACCTCAGTCATTGTGCGCAACATCTTGACAGCCTCACTGCATGCCAGGACATCAACGTCAACGTCCTTACTTAAATCCCAGAACATTTCACGCATTTGTACTCCTTCCTGTATGCAGTTGACGCAATAATATAAAAACAACGATTAGTTAGTTACTACTATCGTGTTACATAAAGCAAAAGTAATTTGAATAAGGAAGTAGATTGAAGCACATACAACTTGGTTTAACACAATCCACTGCAATTTCTCTGCATCATTACCGACTGCTGCTGTAAGTGAAGTAGCTGATGTTGCTATTGCCTCCGTAGTAGTACCCATATCGCTATGAAAGCTGTTCGTATGCGAGTAATTCACCGCAAAGTTATTGTTCTAAATCGACCAAAATCTGCAATTAAACAATTAATGATAGGTTACACATGAACCGACCCAGCATACTCATGTCATTATGTATTGAAAGTTTCAAATTTCTTAAATATGAATACCTCACGTTTCCTTCCTTCTCTGCTCACCTCAGTGTCAATAGATCTACCAGTGTAAGAACACAACAGTTTAGATATTTAATGTCGCAAAAAATGACTTCATTTAATTTGGATACTGTCGAAGATGTGAAGTTGGTAAATGCCCATCATCAATATGAGATTAAATGCATTGATAATTAATGGTTCTTTCAATGATTATCTGGAAAGGACTTAGGTACCACCCTTACCTTCTCACATTACTATCTGAACATTCGCATGTCCGCATCACCCTGTGACTACTGTTTCTAGTCATTTCATTCAGAACGGGACACCCGTTGCATTGGATTATTTGGACAATTTTGCTGAAGTGGTCTGTGACATGTTCATCTAGGATGCGTGAGAGGTGTGAGGGTTGGGCTGTTGTACGTGACGTGTTGTTTTGATCTTATCATTTGGACAGTCTTTCCAGTACATTCTGCGGAGAGGCAGTAGTTCGAATTTTAATATGACATTTATATACACATACAACATTAGTTAGCACAACGTGAAAGGTTAAGAAGGGGAAGGGAGCGACTACTTCGTGTATTATATGGCTTAATGGCTTACAATGCAGTATCCATCTGGGTCATAAGTCAAGATTTCACAAATTTAAAACAAATCAACCTGCGCGGAGGCTTGGCTTTTCCGCATGCAAAGTGATGAATAAATTCTTGTAAAGGATTCCTATGCAACGCGATCATGAGACAAAGCTAAAATAGAAGTAGAGAACGATTGTCACAATTAATTATGTGGTTCCTGGCTCGCACAAACTGGTGCTAATTCGCCGTACTGGTCGCAGTGGTACTGAGTTTGCCCCTTTTGCGAACAAAGCCTGGAATGCAACGTGTATTGAAGTGGACTGTATAACTCACAGTATGTAACTGTGATTAAAATCATCTTTTGTGCTTCTAGATGTTCCGGAAAAAAAGAAAAAACCAACAAACGAAAGGCTGCGGAACATACCGGATGTACGAATGGCAGGACGCCACCACCCGGACAGGTAACTCGAGAGCAGAACTGATTCAATTCCTCGTCATTCTTCATAGCAAGTACAATGTGACGGGGGATAAGTCGCTGACGTTTATTGTCTCGGCAAGCATTCCCGGATAACTCCAACATCTGCAACACAACAGCTGAATATTGTATAACTGGCAGTGAGTTTAGAGGGTGCGAAAAGCATTGCATACTGAAATACCTCCCAACAATTAACAGAACGTGTAAATAGAAATCCTTACCTCTGCAGAAAGATATTCGATGACAGCACTCAAATAAACAGCTGCGGACTGAGAGATCCGTCTCGCATAGCGACCTTTCCTAAGCAATCGATGAAACTTGGTTACAGGAAACAGTAGTCCAGCACGAGCTGACTTGCTTATTTTCTTGGCTTTTCCACCGCCTCGCTTCCCAGCTGGTGGCCGACCTCCTTTATTCTGTAATTCTATGTTTTTTTCTTTTTTATCTTCGGTAATTTAGTCTAATTTTCAACGTAATTTGCAATATTAATGATGTGATATTTCCATTATCTAATATGACAATTAGACGTAATTTAGTGAAATGTAATTTTAATGATATGTGAACATTTCTTTACCAGTATACATTTTGGACAAAGTATACATTTTGAAAGTTTTTCATAAGCCTTTCTACCTTTCTCGTATTTGGTGAAGACGGCACACTCGATTTATCTTCTTTTTTTGCAAGCAAACTGTCCAGTACCGCCATAAAAGCTTCTTTCTGGAACAGTCATTCATTGAATCGCTATTATTATACAGTAGACGGACATTCTATGAACACTATGAAATGGAATATATATATATATATATGTATAGGTTCTAACAATTTGAACGATAAAATGTTATGGAATGAGGAGGAAGGACAAAGGGTAAGGTGAAAAGACGGAAAGGCACTTCATATTCAAGATAAGTGAATCCTATCTACTCGCCAAGTTCAATGCTGCTGTATAGCCCTTAGAACGGAGATGTATCTATGCACTGAAATAAATTATACATTCACAGCTATTTACAGACAAAATGATACCCCAAAAAAGTTGAAATCGTAGAGCAAATTGTACAGCTCAGGTACCACAGCTCTGATTTCTGCGTTTTATGCGAAGAAAAACAGTATAGAGTGACTGTGAGAGTGGAAGAGACAAAATGAAGATAAATGTTGGTGGTATTATGGAAAATGAGGAGCACCAGGAGAGGAAGCACCATCAGCAGCACCATCAACGCCACGATCGATTCCAGGGTGCTCAGTTCTCCACATCATGTGTTTTTTGGTCGTTGGTGAAGAGAGGCATTTCGAGAATCGAGAAATGTCGATATTCGACAAATGAACTCTTGTTGTAATGGTGAAGCTCAAGGAACGGTAGTGCGGGTGCTCACTAGCCGAATGACACCGATCATTTATATCGATTATTAGTCACTGCACAGTAATAATGACAGCAGAATGGGTGTATTCCCTGGAAAGGATTCATTGAATGAGTAACCCAACCCGATTCTCGTATTACGCCGGCCGGGTCTGTATCGCGAATGCAAATAAAAGGGCTGTTGGAGCGACCTGCAATGTTCAGGTCCTTACTTGAAAGAGTCTTTTAGCATTACAGAAGAAATGTAGATGAAAGCAGGTTTTCAGACTTGTTCATTGCGGCATTACTATGAAATCTAACACACTTGCGGCATTTCTGTCTTTATTCATAGACCTTTTTCAACAATGACACTAACTGTAAATATACAAGTTATTTGATAATAACAAAAAAAGACCTACATCGAATTTGATAAACACGCGATCAATGAACGCCAGATTGGACGTGAACGAATTGAAAATAAAAATGATGAATCAAATTAAAATTTTAAGGAGAAGATTAAAAGACGGAATAACAATTCAATTTGGAACTAATTTTAGCTTCTTTATTTTATTCACAAGAAAATGTGAAGAGTAAATTTCAAACCTGGGTTTACTATCCGAACACCAAAAAAGGCGAGGCCAAAGTATTTAACGTAAGTGGATCACAATTGCGCCGAATAAAGGGAGTCGATTTATCAGATAATCTTAATAAAAACTGTTTTAATTTGAACTTGTTGTTTTTGGCGTAAAATCATGTTGGCAATAAAATAGTACTTATCTTTGCAGAGAGAAGTAATTTCGCTTCTTTATTAATTCATCCTAGTTGAAATTTTTTTGTATTTTCCCTATTCTATCTATAAATTTCGATCAAAATGAAGCTAGCAACAGTGCAAGCAATGTCTGGAATATCTGGTGTGGGAAATTAAGACCTGTATCGGATTAAATTATCTGAAATGCAGAAGTTTCCGCACATTACAATCATAAATTGTTGTTATGGTCAGTTGTTACTGCAGACTATGCTAGAAAGTTAATTTTAGGTCATAAAGTTGAAGATTTCCAACCGTAATCGATAACCTTTGCCATGACTCAGAAATTGATGTCATTAATTTAACATCCTACTTTTTTAATTCTGTCTATAATTAATTTTGTGGAAATATTTTAAATTTAATAATTAACTGTGGATGATTAACCATTGGTTAGACGTTCAGTTTTCTTACATCTCTCACAATACTGTACAATAATAACTCTCTCGCAGTTCATTTACTAAGCAAAACGTAGTGTAGTATGCAAATGAATTCAAACATGTTACTCAGTTCCGGTTTTCCGTAATAGAATTGATTCCGGACAAGTGATGTAGAGAGATGCAAATGCCTTGTATACTTCGTACAGATGTATATAAACAGGATGGAATCAAAAAAATTAATGAAAAAAGATCTGCTCGCTCTATGTAGCGTTGCATCAAACATATTGAAACCTAATTTTATTGTTTTCTGTAATACAAAGGTCCTTAACTAAATAATTTAAAAAAGATCTAACTAAATACTAACTACATATCTGCGCTCCTACTGCACTTTTTTCCGTTGAATGACAAATACTATGGCAGCATGGATATTTACTTATTTCTTGACTCTCATTTAAGGATACAGTAAGCTTATTCTACTGCTAACATGCAAGACTTCAGTATTTGCACCATTTCCAGGGAGTAATCCCGCTGAGAGTAACTAAATTTAAAAACCTGTCTTATTTCTAAAAAATTTCGAAAAATGAAAATACAACTACTGTACGATGATATTATTGATCATCTTATGAAATATCATCATTTCTTTTAACCTTTATTAATAGTTAACACTAACTCGAAGTATATACTCAAGTTAAAAAAAAGTACGTCGTGATTTACTTCTTATCATCCAGTAACTTTGCACACTGGATGGATGTATGTCACATTCCTCTGAGAACAATTGGCATTTGGAAATGTTGACTTCAGAAGTAGTAAACTAGAAGAAGTAAGAACAAAGATGTTGAGAGTTTGCTCAAAGTTAAGCTAGCTGGAGAATGAATAAATAAATACTGAAGTGGACGAATTCATGTGGTTATGAAAATGAGCTAATACGAATCTAAAATAGATGCAATTTCCACTTTACTGTTGAAGCATCAATCATTTACGCAGACGTATCAAACGGAGATTTTATGTGCCCTTTGAATCGAATGATATTGGTAGAAGATATGCATGCTCTCACTGCATCACTAATAGCATTTTCGGCATTTCTCGAGCGAATTATTCATTCCAATTATTGTTACCACAGTCTCGAGACAAAGTTCTTTGTCATCACAGCGATACGTGAAGAGAGAAAGAAAGTTCAAGAATGTAAGAAAGGAAAGATAAAAGACATCCTCTCTCTTTTCTTTTCCCCCTTCCTTGTTTGTATTGAACTGAACAGTTCTTCTCTGCCCTTTAAATCGTAATGGTCGACATTCCAGCTAAAGAAGTGCTCAGAAGAGAGGCTAAATAAACTGCAAAGAGAGTAAAAGATATCCCAGGAGCTTTGTCAACCAACCCACTTACCCACCAATTCTGTTCACGACAGTTGCATTGTTGTTCTGGGCAACTCGTACTGCTCTCCTCGATGTCCCGTTCAAATATTTGTTGTTTTTACCAGATCGATTCAAATCATTGCTACAGTCCTGTAACTTGTTGCTAAAGCGTAACATTATGCGCATTCGCATGCTGCATTTTTTCGCATATAAAATTAATTTTTTTATAAAAACTCAAAGAAATTTAAATCGGATTAATAATGATATGAAAGACGAGAGTTCTTAAAAGGCGTAATAAAGTCTGGGAATTTGTCTTCCACTTTAATGACAGTCAAGAATCATCGGGGAAGAATTGCAGGTATGAAAGTTGGCTTATATAGCAGGGTAAGTAATCGTAAACGATTGTGAATGTCAGTTTTCACCGACGAGCTTCTTTGAAGCACATTTGATAAGCCATCGGCACTTGGGGTTTGTTATAATTTTCCTGTCGTATATAACAAAGAAAGAAATAAGTATTTTAGAAAATATGAAGACAACAAAAATAACGAGTATAGTAATTTCATAATTTTCCAGAAATTTTCAACTGCTTTAACAGTTTCTTATTGTACTGTTTACAGTGAATAATTCGACAAAACTTTGAAGAAAATGCAACAAAGCGATCGATATCTAATTGAATCATCTGTAATCGCTCTACCTGGTTAAGGCCTTACCTAATTTTATACTTAGCAGCACAAAGAATTAATTTGAATATATACTGGAATTAATATTTTACAGGATGCCGTGATCGTTCCGGATCACCATTACTGTTTATAAATTGTATGGATAATGTCAGTAAACTTGGTATTACTTTGCATTTTTTTTAACCATTACTTATTACTGTTTCCATTATTTAAGTATTCTTTCTAACAACACCTCTTTTATATTACTTACGAATGATTTTCCCACAATTTACTACTAAAAATTTACTAGTCATACCGTTGCGAGATCTAAATTCAAAATGATTAAGGGTCTGGTAAACAAATAACTTACTACTAACATTAATTTAATATTCTAATTCATACGCGTTACTTAATTTTTATCAGATTAAGTCCAATTTGCCATAAAGTTTAGGCATAAAAACAACCAACGCGCCGAGTTATGAAGAACTGGTGTCAGTCATCAGTTATCTCTCCCAAATACCTGGTGAAAATGTCTGCAAGTTAGGATTTACAGTGGTGATCGATGGACGAAAGGCAACTATAAAACACATGCGTAGTGCATTACGAGCATGCCAAGTGTTGATTCATTTTTCTAGGGCTTCTTTGATGAAGTTGAATAAAAGCTTAATTTATAATACATCATTAGGGAGTAATGATAACAATTGCAGCAAGCACTGTATCGTCGAATTCGATTTATATTTGTCATTCAACCGGAAAAATTTTTAGACCAACAAAAACTTAATTTTGAACTTATCAAAGAAGCTTATCAATTCAAGGTAAGTGTCGGTTTCAATAAAGGAATGGATGAGTTAGCACAAAGACTATTATTTCAGTTAGTGTTCAGTTACAGAAAATTCTTTATTGTATTCTTTATACATATAAACAACATTAAATTAAATTCCAAAAAAAACTTCGTCCAGAAGTCAAAAAACAAAAACAAAGGGAACACGAGAGATAAAGATAGAAATGCATTATAATTGCTTAACTTTTAGTGCACTCTAATCTCTCTAAATAAATTATTACGTTTTGTGGACGCCATGCAATTACCAGATACGCTGGGTGGCACACTACACTATGATCCATATTTATGGATTTTACTTAGACAGGTTTTTTTTTGTCAAACATAACAGTTATGTTGAGTAATGTTTACTTCCACTATTTTTTTTTTTTTTTTTTTTCACATGAACTTTCAAGAAGATTGAGAATTACGTGAACAGAGCGAACAGTTGGATAGAAAATAACAAAAGACGTGACAATATGATATCAAATCAGTGCGATGAGACTTTCAAGAAGGACATTCTCAACTCAAATGCGCTTCTCAAAATAGGTGAAATCTCTGATCGAATAATTCCTATAAAAGTTTTTTTTTCTTCACATTTGCTAGCTTTTCTGACAAAATTCAATGGGCTAGAAATAACTTCATAACAAATCTAATTTACAGATAAGGTAAAGTAGTTTTACTTGAACAAGTCCAATTTTGGGGTATCATAAACATTTACACCATACTTCGTTCAGGAGACGATTTACTTGGCGAATTAACGCAAAATAATAGGATGAACCTGCTGAAAAATGGCGATTGGGACAACGCTGTGCAACACGTCGATTTTCTCATGAAACAAATTAAGGTTCTTTAAGCATTCATTATTTGAATATGACTAATAAAATTTAATTCTTTAGCATCATTGTGTTTTT